AATAGATGAACGTCTCCATCGCCTTTCCATGACACGAGCAAGCGTGAGTGGAAGCCCAGGCGAATTTTGTCCCAGAAACCTGTACGGTCCGAAGGGTCGATTTGAGGCTTTGTAAAATTTTCAATCACCATCATCATATCTTGGATTGCAGGTTGGTATGATGCGCCCCATGTAATTCTTGTCGGGAATATGGTATTGATGTCAATATTGAGATCTGAATATGACTTCACTGGAGACACGGTACGTCGAACATCGATAGCAAAACACCCTGAGTTTGGTTGTATATGGTCCCCGACCTTGGCAGGAACGATATCAACTTTGACATGGCGGACAGATTGCGGTCCGCAGAACTCTTCCGCAATGACAAAGTTTGTCTTTAAAGACCAACTTGGCAACCGTAGGGACTGGCCTGGCTTCATGGCTGGTACGTGTAGGAGAGGGAGAGGGTAGTCCCTGAGCGACATGCGTGCTTCTCCCATGTCGATCTGGACGTGCATGGGGATGAGTAAAGAGTACTTCATGTCGTGAGGCATACCCTTCCCAATTCGGTGAAGAAATTCTGGGAGTTGGCTGAGAGGGAAAGTAGGCTTATCAATAGTGATGTGAAGATCATTGATAAGCGTACTCATAAGACCTGGGCGCTGAGGTATCTCCACAATGTTCTCGATATCTTCCATGTCATCGGGTAACTCATCAGGGCCCCAGAACCCGCCACGCAATTTCTTCATGTCGTCCATCTGTGTCCTGTACGATTGATCGATGCGTCTCTTCCAACTTTGCGCATTATAATGTTGTAATTTCTCCATAGCCTCTTGGATTGGGACCTTTGTAGAGGCACTTATACCACACAAGCCCTCGGGGTCGTATCGCATACGGTAATGACGCGTGGTTGACCGTGAGCGGTCAGGTTTTTGTGAATACTCCTCGCTTTTGCTCCTCATGTGGGAAGCACCCTGTTGATTACTTCGGCCAAATGGGCGAGCTGATCGAGTACGAATTCTTGACGTGTCCTTTCTCTGTTCTTGTTCTTCGACCTTCTTAACTTTGACTCTGAATGCTTCCTCGCGGGCAAGGCGTTGCTGTTGTTCGACCAGCCCAGATCTGTAAATATTGCCCAGCTTCCATTCAAATGCACCATCTTCGATTTCAAAGAGGAGTGCCTTGCTACGAACGGAAATCTTTGGCACATGCTTGGGCCCTTCTGGACCCTTCTTCAAGATATACTCATTTGTTCCAGTTTTGAAGCGGTGATGAAGTTGTTCGATTGCTTTGACTGTGTTCACGACATTGTCAAAAACTTTATACAGAACAACCTGATGCGGCACAGCTAGCCGTATGGCTTCTGTGCTGACTTCAATAACATTATCTTCCACGGAAGATCCAGAGGCTAGTTGTTGCCTCATTTGCCGCAAGTTAACCTTCCCTGTTTTGATACTCGCGAGGCGAGCCCATACCCGCTTCATCTTAGGTGCTTCAACGTAGAGTCGCGCAAGCTTGCAGTTTAGGAAGGGTGGTGAGTATCGCCGGCGACCAGTTTCCACACCGTACACTTGCAGCATCATAGGTGGGTCAGCGGGCATATTAGCCTTTACTTGAATTAAGCCAAACTTGGCATCAATTGTTACCAGTTCGTTCAATCGCAGTTTGTGCTCTGGGAGGTTGCGTTTGTTAATGTTGGGTGGAAACTGCATTGGGGACAGGTAGTCTAGGCCATTGATGTCCCTAGTACCTTCCAGCGAGGGACGTATAATATCAACATTCGTTTTGGTGCGAACAAATGCCTTTCGAAATACAGTTGCTGCGACGCCAATGGCATAGTGCCGATATAACGAATATTGGATCAATAGTGTCCTGACATGCGAATTGACATGGAATAGAGGCCCCTGGGTATCAGTGGACGTAGAAGCGGTAACATTGCATTGTGGCATGGCAAGAAAAGACTCGAATTCCCATTTTTCTGCAGATTCAACGACAAATCCTTCAAGGCCGCAAACGCTGATCGTTAAGCATCGTCCATCAGTCGGGTCTTGGCTGTGCTCTATGGTTTGAGAGTCGCTTCTGTGGTGGTCGGTATCGGGTGTTAACGATCTGCTGCTGGCCCGTCTACGGGGTGGGTTCCGGTCTGCAATTTTCCCTTTGTGTGCTCGATATTCCGCTGTCCATGATTCCAATTGTAAAGCAACGCCGCGTATATCATTCGAAATATCCCCGTCAACACCAGCGACCTCGGCGCTGAAATTCGAAGCATGGAATTGAAAGTGGAGTAGCCACGGTGGTAGAGCCCTGATGAAGTTGGGGTCTTTCGACGTTTTAGGATTCGCCTTTTTATCGGGTTCCACGTTAGTCCTAAGTTGGTGGACAATCTCGCGGATGCCCTCACTTAGTTCTGGGCGGATCATTCGGACCGAGAATGTCTGAAGACTGCCGGAAGCTATCACGTTAACTTCAGGGCTTGCGTTCACCTGTACTTTGATCTCCATAGACTCTGTCTGAAGCAAATCATAGCGAGCTGCAGAAGCTGTCTGGTAGTACAAATCGTGTGATTGCACTCTGAATGTGGATGCTAGCGCATAGTGAATATCTCCTTCAGCAGAATGAGATGATTCTAGGTCCAACGACACCGAGGAAATGGACGATATAATGAGATCAAAGTCGTCTTCGTCAGCATCCTTTTCCACGGGAGGTAGTGCTATGCGGAATACTGGCTCATGCATAGAAAACTTGACGTTCGCTTTGGGTAGGAACTTTGAAATTAGCTCGCGGCTTCCTTGGCCTGATCGGGAAGTTGATTTTGGACGTGGTTGCATGATCGCCATGAGAAGCGGAAGGTGTTTCGGGTCAAGGTCAACCGACGGAGAAGTGATGACTATGTTGGCAAACAAGATATTTGCATTGCGCTCATCGGCACTTTGGACTCCCTTAAACCCAACAATCTTGGAAGGTAAGGTGGTTCTTATCGTTGTGGTAGTCATCGGTATGTATACTAGGCGGTCTGACTTTCCATGGCCATCATCAACGCCAATAGAAACAGAAAGCGCCGCCAAGAGAGCTTGATGTGCCACAGTTTGTGAAGAGAAGTACATGCGATGGTCTGGAGACTTGGGGTCTAATCGATGTACATCTATGCCGACCTCTTTCATGGAAGCATTAAAAAATAGAGGGCCGTTGCCGGGCTGAACATTTCGAATCTTCTTCGCAAGTCCAATGTGGGTGACTGCAAATTGTATTTCCTTGATTCCTCTGAGGATTGAACTGAGAAATTCGTTGAAATCCGAAGTGTTCTCTACGTTTGTATCACATTCTGCACTCGCGTCGACCTTGAAATCTGCCACCAGCGCGTCAGAGGCCGAATCTGTTTCACTGCGGTTCCTTGAGAAAAGCTTAGAGCGATTGCGGTAAGAGGATAGGCACGTCTCTATATCGTCCACGGGGATATGTAGCCTTCCTAGCTTAAGTTCAATTGATGCCTCGTGTAGTCCGTCAACCTCCTTGTAAAGCAGGCCATTTATGTTGAGAGCTGCGTGATCCAGGACCTCCAACGACTCGTTCCCTTCGGCAGTGAGTAGCACACTTCGCATGGTGACCGTCCATTCGGCTGGCCGCTGATGTTTCTCTTGCTGCTTCTTTCGTGAGAATATGTGCCCCTGGTCGACCATTTTCCGCCTCGTATCGACGGCAACGGTGTAACTACCAATTTGGATAGTTCCCACTTCCAAGATCGTGATTGATGAGTTGGTAGCCACAATATCAACCATTCGAAGCCACCCAATACTGCGATGGAGGCGCTTGACCCTTTCCTTCAGTTTTTTAAGTTCGTCCCAACTCTTCCGCTGGCTTTCGCTGGCGCCTTTGCCATGGTATTTCGACCAGCCTTTCGCAGCCTGAGGTTCAGGGGTATGGTCCGAATTTTCAGCAGCATCTTGGCCTAGCTCTATGATGTTTTTGAGCTTCTGCTTATTTTGTGTTTCCAAGGCTTCGATATCAACCGTCACGGCAAGTTCAGTCACAACAATGCTTAGCCAGGTCGGCTGGGCAAATGTTGGACGATGAAGATTGATTCCCAACCCGCGGATTTCCACTCTTATACCATCTCTTGGTGTGTATGCCAGTCTTCTCAGAGACAAATAACCGATACGTTGGATGGATATGCCGGTGGCGATGCGTAGCACTGCGAAGAGGATGAACGACGAGAGGTAGAGGAGCACCACAATCCCAAATACAAAGGAGGGGCTTAGGATGGCCATTTTGTCGGGCAGGACTCGTACGCCATGGACTGTAGGAGGCCTACTTCAGATCAGCGACTTCATAGGATGGCCCGGAATACAGCAGGAGCAGGCGCGTGTCGGTAGCCCAGCCCGTAGTTGCCAGGCCAGTATCACCACTGAGCCAGAGTTGTCACTGGGCCGGGGATCATTGGTAGCTCTTTGGATTCGGAACGTATGGTCATGGTCCAAGTAAAGCAATTCGCGTGGTATGTTGAGTGGATGGGCGCATGGACGGACTATGAACGAGCTTGAAAGATAAGTAGGTCAGAAGTATAGTTGATTTCCATCATTGTCCAGCAAGGCAACATATATGGGCAGACATGTATGAAGGTAGTGTAGAGTAGAGTAGAGTAGAGTAGAGTACAGAGCGGACTGATTTGGAGTTGTTTTGGGGATGCGCGAAATAAAGAAATACTCTCTCTATAGCTGTCTTGCAGCAGTGGTATAATTATTTCGTAGGTTTGGAGTAACTACGGAGTATGTATGGGCTTGTTGATCGTCAGGTGTGTACTCCCAAGGGAGCTTGGTAGAGTTGAGCCTAGTCCTAGTAGGGCTTGGCGAAGTTAAATTGCTGTAGGCAAGTAACAAGCTGTGGGCAAAGTGTGGCCAAGGTAGTCTGGTGCATAATATCACGTGACTGAACACTGAGACTTCGCCAGTGTTAGCCTTACCGACACCTTAGAAGTACTAAAATGCCACCCGCCACCACCAAAACACCACTACTACCGCTTTATAACCAGGCTTTCTCTCGCTTAAAAAGTACAGACCGTGCACGTGCGTTGGGTTCCTTGCACCTGATATTATTCACTAAAACCCATCAAAAAAAGCATCATCTCAATTCGGAGATTTCGATCACTCTAATCCACCCCTCGCTCCCAGAATCACATCCACATCGGACACTGGGGATTCACACGATAAACATCAACCCGAAGGACAGAACAGAACTTCCTTCAGCGCTCTAATTAAACACCGCCCGTTACAACTTGTTCCCGCGCATTTTTTCTATATCCGCAATCATGGGTGAGTGACTTTGCCCACCTGGACCGGTCTCGCTTTGGCCGCTTCGAAGCAGGATCAATTGAGGCCGGCCTATCTGGAGATGAGCATGGAGCTGACAACATATTCTGCAGGTCCGAAAAAGAAGGAACAGCAGAAGATGTCCCTCGGGGCCTTCATGACTGATGAGAGTAAGCTATATATGGAGATGTCTAGATGTTACATCGCTAATACGGCACAGAACTTGGGTCCTGGGCTGATGAGATGGAGGATATGCCAGTCTGTGAGTATATCTTTCTTTTTTATTTTTGGAATTGACCCTCTCAATAATTTCAGCTTGCTAATCGTTTATAGCCGGTATGTTTGCCCGTCCCAAAACCCCGAAAATGGCACACATGGAACCCATATCACCAACCCCTTCCGGGCGACTTATTTTACAGGCTTGGATTATGCTGATTCAATAGACTCTCGTGCTGGATATGGCGCCGAAAAGCGAACTTACGGCTCTACAAACACTACCTTCGGAAGTGGTAACCTAGCTGGTTCGTCACTCTAATTTGGAATATGCCAAGGAGCCATGCACCTGCTAACAGTGCGATTCAGGATACTCTGTCAGAGAGGAATTACCTCTCCCAGATAAGCCACCTTATACTGTGCATCTAGGAAACCTCTCATTCGACGCTACCGTTGGAGACGTGACAGATTTCTTTGCTGATTGCGAATGCACCAATGTTCGCATCATCGAAGACAAGCTCGAAATGAAACCCAAGGGGTTTGGATATGCAGAGTTTGGTTCCCGCGAAGGCCTGATCAAGGCATTAGCACTTTCGGGATCGCAATTCCAGGGCAGAAACATCAGAGTCAGCGTCGCAGATCCACGTATGTTTTACAACCGTTCCTACATGTACCTCCTCATGCTGACCACCCTTGCTATATAGCCAAAGATCGTGATCGCCCAGATGTTCGTGAATTGGGAGACTGGAGTCGCAAGGGACCATTGCCCGACCTGCCAGGTCGCGGAGGAAACGACCGCCGAGCACCTGAGAGAGGGTTCGCATCTGGAAGAACATTTGGCGATGGAGGCTCGGAATCCGGCGGTGACCGTAGAGAGCGCCGTGACCCATTCCCCCAGGATGATGGAAAGGTCAGAGACTTTGGCAACTGGGAGCGTCGTGGGCCACTGTCCCCACTCCCCCAACAGGAGCGCCAGACGAGCACTAGAGAAGGGGGCCGCAGCAGCACAGTTGATGGGCCGCGTGCGGAAGGGTTCAAAGATAGGAGAGCATCGCCAGCAGCATGGGGAGAGGGCCGTACCCAGGACTCCCAGGATGGCTCGAGACCTCCAAGACGCGAGTTTCAGGAGCGCCCAGTTGCTGATAGGGCCCCAACCGCCGCAGAGCAGGATAGCCAATGGCGAACAAAGATGAAGCCAGACGCCCCAGTTGCACCAGCTGCGACTTCGCCGCTGCCATCGAGGGATGGTAGTGAAGGCCCGGCTTCTCCCGCAACAGCCTCTGCAGCCCCCGTTGGAAGACCAAAGCTGAACCTGACAAAGCGCACAGTGTCTGAAGCAGCTGACGTGGCTTCACCAGCATCTGCTTCTGGCGATGCTAAGGCTAGCCCATTCGGTGCAGCACGTCCTATTGACACTGCTGCCAAAGAAAGGGAGATCGAAGAGAAACGAGTTGCTGCGCTGAAGGAGAAAAAGGAGGCCGATGACAAGTCTCGCGAGGAAAAGCGCATCGCTAAGGAGGCTGCAAAGGCAGAAAAGACCGAAGGCGAGACTGATGACGGCACAGCAACTGCAGAGATTGTGAAGAAAGCGGATGGTCTTACCCTGGACGAAGATGCTGCGACTCAAGACACCACCGACTCTAAGCCTAAAGAGGCAGCTCAACAGAAACCCGCCGATACCGGTGCCTGGAGACGCCCTGCAGCTGGCCCAAAGCCCCCTCGAGGCGATGTCCCAAGGGGTCCTCGCGGTGATGGGCCACCACGTGGTCCTCGCAACGATTCCAACAGAGGTCCAGGGCCACGAGCCAACGGTGGAGCTCCACCATCCGGCGCAGCTGCCGAGCAGGTGGCAGAAGCTCCAGAGGAAGACGGCTGGAGCACGGTCTCAAAACCTAAAAAGAACCAGCGTGGTGGCGCACGTGGTATTTAATCATAGGTTTTTAATTCAGCGTCCAGGGCAGTGCGGGAAGCGAAATATGCAGCCATGAAGGGTTGGGCATTTTCTGATCCAATCTCTTTACACGACGGTACTATATGCAGTGGATGGATCTGTACTCGGCGTTTGGTCATGTTTGTCGTTTCTGGTATCTTGTGTGTGCGCTTAACTCCTTGCTGATTTGGCTTTGGATAGCGCGTATGAATGATACCGAGTATGTCGCGTTGCATTAAGGCTGTCTCATAACTATGCTTTCTTCGTTGTTTCTACTTCGCATATACGGTTGCGTTTTCAGCGGGCTTCAAAAGTTCTATTGAGGATCTATCATGGGAGCATTGGAAGAATGAATGCAAAGGTGTGCTCTCACATGAGAAGTAGTGGCAACTAGACTCACCGCCGCATTATGATCGCTGGCATGCACGATAGTGCCAAATGGCACAGAAATATGGATTCTCGCATGCTTGTATTTATAAATGCCTTCCAGACGTCTCAACTTTGAAGACCCAGTCCGTTTATGTCTCGATATTTATGTTAAAAATGAATGAACGTGTATTGACTAGCTAATGCAACCGATATATATATCCTCAACCTTCCAATCTTCCCGTGGCGCGAACCCATTCTACTGCCTTTGCCTTAACCTTCTCCTGGCTCTTGGCATCTCCGTGCTTTCCCTCCCACTCACTCCAACGCTTGAACCAGGCCTTTGCACCCTTCGGCTTCAAGTCCTTACTCCTGGCTACTCGCTCAAAGAGTGCCCTGACTATGCCTTCATCACCCTGTTGTATCTCGAGATCCAAAAGTTGATTCCAGAGATCCAACCTCTTCGGGAACGTTGCCAAGACTCCCTCAAATGTCGTTCTTCCTCGTTCAGGTGAGCCATGCGGTGAGTGAAACTCGAGAGCTGCAAACTTGATCGTGAGACTGAGGTGGTTATGCGATGGTAGCGACTGAATGGCCCTGGGTAAAAGAGCCCATGCTCTATCTGGAGATGACAGCGTATAATGCAGGAAATGCGCATAATTGTACCAGGCATTGGGATATTGCGAAAACTTCTTGATCAGAACTTGGAAGAGCTCATCGGCTTTCTGTTGTAATTGTTAGCAAATTCTGAAACTAGAAAAGGGCTGTAGAAGTTGTAGCTTACGGTATGCTTGCCCGACTGAATGTAGATGCTTGTCAACCGTTCATGGATTTCGAAAGCATCGTTATACTGACAGGCACGTTTGAAGACTTCTTCGGTCGTGTCATCGCTTCCATACGCATTTTCCAGGTTAAGCAGGGCTATCCATACGTTCATCTTCTCCGCTTCTTCGCGCATGTTGATGGTTCGAATGGCTCGCTCTGCAACCTCTCGTGCTTTGGCAAGTTCACTGAGCTTCACCTGGAAAGCCATGTATTCAATCCACAACTGTGAAGAATCCGGTTCGCTCAGCAATAGCCGTTCGAAATCACTTGTCGACTGTGGGCCATTGGCATCAAGCTCTCCAGTACGGTCGACCTTGATAAGTGGCTTGCGGCGTGTCTTCTTTTTCGACGCACTTGCCAACCCCTCTTCATCAGAATCTATACCAATTTGCTGGTCCGCATCATCCAGGGTGGACGCAGTCCAGTTGAATCCTCCCGCTTCGAGTGGGAGACCGCTTGGTTTCTGTGGAGCATCTTCCATATCGGAGTCCGAATCATCTCCTGATAATGCGGCTGATGCGTCAAGCCTCTCCAAGTTGCCGGAATCCTCCTCTTCCGAATTTGCGTCGTCGTCACTACCCAGTTGTACTCCTTCCATGCCATCTTCTATGCCATCATCCATTTCCTCGTCACTTTCGGATTGATCTTTGAAGTATGAAGCTTTTAGACCAAAGCTTACGCGCCTCTTGTCTAATTCAATCTTTAGTACCTTTGCCTTCACAGCATCACCCTCAGAGTAAAGCTTCTTGACATCTGTGACCCGACTTTCAGCCATTTCACTCCTATGGCATAAACCACTAACGTTCATCGAGCCGTCCACAACGATGAACACACCGAAATCCTCAACCTTTCGAATCTTGCCAGTAATAGTCTGGCCAACCTCCAGGTCATTAAGTGATATAGGTGCAACATAATCGTTGTCGACAATAGACGATTTTAGGCTCAACTGGACATGGTTCAAGGCTGGATCGGCGGCTATCACTTTTCCCTTGACAAGCTGATCGACCTGGAAGCTTGACTTCCATTCCTTGATGTAGGCGTCGGAGAGGTCGGATACTCGAGTGTAGGCTGTCACGTTCCCACCAAGGCTGATGAATATGCCATTCTCGGCAACATTCTTGACAAAGCCCCTGACAACATCATTCACCTTCAGCTGCGCAACAGATGAAACTTCCGCATCTTTAACAGGTAGAGAGGAATTGAGAACTCGGGATGGTCTTGTTGTGAGCCTTATGCGTTTGTTGGGGACGTCAACGTCTGTGATACACACGCGAACAATATCGTTTTTCGAATAGATTGTTGGGTTGGCGTCGGAGAAGTCATCAGTAAGATCAGTCAAGTTCACTGGCCCTGAGACTTTATCGCTCAGTTGGACCATGATTTGACGCTCTGTGACCTTAGTGACCCTTGCAGGTACAACCATATCCTTCTTTAAATCTTGGAAACTCAAAGCACTGCTGCTGCCTCTTGCTGATCGGCCGCTTAGGTCCAGGCGGTTATTTGCAACATCAATCCCAGTCACGCTGACTTTTATGGCAGACCCAACTGGAAACTTTGACTCGAGGTTGTTGAGTAAGGATACATCGTCGGAGATGTCAAGAGCGCCGATACGTCCCCGAACGTTGGGGGATATATTAACCCAGAGGCAATCGTCACGCACATTGTTGACAAATGCAATCCAAGATGACCCCACCTTCACTTTATTAAGGGTAAGAGCCTCTGGTGCGCTCTCTGTTGTTTTAGCCAACTTTGCAGACAGTTCGAAGACTGCCGTCTTGCCGGCTGTGTGGGTGATGGGCAAGAACCTATGGTTTTTGGCATCATGGATACCAAGAACTCGAACGGGGATAGTCTGTTTCGCAGAGAATTGCTTCAGTGGATGCTTCCGGTCTTTGATCTCCTCCCAAGATCCAAAAGCTTCAGATACATCGATTCTGCCTTGGATATTGTCGGCCAACTGCACATTAATTTGGGTTTCTTTGACCGAGGCGATCCTAGCCATCGTGACCCTGCCCAACGTAAAGTCTTCCGCAGCAGTTATGCTTTCATCAACTGGGTTAACAGCCTTCTGGGATTCGCCACGGTGTACCAACTCGCCATCGACGGATGGTACCGGGATGTTAATGTCTTTGACAGACAGCAGAAATCGTTTCTCGCTTTGATCAACAGAGAGGACCTTGGCCGTCAATGATTGGAGGCGGCGGAGGCCAAAATCATGCAGAGTCTGAGCCTCATCTTGTAATTTAGACTTTGGCAAAAGCCCAGTAACTCCACCTCCAAATTGGACAAAAACTGCTGTAGGTGTGATGTTCTTCACAAAACCATGCACAATCTTGCTCTCCTTAACATCGGCAAACTCTCGTAACAGAGTTCTCTCGTTCGCTGCTTTAACTAGGCTGGACTTGTTTGTAAGAGTTATGAGTCGGTTCTTTTCGACTTTGTCAATGACAGCCAGGTTTTGGAGCGTCTGTCCCACCCTTATCTTCTTGAAAGCTGACAAGTTTTTGGCCTCCGAGCCATCCGTAAGATGCCCGACAGGGAGTATAGCCCGCAGACCAGAGAGTTCAAGTTCAACCGATATGTCGTCATTGGACTTCTCCGTCACGGTGGCGGAAACTATTTCGCCAATTCGAAGCTTCTTCAGCGCACTTTGTTGTGAGAGCCCAAAGGCTGCCGGATCTTTGCAGGAAACTGTGAGTCTTGCGGCTGCAGGGTCAACATTTAGGACATGAACATTGACGACTTGCCCAACGCGGAAGTGTTGGCTAGGATCCTGTATGTATGACTCGCTCATCTCCGAGACTGGTAGGAAGCCACGAACAGTACCATAAAACTGGACAACTGCTCCGCCAGGTAGAATGCTGATTATAGTCCCCGGGCTTTGCGAGCCAGGTTCAATATCTTCGTATGACTTGAAAACGGGGCTTTCAGAGTTAACCAACGCCTTTTTCAATGTTAGGCGAAACTGGCGCTTGCTCAAGTCCGTCGAAAGGACACGGGCAGTGACACTAAGGCCTTCTTTGAATTTCTTCTCGGGGTGAAGAAATTTGACATCAGCCATATGCATTTCTGGTACAAGGCCGGTGATACCGTCGGCAAGTTTGACAAACAGGCCACCAATACCGGCTTCGTTGATAAGTAGCTTATCCACCTTTCCCTTGACAACCTCGCCAATGGTTAGGTCTTCGATCTGCAAAAATGGCTGTTCAAGGATCCTCTGCTCCAGAGACACGAGATAGATTCCATCCAGTGAGTTATACCCGACAACTCTGCCCCGGTGGGTTGAGTCAACTTTGTAAGGCCCGACTGATTCAGAAAGTGTTTCGACTTTTGAATCTGCAACCCTCGAAATATGCACAAAACCATTCACCCCTTTAACTCCGATGTCAACGAATAAGCCTATTCCTGGTTGAACTTTTTTGACTGTCGCTTCTTCAATGATGCTGGATAATGGGAGGATCTGAAGAGGATCGTGTTTCTGTGCGTTCTTCTGTGCCTGCTGTGTCGAGAGGGACATAACATGATCCAGTAGGGAGATGCCAAGTTTCCTGGGTTCAACATTTGGGAATGTGCAGATAATTCTGCCTTTGACTTTGCTGCCGACCTTGTATTTCTTCTCTAGGTCCTTTCCAGCGTTACCGAGTCCAGAGTGTATTAAGTCGGCTGTCACATCGATGCTGCCCATAACCTTGCCAGCCACACCCCTGGGCGTGATATCTGTGAGGAGAAATTCGACCGCCGTTCCCGGTAAAAAGGCATCGACAGTCGGTGCGTCGCTCAAGTACGTCGGCTTCTTAGAATTGGCGATCTTTTGAAGGTCTGCCGACAACTTGACAATTTTGCCATTGGAACTGAGGCCTGTGATCATGCACAGCATAACTGCACCTTCCTGTATCGTATTCATCTCGATGGCGTACCCGATCTCTTTGGAGGACATGAACCCTCCAATGGCAGATTTCTGCAACCCAATGTCCATAATAATACCATGATCTTCAACACTGACCACTGATGCCATTATCATGCTGTTCGGGGCCAGTTCTTTCGCAGTAATGCCGCTATTGGCTTGCTGAGGCTGAAGAGAGAGCTCAATGCGCCGTTTCCCGACCTCAGCGCCAGATGCATTGCTCTCGTTCGTAGAAACAACGAACGCTCGCAGGTACTGACCAACTGAGAATAGGTCGTTGAGATCAATGTCATCTGCTATACTCGAAGAATCGTCGTCGCTTGCTCCGTCATCTGCTGCCACCAACCTTTCAACCCTTTCCGTCAACTTCCCCGATATCGAGGTTAGGGGGACATAACCAGTTAGGTTGTTTGGAAGTGCTAGAGCTATATCATGAATATTTATTTTCGAGACTTGCCCAAGTACCAATGACCCTGGGACGAGGCGCTGTTCGACATTAGCATAAACCACATTTGCCTGCTCAAGAGAGGTACTAACCTTGTAACTTAGACCCTCGATCCTTATGTCGTCACCTTCGTCCCCCTTCACATTTGCGTCCTTGGTTCCCTTGCTTTTTTGCTTGCGCTTCTTCCCTCCATGGGTAGTAGCCGCTTCTGAATCCCCATCAGCTTTCGCCCTTGATGCGGTCTCATGTTCGAACAGGACATCTCTGGTCGCGTCGATGTTAATCTGTTTGTGCTCCAGAGGTGTTAGGACGCTTGCGCCTCCACGTGGGAAGGCAGCCTCTTCTTCTCTGGCTTTTGCAATTTTGGGAACATGTGCAGTCGGTAGAGTGGTAGTTCCGCTGTTGGGCTTTGCTGTATTAGAGGTTCCAGTGTCCTCCTGTCGCAGTCTCTTTTGCGGTCTGTTATCATTTTCGCCGACCTTCTTTGATCGAACAAATGAATCATTCGTGGGCCCCGTCTTTCTTTTGATCGGCCCCATGATTGTCGTGTGTGGAATTTGCTCCAAGCAAATTTACTTTTCTACTTGCCTTTCCTCGAAACAGGAAGTTAGTAGAAAATAAGAATTATTTATGTTTCTGCCGCTTTTCACCGAGTTCGTTATCTGACTAGCCCCGCGCGCCACACGGACCACTTAATGTGTGCCTTGGTGTTGGCTTATGACGAAGCTCCGAGGCACCAGTCAAACCACCAATGGTACAGCAACTAACGCGCCGTACCTAAGTTAACGGCACTCATGGATGTGCAACCGTTTATGAAGATCCAAGTAGCTTTCCTTTAAATATTAAGCTCCGTGAAATATATATTTACTTATTGCAACCTGCATAGTAATAACGAGTGGAGAAACTACCTCAAGGCCTCATGGCCTCACAGAAACCACGACAGTCAAACTCCGACGATGAAAGTACGCGCGCCAGTCGTCAAGGCGTCCTGAAGGCAACTGCGGCTTCTCAAACCCCGAACGATACAGATGGTACCAAGAATATAAGGCCTGCAACGACAACTACAGGAGAGGTTTGCACCCGTTCCTGGAGTCGGCGATGGGCTACTCACTGACTGAACCAGATCCAACCCCGCAGCTGGTATGGTGGAGGGTCCTGGCCGAGGATAAAATCGGGGATAAAATCGAATCCATCTATACAGGTCGTAAAGGAATCTATTATGGCTGGCAAATCTGGCAACAACTCCCGGCCAGCCGATGTTGCGCTATTCGAGCAAAGAACTCCGGCGGGGCCACAACCCTCCAAAGCCACTGTCTCTCGCCCAGCATCTATGGATCCCGGGAAAAGCAAAGAGACACTTGAGCTCGTCTCCGGAGAACCCTCGATCAAAGATACCACTAGAGGCACTTATGACACTGCGAACGGACCGACAACACATTCCGCGAAGCCTACTGGCGACGAATCGAAATCGACAGATACTGTTGTTGAGCCCGAGTCTGATAATTCAAAGCCTGAATCAGACAACGTTGTGGAACGACCAAAAGAAACTGGGTGGTTAGAGTGGCTGCGGCCCACAAAAGCCGGACATAACGTCCAACATGGATCAGTTGCTGCTGAAGAAGCTGTCCCATCTGTCGATGAACCTCAGCAACCATCCAATAATGTGCCATCTTCAGTCGACAAAACGAAGCCGCAATCTCCATTGGCTTCAACTGTTGCTACTGATCCTCGACAGAACGCAGAAACCGGCCAACATAGGCGAACAGAGCCAAACAGCCGCTGGCCGGGGTTATGGCCTGTATCTAACTCCACTATCACAGTTGCTCGGCCCGAAGAAAATAACAGCGAACAAGAACTCATAAAGCCAGATTTAACTATGGGCAAAGATAACGAACAAAGTAGCAACGCTACAACCACCGGCTCTAGCTGGGCTTTCTGGTCTAGACAGGTTCCAAGCGCAACTTCACAAACAACCAATTCTGATGAGATGGGGGAGATCGCTGTTACTGGAGAACCGTCGCAAGAACATCCAGTGGCGGCTTTGTCCAACGGGCCTAAAACCGCGAAAGCAGGACCAGAGTTACCAGCTAAGACGGCTGCAGTCACGAGTTCCTCTTCTACAAAATCCATCGCTCCGAATCTATTACTCCCTTCTTTCAGAAATACCTACCATCTAGCAGAGAGCCCGTCAATAATACAGCAAATCGCCCGTCTGTTATTTCGTAGCCACCAACCTCCGACGAACCATCTTTTTGTAATCAAGGACCCACCCAAGATCAAGAAAGCAATTGCAATCGGAATACATGGGTTATTTCCAGCCGCTCTCTTGAGGACAGTGATTGGGCAACCGACAGGAACTTCGATTCGATTTGCAAACCATGGGGCCTCTGCTATTGAGAGATGGGCTGTAAAAATGGGGGTCCAGTGTGATATTGAGAAGATTGCTCTTGAAGGTGAAGGGAAGATTGCGGAACGCGTTGACCATCTATGGAAGCTTCTTCTAAATTGGGTCGAACACGTTCGGCAAGCTGACTTCATCCTTGTGTCATGTCACAGCCAAGGGGTTCCTGTTGCGATGATGCTAACTGCAAAGCTCATAAACCTTGGGGTAGTGACCTCGGCGAAGATTGGTGTCTGTGCTATGGGTAAGCTAACACAGGATTTCCCCGTACGATTTGATATTCAGGTAACTAACCAGTCCGGTGCTCTAGCTGGTGTCTCACTTGGGCCATTCACAGATTATAAGTCACGACTATTTAGCGGCAGCGCTGCGGAACTGTTCGACTTCGCAGACCCGGACAGTGACGTTTCTCGGAGCTACCACGAGTCTCTTGGTGTTGCCCTGAAATATGGGGTGCGAGTAACTTATGTCGGCAGCATTGATGATCAGCTTGTTTCTCTAGAGGTATGAGGAATCTAAATACGTTAGTTGGGCTAGGGCTAACAGGACAGTCGGCTGTGTTCTCACCAGTGGATCACCCCTACATCTACCGTTCAGTTTTTGTAGATGGCCGCATCCATGCTCCCGATTTGTACGATCCCACCCTTGTTTTTATGTCACAGCTAATAGTATCTAGCATCACAAATCTGGTAGGTTTCGCTTTGAAATTGCGGAACCTAGGAGTATCAGATCATCAACTCATCAAGGCGCTTTCCGCCCCATTAGCTGGTAGTCTTTATAGTGGCGAAGGGCATTCAAGGCTGTATGACGAAGAGGCCATTTATGAGTGCGTTGCTTCCCATTTGTTGCATGATTAACCTCGCTAATAAACGCTCTAGCTTAAGTGTCCAATTTGCGCTGGAGACGACATCAGTCGGTCAAAATGTTGATCTAAAGGTCCAAAGGAGTGCGGCAACTAGCAGCTCTAATCCCTTCCAGTTACCTTGGAGTATGAGAGGGCTGCTAGAAGAAGATGTTGTTAAAACGGAGCTAGACCAGGAGGCTAAGGAGCTTCTATTGCAGTTTGAGGAGTGGAAGCCCACTACTAAGGTATTGAAGGATGTCAAGTATAGACTTGAGGTTATTAAATCAAAGCTATGACTGGTCGCGTTGCGGATGGTGTCTGGAGTTAAGCATATTACATTCGGAAAATACCCAGGGATTCTGCACAATTAGAGGCGGCATGCTATTTATTTTATTATTTCAAATTAGAGGAATAAATACAATATATTTGATATGCTTCATGTGGATGTCGTCCTAGGGTATGAAGTGGGGCTATAGATGTAGATTAGGATCAATATCAGCAATTTAAATCCATGGTGCTTTTCCTTCAGTTTCACCCGCCAGTAGCTAGCTTAAATATCGTGGCCCCAAGCAATTGAACACCTTTACATAGACTATAGTTGCTGTAACCGCTGTTGTTATGTCCAGCCCCTCCATAATCTTGGCCATAAACTTGGCCGCCACCTCGGTGGCAAACCACAAAGACAGCGGATAAAAGGTTTTCCGACCGGTGCGACCCTTGAAGAAACGCCGAAGCGCATCATGGACAAGGCTGGACCCTCAATTCTGCTTATTCCACAACATCGATATTTTATTGCTTTGATTCTTCTTGTACCAGTCTCTTTGTTGGATATTTATTGTTTTGGAAGATCGCCATCTGCAACGCTCGTTAATCACATGTCTTTTTGGAACAAAAACCCCTCTAGCTCGAAGCAAAAGATTCGAACAGAAACCGTCCCTATCAAAGCATCACCAGGGACCATAAACAGGGCGCCGTCTCGTTTACAAAGTGAAGCGCGCCTAGCGTCGAGTCTGCCCAGGTCGAAATCCTTGGGACAGACAAGCAGAAGTTCGCGAAAGGATAGTTATTCGACGAAACTCAGCCTTCCCGAAAGATCCACCAGTCGCAAACGATCTCCAGTATACCAGAGGATAGAAAGTGACTCAAGCGAAGATGAAGGCCAAGAGTCGCCGCCAGTCAATAAAAGGCAGAGGCTGACGCCAGCGGAGTTGGACGATCCAAACCGAACTCTTCCGTCACGAAAGCAGTTTTCGCAAATAGATTCTACACTGTTAATTCATGCCGCCGATATCGCCTCTCATAAACTTGGTTACCGGGCCGCTTTTGGGGATACAACTTTGGAAGGGGCTCCAGTGTGTCTGCAGTACCCTGGAAGCTCAATAGCTGAAAGGTGGGCTTCATATTTCATACCGGAAACGCCACTGCTGACATCAATACAGGTACGAGCTAGTGTTCAAAAAAGATTCATTCGACCCTGTGGAGGAAATCCTAGGAGTAATAAAGGACTTCACCGACTTCTTCCTTGATGACGGAAAAGCAGAGCCATTCGTGGATCCAGACACTGGTATTATCCGGCGACTTGAACGTGCAAGAAACCTCGGTTCGTTAGAGGGGTTTAAGAGTGCCCTTATCGACTACAACTCTGCAGTAGAGTCATTGCGAAATGGAGAGGATATTGCAACGGTACTCGATAAGAAGCATAGCGTTTCTGAGAGCCTCGTCGTTAGAATTATGGCCCAGACGTATGATCGAGCGGTCTCTCCAAAGGTCGATCTCCTTAGGAAATACGAAAACGGCACCAACGAGATTTACGGGGAGCTTAAATCTAATCTCGTGTACAAAATTCTTGCCGAGACGAAGATAACCTCCAAGCAAGTATTTGTAGATCTCGGTTCGGGCGTTGCGAATGTCGTGCTCCAGGCTGCGTTGCAGGTTGGCTGCGAAAGCTGGGGCTGTGAGATCATGGAAAATGCATGTTCAATAGCCGAAGCTCAGAAGGCAGAATTTGAAGCTCGTTGTCGGCTCTGGGGGCTCCAACCGGGGTTGACAAGGCTTGAACGTGGAGATTTCATGGTGAACGAAGAAATACGGGCAGCTCTCCAAAGAGCAGACGTTGTCCTTGTGAACAATGAAGTATTCACACCAGAGTTAAACGTCAGTCTGGTCAACCTATTCCTTGATCTTAAAGAAGGCTGTAAGATTGTTTCACTGAAGTCTTTCGTGCCGGAAAATCGGAAGATCAGCAACTACAACAACAACGATCCCTCCAATATCTTAGATGTTGCAAAGAAGGCATATTCTACTAAGAGCGTCAGCTGGAAGGATGAAGGAGGAAATTACTACATCTCGACCAAGGACAGCACAAGGTTACAATTGTATGGTGATCGCAGTTGAGTGGACTAGTTTGTGATTTGGCCGAGGCCTTTCATAACTAATGCAACCGATGAGAGGGTTGAGAGGTTTGGTGTCTGAGGAACGTGTTAAGCTGGGAAGTTGCATTTTGAGCGGTATTGACATATCCTTACAGTCATTGCAAAGCGCATCAATACCATTATTCTCTAGAATTTTGAGGCTTCATTCATTGCGTCGGCTTCTTGGCCCATACGAGCCATCCAACGGTCTATTAGGTCTTTGTTCTCCCTTTTCAAGCGAGCCGTCTGCTGTTCAGCCATGTTAAGTTGTAAATCAAGAGACATGTTTTCGTCTTGGACTTGCTGTATATAGTGTAAGTATTCCGACTGAACTGGAACTGGGTGGGGAACGGTACCACCAATAATTGAGCCTTTCCACGTAGCTCTTCGTCTCTGTCTTTGACCTTCAAGATAAGCTGTGCCCTCTCTGCAGATAGATCCCCAATAAGAGTAGAATCTGCCTTGGCTCTAGTTTTAAGCCCCTCCAAAGTTTCTTCTGTGACCTTAAGACGACGCTGTAGTTGTCCCTTTGCTCGGAGCGCTTCTGCCAGATTACTCTTCACTTGTGCTACTCCCTCCTGGTTGCTTAAACCAGGCGCATCGTCTCCCGGCGAGGTAGGTATTGGAGAAGACGAGTTTGCGGATACCTTGGCCTCTAATGCAGCTGTCTGATCAGCAAGCCTGCTGTCTGAGCCACTGTTAGTTTCCCTCCGATAACTTAGGGGACCAGGGCGCCTCACAGGCATCGATGAGATCATAATTTGCTTTCTCCAGCTCGTCCCGTTGCTTTAGGTTTTCTAGGTATTCTTGTCGCCAGGACATCATTCTCGGCATTTGTGGGAGCGTGTGCGGCTCATTTGAGATGTAGCACTGGTTGTTCTATTTGGGGGGCCCCCTTCAGTGGTCACGGTCGTGGGGGGAAGGCTGAGGTATTACTACAGGATCCCAGCCTGGCCGATCGCAGCCTGGTCGCAGGCAAGCAGCCAACTTCGCTTATTGGTTGAAGCTTAGACTGCCCATAATTGGGGGTCATAGGCTCTCCCCACGACATCGGATAGATCCAAGGTACAACACAAGACACCCTTTGACTGTTGCTTCTGTTATTCTTGCTTGGCAACACGTCAAGAGCTGATACCATATATTTACTGTGCCTCACATTGCACACTCGAGCAGGTCACATCGACAACTGATCGAGCCCAACCCAGACTCTTTCATACATCATTACTCGCTCCCATGGCTTCCAGAAAGAAGATCCTCTTGAAGGTATGCGCCTTTGGATCGCCTCCCAGACATATGTGGCAATCTGACAGTGCGGTTGTGCCAGGTTATTATACTTGGTGACAGTGGTGTAGGCAAGACGAGTTTGATGAACCAATATGTGCGTGCCACCCTCTCTGGCAGGGCTCTCATGGGCATACTGCGTCGCAGGCACTCTTACTGATAGACGTTGGGTTAGGTCAACAAGAAGTTCAGTGCGAGCTACAAAGCAACTATTGGCGCCGATTTCTTGACAAAAGAGGTGCTGGTGGACGACCGTTTGGTGACGATGCAGGTACGGCAACCCTGCTACGACGAGGTTTTGCGAACGCGCCTGCTGACGTTTACAGTTATGGGATACTGCTGGCCAAGAGCGCTTCCAATCATTGGGGGTGGCTTTCTATCGTGGAGCTGATTGTTGTGTTCTGGTCTACGACGTAAATAACTCGAAGAGTTTCGACACTCTTGATAGTTGGCGCGACGAGTTCCTGATCCAGGCCTCTCCACGGGACCCGGAAAATTTCCCATTCGTGAGTCCTCTGTGGAACCCGTTGAAGTCTAAACTAATATATGGTCTAGGTTGTCCTTGGAAACAAGATAGATGTGGAAGAGAACAAGCGCATGGTAAGTTAACAGAGAGCGCTATAGGGTCAACGGCGTAACTAACTGTGGATCAAGATCTCATCAAAGCGTGCAATGACCTTCTGCCAGTCGAAGGGTGGCATACCATATTTCGAAACTAGCGCAAAAGAGGCGATAAACGTTGAACAGGCTTTTGAAGGTATGATATATTCCCCGTTGAGACGTTGGCAATCACGCAATAGGCGTATTCTCCCATGGAACTACCATTACACAGCAGTCCAGTCACTGACATGAAGCGCAGTTATCGCTCGCAATGCTCTTGCGCAAGAGGAGTCGGAGGAGTTTAGTGGTGATTTTGGGGATCCGATCAACATCCACATGGAGAATGATAGAGACGGATGTGCTTGTTAGGTGCTATAGATATTGGGTAATTGCAGAGTCCGCTACCAAGGCATTTCCAGTTGTCTGGTAGAGTGCGTGTGGGTTCAAACACAGCTGGTATATTGGCCCTCCAGCGCCGTTTGCAGCTGGAATCAATTTTGCGAGGAGCGCAGCCATGTATATAGAATCACTGGCTGAACGGCGCAGATGGCGTTTCATTTCTTCATATCATTTCCAGGGTCTTTCACAAGCAATGATCAAATCGTCCTTCCCGCCTTCGGAGACAGCATACTCCAGTATCTTATATTCCGGTGCCTGGCAAAGTCTAATCCAGAGGATACTTGCTATATTGTTGTTTGTCTCTACCTTCATAAGCATTGTGATAAAACCCTATCGACGGGGGGCGGTAGTTTAGTTCCAATATTCCATGTCCCTTGGAAATCTGAAACCCATGGGTGCGAGTAGGCGGGTAGACAAAAGTATAAGGGTGTCGAGGTGAGGAGGTCAAAGTACGCACCTTGAAGGGTAGGTCGCCATGGTCAATGCACAGATAAGACAAGAGTACCCTAGCCGAGTGATGTCGTCTTCACAACACCAATACAGATTGCGAACACGACTTTGTCGCACAAACTATCATGTCTCCGCCCACTGTCTCGTCGATCTAATCAACAGCCTAGTTGCGTGAATAAGGACACGTCGAACCGTACATACAGGCATCTCTCGAAAAAGAATTAATCGGCTGCGCCCTCGTTTCCCTTCGAGGAGGAGCAATATCCCACCAAACTAAGGCAGACATCGAACTCATTCCATGGATCGAACAACCTGGCTCGCCTTGATGAGAGTGAGGCCCTGAGTTATCCGAGTCTTCACAGTACCCCGCAAATCCACAGCAAGTCCATCATGGCTTCGCGAGACCAGCCTGCATCGTTGACAAGCGTGTCAGATACATATGAAGTTGAACGCCTCAGCGATAGGGCGTCAGAGGAACATCTCGAGCGCTCCGTGACCGAGGAATCAAGCCCGAAGGTTTCAGGTTTCAGAGCTAGTACAGGACTACAGAACGTGGCTCGCCGAACACTGGGCATTATCCTACTTCTTATAACCGTTATACTGTGGACGGTCTCAAATTTCCTCGCGAGTGTGAGTGTTTCAGCTAGGCTTCAAAGACTGTGCCGACTAATTGCCTTTAGTACATCTTCGCGGATAACACATATTCAAAGCCATACTTTGTCACATACTTCAACACGTCGTTTTTTGCCATTTCGTTGATCCCGATTCTATCGAGGGTAGCCCACCAACAGGGATTCCGTGAAATAAAAACGTCGTCGGTCTCATTCTTCCGTCACTTTCGTAGAGGCAAATACCGCAACGAACAGCATATAGACGAAGACGGTGGGCACCTAGATCTTGATGGGCACTCTGCAGCGCCATTATTGCAAGGCGATGCTTTGGGAACTTCCAGCACCGGCGGATCGGTTCTAGATGCAGGAGAGATGCAGAATGCCGTCCTCACTATAAGTGAGACCGCTGTGTTAAGCTTGGAATTCTGCTTTCTCTGGTTTCTCGCAAACTATTTCGTTGCAGCTTGCCTTGAATATACGAGCGTTGCAAGCTCAACTATTCTCACATCTACAAGCAGCATATGGACGCTAATATTCGGTGCACTACTCAAGGTTGAAAAGTTTACCATCAAGAAGCTTGTTGGTGTCCTTGCGTGTCTGACTGGTATCATAATGATATCCATGGTAGACTTGTCTGGGGGGAATGATGACAACCGTGGCAAGTTTCCACACAAGTCCCAGAGAGAGATCGCTATAGGTAAGAACATCTGGATTGCCTATCCCTAACCCTTGCAGTAGCATAATCCTAATATTGCAAGTAGGAGATATCCTTGCCTTTGGCTCAGCTGTGTTGTACGGAGCGTACTCTGTGGTTATGAAGAAACGAGTCCAGAACGAGGACCGCGTGAATATGCCGCTCTTCTTTGGGTTGGTTGGCCTATTCAACGTAATTTTACTCTGGCCAGGATTTGTTATCCTGCATTTTACTGGGGTTGAGACCTTCGAACTTCCCCCGACAGGCAAGATTTGGACAATTATTGTGGTAATTATCCCCAGACATCCATGCCGTGATATGTTCTAGAATGCGAGCAACGGCAATATATGAGATCTGAGCTGACAGAAACAGTTAAATACAGTGTCGTCTTTTGTTAGCGACTACTCATGGGCGTATGCGATGCTCCTTACGACTCCACTGGTGGTCACCGTGGGACTGTCGTTGACCATCCCCCTATCTTTGGTTGGGCAGATGATCATTAGTTCGCAGTATTCAAGCGGGTTATATTGGGTGGGAGCATTCGTCATGGTTCTTTCGTTCCTTTTCATCAATCATGAGAGCCACGAAAAAGGCGAAGAGGACGAGACAGAATAGCAGGAGAAATACCCCAGACATTGAGATTTAGAGCATTTGAGAGTATATGATATGGCGCCAGGAGCTGGACCCCGAGGGGCGTCAACAGAAGTGGTCAAGCTTCCGAATTGCATTTGATGGGATACTTTCTAGTTACAGAATTATAGAGCAATGAAGGTTTATGGAGGCAAAGTATGTAAGTACATTAGGGGCATGACATGGAGACCAGCCACATGCTAGTCATGGTATTCAATACGAGATGAGGGTTTTAAACCTATATGAACAAATAATCTTTCGTGATCAAGAACTCCCGAGGCATAATGAAGGCGGAAAGCTGCCTAGATATTCGTATAACTATATGCTGGCATGAAATTTATAGCCCCGTGACTCCCCCGGTACAAAACAATGTAACCATTACACCAACCCATAGGATGTTGTTCTCTGCTTGGGTCTAATTTACTTCCTCTTTGCTGCTCGCTTCAACCCACGAGTATCCTTCTTCATCCTGGCATCCACCATCTTGTAACGACCCTTCACACCTCTTGGTCGTCCAGCAATACCTCCTCTGCCGCCACCAGCAACAACAACCTTAACCTGGGTCTTTGGCTTCTTCTTTGCCGCATTGCTCATGAGCTTGGTGATGCTCGAAGCCTTCTCCTTCTCGGTCATACCTTCCTCGTCGTTGAGCAAGGCGGACTTCTTGCGCAGCTTCTCTAGACGTTGTGCTGCGTGGAACTTCTTACGGTCCTTTGCTTCTCGGACCTTCTTGATAGGTCGAGCATTCATAGCCCTCAGCTTCTCCTTGATAGCAGCAGCTCCTGCGGCTGAGATAGGGCGATGCGGCCTGTCATGCTTTCCTTCATCATCCAAGAACCACTCTGGCAGACCATCGCGATCTTTGAAAGCATACTTGTTGAAACCCTCGTCAATAAGATCGTAGCTTGACTTCTGTCCCGAGGCGATTTGTTGGGCAAGCGTCATGGCTTCCGCAGTAATAATGTCAATATCTAATGAAGTTAGCTTGGTGGAATTTTGATTCCGGGCTGGGAAATTACCAAGTTTGCCATTCTTAAGCGGCTGCCCCTGGTCTTGCCATTGTGCGTCTCTGCTATCCCGCTTAACCACTTCGAATCCGTCTTCACTATCCGAGTCTGACTCTTCGAAGCCGTTTGATGTTGGGACGCTTGGTTTGGATTTTGGCGCTTTCTTGACTTCAGCTCGTTTGCTTTCAGCGAGGTCTTCCAAGTCGTCCAAACCAGCAGCTAGCTCTTGCTCGTCTTCCTCGTCCTCGGCTTCTGATTCTTCCTCAACAACGCCACCGATATCTTTGAAAATATCTTGATCGAAAAATTGAGCCGCCCGTTTTGAAAGTCCATTGGGTTTCTGCTGCTCGTTGTCGAGATCCGTAATTAGAGATTTGGTCACAGGTGCTCCTTCATCATCGGAGGATTCGTCACTGCTGTCGTGTTCTAACTTCTCGTCATCGCTGGCGTTATCGGCAGAGAATCCCTCCCAATCTCCGTCTTCATATTCTTTCCTGTTCTTCTTCGCTCTGAATTTTGCGTCCGATTCCGATTTGCGATCTTGGTATTGGTCGTACATCGAATCTAGGTATCGATCCAGCTGATCTTGCTCCACATCACTCTCCTCCTCCTCTTCTAGCAGGAAAACACCATTTTCACCCCCTTGACGCGCCTCCGCCTCCGTTAGAATAGCCATTTTCCCTTTTGAAATCTTGTCCACGGCGCCAGCCTTATCAATTGATCTCAGCGCAAACATCGAGCCCTCTCCATTCGGGCCAGCCTGTTCAAGACCAATCTCAGTTGGTGCTGTCATGTGCAGCTGCATTCTAATGATTTCCTTTTGCTTCTTCTCATTCTCACGTCGACGCTCCCTCTTTTTCCTCGCCGTCTCCTTTTCACTTAACTGTTGGAGATCCTCTTGTATGCGTAGCTCCTCGTCCATAGGCTCTACCTCAGCAACCTCCTCGCTAGCTGCTTCCGCTGCGATGCTCTTCTTCGTAGCAAATCCAAACTTCTCCCGAACCTTGAGACGCCACTTAAGCAGGTTTCGGAATTCTTTTCGGCCCAAAACGCGGAGATCCTTGCAACAATCTCTAATCTCCTCGGTCGTCTCTGGCATCTTGTCCAGAGCTGCAAGAGCAACGTCGCCATTTGGTGGTTGGTCGAAACTGAATCTGTTGAGGCTTCCGAGCATAGCAATCGGATCGGTAGTTTGGATAAATTCACTGGCGGGAACCTCCTTGAACTGAGTGTAGTTACCCTCCTCGTAACCGTCACGCTTCCTCTTCTTGATCTCCGGGTTAAAAACCTTAGCTTCGTTATTTGGCGTAGGATCTGCTAGCTCTGCAAAGACGAACTTTGGGTCCAGGAATTTAGGATCGATCCGTTTTGGGGCCTTGAAACCTTGACACACAACGAAGATTTCGGCGGAAACATTACGGGACGATGGCGGCTTGGTAGCTTCGACTTTCGTGAACAGCTGGTTGAAAACCCACAGTAAACTGTTGTAGTCCTTGGATCTGAAAACCTTCGTAACAAATGTTCCTCCTTCGACAAGGAATTCCGTAGCAAGTTTCATGGATTGAAGGGCCAATTCTGCCTGGTTGAAAGAATCCTGTACCCAAGCAGTACCAACGTTGGGCGCACCATCGTGCAAAACTGTGTCTGCTTTCCAGGTCTTGAAATGGGATCGAATTGTCGCGCGACATTTATCAGTGGTAATATCGCCTTGGAATGTAATGACTCGAGGAATGGCTTTGATGGGCGACAGATCAACTCCAACGATGAGACTGTTCACCGGCATACACTCTGCTGCTACTTGAGACCAAGACTGTAAACCATTAGCAAAATGCGTAGATCAAGGTAGGATGCAAGGACGTACTCCAGGCGCGGCGCAAAGATCCAACAAAACTTTACTCTTTTCAAGGAAGCCATACTTCTTATTGAGCTGGATGAGCTTGAAAGCGGCACGGGCACGGTATCCTGAAGATATTTGATTAGCAAAATGGCCAAGTAATGTTTTGCAGCAGCAGTAAAAATATTGCCGCCTCAAAACTCGTATAATTCGACAATGGTATTACCTTTCTCCTGCGATGATAATTAGCTCTGTAAACATGTGGCAGCGAGGGAAGGAAGATCTTACTTTTGCCAATTTGTACCATTTATCCAAACGGCCTTTGCCGTGCTTCTTCTGAATACCCATGGCGGCGTATTCAACCTGTTACCGTCGGGTGAGAGGTACAGTTGAGACTCGTCGGGGGAGTAGTTTGGTGGGATATCACAACCTCAAAATAAAAGGTACATGGGCAAATGAAGAAAAAACGAAATGTCCAACGTCTTCGGAGCGGATTAATGTGTAACCGATATCCTTTTTCCATGCGGGATGTGGGGAAGATAAGATAAGATAAGATAACTTTACGCGTAAAGCTGTTCGCGTCAAGAAGCTTCGACGCGTAGCACTTAGCAATTAGGGGACCCTGCGCGTCTTGGATTCATGTTTGAAATCGCCTCCAATCACCTCCACCAGCCCGACCTCTCCTTGTCCTCGACATATCGAAGAATAATATATTACCCATCTCGAATAAACAAAGGAAACTTTGTCTACAACATAAAAACGAAAGAAGCAGACTCTGCACAATGGCGCCTCAAGGGGAGAGCAGCTCGAAAGAGAAACGACTGACATCAATAACGCCTCGAAAGTTTACTCGATTCTTTACTCCAAGGTCCCATGGCCCCAGTGCAGCAGGATCATCGAGGAGGATTCTCTTTGATGTAACCGCACCGGCGAACAATCGAAGGGGCGTACAGTCAAGTCCCATCCGACCACTCAACACGATTGCGGACCAAGAAAATAGCCCAATTTCATTTACTCGAGATATGAAGAGGCGGAAACTTCTACATACTCCTGAACCGACCTTGTCAGAGAAAAACTCTCCATGTGACGACCCATTTAGCAGCCATGTGGGGGATATGACACCAGAATATGGCTATTTTTCTAGTTTTGCCGCTGAGGGCTTTGAAAGATCCACCTGCGAACTATCCACACATCTAGACTACGACGACGATGCTCCCAGGTGTACAATTAGTGAGGAGCCAAGTATAGGGCGCTATGCACTGCCAATCCGAAGGGCAGCTTCTCGGGGACTGGCAGGCAACTTACTCCGCTCACGGCATGGTTCAATACCTTCGCGTCGGCATGACACTAGTTCTCCTATTTCTGGTATGCAATCCAACCTTCTACGCGGGTGCAAGCTAATTTTGAGTTCAGACTGGCAAGATGAAACTGCGTCGTTCTATTCTCGCCCTGCAGACACACATTTCTGCAGTAGTATAGAGGGGCCCGACCGCTGCATACCTTTTTGTGTAGCAAGCTGCAACAGTAAGTCCCCCTTGATTATCGACGTTTCGCCTGCTAATCCTCTTGACTAGCAAACTCCCTAATGGCTGTCGGCGACGAGGAAGGCCGCATACGGATACTGGAATCTGCAAAGGAGAGCCAACCTGCTTTCAAAGACATCTACGTTTCCTTTCGGCCGCATTCCAATGCCATCATCGACATGTGTTTCTCCCAAGATGATTCCCTCATCGCAACCGCCTCCGGCGACCAAACCTCCAGAGTAATCGATATGGCCACCCAAACAACAATATCAGTCCTCAGCAACCACACCGCCTCCCTCAAACAAGTCCGCTTCCAACCCGGCGCAGCCAACAATAGCGTCCTCGCAACATCCAGCCGAGACGGCAGTGTCCAGATCTGGGACCTCCGATGCAAAGGCATGGAAGGCCCCGTTCAAAGCATCCAAATCCCCCTCGACCCCCTCGACAACCCCCTCCAACCCGCCCCTCCCTCCAGATTAAACTACGGCGCCGCAATAAACGGCATCTACCAAGCCCACCGCTCCGCCGCCCCTTCCCGCTCCCTGCCCCCTCTCACCTCCACCGACGGCCCAACCCGCGGCGAGATCCCAGGGCGCGCAGGCGACGTCTCCATCACAGCACTCACCTTCCTCCCAGCAGGGCACGAGCACCTTCTTCTCACGGCCTCCGAATCTAATGCTACCGTCAAGCTCTGGGACATCCGCTCACTCCAGCGCCCTCGCCGCCCTCCTACTGCCATATCCTCCACGGCTCTCCCGCGGAGCCACAGCCAGTGGCGGCACTTCGGGGTCAGCTCGCTGAACATCAGCGGCGATGGGGGTAGGCTCTACTCCTTATGCAAGGATAACACCGTGTACGCATACTCGATGGCACATCTCATTCTCGGGCGCGCACCGGATCTAGCATCGAGGAATCCGCCGCGCAGACATGCGTTAGCGAGGGAGCAGGAGGGGTTGGGTCCGCTGTATGGGTTTAGGCATAAGAAACTGCATGTTACGTCTTTCTATGTCAAGTCAGCCCTTCGCGAGGCGAGGGAGGGGAAGGCGGAGATGCTGGCGGTGGGGAGTAGTGATGGGTGTACCATCTTGTTTCCTACTGATGAGCGGTATCATCGTGGTGCGGGTGCTGCTCCCAGTTCGGCGGCGTTGGATATCGAGTCCGATGATGGGCAACCGCAACTCCCGCCTCTGCGAACACATAGTGATGCCCCTAGAGTCGCTGATGATATCCCTATCTACACCAACGGAACCCCCCTTGTGCGCGGACATGATAGGGAGGTAGGCGCGCTGACGTGGACGCGGGGGGGTGAGCTGGTCACTGTTGGGGATGATTTCTTGGTGAGGTGCTGGAGGGAGGGGGAGGGGGCGAGGGATTTGAGGATGGGTGGTGAGGAGGGAGGGAGAAGATGGGGGGCGGGATGGGCAGAGGTGGAGGGGGGGTATGATGATGATGAGGAGTAAGAGTAGGATTGGATTTATAATGGTTACTGTGGTGGTGGTGGTGGTGAAGCTTAATTAATAGATAAATAGATACCCCTTTCATGCTCATTCTTCTTTGTGGTGGGAGTGGGATAGGGGTGATTGGTGATTGGTGATTCCAGTTTACAAAAGTGATAACACCCCTTCCCACCAACCGCCCTTACACAACGCCGAGCCAGCTATTTAAGAAAATGAAGCAAGACTAGACGTATACCCCCCCATCCCAGAAACCACATACGAGTAGTTCGCAAACCACCTATTCAACCCACCATATAACCCTCTCCAGCCCCTCATCCCCAAACAGCACGCCCAAACCCAACACCAACAGATCTCCTATTTTCCAACGCTCTCCGTGCTACCAACTAACCCCCCACCTGTCTCCCCTCCCCGTTTACCCCTTACAGCCCTCCCTCACACCACCTCATGCACTCACCCGTACACCCGCCATCCACCCTCCCGCCCAGCCATCCGCGCCGTCTCGTCCGCCCCGACGCGGCCCAAAGACGGGCCTATCCCCCCCCGTCAAACAAAAAGGATAAAAAATAGTCTCACTGTTATACGGGACTTATGCATCTACGGTCGTTATCGTTGGGATGGATGGCCTTTCCATGATTGTTTGCCCCCCGCGGTAGAGGTGGCGGCGGCGAGGAGGGTGGCGCGGGGGATTTGGGATTGGGATTGTGATGGGTTAGTGTGGGATATGGGATTAGGATAAGCTGGGCTATGGGAATTCCAATTCCGTCTCTCCCCCTCCCCTCTCTACTGCCGACAATTGCAGTTTGCATGGTATACCGTATACCACCGCCAGACCCCCCGGGCCAGACCTGCCTATGTATCCTACCGGGGACAGCGGGGTGTGGGGTCGTCGGCAGGCATGGGGATGCAATAGTACCCCGAGCGGTGAACAAAACAGCTTCCCCCACATATACCTACCGCCGGACCGCCCACCGCCGCCCCGTCCCGTTCTCTCCCATTCACCTGTCCAGAACCCCCCCCCCCCCAAATCCTCTCACCCATCACAGTAAGAAAAAAAACAGTTTATTTCATTCGCCACCAAAAAGGGGGAGGTGTGTACACAAAAACTCAAATCCTTCCGAGACATTCCCAAATCAATTGACCCCCAAACAAGCTGAACCCTCACATCACCTCACCTCGGCTTGGTGTAAAACAAAAAAGACACACGGGACGGGGATGATGCATGGGGATGCACGCCCATCCCGTTTTGCGTGCCACAGCAGGAAGGACAGGTATATCGTATCTACGGTTAGCTGCATGCTACTTCCTAGCCGCATGATGGATCGGTCGGGGGGAGGTGAGGAAGGGAGTTGCACAAAAAACTGTGATTGTGAGGTGAGGTGATGTGAGGTGAGGTGAGGTGATGGCCTAGGTCCGAAAATACATAATTGACAGATATTACACTACATACATATATGGTGCATACAATACAAGGTGCCTGCATGGTGCATACACACGTACATGCAGACTAAAGCACAAGCAAGGGTTCTCACATTCTCGCCCAAGCTCACAGCTCACCGCCCCCATTTCAACTTTTTAAACAACCAAGACATAACAGCACAACATCACATTTTCATCTGCATATAGTCAGGTGTGAAGAGGGAAAAACCGCATGCTTGAGATTCCAAAAACTATCAAATGCTAAAGGCACAAAATGATCCACTATCTTTACACTAGACATCCCCTCGAATCCCTGACCGACAGCGCATCGCAGCATAGCAAGCCCATCCTATCCATGCCAGGTACCAAACAAACGCAGTAACAACGCAGAAACTAACGCACAGCAAAAAAGCTTGTTAGGAAAAGGATAATATACGAACAAGGTATCTGAAAAAGCAAAATCGACAACAAAATCGACCAAGAGGAGATAATAGAGAGACGAAAAACAAGAGGCCATTAATTATAGTGTCCAGCCCCCACCCCCACCCCCAAACGCAAAATCCAGAAACCAGTAGGGCATAAAAACGAACATAGCTGGAACCAGCCAAATATGTGTGAGATATTAATAGCCGGAAAGAGGTGTGGTTGGCGTATTTCGAGAAAGTGTGATTTCCCCCATATAATTTCCCACCCCCAAAAGCCTGTCCTTTGTATAGCCCAAAAAAACCCCAGGGAAAAAAGCAAAAGGAAAATGCCGGAAAACGCGCAAGATATATGACCGCTGTATGCAAGAACGACAAAGGAAAAAGAGATTTCAACGGGCTTTCCCATTCCAAGCCAGCCAGGCACACCCCAGGACCGTTTGTTTGATCCCCAGAATAACCCAGACCCCGCTCCATTGCCCCACCCGAAATTTGTGAAAAGCACTTCTAGTTCCAACAGAGAGATAGATGATAGGAAATGATAAGGAAAATAGGAAATCAGTAGATGCTGTCGTCGTTGTCCTCGGCGCCCTGAGAGATCATTGAGGGGGTCGAAACGTTGGATGAAGCCTCAATGTCATCTTCGTACCCGACGAGGGCCTGTGAATGTAATTGAAACGACTCTCCCATGAGACGAGAGATACTAGTAGAATGTTAGTAACGGCACTTTAATATAGATTGCAGGAATAAAACTTACCCCCAAACGACAACCTCATCAAGCATACCACCCCAAATACGAGCAACAGCCGAGCTGAGCTTTGAGTCGTAGACATCCAATGAGTCGTCGTCAAAAAGGTTGCGGACCTTGTTGTACATCGCCAGTTCCTCCTCGGTCGCGGGCTCCTCGTCATGTTCCAGACGATACAGCCAGAGACTGAGGATGACCATCAGATCTAGACCGCAAAGCGGATGCTCGATGCTCCAGTTGGTGGCCGAGGTTCGGGCGACCCAGCGGATACCCTGAAGCGCAGCAATCTCGAGGCAGTTGAAGCACTCCTGGATGACCTTGATCATCTCGCTAGAGCGCTTCACCTTGCTTCGGGCGTTGGACATTGCGGCTGCAACTTCGTACGAATCGTGGTATCTAAGAGCTTCCTGTATCGACTTGAGATCGACCTCGAGGCGGGCGCGGGCGTTGCGGAACATGGCAAGGGCGTTGAAGATTAGCGGGTGTCCCTTGTGCGGCGCGCTCAGCGAAACCGTAACGTGCTCCGAGTCGCAGAGTGGCAGAGATTTCTCCCAGGTCTCCAGAGCGAGGCGAAGCTTGTACTCGGTGACGACGTCTTGAAGGGCCTCGGGGCTGCGCTTGTGGTACCAGACCTCCAGGAAGAGGGCGTTGATCATCACTCTAGTAGCGAAAGCGCTGTAGCGTAATGATTCTCCCTGGAAGAGGTTGTCGTGCGCCTCCATGAACGAAGGGACATGCGATTCCATAAGGTGCTCGTGCCACGAGGCATCGTCGTTGACATTGAGATTCCACAGAGACTCTGTTGACGGCAGTTGAAGGTCCTCGAACTCGTTGAAGCCAATGGCTGGCGTGTGGTTGTAAGTCAGCGTGAGAAGACCGAAAAAGATGTAGACCGCATAGTACGTGCGCCTGCAGCCCTCATCCTCAACCCATTCAGCTCTTGAAGGTTGAGCGCCTTCACGGGCCTCTGTGCGCAGCTTCAGTTCGTAGCGGTTTCCGGCAACCATGTTGGCGAGCAGACTCTTGATCGAACAAGCCCACTCCAGTCCCTTCGCATCACCGCTCCAGCTGGTAAACACCATATTTAGCAAAGTGCTCTGCATCGTCCACAGAGGGCACTTTCTTGAGCTGAAGTTCTCCTTGTTCTGGAGGAACTGGTTGACAAGCAGCTTCGCGCCGATGTGCAGCATGTAAGCCTGCTCTTGGTCAAACGCGTACAGCGCACCGATGGACAGGACGGCCAAGAGGAGCGGGGGCGAGACTTTGGTTGGGCGGAAGGATGCTGGGTGCAGGAACGGCAGGTGGTGGTGGAAGAGGGTGAAGTACGTCGACAGATACCTATTCAGCGAGGTCAGGTTGGGCAGACGGAAGGTCTCCACGAGGGCGCGTTCGCTATCGGCATTGCGGATGTTGTCGAGGATCGCGGTGCGCTGCTCTTCGTCCAGCACTTGAGGGGCCTTTGGAGGCTGCAGTTGGCCGGCTGGTCGGGGAGAATCGTGAGGCGATGCCTGTCTGGGAGTCGCGGAGGCGGTCGGTGGAAGCGAGTCGATCATGGCCTGCAGCGCCGGTACCAGTCCATTGCATGCGGACGCCGAGTGACTGTGCATCTGACCGAGACGGCTGGGCTGGGCAGTACTGGTGCTGGTGAACGACCGTTGTGAATCTTGAGAGCCGGAGACGCTGGATGAGATCGAGTGCGCGCCACGGTCTGCTCCAGACTGTGGCATAAACGCATCCCACTGCACTTGAGGCAGGGAGATCGCACCGGAAGGATAGGTGACTGACGGCTCCATGAGGGAAGAACCATTTCCGGCGAAGGCCATTCCAGGTCCTTGTTCGAAGGGTCCAACACCCGCATTTCGCATCGCCACCGTCGCCTTGTGGTGCAAATCGGTCATCAGCATCGCCGCCGTCTCGAGGTCCACCATGCCATCGCTGCTTGCCTCGATCTGCTCAAGGGCGGAGGTGTCGATAGCAATAGTCGACTTCGTCGGTGCCTTTCTACGCTTCACGTCGCTGTGGAGGGGGATCCCACCGTCCTTGGCATGGACCGTTCGGTCATGTCGGAGCAGTAAATCTCTACGGACAAATGTACTCCTGCACTTCAGGCATTTGAACGGGCGTTCTTTGGTGTCTGGGATAAAAAATCAGTTAGCTTTGCATGATAGAAAGTAGGTGAGAGGCGGGTGAGAGAGTAGTCGCGGGGGGAGGTGGCATGTGGGGGGGGTGTTGTGGGTTTGGTAAGCGGTGAGAGGGGGGAAGGGGGAGGGGGGGTAGGGGGAGGAGGGAGGAAAACTAACGAGATCTTTCGTGCCTGCTGCGGTGTTCGCTCCTGCTGAAGGCGCGATTGCAGAACTGGCATTTGTACTTCTTTTCTGGGACGAGCGAGGACTTCCGGGCCGCGGCAGGGGAAGCCGCGATGGGATTCAGAGCGGTGGCAGGCATGACTGTGATGGTATGCTACCCTTCAAGACGATGGTTGAATATCGTCTCGGAACGCGAGCTGAGGCGTGTCGTTTAAAGTGTGAAGGATTTCTGTTGGTGTATGTTTGTCATTCCTTTATTGTTTTTAATCATCGATTTCTGTGATGGATATGGGTGTATTCCTATATGGAGGGGTCTCTGTCGCGAGAGATTCGAGGATTTGTGTGGGCGACGGGGTTTCGTTGTGGTTGTTCGAGTGTGAGTGTTGAAGGGGGTATCACGGTCGCGTGAGCGTGAGAGTATTGTCTGTTGAAGAGGGTATAATAAATTGATGGAGTAGATAGGCAAAGTAACAAAGTGCCGTTAAGATGATGATAATGAGGGGTGGAGGAGAGGATGAATGATGATGATGATGTTTTTGTGTAGATGAGGGGGAGGGAGGGAGGGGGGGAAGTAGAAGAATGAAGTAGGAGAAGAAGGAGGGGGAGAGAAGGGAAGGAAAGTTTGGTAAGGGGAGGTGGGAGGTGCGAGGGAGCGGAGGTGGATTTTAGTTCGTTGGCCTGGAGTGGACTTTGGGGGGGGGGGGTTGGATGTGTGTGGTTGGCGGGTTAGTGGGTGTGGGTTGGGGAGATGGGAGATGGACGGGAAAGTGGGTGTGGTGGGTGAGAAGGGTGAGAAGGTACAATCTAGAGATGGGTACGTACGTGGGGAGGTACGTGGTGAGGCGAGGCGAGGTACATGGGGTTGGAGGTAGGGGACAGTATATTTGGGTGGTATTAGAGTAGTGTTAGAGAGGTACCTTTTTAGATTCGGGAGTAGTAGTGGCAGTAGTTGATCATATTGATCTTGTGCACACAACACAACACAACACAACACAGCACAAGGGCACACGGCGAAAGTACACAGAGTGTATAATATGTATAATTCAGGAAGAGGAGGAGGGGAGGAGGAGGCAACAGGAGACAACACAGAGGCAGTACACGTAGATTATAGAGTAGAGTAGAGTAGCCGAGGAGTAGAGTAGAGTAGTAGAGGAGAAGAGTAGAGTAGAGTAGAGTAGAGTAGAGTAGAGTAGAGTTTAGTAGTAGAGAGTAGAGAGAGTGAGTAGGAGAGTGGGAGAGTATAGTACTAGAGTAGGAGAGCACAGTAGCAGAGCAGCAGACTAGTAGAGCACAGTATATATAGTAGAACAGACGAGTACCTCCCTCATTCACGCAAATACAGAAATACACACATTACAACAGGGCGAGAAAATGAGTGGAGGAGGGAGGGGAGGAGGAGGGAGAGTGGAGGGGGATGGATTCACCCGCTATAATAGAGTACATAATTCACTAGTAGTCGGTAATAGTAGTAGTATCAGTATCACACGGCGACGGGGAGGATGTTGTCAGGGATGCGAGATGGAGATGGAGATGGGATGCGATGCGATGGCTGGTGGTAGTGGTGGTACTTTTCTCCGTAGTACTCTCTGTAACCCCCCTCTCTGCTCTCCCCTCTACTCTCCCCCCTCCACTACTTCTACCCCCTCTACTACTTGTTCCCCCTCTACTCCCTACTCCCACTACTACTCCATCCCAAGTACCCAGCGGTGAAGTACAAATATACAAATACCGTACAATCCCGTATGCATGTATGTATGTACCTTGCAAAGCGTGCATCTCTGCATCTCTGCATCTCTGCATCTCCTCTCTCCCTGCTGGCGGTATGGCCGGGGGATCCGTAGTACCGTGTGGCCGGGTAGTAGTAGTTAGTAGTAGTCGACGATGCACTCTAGTAGTAGTAAGGAAGCAGGAAAGAAAGAGGGGCGGATACAAGGGAGGGGTAGGGGGGTAAGGGGGGGGGGGTAGAAAGAGTACTTTGTTAACCATACGCGAGTATATGGTCTACCGTAGTAGTCAAAATAGTCAAAATAGTCAAAATAGCAAGAGTAACGTGAGCAAAAGAGAGGGAAAAAGTGAGGCAGAGTGGAGAGTGGAGGGGGAAGGGAAGACCAGCTAACCACACTATCCCCCCTTAGGAGAGGTGGGCGAAGGGTGGGGCGGACAGGGCAAGATGTATTTTAGTGCATCTGCACATCTGGACTGGGAAAGTGGGGAGGTGGTGGTGGGAGGGGAGGGGGAGGGGGAAGGGGGAAGCCGAAATGGAAGACCCGCAATTTGAGGGCAAGGCAAGGGAAGGCAAGCAGCGTGAGCAGGCAAGCAAGAAGCAAGTAGCTTACCGTAGAGAGAGTACCGTGTAGTGGGCAGGGTACTTGCTGGGTGTGTGGTATTTGTGAAGGTGAGCTTGTACTGTTTCTCTAACATTAACATACGAAGCATATCATACGATGCCACAGACTACTACTGACTGAGCGACCGGGGATTACGGTGTGCCCGGATGACCCTCATCTCTCTCCATCCATCATCCATCACCCATCATCCATCATATCCCACCAGCATAGTGAAATCTAGCTATCCTACTACTACCACTAGAGTACGGGTAACTTTCGGGAAAGGGAATGTGACGCCCGTGATGTCCGTGATCCCCGTGACTGATTGCTTACTCCGTCTGTCTCTACTATTGCTATTAGTACTAATCTACTACTACTAAATACTATTACAACACCATGTCTCTCCGTCATTTGTTTGTGTCTCTCTGTTCTGTTTGTAACTATCCCACTATACCCAACGGTAATCGTGCATCCCTCTCTCCCATCGCACTGCTTACACGCATACACAAGCACACGCGTCTTAAGGAAAGGTGTCCTCGTCGCGTCTGCTGCCGTTGGTGTACGAGCACAGTGCATACATACATCCAGCTCAGTCATCTTAATCCTCCCCTCAATCCTCATCATCCCGTACCCAAGTACAGTACACACACACTCCCACTCTCACTCACAACTCACTATAACATGCACGCACAGAGTCAAGTAGGGCGAGCAGGGTGGGGTTTGTTCTGGTGTCTGACCACAACCGCCGTACCGTCCGCCGCCCAGCACTGTGCCACAGCACTATAACCCCCTCCGCCCCTCCCCTCTCCGGCACGCTACGGTATCCTCTTCGGCGCATTTATTCCCCCCTCAGGTCAGCCAGCCCACTACGGGCATCTGGGTGTCTCACATCACTTAACATCGTTACGGTCGCGAAGAGGGAGCGGGGGTACGAGAAAGGTGGGAGTAATTATAAGTACTTGGAGGGGTGTGAAATGATGGCAATGGGATTGGGAAATGGGAAATGGGTCTCATCCGTCCCCGCCGCCCATCCCATCCCATGTGTTTTTCATCTTGCTCACCCCCCTCCCCTCCCACCTCCCCCCTCCCCTCCCACCTCCCCCCTCCCCTCCCCACTGCCCGCACTACCGTCTGGGTACTTCCCAAAAGCACTCTCGAGATGCGCACTCTCCATACATGCATCTATCCATCTCCCAGACACTATTCTAGTAAACCACATGTCACTCTATGCACGCCAGTACTTCCCTTTCCCACTATCCGACCGACCGACCCCACTCCCATCCACTCCCAAAAACCCAGCACGACGGTGCCAGCAACCACCAAGCCCACCAAGCCAGCCAGCACCACATCGCGCGGGCGGGGGATCGGTTTCCCCCTCGCCTCGCTCTTCTGCTCCACCCCCTCTCCCTAGCATCAACACAACATAGCATAACAACCCCCCTACCCCCCCGTTATTATTTCATTATTATTCCCATAATTCCCATAAAAACTCCCAATTAATATTTCATTATTCCCAGCACAGCAGCTATTATTCCACTTTCTCCCCCCAGTATTTTCTCAGTATTTTCTGTCTTTTTTTTTTTTCTCTCTCCGCTCCCTTGTCCCGTCCCGCCCGAAATTCGGGAGTGGGATGGGACTCCGAGTGGGAGAGAGTCTTGTTGCTGTCTCACTTCTAGGTGGGACAGATTTGGCTCTGGCCCCTCCCCCTCCCCGCCGTATTCCGTGCCTCCGTGCCTCCGTTCGTTTGCTGTTCATTCCTTCCCTCATGCCAGGCCCCGGCCATGTACCGACCGGTGTACCTCCACCCACCACCATCCCTCGTTCTCGCCCATCAACACAACGCTCATCCAAGCAAGCACCAACAAACCGCTGTACCTGCACGCTACAGCGGTGTTCAGCTGGGCTTTGCTCGGGGGGCAGCAGCCAAAAGAAACGGTGTGACGAAATGCGCCCGGGCGATATACACGTACCTACATCGCCGTGCCTTAGTGGCCTGCATGATGGGGTTTAGTTTGTGGCTTGTGGCATATCATGGAGTCGAGTAGAGGGAGGCGAGCCACTGTCTGATACAGGCACAGCACGTTGGGTAGATTTTGAAAAAAGCAAGCAAAGTTACAGTGTGTTGTGGAAACGCGTAAAAAAAAGGGGGCTGGTGTTGCCCCTCCACCAAAGGCCGGGCAGCAAGGGAGTGGGAGTGGGAGTGGCTTTGCTGACAGCGGTGGTGGCGGTCTGGTCTGCGCTGCGCTTTGGGCGTTGCTGCTCACTGCTGCTGGTCCAAACGTTTTATTTTGGTCAATTTCCCAGTGTTCCCCCAATCACAGCACGCCTATTTAACTACCATATAATACCATGCATGTATAATTATCTGTTCCCAATATCTGACCCGTTACATATCACTCCAGGATCCCGACATATTTGTTTGTTTTCTGTTGTGCCTTCCAGATTAAGCCACGGGTTTTTTTATGAGAGGGGGGAGGAGGGGGAGGAGGGGGGATCATCGAGGTTCGCATGTGCTGCGCATGTGGTGATGTGCTTATATGTCCGACATCTTTCTTTCTTGATACCGCGACGATGGTTGAGCGGCACGTACTTGGGAGTTGCAGTGTGCCATGATATATGATGAGGGTGTCTCGCTCACTTGTCGTCGGATGGCTGACACGAGACGACTCTACAAAGACAGGCAAAAGACAGAAGCATGGTAAAAGGAATATGTTCCATGGCGAGAGAGACGTGTCGAATATTGTGAGAGACATAGTGGTATATATGCGCACTGTATGGCTATATACTGTACTTACCCATCACTCTGGCTCTCCCTTCTCCCTTCTACCCATATCACGCATTCTATTCACCCTCCCTCCCTCCCTCCCATCCATCCGCTCATCTTCTCAAACCATACACTTCAGCCATCTGCTTCAATTATTCATTCATGTCCGAGCAGTGTTGGAAGTCTCACGATAGCCGGCAAGAACCCCGTCCGTCCCAGTCAAACCGATCCGAGTAACAGCGTACCCGTACCGTAGAGCCAGTATACTGCCGCACCTCACCTTTATCCGTCCCAGGGCCCCTTGCAACAATGTCACCTCGCGTGGCAGAAGGGAAAAAGGAAGAAAAGACGGATAGGAATATCGGTATTTTCGGTGCCTGTCTATCTATCTATGTATAGGCAAATCACGGGCTATTTGATGCGAAATATAATCATTTTCCCCCTCTCCCCTAATCAATAAAGACTGAGACTTGAGACCGAGACCGAGACCCAGACCGAGACCCAGACCGAGACCCAGACCGAGACTGAGACTGAGACCAAGATCGAGACCAAGTGAATTGAGGAGATCTGTGAAGGCATTAATTATCAATTATCGATTGCAGTATCTACGCTCGACCCTTACACTGCCCCCGTCTTCCCCTCACCCTCGCCGCCACCCGCCCGCCGGTCCCTCGGTCCCCTCCATTCACCACACCACCACCACCAATATCGCATTTATCGCATTATTTATTTATCTACGCATTGTGATATATCGTGCCTCTTTTTTATTGCCTCGGTTGCTATTTTCCAAAATACTATTATTTGTTTACCGGTCAACTATTAAGTGAGAAAAAAAATAGCATCTGAAAGAAAGAACTGGTTGAAGGCAACAGCGGGTTGGCTTGTGTTTTTCCTCCTGCCTGTCTTGCTATTCGAGCCGTCCCGGTGTGCTGGGGGACTTGTCGCACTCCACCATATCCCTCCAGCCTCTCCACCATTTCGGCGCAAATCAGCGATTCACGAACCTCCCTTTTCCCTCAACCAACTGCTCCTCTTTTTCCCCATAATCTTAGGCCACCAGAAAAACCCCCCTCCATCCCCGGCGACAACATAACATATCCCCCCAACAAACAACCGCCCGCCGAACAAAACCAATAACCCTTCCGTCTTTGCCCCCCGCTCCCAATTAGGTACCGTTGTGAGCTCTCTCGACGGTCGGCGACGCTCCATTCCCCGATGTCCTAGAGTCCTTGAAGGCGACCGCCATCGAATCAGCGCGAATCGCCCGCACAACGTCTACCCGCCCGAGCCTCCAGACGGACCAGTCACATTTCCGTATCGCACTCCCTCCATCTCAATCGACCGCTCTCCCCGCGAACAAAAACCTCGCAACTGGACCCCTTTGAACTGAACATCCTCGTACCCTGACTCGAAACTTCGCAAAACCTCCCCGCCCGCCCAGCCCAGCGCTGCTCCCGCCGCTCCGCACCGCACTGGCTCTGCTGCTGCGACGAGCGTGCGCGCACGAAACATCCGCCTCCCGCGAGATTGCACACATTCAATCCCCACGCTCGCTCCCGCCCCCCTCCGCCAAACCCCTCAACTCAACACCGGCATCAGCACGATGCTCATGACGCAGACGCCACAGCCAGCACCATTCTCGAGCCAACGACACGCCGCCGACGACGCTTCCCACACGACTGGCAGAGCCGTCGCATTTCCCTCCTCCTCGGGCCACCACGCCAACTTCGCGGGGTCACAAGCAGCACACCAGTCTGCGTACCGCCGCAACTCGCCCACACACCACGCATACTCCGGCGCCGCGGCCAACGCCGCTCCCCAACAACAACAACAACAGCAGCAACAGTCCGTCATGTATGTGCGGGCGCTGTACGACTATGAGGCGGATGACCGGACGAGCCTGAGTTTTCACGAGGGCGATGTCATTCAGGTCATCACGCAGCTCGAGAGCGGGTGGTGGGATGGGGTTATTAATGGGGTGCGTGGCTGGTTCCCCAGTAACTACTGCCAGGTGCTTTCGAATCCCGAAGACGTGCTCGAGGACCGCCACCACGATGATGGAGAGGACGATGACCTCGATGGCGACGAGATGTACGATGATCAGTACGGACCGCTCGACGACGGCGGCGAGGCTGACCGCGATCACACCGCGCAGCAGCTGCCTATTGAGGGCTTCGCGAGCAGCGGTGGGGATAATAATAACAACCATAATAGCAAGGCGCGAGCGGACTTTTGGATTCCCCAGGCGACGCCGGATGGAAGGCTGTTCTACTACAATACGATGACGGGGGAGAGCAGCATGGAGTTGCCGCTGGAGAGTCCCTCGTCGGCGACGGAGAATGGGCCGCGCGATCGCATGAATGTCGCGCTCCCGGAGAGGACGAGGCCGCCGCAGGAGATGATGGCGCAGGGCGCGTTTATGGAGGAGGAGGAGTATGAGTCGGAGGGGAACTCGGCGTCGGAGTTGGATGGGGAGTCGATTATGAGGACTTCTACGGGGTCTTTGGTATGTGCAGACATGCTACTCCCATTTTACGGATATGTATTATTTTTTAAGATGCTAACTTTTGCAATTTTTAGCCCCGAAAGCGGAGGTCTTATGGCTCGGAGGGGATATCACCGGCGATGTCTATGGAATCGATTAACGGCGCATTACCGAACGCACAGCAACGGAGTGATCAGTTTTATACCTCGAATATGTTTGGGAACTCTTCGTCGAGTGTGCTGCCAGTGGCTGGCGCATCGACAACCTCTTTCACGAGCCCGACGGGCGGCCCAGTACAGGCAGCGAATGTGCCTCGATCCTTCTTCGATGACGGCGTGGCAGCTCCTTTGACATGGAACAGGCTCGTTGTCAACATGAAGCTTGCTGTCAACCAGTACAAGGAAGCTATTAATAATGGACAACGATCAGAGTACGTCCGCAGGGCAGAGGATATCTCGGATCACCTGCGACTTCTCCTGGCTGCGGGGTCTGGCACAACGGATAACCATTCTGGCCAGCCTTCTATTATATCTACAAATAAGGCCTTATACCCCCATTTCAGGGATATGATGTCGAAATTCTCAAAGCTTGTTATCTCTTCCCATATCGCTGCTGCGGACTACCCAACACCGGAGTCGTATCAGAAGTGTCTGCAAGAAGCAGATGGTGTTTTACAGGGTGTCTTCAGCTACGTGGAGGTGGCGAGGCAGCAACGCGGAGAGGATATCCCAAGGCTATTCCCCGGTTTTGTCATCGGTAGCGCGGCAGGAGGGAGTTGGCAGAATAACGGTCTGGGCTCGCGGGATCCAATGACATCGAACTTCCTGGACGAGGATGAAGCCGCCCTGGAGCCAACAGCTACCCTCGATGCCAAACTCCTGGAGCGGATGGACGACCTGAAGCGCGGGCTTATCTCCAGCATCCGCAAGCTCGAGGAGCACCTCGTCGTCACAGAGAAGATCATCACGCCCTACAGACACGAACTCATCGGCAACGCCATCTGCGCCGCCGCCGGCAAAGTCCTCGAGATGTTCAGGCCCTTCGTCTCAACCATCGAATCCATCAACCTCTCCTCCCTCGGAACCGGGTTCCAGAACCCGCAATTACTGGATTTCACCACATACAAGCAAAATCTCTACGACAACATCTCCGACCTCGTCCTCGGGTGCCAAGCCGTCGCTGGGCCCCTTGGAGACGAGTGGGCGGAGGTCCGCGGGGAGAGTCTGGAAGATAGAATTACTTATGTGCGCAACAGCACGCGCCAGCTCGAGACGAACGCTTCGCATATCGGGTTCTCGCTCCAGCTCCTAGGTGAACAAGTACAATCGACGCTCCAGGACGATCTGCGGCCGCAGAGCCAGCGTCGCGTAGACAGCCAGGGAGGCTACGATAGGATCCATCAGCGTACCGAGTCGCGCCAGACGCCTAATCCACCCCGTGGACCCCCCATCGCGCCACAGCCACCGCCAGCTGACCCGATCGACCCAGCTTCGGGCAACTACCGTATGGGCGATAACTCCAAGGTCAAGAAGTTCTTTGGTGAGGAACCGGCACCTCCTCCGTCTGCAATCGTCAGGCCGAGGGAGGTGGACGAGACGCCTGATTTCCTGGCGTTGGATTACGAGCAAGACCTCCTTTATGATACGAAACTACAACCACCGGCACTAAAGGGTGGAACGCTCCTCGCGCTCGTGGAACAGCTGACTCGTCACGATAAGTTGGATTCCAGCTTCAATGGCACATTCCTCCTTACCTACCGCTCCTTCACCTCCGCCCGCGAACTCTTCGAGCACCTCGTCAAGAGATTCCAGATCCAACCCCCCGAGGGCCTCGCCCAAGCCGACTTCGACACCTGGAGAGATAGGAAGCAGAAGCCCATCCGCTTCCGTGTTGTTAATATCTTGAAGAGTTGGTTCGATAACTTCTGGATGGAGGATCAGAGTAAGGAGACTATGCAGCTTATTTCTGACGTCTACACCTTCGCTCGCGACACCGTCAAGACGACTGAGACGATGGGTTCCGGGCCTCTCATGGTTGTCCTCGAGCAGCGGCTGCGCGGCCAGGATGCACCAGCCAAGCGCTTGGTGTTGACAATGAACCAATCCACACCCGCGCCAATCATGCCGAAGAACATGCGCAAGCTCAAGTTCCTCGACATCGACGTCACGGAGTTCGCTAGACAGCTGACAATCATCGAGTCAAAGCTGTATGGACGCATCAAGCCCACCGAGTGTCTGAATAAGACTTGGCAGAAGAAGGTCGGGGAGGGAGACCCGGAGCCGGCGCCGAATGTGAAGTTGTTGATTTTGCACTCGAATCAGTTGACGAATTGGGTGGCGGAGATGATTTTGACGCAGCAGGATGTGAAGAAGAGGGTTGTGGTGGTGAAGCATTTTGTTTCTGTGGCTGATGTATGTTTCTTCCTTTTGCTTGTCTCCGCCTCTCCCCCTGTTTCTCTCCTATCCCTCTTGTATGAATGGCTGCTAATGGTAAAATAGAAATGCCGCGGACTAAATAACTACTCAACCCTAACATCCATCATCTCCGCCCTGGGCACAGCACCCATCCATCGCCTGAAGCGCACCTGGGATCAGATCCCGGCGCGCACCATCACGGTGCTCGAGCAGATGCGTAAGCTGATGGGGAGTACCAAGAACTTTGGCGAGTACCGCGAGAGCCTGCATCTTGCGAACCCGCCGTGTATTCCGTTTTTCGGTGCGTAGCTTCTATCCCCCCTTCCCTAGAAAATAAATAGCCAATGTACTAACTAACATCTCTGCAGGCGTCTACCTAACAGACCTAACCTTCATCGAAGACGGCATCCCCTCCATCATCAAGAAATCCGCCCTCATCAACTTCGCCAAGCGCGCAAAGACCGCAGAAGTCATCAGAGATATCCAGCAATACCAGAACGTGCCCTACCCTCTCCAGGCCGTGCCGGAGCTGCAGGAGTATATTTTGAGTAATATGCAGGCCGCCGGGGATGTGCATGAGATGTATGAGAGGTCTCTGCAGGTTGAGCCGAGGGAGAGGGAGGATGAGAAGATTGTTAGGGTGCTTGCTGAGAGTGGATTTCTGTGATCGGCCAACGAAGGTGTTGCGATACTATGACGTGCCGCGGGGGGTGTTGCGGCGAGGAAATCAAGGTCGCTGCTGGGAATACCAGCGACCACGACAAATACCACGGCACGAGATCCAGCCAGTGGGCGGCACAACTACGGACCTCCTCCCACACAGACCGTGTTGCCATACACGGTCATGTGCTACTAACTATTATATATATGTCTGCAACCACGCAGACGTATCTACACAACGCAACCAAGCAAATGGCCGGCTGCTTTCTACGCTTTTCACGAGAAAAACGTATATATATATGACGCACAAACGAATCATCTGCGAATACGCTATTTATTCATCTATTTATCTACCATCTTATCATCTATCTACCATCTACCATTTATCTTCATCTACCTACCTATCTATCGTATAAGATATCCGAATTGTGCGCGTTTCTTGAAGAGGGGAGAGCAGGAAAGGGCGGTGGAGATGATAAGAGGGAGAGAGGAGGTTGTCTGGAAGGAAGGAAGCGTGCATGGGTGTATGCGTGGCGATAGATCGAATTCATTTTTTGATGGAGGGAGGAGGATAGTTTGGTTTCGGTTTTAGAATAGGGTGCGGGTCGTTTTTGGCGTGGGATTTTGGGGCACATCTTATGGATATTGGGAATTTTATATTCATTTTTGAAGACCTGTATTTTTTCTCGCAAACTGTGATTCGGCTTATAAGAATAAGTATACACAAACAACCTAGGCATTTTCCACGTAATAATAATGAAAGCACACTTGATTCATCGCACCAGAGGCAGGGCATGGATGTGGTTTAAATCCGAGTAATTATTTGATTTAATGAGTTGAGTTGATTTTCAATATATTTAAATTATATGCGCGACAATTTTGTCAATAGATCGACCACAAAAACAATTCATACAACCTAACCACCTTTCCTACAACAAAGAATAATACAGAATACACCATCCACCATTACCCCTTAGCACGCGTGGTATCATAGACAACAAAACGACATCAGGCGAGATCACCCATCACCCATCAAACACCCCCCTTTTAAAACTTATCCGCCGGCGCCAACCCCGCCAACACCGGGTTCCCCCTCCCCAACAGCGTCCCCGTCGACGAGTACATCCCATCCGCCTTATTAAACGCCTGATCCGCCTGCTTCCCAAACGCCGCGCCGTTACCATTCGTATACGGCACCTCCGTCGTCGTCACAGGTACAGCAGTGGTGGTCACAGGTGCAACATGGGTGACAGGCACGTACGCCGGCTCAGTCTGGACGTAATGCGCCGCCGTCGCACCACCCACACCACCGACGCCGGCGCCAACAGCGCCAGCGCCTAGCACCTCGTCGCGGTCGCGGAGGCCGCCTTGCGTGGTCTCGTGCTGGCGACGGCTTACTTTACCGAGGCCGGGGAGGGAGGTGGTGCGGCCTGCTGAGCCGATGCTGAAGATTGGGCTTTCCCACTTGACGCCCTTGGTGGCGAGGTCGCGGTACTCTGTCGCCTTGGTGGAGATGCCGCCTGGGAGGTGGACGTTGGGGAAGATGGAATCATGCTGTGTCATTGCGAGGTTGGTCTTCTTGTCGGCGGCAACGGCTTCGGTCTTCTTCTTGCCCTTGGTGAACTTGTTCTGCGCGGCGGTGGCGTAGCGTTGGTAGATGTTCTGGGCCTGGGAGGGGTCGCTCTTTGCTTCTTGCGCGGCCTTGTCGGCTTCTTGCTTGATGGAGAAGGCCATTTGGTCGAGCTCGTTGAATTTGTCTTTGATGAGTTTCCCGAGGATTTTTTGGAGCGCGGGACGCATGACCTTGAGCATGATGGGCTTGACGAGGCCGAAGAGGAGCTTGTGCCTTGACTTCTTGAGCTTGATGTCGAAGTTCTGCACGTCGACGTCGACGCGGTCGACCTTGAAGAAGTTCTGGCGGTCCGTGGCGTCGGCGGTCGAGACGCGGAGCTTGAAGCTGAAGCCCGAGCCGTGGAGCAGGATGTCGGCGATACCGATGTCCGACAGCGAGGGGAACCCGGACTTCTTCTTCACGTAGAAGCTGACGTCGCGGAGATCCATCTGCACGCCCGTCACGGAGATCATCACCGCGTTCTTGTTGCGGTTGGCGATGCCCTTGCGGCCCCAGCGGAAGTAGTTGTCGCTGGCGAACTCGACGGCGTTGGGCATCAGGTTGTCGCTCTCGATCACCAGGTTCTCGATGACGACGTCGAACATGGGGTCCGAGTACTCGATGCGCGGGATCGGGACGTACCGCACGTTCTCGAAGATCTCGGGGATGATGACCTCGCTCAGGTCCTTGACGAGGTGGGGCTTGAAGGTCGGCTTGCCGTTCTCGTCGTTGCCTAGGTCGGTGAAGAGCTTCTGGCATGACTGGGCGAACTGCTTGTTCATCTTGTCGTTCTCGAACTGGTCGGCGAGGAACTTGATCTCGTCGAGCACGCGGTCGGTGTGGTTCTTGTAGCGGTCACGCAGGAGGAAGTTGCCCTGGTCGTGCAGCTGATTCCACTCACGGGTGGCGGCGTCCTCGAGGACGTAACCCTGCTGCTGGAGGCACTTGCGGATGTACCTGTTCATGCTCCTGAACCAGTTCTTGAGCTCGGGATCGCGGTCGGCGTCCTTGTAGACGGCATTGATGGAGTCGAAAAGGTCGTCCGTAGAAGTGTAGTTGGCGAAGCGCTCGATGAGCTCCTTGAGATCAGCCTCGGCATTCTGGAGGGTGTTGTTTGAATGGACGCCCTTGGCGGTGCCGGCTGCCTGCTGGCCGACGGTGCTTGCGTGGCCAGCGTAGGTCTCGGCAAGAGTGAGCAGAGTGTTTATGGCAGAATTGTAGTCAGGGTGTCCCTGGATCTCAACTATCATCTTCTTCAATCTCCAGATGGTCTGCTCGCGGCGCTCCTCGGGCATCTTGGATTGGAGGTATTGTTTTGTCTTCTCCTTGGTAACCTCCTTCGTCTGGCGAGCCCTGTCCTTCGTCTCCTCAGGGATGTTCTCAGAGGCGCGGTTGCGCAGCGTGTCTATGCCCTGCTGAGCTCCCGAAGTAGCATCAACGCCAGAGTACTCGCCCTGCTGGCGATCGTAAGCCGCGAGTCTCGCGACATCTTCCGGATCGCGAGACCCGCTGGGGTGTGCAGCCTGCGCAGCGTCACCAGCAGCCTCCTGAACATCCTGCTTGGAAAGAGGCTTGTTCTTGTTAACCGCGGACTTAAATTGGCCCTTGAGTTTGCTAGCTGACAAGTCGGGGGTCTCGTGCCAAGTGTTGTCCGCAGCAGGCTGGTCAATTTGGTCGAGCTGCTCTTGGGATGGGGCAACCTTGCCGGCGGTCTTGGTAGCTGCGTCGCCAGCCATCTCGCGGAGGAGAACGGTAGCATCGCTCACTTAAATAAATTAGTATATGGATTGCCAAAGTTGGCGCGGATTATAACTTACAGAGCTTACGGAACTGTCCGTTTGAGATGACTAGCGTTCCCAGGGTTCGAAGACCCTCTGCAACCTCGTTGCCGTGCTGCTTCGCCGAGTCCCTATCGACTGGCGCACCGGGTGCCTTGGCATTGACATCTAGGTTCTGTGTCTGCCAGACAAAGTCCTGAAGAAGATTGCCATCGTTCTTGGTGAGGATGAGGTTCTTGGCTTGCTCGACCACCTTGCGGAAATCCTGCACCAAGACCTGTCCTTCCGGAGAGAGCTTCCTGGACGGATTCCTCATGAACTCCTTGTTCATGAAGCTGTTGAGCGCGACATCAATCTGGTCATTCGATGGGACCTTGCCATTCTGGAAAGCTGTGGTGGCCTGATTAGCGAGGGTATTCCCAAGGAGATGGAGCTTAGCAATATAGGAGACTCGACTTACCAGTGAGGATTCCGTATAACTGCAGCTTCTGGTTGATGTCCTTCTCCTTCATCGTCTTGTCAGTTGGACGATTGACAACTTGAGACACCATCGCGACGGTGGTATGGTTCTCAACCAAGTGTGACTATATAGGTGTTTGTTTGTATAGGTGACGTTTTTAAAAAAAATGATTATGATTATTTCAGTAATAAGAGGTATGAGGTCTGGGGATTGGGTATCAAAGAGGATGTATTGAGATAGGAAATTCCTCGGAGAAGAGCGGGAATGGCCTCATAAAAAGGATCACGATAGAGGAGTGGAGGAGAAGAGGAAACAAGTTTTCCGTTGGCAAAAGCAAGGGTAGGCATGTGAAGGGGGACTGCTTTCAGCTCAGCTTGGCGAGTAAGACAAGTGAGAGACGTCATGATAGACCGAGAAGGTAGGGAACGGGGGATTAGGGTAGAAACAGAAATGTCCGACCTGGGAAGACTAGCAAGTATTAAGGTGGTGATACTTGCCCATAGTTGGCCATAGTTGCCATTTGTGGATCATGATATTGCTGCATTGGGAGCTTTCCATGGACCATCGCGCATGGATGCATATAGATTTGCTAGAAGTAGCTTTTGGGCCCACCATAGGTCTGGATCTACCTTCTGGGTCTATCACGGTCTATCACTGTGGCGTTGACGTCACCACTTTGTTGTTGTTGGACTCTTGTTGGTGTGGCTGGAGACTGCAGTGTTGATCAACAGTGCAGCGGATACCAAGCATTCCCGAAATTCCACAATTCGATTAATCAAGGGAAAATAATTTGCTTTTCATGGCATTTTATCTGGGACCTGGCCTGCCATTTCCCTGACGATCAATCGCGGGTTGACCTGAAAGAAAAGTCAATGACAATGACCTCATAGACTTCTGCTTGATGTGATTGATGTTGTTTCTTGAGGGCCCACCAAAAATATCCCAGACCGCTGTCCAATGTCCCAGATTGGAAAAATCACCATTAGTCATGACGTCAAGGCCGCGTTAAGGCGAATGTGAATCAAACACCACCCGCGGAGTGAGGCTGCAATTCAGCCTCGCCGCGTTCAGTCGTTGATTGAAGAGCTAACTGTAAGCGTTACAGCCCAATCACGTGTCGATAAACATAACGTGATGATAAGCGAGGACCCTGGCTTGGCAGATACTATCAGGCTGAGCAGCCTTGTCGCATACTAACTTCACGATGCGATAGTGCCATAGCTACAGTGGCAAGCTTTTGTTACCACCCAAGGTGCCATTACCACGCGGGCGTCTTATAAGACTACGCGACGTTGCGCATACTTAACACAGCTTCATCCTCAACTCATGTTAACCGTCAGACAATATCACTTAAATCTTCACCATCCTAGCCATGGCCCCACCTAGGCGTTCTCGACGCGACCCGCGGAAAGTCCAGACACGCCTAACCTTCGAGCCCAAGTCCACTTCACCCTCCCGCGGGACGAGTGGAATTTCTCCCGCGAGAATCGTATACCAAGATCCACGGAAGCCGAAGAAGAAGCAACAGCTTATCTCAACAGCGAATAAAAATGAGCCTAGCTCGAGTACGAACAATAACGAACCTACCTCTAGTGCCCGATCTAGACCCTACTACAGCGACGACGAGGATATCTTTGCAGATGGCAAGAAGTTTGCGGTGGTCTTACCTTCGCCCTCTCGCTCGACTGCCGCGGGACAGCTACGAAGAAAGTCGTTTATGGGCGCTGCGTCGTCGTCGGTGAAACAAAGAGGCAGGCCTAGGAAGAGCGCTGCGTATGAGACGGATAGCGAGTCTGAAGAGGAAGAGGAGATAATACCGGCTGAGAAGACAAAGAAGACACCGATCCTGTTGGAAGACGAAAGCGAGTCTGAGTTGGAGGAAGTAACAGCACTGGCTGAAGAGATAAAGAAGCCGGCGGCCGTGTCCAGAGACAACAGCGAGCCTTCAGAGGAGGATTTAGTAACACCAGCCGCCAAGAGACAGAAGCGACCAGAGTTTCTGAAAGATCGCAGCGAATCACCTCTCCAGAGCCCACAACGGGCAACTGTGAAGAATGGAGTTGTGGAAACGCCGCGGAAACCAAGCGAGGAAAGCCCCAGCCCGAAGAAAACAAAGACTACCCCAGTCAAGAGTTTCATCGCTGGAGGATACCTTAATCGGGCACACAGTCCACGATCTGCAAAAAACCAACGCGATCCAGCCAAGAAGGATAAACCCGTGTCGCGCAAGTCGAAGGGCAAGGAGATCGTGGCTATATCCTCCGACGATGACTCAGACAGCGATGCAATTGTTGTAGAGCAGCCCTCGATACGAAAAAAGAAGGCAGATAGCGCTCTCAAAGAGAAAGCACTGTCGAGCCGGAAAAGGAGGAGATCCACGAGCTCCGAGGAGGATGACGAGCCTGTCCGATCCTCCCCAACTAAGAGGCGGAAGCAGGTGCTCCTTGACGAAACATCCGACGAAGAATCCGAACCCTCGCCCACCGTTCCAGCCCAGCGCCCGGCCGCAACACCTCACAAACGCACCACCAAGCCCCCCTCAATCAAAAAGAGCAAAGAAGAACCAACCCGCCAAACCCGCCAAATGAACACCCCCAAGAAACAACACCGCACCGAAAAGCAAAAGAAGCTCGAACTCATCAAGCGCCGCCGCGCCGGCGAGAAGATCACCGAGCTAACCGAGTCCTCCTCCTCCGAGTATGAAGAAGAGCGCGGCGCCTACGACAGCGACGCCTCGCACGCCGCGCTCTCTGTCTTCGACGACGAGGACTCCGGAGAAGAAGGTGCCATCGAGAAGGTCCGGCAATCCCTGCGCCCGGGAAACCGCAACATGGATGACGACTCCTTCATCGTCTCCGATGACGATGCACCCCTCGGCGCGCCCTCCGACCTCCTCCACGAGATCCCCTTAGAATTCACCCACCACGCCCACAAACACCTCAAAGAGCACTTCAAAGACGCAATCGAGTGGATGGTCCAGAAGAAGATAAACCCAGGCTTCAACCACCGCGACCCCATCTACATCCAAGCCTTCCGCAAGCTCGAGCCCGAAGCGCGCGGCCTCGCACAATCAAAATTCTCCTCCGCAGCGTGGACAGAGAACTTCACCCGCGCGCTGTGGTCGCGCCCGCAGTTCCACGAGGAGGATATAAGTGCCGGAGGCGAAGGGGAGGGGCGCAAATGCGATGCCTGTGGACGGAGTAATCATCCTGCGAAATTCAGGATTCAGTTACTCGGGAAACCGTATCACCAGGACACCCTCGAGGTCGTGGAGGAGAGCGATGCCGAGTCCGATGACTCCGACTCCGATGCCGCGAGCGTGAACAGCAAGGGGCAGAAAATCCTCAGCGCAGACACGGATTTCTACCTCGGGCGATTCTGCCGCGCCAACGCGGAGAGGGCGCATTCGCTGATCCACTGGAAACACGCGCTGTATGAGTGGGTGGTGCAGACGCTTTCGGATCAGGGTTTCCTTGATGCGGAGAAGTTGGCGGAGAGAGTTAAGTGGGGACAGAGAAAGTTGGGGGCGTTGGCGAATGAGATTGTGGATGAGTGGGTGGAGAGCGGGGAGATCAAGGGACTGTATCGGGATTTTAGGAATAATCTCGAGGCGGCGAGGAATAATAAGCAGGATCGTTGGAATGCTTGAGGGTGAGATGGGTTATGGCTATACAGCTATTTCATACGGCGGGGATGCAAACAGGTCACTCATAGCTAACAAGAATATCACAATATTGTTGCTCAAGCCTTTCAAAAAAGCAAACTGACATTTGCATAATCTATCTCATAAACGCACCTAGACCATGCTCTTGTAAAAAACAAAAGGAAAAAGGAGTTGAATTCATGCTCGTTTCTTCGTTCAGCAAAACCAATCGATGACCCCCTCCCGCAAACTCCTACACGAATCGTATCACACATAACAACAACAACAGCCCTCTCTTCCTGCTTCGCCCATAATATATCCCCGCACCCATGTTTTCGCCGTGCATAGAAAAATGTAGAGGGATGGGTGGGTTCTCTCTCTAAACATCCACTACCCTAGGCCTAGCCGTGAAACCCCCCTTAAAAAAGTTTCCGATAATCTGCCCATAAAGTCCCACCATCGAAAGTTCGTGCATGTCGTGAAAAAAGCGAGAGTGTATAAACAGTCACCAAACCTTCGCCCAGTCTATTTACGTATATCCGCCGACTCCTCCGGCGACGTCGTCTCCAACACACCCACATTAACATCCGTTCCCCCAGCAGGCAACGCGGTCTTCCCACCCACCACCGGCGCTGGCGCCGCCGCCGCAGCTTCCTCCTCAACTACCTTCTCCATACCCGCGTTCTTCGCAGCACCAGCCCCATCCTCGTACTTGGGCTGGTCATACCCCTTCCCGCTATTACTGCCCGAGACGCCCAAAAATGGCACGCCTTCCTCCTCAGCCTTGCGTTTTACCTCCGCTACGATCTTGTCAGCCTCGCTGAGACGGCCGGGGCCGCCGATCGGGTCGCCTTCGACGCCGATGGAGGAGAGGTGGTTGTTGGCTGTGTCGAGGAGGGCGGATTTGTTGAGGCGCACGATCATGCAGGAGAGGTTGTCGGTGGAGAAGCGGGCGAGGGCGTGGTCGACGAGTTGTTTGGAGGCGATGACGGGGTCTTGCACGTTGCGGACTAGGTCGACGGCATCTTGGTCGGAGCAGACGTCCCAAAGCTGAGTATCATTGTTAGTATGGATTTGGGGTTTGGGGGGTTTGGGGGGACTTACACCGTCGCAGGCGAGAATGATGAACTCGTCGAGATCGGGTTGGATGACTGTCTCGGTCGTATACGGGTGGCCTGTGACAAGTTCTTTCATATATGCGTCTCCGAGTGCGCGGGTAACAGCAAGGACACCGTTGACACGGTTATTCAGGATTATACCTCCAGCATTAGCAATACGCTTTCCCTCGTTTTCGTCGCTCCCCTTATGATCATAAGACAGACGTAGCGCTCTTCCATTGCGGCAAAGGACGATACGGGCATCTCCAACATTCGCCGTATACAAGACTCGCTGGCGCGTAGCTTGGGACTTCAGCCTCGCGTGTGCGGCTTCGGTGGTGGTCAAACCGGACTGAGCAGATGATGCTATATCTGCAGCTGGATCTACTGCTGCGGCAAGTTCTTTGGTCCTGTCCGGGTTTTCCTGGACACCCGTGGCTTTCTCCTCTATTATGGTGGTTGAATCTTCCGCTGCTTTGACGGCAGCTAAAGTGGCAGGCGCGATGGCTGTAGATCCCGTCGCCGAGAGGGTGTTGGGTATCCTGTCTTCCCATCTAAGAACGGCCGCCACAGCTGTGCAGCCGCTGTTTTTGAGAGGCAGTTTTTCAAGCTGAAGATCCACACTTGTAAAGGTCTGATCGAGCAATTCTGGTATCGGTGTATTGGGGTGCTTTCGGATCATTTCCTCGAGGATGATGTGTAGTTTCTTGCCGCACCAATCTGCAGCAAAGGATCCAGCGTGGCCATCGAAAATGGCAAAGTATCCATTGTCGGTTTCCATCATATCTGAAGCTGTTTTTGAAGTGGTGCTGTCCGGCTCCAGATCGGAGGCAGACGCCGTCAAGGGCGCATCCGTAGAGGGGTCATTCTTTGTGTTGTCCGCCGTGACTTTTGGGTTGTCCAGTTTACTATGTACGAAAGGCGCTGGTGTGTGCAAAAAGTTGTACAGAAATGCATGCGTATCCTCCATAGTCCTGCGACATTTTTTGTTCTTGTCCTCCCAGACCCCGACTTTGAATGTAGACCTTGGTCCAGGAAGAGACTCGCCCGCCGAGTTGTTGTGCGCGCCCTGCGGCACGCTGAGCGCTGCGTCCATTCTTCCCAGTTTTTGAAGGGGTGTTTGCATGTTCTGATCACTGAGAACCCGGAAGCTCGAAGAGTTGGAGCTGGGGCTAAAGTGCAGCGAGTTCTTTGCGCTTGCGAGGAACGCGCTTGCCTTGTTTCCAACGCCGCTGCTTCGTCGCTTCTTCTCAGTAGCCCCCGCAGCAGTATCCTTATCCGGCGATGGCCTCCCGTTTCCTGGGCTACTCCCACCACGCCTGTCTTTGATGGGTATCTTCTCGGAAGCCGGTGGTGACGGGGTTGTCGAATCTATGGGCGATGTGCTGGCCTCGGTCGAGGTTGTTGGTGGGATGGTGGTCCCGCTATCGGGCTCCTCCTGCAAGGTATCCTTTGGAGGTGACGGTGAGTTGGAGCTACTGCCGAACATCCTGTTCAGCAATCCCCCCTGGGAGGAGAAGCTCCTCCTCTGTTTGCCTGCCAGCGTGTTGAATTCTTTACTTAATGCCTACAGGCACGGATTATTCGCAATATGGCGAGTTTCGGAGATGGGGGCAGGTCTAGAAGAGATGTTGCGCGTGGGGCCCAAGACAATTGCGTGTATGTATGTTCAAATACGATACTGACTATGAGCACCCTATTATACCCGTTGCAGGCACGAAATGGGAATTGTAGATGCAGGAACGTGTTCGATATTGTAGAACCAACAGCAATTGCAGTGGCTATAGTTTGTGGTCGTTGTACGGCGCGGGTTGTTTTTGTTGGTGTTGGTGGTGTTGGTGGTGGTGATTGTGGAGATGTCGGCGGTCTTACGTGGGAACGAACGTCCCCGTACCAAGCAAACCCGCCGTCTAAGTCAACAAAGGCGGGACGGTGAGGGAGAAAGGAAAGTAAGCAGGTGGAAATAGACACAATTAGAAGTAGATTTGACAGAAGACAAAAGACAAAAGATACAAAAAGATGAGATGAGACGGATTGACGATTACGATGAGCAGCAATGACGATTAAGCTGGCGATGTGTGGGGTACTGTAAGCAAGTTAAGGACGTATTGTGGTGGGGAGAGAGTGGTCCTTTATGGTCCCTGTGGTCCACTTGGTCGCCGCTATACGAAGTGTATATTATATATTTTATGTTTATTCTTCATGTAAGAAGGACAAAACTTAACTTGACTTGACATATACTACATTTGTGAAAGAGGGAAGGTTTTAACTCTGTTAAGGCGTACAGATATGCATTGCGTGTTCGATGGTAATGTTGCTACCTACCCCACTCTCCACTCTGATATTCCCATGGTCACCAGCCATCACTCAGGGATCAAAATAAACAAAATCTGCCCTGAAACTACAATCAACTAGCTACTAATTATTCACATTATTGTGCTTTAATAGCCAAAGTCTATATTTCAACATGATCTTCAAAAATTAACATATACCTGCTAGTCGCTGTGCATGCTATGTGGCCATCATGAGCCTTCCCAAACCCCTCGGCGCCGAAAATTGAACCTCCAAAAGCGCCCATCATCCATCACCTTAACTCTCCTTCTATTCACATTAAAAGACCAGTGCTTGCCCACAGTCTAACGCCTGAGGCTGTCCAATCGAGCCTGAAGGTCATCATCGCCAGGATCGCCACTACCACCACCTCCACCGCCAACGGCCTGTGCAACTCGGCTTTCAGGCACAGCTTCGGTTTGCAGACCCTGCGGGGTTTCTCCCATCTGTACAAAAATTAGCACTCTCCTAGAGCTGCAACTGAAGGACTGGTACTTACTGCCTGGCGGAGATCAACACCTATTTCTTCCAGAACCTGCTCAACCACTTCGTCGCCTTCTGCTTCATCATCTACTCCCATCGCATCATCAACAGCGTCATCCATCATCTCTTGCCTCTGGTCCATCATCTCGTTTTCCCGTTCAAATTCCATAGCTATACGTTGGAGCGCTGGTAAATTCATGCTTCGGTTCATGCTCCCAAGAATTCGAGTAGCTCCCTTCATTGACTGCATCATCTGTTCGTTGGTCCTGACCGTCTGCCTAGTAGTTAGTACGTGCCCCTCACCATGTATATGCCCGCCCCAATTTGCTCACCTGGATGCGCAACGAGATGGCTTGTAATTGTGTTCGCATGGAGTAAAACTTCTCGATATATCTATCACCATATACGTTAACAATCAACTCGCCCAGGTAGTCCTCATAGAATAGACTGACCTCCTCGTTCGAACCAGATCCTTGGCCTGGATCTTGCAGGCTCCCATTTGTCCACTCTTTGCGCTCTTCTTGATCTCGATGATCAATTTTTTCTCTTGGTTCTCTAGCTTTATCCTTTCGCGATCCAGTTCCCTCTGCGTTTTCTCCAGGGCGCGCTGGTGTTTGCGCAGACGCTCAGCCGGCGTCATACGCTTCCCAAATGCCCATTCGACGATCTACACGGCCATATGAGTAAACGGAAGTCAATGAGGGAATCTGAGGCTCTCACATTCATATCTGCGGCAAGGCTCTAGCGAATAGGTATGGAGTAGGTTGTAACTGAACAATTTAAAGTTAATGGCAAGGCAGAGATTTATCTAGAGGCTGGTTGTGGTGGCTTTGGTGAGCAACCTGGTTTCCTCGTGGTTATAGAGTACAAGGTACATCATCAGGCATATGCAGCACACTGTGGCGGAATTTGTCGGCCCGGTTGGTTGGCTGGAGCGGCGAAAACAATGACCGAACGTCGCCACGCTAGAGGACCCAGTACCCTTAAGATTATAACGAATTGGCACCGAAACTACTTCATATTCACAACAAACAGAACAACACTTCACCATCTCTCACTATACCGCCCTTGATGGATTGCCCGCTACCAAAATGAGCCAGGACTACTATAAAGGAAAGGGAAAGGCTTCTGACAGCGGCGAAAGCCGTGAGAAAGAGCAGGAGGACCAGCGCGACCAGCAACCACCGACCGCTTCCGGCCCGCCGAAATATGTCACTGTAGGCAATGGTTCAACATCTGAAAATGCGGCTCGCCTGAAAGCTCTGCTTGACCGACAAGATCACGACTCGGGATATGGGGGTAGCATAATGGGCGAGAGTGCGACTGGACCAGCTCCATGGAGTCCGATTCTGACCGAAGACCGACCAACGCCTTCACACACCCCAACATATCACGGCCAGTCCAGTGCCGCATCTGAGAACGAACGGAGGGTACAGGCTGCTGCGATTCATCAGCTCTGGTATAACTCACACCGCGGAGCGCTTGCGAGATATATCAACAATGTGGTCGAAACACTGAAGGAACTTCAACAGTTCAACACCAAATGGCCGGCGCATTACCCCTCTGTCCAGGGGGCGGAAACTTTGACCAGGGCGAACCAGACGCCACAGCCCGGCCTAACCCGCTCACAATCGACGTTCTCGAATCCCCCGAATCGCAGTGGGTCACCAAGACCTGGACTTATGAAACGAGCGGCGACGTCCTTGGGGGAGCCCTCGGAAGCGGAATCAAGCTCAGCGGCCGAACAACGAACGGTACCGGAACCACGACTGATTACGCCACAAATAGCACAGGATTTCTCGATATTGAAGCTTGACCTTAAGCTTGGGGCTCTCCACCAAGTGGAACTGGTACACTCTCTCGAAAAGGGATCTATCGCAGCGCTGCTGGATGGAAAGATTAGCTCCAGCATCAAGCATCTTCTGTCTCTCCGGGAACGGATTGAGGATACGTCAAGCAAAGTCCTTGTTACTGGAGACTTGAATGCTGGCAAATCAACATTCTGCAATGCCCTTTTGAGAAGGAAGATCCTACCGGAAGATCAGCAACCATGCACGAGTCTGTTCTGCGAAGTTCTGGACGCTCGCGAAAACGGAGGGATCGAGGAGGTCCACGCCATACACAAGGATAGCGAATACAATCGTCACGATGAGAGCACCTTCGATGTTTTCTCGTTGGCCGAACTTGAGCGGATAGTCCTCGACAATGAAACATACACGCAATGCAAGGTCTACGTCAAGGACGTGAGAACAATTGACGAGTCATTGCTCAACAATGGCGTCGTTGATATCTCACTCATTGATGCGCCTGGCCTCAACTTCGATACCACCAAGACCACTGCCGTATTTGCTCGACAAGAGGAGATCGACGTTGTTGTCTTTGTCGTAAATGCCGCCAACCACTTCACTTTAACGGCTAGAGAGTTTATCGGGGCAGCAGCAGCAGAGAAGGCTTATATTTTTATCGTCGTTAACGGCTATGATAATATTAAGGACAAGCAAAGGTGCCAGAAGCTGATTTTGGACCAAGTCGCGGGCCTTAGTCCTCGAACTCACAAAGAGTCCTCAGAGCTGGTACACTTTGTGTCCAGCAATGCCGTCCCAACTGCTCCTCTAGGAGGACCTGGCGGCGGCGGCGGTGGAGGGGACGATGACGACGATGACAATTCAAAGAAGGATAAAGGCAAGGAAAAGGAAAAGATTCAGGATTTCGAAGCACTCGAGCAATCACTTCGCAGATTTGTATTGGAAAAACGAGCTCGGTCTAAACTCGCGCCCGCAAAGACATACCTCCTTAATATGCTCGGAGACGTCCATGCCCTCGCCAGCGTCAACGTCGATGTCGCACAAGCGGAGTTGGACCGCGTCACAAAGGAGCTTGAAGAACTGGAACCTATCCTTGAGGCATCGCAAAAAGCGAAGTCCGAGGTCAGCGATGACATTGACCAGACGATCGAAAAGACGTGCAAGGAAATCTACGACCACACCCGCTCGACGCTCGTATCAACCATCAGCCACGCAGCCGAGGCAGATTTGGGCATTCAATACAAGGGGGTATTTGGCGCGTTTGACTTTGCGGAGGAAATCAAGGAGGCCATACTATCCCAGATCTCGACTTCCGTTACTCAATGCGAGGAGCATGCGCGCCAGCAAACGGTACAAGGAGTGAACACGATCAAGCAATTGGGTCTTCTCCACCTTGGTGATGAGTACACAGATCTCAGCTTCCGCAGCGACGTCATGTTCCGACGCAAACGCGACATGCTTGCCAGGGAAGTCCACGTCGAAACCGAGGTGTGGGATTTCTTCGACTGGTCCACCATCCTTCACCGCCAAGAAAAGGTTGCGGGCACAGGCATGGCCATGACTGTCGTAACAGTGGTCGGTACACGCATGGTAGGAGGCTTTGGATGGGTCGATGGGGCCCTCGGCGCGGCTAAGCTTGTTGGAAATAACAATCTCCGCAAGCTGATCGTGCCTGGCGTTCTCGCCGCAGGTAAGCACTTCTTCACCCCCTCCCCCTTTAACACAAAATATACTAACTCCCTCCCTCCAGCCATCGCCGCAGCCGCCTACGTCGTCAGTCAAATCCCACACTCCCTCCCCCGCCGTCTCGCAACCAAGATCTCCGCCCAACTCGAAGAAATCGACTACGTCCACGCCAACTCCACACGCATCACCTCCTCCGTGCGCAAAGTCCTCCGCTTCCCCGCTGACAACCTACGCGTCGGCCTACAGCGCAGCGTCGAGCACCTCGGCATCAAGAGGGAGGAGACGCTGAAGACGCGCGGCGAGAGCGAGGTCGCAAGGAAGTACTTTGGGAATCTCGTTAACCAGAGCTCCAAGTTGCGCAGCAGCGTCGAGGCTGTTGATCTCGAGGGCCCGGCGCCGGGAGTGGCGGCGGCTTATGATAATCTTTGATGATGTCCGAGAATACCAATGTCGATTTTCGATGGGAGATTTGTTTTTTTGCGGGATAGGAGGGGCGTCGGGAGGGGGCAGAATTGCCATTACCATAAAGAAACTGAAGTCGATCCCTATAATTTAGCGCTCGTTATTGGTGCGGAGGAAGACGGGTCCTGTGAGGGGGAGTTGGCTGCTTTTTGTGAAGGCGTCTTTTGCGAGATTGGTATTGTACAGATGCAGGCCTACGCTACACACTCATCTTCGTTGTCTATAATTCACCGTCCAGGTATGGGTTATTAGTACATAACTTTTCCCAGATGGAAAAATAAATAAAAATAAATTATATCAAAACAATTCAGCTCGAGTTCGAATAGTGAATGGGTTTGGTCACAATTACAACAGGACGTAATGAGTTCGCTGGAAATGATTTCTATTTGAATTATTAATAAAACTGTCGTTCGCATGAGAGGTATCATCCCCAAACTCCAAGACAGCCCCTTTGGCTGGGATGATAAAAACAAAACGCTATGCATAATCAGTCCCTAACGATGCAGTATAGAAATAATAGTACGACTCCCTTGCTCCCCTAAAAAGATGCCATAATAGAAACCATTCGCTGTGCCGCTAAACAAACGCCGAGTATGCAAAATACCAAAAATCATCGCCATAATAATCTGACACCACGCCAATCATCATAGTACTTTCAATCAAGCTCGGCTTGTGTTGTCTCCCGGCTGGGAACCCTCGGACTGAGACCCTCCAGCCTGCTCAATATCTCCGCCTCCAATCTGGGCTTCCTGCATAGCGTCAACCAGCTCCCGCCTATACATGAAGCCCTGGCTTATATTCATACTGCTGCTCCGTAATAGCGGACCCGGCGACCTCGGATTCGGTATATAGACCCGGCCGTTGCGGCTAGTATTCCGGCGTATTTTGCTTTCGCTCCCAGTGTCACTCTCGCTTACTTCCTCCTCCTCCTCATCCTCGTCCTCGTCGTCATCCTCGCCTTGACCCTCGTCGTACGTGGTTGCCATCCTTGAAAAATAGTCTGCGAGTCCGTCGTGGCTGGGCGTGCCGACGACATTGTCGTAGTTAGGTGGTGGGGAAGTGATCGACGGCGGAGGCTGGTCGGCATCGAATGGTGGGGGGGCGTAACTAGGGAATCTCATCATCTGTATGGGCCGTATGCGAGGAGTTGTATTGTCCCCAGGCCAGGATGGTGGAACAGAGAGATTTGAACCGCCAACGTTACTAAATCCCGTCAAAAGGTCGTTGCCAGAGGCTGCCGCCAATGAAGAAATGTTAATAGTGTGTGCATTAGGGCAGCCACACTCGGCGGTCTGGCTGGGAGCCTCGGGGTTGGTGTCGTCGCAATATATCGGGAGAGTGATACGATCAAGTGTTGCTAAGCACGACAAAAGAGCAATGTTGACAGCAAACCCTTTCGTAAATTCCACCTTCTTTGGAACTCCTGAGTCATCGTGTTGAAATCTTGCTAAGCGTAGATAAAACTGTGCCAAGTTAGTAAAAGTCTACAAGCAAAACCCCACGAATTGACTTGCCTTGACGAAGTGCTCGACATGGCTAGATTTAAAACTTGAGCTTGGATGGAGTATTTTTGACGTGTCTTTGCGCATTTGTTCGCAAGTGGGGAGTTGAAGATCAACCTCCATAACAGTCTGGCTAATAAAATGATCAAGTCCGAGGTCGAGATCTCCGAGAAGATTGTCACCAGCCTCTGGCAATGGCTCAGGAGCAACCCCGGTGGCGAGAGACACCTGATTTCGCAATGACTCTGCCTGAGCTCTTGCCTGCGCCCTTTGTTCGGGACTAAGTTCTCCGCCCTCTAAAAATCTGACATTGACCCCTTTGTATTCTTCTCGGGTTGGCTGCCCCGCCTGCTTCTCAAATACCCTGACTTCCCTTTTTGCACCTTCCTTACGGTGCAATCCGTCACGGCAATAATATTTGGTCTCTTCAACGATAGAAATCCAGACTCCACGTACCTCAACCTTCTCCAGGGGTGTAAACCTGAAGACAACTGGCATTTTGCCTCCAATCGGAAATGCACGTCCTTGTATTAATGTGTTACAGCGAACCTCGTCGTAGCTCTGGGTAAAATCAATTGGCTCTAATAACTGGTCTTCAGCGTTGATTTGCGGAGCCCTCACTACAAGGACTTCTTGTTTGCCATGCAGGTTTGTCTTGAAGGTCCCGTGCCGCTCAACAAGAGATTCCAATCTCCAATGTACACTGCCCATAGGCAGATTCATGGTTTCTGGGCATCTATGATCAAGTGTAATCTCAAATGAATATTCGTATACTCCTGGGGGGAATATCTTATATCCCATTTGCGGCGCAGATCCCATTCGCCACGTGGGCGCCCTGGATGATTGCTCATTTCCGAAGCTGTTAGAACGAACCGAGCTACAGGGTAGGCGCTTCTGTAGGGTCTTCTGTTCGCGAGCTGTTAACACTGGTCTTGCTTTTTTCTTAGATCCGTTCATGACTTCGGTCAGAGCTTCAGATAGCGCTGGATCTATTCTGAGTGAAGTTGTCGTTGGCCCACGATCTTCAATAGCATAACTGCACTGCGCCCCGTATCCACCGTCTTCATTGGGGAGTAAAGCATTGAAAAACGGCAGGACCTGGTATTCGAGTCTCGTTTCGTCGTGGTGCTCCACATAATTCGGGGGGAATGCTATGGTTGGTATCAGTACAGCTCGTCATTCAAACATATTAGAAGGCAGACTTACACTCGGGCCACTCTGTTCGCTGTTGCCCAAAAAAGTTCACGGTCACCGCCTTAATTTTCGTAGGTTTTTCGACCTTCAGTATAAGTTTTCCGCGAATAATTGCAGGAGGAAATTGAAGGGCGGCAATGTCGCGGTTCGCAGGTTTGAGTCCATAGACATAGATATGCGGTTCAGCAAGCTGTATCCGACATGATATGCCATTAGCAGCGGCCAAAGGCTTGTCAGCACCTGCTGGCCAGCTCTGTACTCTCGTAATTGGTTTCTTATGAGATGGCGATTTTTCTTCCCCTGCTATAGCGCGCATCCTATTTCCGCGAGTAGGCGCACCTGGGATCGAAAAGCTTCTCGGAGGAGGCGGAGCCATGATGCACTCCTCTTCTCATTACAAGTGGCAGTCCTTTAATATGAGATGTAACTCTCTCAGGATCCGACCCTCAACGTACGCAGTCTAGGTTCTGAAGAGTTTGCAAATCGAAAATAGTGGATGTTGACGACGACTTGGTTACGACGACAGGCGAAGTGGAAAGTAGACTGGGCGCGACGATGATGTCACTATCACAAAAAGTTAGTTATCAATCGCGACTGCCGGGGGGTAATTGGCACGTGCCACAGTGATTAGCACATGAAGTCTAAAAGAAGGGACCTCTAGTTAAAGCTGGTAGAGCGCCTTCCTTTTAACTTTAGTTCTTAGTGACTAGCTAATAGAAAAGGAAGGGCAAATACTTTATACAATTATAGTTACTGTTGTAAACAATATCATCCGCATTAGCCGTCATGAACTGTCAGCCAGACAGCAGGCAGTTCATGACGGCTAATGCGGATGACTGACAGTTCATGATGGCTAATGCGGATGATATCACCGCCAGGGTACCATGGGAAAAGAGGGACCACCTGGTCCCTCTTTTCCCATGCAGGAACAAACTGGTACTCGAGGCACGTGACAGCGCGAAATGATTACTCGACTACACAAACCACAGACGCGACAAACCATTCAGCTCCCACGAATTTAGCATTCCAAACATTCTACCCACCACCATATAGCAGTCGGTCACTGCTTATAATTACTCCGACGTCTCTATCCTGCCTACATAAATCTAGGATACTTCTTCTCACTCCACCTCGAATTCTCGCAGTCGCAGTCGCAGTCGCAGTCGCAGTCGCAGCCGCTCTCATCTTTCATGCCTGGCTATGGAAGTGAACAATGGCTCGAGGGGTCCCTCCCTGCCCTCGCCGGCTGCTTCCATAACCTCACTGCCACAACCCGCTGCATTTGACCCCGCCGTACCCCTACGCGGCGTAGTCTTATGCTGTACATCAATCCCGCCTGATACCAGAGTAAGCACCCGACTCCCAATAATGCGCAGGTTGGCTTGCATTTTATGTATTCCGACGCGTACTTCGAGTACTCCTGCTAACTCCGTTGCCCGATAGACCGCATTGGCCAAACAGGCCGAGCAGATGGGAGCGCAACATAAGTATGACTTAACTTCCGAAGTTACACACCTCATCGTCGGAGAATACGACACCCCAAAATACCGATACGTCGCGAAGGAGCGCCCAGATGTCAAAATCTTGACGGTGGGCTGGATTGAAGCCATCCGCCTGCTGTGGATGTCCGACAAGCACATTGATCTAGAGTCCCTCGAAGCCGAACATACCCTGCCAACTTTAGCATCTCTAATTGTCTGTATGACTGGATTTGAAGACTGTAAGTGTATACTGTCATACCTCTGTTGAGAGCTAAACTAAGTCACGAATGCAGCTGCCGAGAGGACGAATATCATAAACCTTATATGCTCAAATGGGGGAGAATACCATGGAGATCTTACTAGATCCATCACTCATCTGATAGCTAGCCGACCAGAGGGAAAGAAATATAAATTTGCCAAGGACTGGAAGATCCGACTCGTCTCGGCGGAATGGCTTTACGATAGCATACAGCGAGGGATGATACTAGATGAGAATCTATACCACCCCGAAACCCCAGCAGAAGAAAGAGGGAAAGGGGCCTGGGTACGTCGAAATGCGGCCTCGCCGCTTGGAAAACGGTTGAGGGAAAACGAAGCTGTCGAAGATGGCACCCGAAAGTTGCGGAGGACCTTGAGCAGAAAGCTTACAAGCCAGAATGAAGTTGTTTGGGGCGATATTGTCGGTGGTGGCAACACATTATTAAACAAGAATGCGAACTCCGAGCAACCACCAATAGGAATACCTGGAGATGGCCAAACCTCCCAACGGACCTCATCTGACGAATTAATTTTGACCGCTGGAATGGCCCAGACAAGTGCGCCGATCATCGTGAAACGTGCCGCGTTTAGCCAATGCCGTTTCTGTATTCATGGTTTCGAGCCGAGAAAGGCGAAAACATTATCGCGACACCTTCTGTCACACGATGGGGATGTCCGGGGAATCGATGATTGGCCTGTTGCTGCACCTCCGTTTAAGAACTATATGGTTGTACCGCATGACTTTGCGGTAACAGGACTGCCGCCAACCCCCGAAGGAACTCCTGTTGTCACCGAATGGTGGGTAGAGCGGTGCCTTGAAGCAAACGAGTGCCTCGAGCATTCAGCTAGCTACTTCGACCTCCCCTTCTCGTCTACTTCCATTGATGGCTTCAAAAATTTGGTTATTTCGACGACTGGCTTCACTGGATTCCATCTACTTCATCTTTCGAAGGCCGCCGCTATCCTGGGCGCTACATATGACGAATACTTCTCGGAGAAAACCTCCGTATTAATATGTAATGCTACTCAACAAATTAGGGTAGAGAAGTTGCAACGGGCCAAAGAATGGAGAATCCCAGTCGTTTCAATAGACTGGCTGCTAGAGTCTATCAGAACATGCTCAAAACAGCCATATAAACCGTATCTCCTTCGGTCCAAGGCAAACAGGAGCGGTATATTGGAGAGAAGATCAGCCTCTGAAGTGATGGTGAGGAAAGAGATAGAACACGATGAGTTTGAGTCTCATCAAGATTTGCCTTTTTCGAAGAGTATGACATCGGAAGGAATCACCCGTCCTGCGACGGTAATATCACGAGATACGACCGCATTCGATAACGATGACGACGATGATGAACCCACAGAAGCTGTAGGAGGGTTCCTTATCCCAAAGAAAGCGACAGAAAAAGCAACAAAACAAGCAACAGAGCAACCAACCGAACCAACACCCCCAACTCAACCACCCCTCGACCACCACAACACCGACTCACCACCCGAACCCCTCACCGAAATCTCCTCCAACTCACCCCGCAAATCCCCAGTCTCCCAACCCAAGCCCTCCGCCACAACATCTAGCACAGACAGCCAAGAAATCAGCAGCGCAATCACCTCTCTCCTCGCAAAATCCAAGAACCCGCCCAACAGCGGCCCCTCCGCCTCTGGCGGCACCGAATCCGCAGCGCAGCACCGAACAGCACGTAAGCCCTCGCGCATCCTCGGACGCGCGCCTAGTAATATCTCCGTCGTGTCGCGGGCGAGTTCTGTGGATAGCACGGCGAGTGGGGGACAGGCTGTGCATTGGCCGGCGGGAAAGCGGAGTAAAGTTGATAGTCTGGGGAGTCTGGCGGGGGGTTTGGTGGAGGAGGAGGGGGAGAAGGAGGAAGAGCAGCCGCCGATGACGCAGCAGTTGCTGTATGAGGATGAGGAGGGGGAGAGGCATAAGGCGCAGATGATTGCGAGGATGGAGGGGAAGAAGCCGGAGAAGATTGAGAAGGCGAGGGCGGTGACGGTGGGGAGTTTGGAGGGGGGGAGGGGGAGGAGTTTGAGGACTAGGGAGAGGGGGGTAAGGTGATCGCGAGCGTGAGCGGACTGGCTGTGTTTTGTGGCTTGGATGTATTGTATATGGAAGTGCTCTGTATATAATTAGGAGTGTTGGGGGTGTTGGTCCCCCAGTTGGCGTGATGGCTCATATTTACACTCCGTGAGTAAATCAAACATATCAATAACAATAAATTTTACAACATCGCCACCAGTAATACATAGACAGAACAGCTTCATTCAACTAGACATACTGTAGTCCCTCCTCACCCCACTTGCCATGGTGCTATCAGACAACCAATAGACCTTGTATCCCCTTCCATTCAGCTCTTGATACACATATAATAATTTTACAAGTTCAACGACATATACAACAACGCGCCATGCGTGTCAAAAACCCAACCGTGTTTTCCATGCCCGTTTCCAGTTCCATCTATTCCTGTTCCTACACCGACATTAAGGCGTACTCTGCTACCCTACTTTACAATGCTGGGCGCGCTGCAGCGGGAGCCCCTAATTGGGCGCTAAGTTGCTCGGCGGTTGTGCCTGGAGCTGCGAGGAGCTATTATAGTGTTAGTATGCCGTTTACATTCATCATCTCTACTTCAAACCGACTCGGGGGGGATGGGATGCTTACCTCAGACCCAGCCTCCCTCGCACGCATCTCATTCTCCATATCCGCAATCTGCTGCTCCTCCGCGAACGCAAGCGCCCACGGCACACCGAGCAGCAGCGCGCTCGTGCTGAGCACGAACAGCGCCTTCCCGCCGAATCCGAGGGTGGAGGTCACGTAGCCGGAGGTGGTGTTGAAGATGGACGAGATGGCGGTGCGGGTTGTGGGGGGGATGATGTCGCGCAGCGCTAGGAGACGCTCGGAGAGGGACTCGTCGAGCGTGGGGAGGGCTTCGTCTTCGTCGGAGGAGATCTCGGAGTCTAGGGGGATGGGGTTAGGGGGAGGGTTTATATTGAGGGGAAGGAGGGGGGAGGCGGATGGGGGTATGTACCAGTGTCGGTGTAGTAATCTTCCTCGTCGTCTGGGCCGACCTGCTTTGTCTCGAAGGACTCGTCCTCGACTTCCACGAGTTCAACCATTGTGGCGGGTGTTTAGTTTGTGTGGGGGGTGAGTGATGAGGCCGGAAGTGATGGCAGATGCGAGGATTTAGAGGTCGAGGGTTGCGGGGCCGGGTTGATGGATGTGGTTGTTTCGAGGTTTGCGGGTGCTGTTGGATGAGGTTCGAGTAGGTGCAATAATTTTTGGACCGGGTTGCGTCTTTGGGAGGTGTGGTGTGACGTAGGTCATGTGATTTATAGGAGTTTCCTCGTACTGTTAACTACAAACCCAGGAACAAAAGTAAGGGGGGAGAAAGGAATGGATTATGTCAGCAGCTGATCTTGGACTATCCGGGGGGGGCATCTTCACTTATCGTTCTTCCTTCCTTTCCCCATGGGCCCCTTCCCTACAGATACAGCAATTGATCGGGCTTGGTGACACGCGAGGATGGGGTTTTGTTATTCTTTTCTCTGACACATATATAATCTTAAAACAATACATACAGTGACCGTGGACTCGGAACTGAGCTTCTCCCGTTGTCCTTTATGCCTTTACAAGCAGATCCCTCTTGTGGCATATATAATATCTATCACACAACCGGCGCTTCAATATGCACGGCTACGGGTAGCTCTACTCACACTCAGCACTCTGGTTTGTGGCATGTTACATACAAATCTGATGCTTGACGGGAAAAGACGGTGCCCATCAATTAAAATGAACCTGAAACGCCCAAACGTGCCCGTCCGTGTGTCTCGCATCGAGGATTAATACAGGCATGGGGCGCGTGTGGAGTTTACCACCATCCACTCAACCACACCCCCCTGCCCCCTCCTGTTCCCCCCTTACCCCCCCCCCATCTACCCTGCTTCCCTGCTAATTGGAGTGGATTCGAGCTTCTTTCTATGGTAGGTGCTCTGTGCGTCCTCTCCCTCTCCTCTTCTCTCCTTGGCTGTCCAAACGATCAGTACGGCCACACCAAAATATCCCTCTCCAACCGCAATCTATCCGTGCTTGTCCTTCTGTGCTTCGTGCGCCCAATACTAACCTCTACCGTTTCTCTTCCCCAATCCTTGCGCCAATCCGACCACTATACTCTCTTTTGCGAAACCTGCTTTATTATTATAATCCTTCTTATTTTTGTTTTATTCGTTCCGTTACCTTCGCCCTTGCTTCATTGAGTCGAATTCCGCAAAATTCATTATTTCTCGTTGCATGTTCCGTGAGCGCTTCTACGGCCTGTGCCAATGCACGCCTGCCAGCCCGTACCCCTGAAAACCGACAGCCACCACACATATCTTCCTTGCCTGCCACGATTGCTCCAAACGGCATCTCGCTGAAACCTGCTGTTGTAAACACCGATTTGGATTCCGTGGGAGCAGGGAGATGTCGTTAAATGGCCTGGATGACCTGAAAGTCAAAGAGGCCCACGATGCCGCCATCGCGGAGCCCGGAGGATGGTGAGTTTCCCTGAGATGTTGAGGGGTCCAATCTTGAAGGGACAGCACCCTGACCAAAGCGCATTTGCAGGTTCCTCCTTAAATATGTGACGCGAGACGAGATCGATGTGCTGGGACGCGGTAACAATGGGATACTGGAGATCCGGAATGCTATCGCGAGCTACGAGGAGCCGTCGCCGTTGTTTGGGTTTCTCAAATATAGGCGGAGGAATGTTCTGATCAAATACGTCCCCGAGGGCTGCTCGAGACTGATCCAAGGTGCGTACGCTTCTGGGAGTTGAAAAGCTGAATTAGGATCTTGGTGACTGACGGATCCGACATCTAGCCCGAGTCACTGTACACTTCAACGCCATTACCGACAGATTCTCCCCATACGATACCTCTTTTTCGATTGATACCGCGAAAGGCCTGAAGGATAGTGCTTTGTCTGCTGCTTGCTCTTTGCATACCGCGTCTGGCTCCACCTCTTCATCGACCAGTTCTTTGAGGAGGCGGAGGTTGATGGAAATTGCGGAGGATGAGGAAGAGGATCGCCGACAATCAACTGTTATGGAAGAGCGAGCTTCTACCATAAGAGCATCATCTATTGATGGAGACAGTGACCCGACTGAAGACGAACCACCCAGCACAGAACAACCCGAACTCCTCACGTCTATGACCTATAAGCCCCAGGACTCAGAAACAACTCCCGAACAAGACTCCGAGTCGCTCGACCTCACACCTAGCATAAGCCACGACCCCAGCGTACAATCTTCCGTAGACCACCCTTCCGAATCCCCAAGACAATCCCTCGATGAAGGTCGCTCGTCTATGCAAGACGACCCATCGAACTACAGTAACTATAGTTCTTATCCAGCACCTGGGAGACCAAAGATAAAACTTGGGCCCCGCCCTTCGCTAGACACCGCTGGACGACCACAGACATCCTCCTCCGCAAACTACAGGCCAGTGTCTACCTTACCTGCTAATGTTAAGCTATTTTCCAGAAGCTCTAAGAGGCCAAAGGAACGGCCACAGTCGCAACACCCGGGCGTGAACCCCACTATGATGATTTCACCCCCACAACTTGGCGATCCAACGACCAACCCCGACGATCAGGCCGTTCGACCATATACGAGTGGAGGGCGACCAACAACTAGCTCTGGTGCTTCGTTTACAAGCACAATGTCTACAAATACTGTTACCTCGAAGTTGCCCACAATGACTCCAGAAAAGGCCCGGCTTATGAAGGCTATGGAGCTGCGGAAGAAAAAGAAGAATGCTCTGTTACAGGAGCACTTGGTGCCGCCGCTACCATCGAATACAGCTGCCGAGGCGGAAAAAATGGTCGAGCCTGCTCCTGCAGTTGAACCTGCCGGTGCTGCCGAGCCTGTTTCTGTTGCTGAGCCTATTCCTACTGTTGAGGCTTCCCCTTCTGCCGAGGCTGCACCTGCTGTCGCTGAGGAGCTTAGGGAGGAGGAAACTACACCGACTTTACCAAATGATACCAAGGAGGAATCAGAAAATCCATTATCAGCATCTACCACCAGCGCCACTGAATCTGATGCGACGGCTAATGGCTCTGATCCTGCGACACCACTTACGGTTTCGGAGCCAGCAGAGTCGACTAGAGCCTCGTCGATATCGGATTCGACCGATGAGACAATCCAAGCCTCTACTGTGAATAAAGAGGCTGCTGCCTTGGAAGATGTGAGCCAAAATGATGATACCACTTCGGACAATGGTCACGAGTCAAATCACGTTGAACAGAGTCTACCACAGCCACCGACAGAGATTGACAACACTGTTGCTGTGCCTGAAAAGGAAATCATTGCTGAGGCTCAGGAGACACCAGCCGTCATTCCAGAGACCCCCAAGGCCCAAGAACAGGAGGTGCCAACAGTAGTTGTCCCAGATGTACCTGAAGAAGCACTCGTGGTCGAGGAAGACCCTGTGAAGTCTGACTTACCAACTGAGCAAACAGCAACCACTACCGTCGTTGATTCTCACCCTGAACCAGCAGCCAAGGAATTGGCACCAGAGATCCAGGTATCGGAGGAAGACAAGCCGCCATCTGCATTTATTACAGACTTCGCGACTGAAATTTCGGCCATACCAGTGCAGGTGGAACAGAATGAGGAGACTGAAGGCAAGATTGTGGTTTCAGAGGATCTTGGAGATGAATCTCTGCCGGAGGTGAAAGCTCCTATGAAAATACCTAGGTCGAAGTTTTCATCACAAAGTCCTGAGGATTCCGCTGCAACAGAGTCAAATAATGGCACAAATGCAGCTAAATCCAATGGCAATGAAAGAGTCCCACGGAGCGAATCGCCCAAAAGGCGGCGAGCTTTGATGGAGCCAATTCGCACGGATTTGCAAAAGAGCCGGCCTAACTCGGAAGTTGACTTCCTAAACAACGAAGCTTTCATGGATGAGCTGCAGTCAGCCACTGTCCAGGAGGCGAAGCCAATATCAGTTGCCAAGTCGCCAATGACTCCAGCCTTTCCACGAGATGCGAAGAAGGGCCCGAGTGTGTCTGATCGATTCTCCCGTGCCTTCTCGAACCCGTCGAAGAAGGATAACCAACACCTGACACCACAACTGGAACCCACCCGATCGGTATCAGCAGGGTCAGCGTATCTCAACCGGATTAGCCAGCAGTCATCGTCATCGCCGGTCATTAAGAAGGTGAACGTTGGATCTGGAATCTCGCAAAGAATCAAGGCTTTGGAGAAGCTGTCTAGCACAACCGGAACCCCTGTGGCTCCGCAAGGCACTGGACCCACTGTCGGCACAACTCCAACATTCTTTGCTGTGCGGAAATCGCAAAGTGCTGGAGGCTCTAAGTCGCCATCAATTGCGGAGAGAGCAAACTCCTTGACCAGGCAGTCGCCTTCACCGTCAATGTCCCGTGATTCTTCGCCTGAACAATTTAAGAATCGCGACCGTTCATACTCCATTAAGAACAGGACGGATGCATTCAACTCTTCCCCAACAAACACACACACCACGCGAGCTCGCCCTGAGTCTATCTCAGTAACAGCACGCATCATCCGCGATCCAAACCAGCCATACTCCGCAAAATCAGATATGCCATCGGATTACACCACCCTTTCCTTAAAACAGTCCCCTCTTGTGATTGATCACCAAAAATTCAAGCCAGCTCCAGTCCAGCTTCCAATGAAGGAGTCGATAGAGAACAAAGAGCTACCTTTGACGCCAGCTAAGAAGGAGCGAAGGTCTTCCATCACAGTCGTCAAAGAGCTTATTAGCGAGACCCGAAACTCATTTGCTGAGCGCCGCAAGTCTATGACTATCGAGCCGGGAATTATTTCCAGCGCGATGTCTATGCGCTCCCCGTCGAGGCCGTCTTCTATCCACCAAGGCTCGTCGGGACGGCCGCTCTCGATCAGCAGTCGCCGATCGAGCCGCGAATTTGGCAATGTTATGTCCCCTACTTCGAGTATACTGTCACCCTCGACGAGCGAAGATAACAGCGAGAAAAAGGCCAGCCGCACAAGCCGAATGCTGCACCGCATGTCATCCTCGTTCTCGTCTAGCCGCAAGACGATCTCCCACGCCATGTCTCCCACCGTTAGGGAAGAGTCCGAGCCGCCTGCGACGGGTGTTTCCATGAGCCCTTCAAACTACTCCAGCATGTCTGGTCCCGCCACCACTATGGTGGAGATGGGCGATGTCAATGTGCAGTTCCCGGATAACCTGCTCTGGAAGAGGCGTGCTATGCGCCTCGATTCCCAAGGTTTCCTGATCCTGACTCAATCCCAGGCGGGTAAGTCAACAGACAAGGCGGCGGGAGTGAAGAAGTACCACCTCAGTGATTTCCGCACACCGGCTATCCCTGATATGGAGGCTGAGGAGCTCCCCAACAGTGTTATACTCGATTTCGTAGATGGGAGTGGCTTGCAATTTGCGTGTGAGGATCGGGGAGGGCAGGTTTGGGTTTTACAAAGTAAGTGGTATCCATATGTTGGCGGCTACATGCATTCGTACTAACGCATTGTTACAGAATTGCTCGAAGCACACAGCACCTGGGCTGCCTACGGGCAGTGATAACCCGGCCAGGCATTTCACATCAACATTCACACACCACCATCTTTCGCCCCAGCTTTCACATCTACTTTCACCTCCAACTTTTACACACAAGCTTTCGCACCAGCTTATTACCCAACTTTAACTCCAGCTTCCACTCCCAACTTTCGCTCTAACTTTTCATCCCAACTTTCACCACCCCCCCCCCCCAAACTTTACACCAACATTTTCATATTCAGGCGCGATTTTATTAGCGGCAGCGCCTTTGTCGTCCATTTGAGTTATACCCACCGAGAGGGGAGGTGAGACATGGCGAGACATTCCCGCAGGAGGCGGGATATTTCGGGTTTGCATAATTCCAAAAGGTGGACTGGACTGTACAGTATGTACAGTAGAGTATTAGGATATGAGATACCACGTTCGTAGTAGAACACCTTCGATTCTGATGCAATGTTAAAGGATTTTTGTTGTGACATGAGCTGTTTCTACTCTGAGGTTGACAATGTGATTGTGTGATGTGTAATGGGGAGCTTATGTGCCCCTGTGTCTGTGCCTGTACATATGTGCCTCTTGCCACTTTGTATTTCTGTTAATATCTGTATAATTATCTACTTGATGCTGAAATAGGAGACAGGAGCTGTTCTGTGGGTGTTATAATGTGATTGTGTGAAGTATAATGGGGAGCCTTCCGTGCCCCTTTGTCTGTGCCCCTGTTTAATATATCCTTCTTGCCACTTCATATGTCTGTTCATATATGCATAATTGTGTTCTTAAAGCTTAAATAGAAGACATGAGCTCATTATCACGAGCTCGATCTACCTGCACACTGTGAGACAAGGGTAAGCCTCTGAACCCCCAGTCATCAGTGTAACGCTAGTTAGCGGCAAGCGGCAAGCGCAAGCGCCAATAGTGACTTGGCCCACTACTGTGACGGAACCAGAGAGTGCGGTGCGGTGGCCATCTGGGACACGGACGTGGCTGATGTGCACCACTTTTGTCATAACCGCACTTACATTAACTCGCCTCAAACGAACCTCTCGGCATCTACCCAAACATCCTCCCCTCACCCAACAAATTCACACCACCTGCTTCATTATTCAGGGCCTGCATCCTTTGTTCTCCCACCTTATTGCATGTTCTCTCTATTGTAAATCTCTACCATCACTTAACCCATTATACGATCTTTCTTGTTATCCCGCCTAATGGCGTAATCGATGGCACAGGAACGCACGCATTCGCAGCGCACGAGATCGGTTGCTCCTTCGGTTTTTGACGAGAACGAACCGACTTCTGACGCTTTCCATTCTGGGACCCCTTCCTCTCTCAATTCTACCCTCAGGTACATACTCGCGCCATCTTTATCTTCCCTCGCCACTTCTTCTTTTGTTCTCCCAAGCCACACTCCGCGGCAGTCTCTCTCTCTCTCTCTCTGTCTCTCCACAAGCCATACACCACAACTCCAGATCACACTTGGCTCACCCTCAACCTCCAACGGGCTGCCATCTGCAGTAGCCGTGGGAAGTTGGGAACAGAGTCGGGTATAATATAGAACAAGTCACTCATGTCTGCCAGAAACACTCGTGCGTCCGCCCGGCAAGCAGCTACTGCCTCCGATCTAGCCCCGCCTAGTGCTGCCACGCCATCCCAACCTCCTCCCACAACCCGCCCATCGAGGAAACGCAAGGCTGCTGAACGTGAGGCCAGCCCACTTCCCGAGCCCGAACCTGCGAAACCTGCAAAGTCGAAACGACGCCAGAAACGACAGAGGACGACGGAACAGGAGACTACGGCTGCACCAGCGGCGCCACCTACGAGGCAGAGGAAGGGAAAATCTACAGCTGTCATGTCGAGTCCGGGGTTAGTGACACTGGTGGTGGTTGCGCTGGCGTATGTGTGATATGCTGACAATGGTTGTAGAGCCTCTGCTGGCCCAGCGAATGAAGGAGGAAGCGCGGCTAGCTCAGCAACTCGCAAGTCTAATAGGAACAAGAAGAGCAACCCAGGTTTGTGACACAGATCGAGGAATTGTCTACTACAGTACTAATGTAATATTTATTAGATTTGGCAGCTGCAGCTGCGGCAACACCAACCGCACCACGAAAGTCGAAGAAGCAACACAAAAATGCCGAAGCCGAGACGGACCCCAACGAGGGCAATGATGTAGAGCCTGCCGATGAGGATGACGACGACGAAGATGACAGTGATGATAATGACAATGACGATCTGCCGCGCGGATTCAATGAAGAAGACGAAGATGATGATCCGTTTGGAGGGTTTGGCGGCCCAGGAGGCCCACCACATGGCCTCTCGAACACATTAAGGGCCCTCAGCGGCATGATGTCTGGTGTGTCGTCAAGGCTGCGCGAGATTCTGAGCAACCTAAAGCAGAAGGAAGATCCTTCCATGCAACTTATCGCACTTCAAGAGCTGTCGGAGATCCTGCTGGTTTCTACGGAAGATAACCTGTCTGGGCACTTCTCTCCTGACGCATTTGTCAAGGAGCTTGTGACCTTGATGCAGCCCTCGGATTTCGGAGAGGAAAATCCGGAGATGATGCTTCTTGCATGTCGATGCATTGCCAATCTTATGGAGGCTCTGCCAGCGAGCACAGCGAACGTCGTATATGGCGGTGCGGTGCCGATTCTTTGTCAGAAACTCCTCGAAATCCATTATATCGACTTAGCAGAGCAGGCTTTGAGCACTCTGGAGAAGATCTCGGTCGAGTATCCGGCTTCCATTGTTCGTGAAGGTGGACTTACGGCCTGCCTGACCTACCTCGACTTTTTTGCCACGAGCACGCAAAGGACTGCTGTTACTACTGCTGCAAACTGTTGCCGAAATATCCCAGAGGATTCGTTCCCGGTTATTCGCGATGTTATGCCTATCTTGCTCAACGTTCTTAGCAGCAATGATCAGAAGGTTGTGGAGCAGGGCTCCCTGTGTGTATCTCGAGTCGTGGAGAGTTTCAGATATCAACCGGCCAAGCTCGAGGAGCTTGTGAGCAGCGATCTCCTGAAAGCTATTCTGCGCCTTCTCCTGCCAGGAACCACCAACTTGATTGGTCCAAGCATCCACACTCAGTTCCTTAGGGTTCTGGCCTTCACAGCGAAAGCAAGCCCCACTCTCTCCGCGGAACTCTTCAAGATGAATGTGGTTGAGACGCTATATCAGATTTTGACGGGTGTATCACCACCAAATGGCGTTCACGACGTCGCCTCTAAGCTAGACAGCGTTGTCATTATGCAGGCTCTGATCCACAGACCCCGAGAGCAGGTTATTGAGACATTGAATGTCATCTGCGAGCTCCTTCCTGGCGTGCCGCAAGACTTGCCTTCGTTTATGGATGATGCATTCGAAATTGCGATTGCCTCTGAGCCATCGGGCACATCGTCGCGGAAGAAGTCGCTGAACGAGAAGCGAATTGAACTTCTCGAAGGCTGCAAGGAGGAACTGAAGCGCTTTGCTGTCATCCTGTTCCCCACGCTTACAGATGCGTTCTCGAGCACAGTTAACCTCAGTGTTCGCCAGAAGGTTCTCACGGCACAGTTGAAGATGTTGTCTACACTGGATAGAGATATTATTATGGAGGCCCTTCGAACTTTGCCATACGCATCGTTCTTGGCTGCTATATTGTCTCAGCAGGATCACCCAACTTTGGTGAACTCGGCTCTTCAAGCCGCGGAGTTGCTCCTTACCCGTCTGGATGATGTGTATCGCTACCAGTTCTACCGCGAGGGCGTCATCACTGAGATTACCAAACTTGCTCAGTCTGCAGAGCCTGTAGAGGGAGAGGATAAGAAGCCCGAGTCAGGTGAAACTACTGAGAATGCCGAGGCGGAAGCTACAAGTGCAGTCGCGGACAATGCTCCGGCTGAACCAGCGGTCGCAAATGATAGAGATGAGGACGATAACTCCTCAGATGGCGACAATGATGTTGACATGGATGACCCTCAAGATGATAGATCGGCGAGCAATGGAAGCTCTAGGACATCCAGCGTGTCATTGGACGGCCAGCGCCCTTCATTGCCCGAGGGGGTGACGACAATGCAGCAGCTTATTGCGCAGCGAGCCAAGAAGTTCCTCGAGGTCCACGAGAACGAGAAGAACAGCAAGATTATGAAGAAGAAGGCGATGAAGATTCTTTCGAACTTGCAGGATTTGGCAGTCAAGATCGAGGATTTCTACCTCCGCCAGCAGTTTGGGAATGGCGTTGAGCTGTTTGACCAACTGGCTGCGTACTTCGATGGTGATGTGCTGGAGAGTGTTACGAGCGCGGAGCTGTTGAACTCTGAAGTCGTTCGTGTGCTTTTGGAAGTCTTCAATAACCCTGATGAGGAACTTGCCAATGACGCTAGATCGGCGTTCCTTGAGGTGTTTATGGGCCGAACTGTTAACAGAAAGCCGAAGACGGCGACTGCGGACTCTCCAGCCACACCGTTCAGTGTTCTCATTCACAAGCTGCAAGATTTGCTTAGCCGTACTGAGCATTTCGAGGTCGTCACTGTTCACCAGAATACGTTTGATGGCAATAGGAGCAGTGCCGCATCTATGCTTGCGAAGCAAATTCGCTTGAAGCTCGTTGCGGATGATGACTCCGATATCCCTCGTGCATACCGCAACATTATGGTGTCTATCCATGCAATTGCAACTTTCAAGGCCCTTGACGACTACTTGCGCCCTCGCATCAGTATCTCTGAGCGCTCAAGGAGCTCCAGACATCGTGATGGACTGAGCGGTGCGCTTGCAGCTCTTGCCGCAGCGGGCATGGCCAATCCTTACGGACCTCCTAGCGCGGCCTCGAGACTGGCAGAGCGTCAATTTGCTGCTGCCATGGCTGGACACGCTGCCCCTCCTCCACCTCCCGCTGCTTCTAGAAGCTCGCGTAGGCACAAGTCGAAGACTGCGCCAACTGCAACTCCAGCATCGGCCGCGGAATCAGCAACTGGAACCCCGCAAGAAAAGTCTGCCCGCCGCTCTAGTCGCCGCCGACAGTCTCAGACGGATCAACCTCCTCCTCCGCCACCTCCCCCTCAGCAAGATGATGATAGCTTGCAGGGTGCCCTTGAGTGTGCTGATGAGAGAATGCTCTCGGAAGACGATGAGATAGATGATAGCGCTGCCCTTGATGCAATTGTTGGCGAGCTCAATGAAGAGATGGAGGAGGACAATGGTGAGGATCCTGGAGCTGTTAACCTCGAGGTTGCAGTGGGTGGAAAGATTACAGCCAGAAAGGAGGATGGAACCAAGGTAGCCACGCCTGCACAAGCACCGTCCGCCTCAGCAGCCGCACACGGCCCATCTTCCGCGCAGCCAGCTACATCCGCACCACCTGCCGCTGCCACTCCAACCCAATCAAACAGACCGATGTCTTATGCTGCGGCAATCCAAGCCACCCCTCAGGATTGGCACATTGAGTTTAGCCTCGACGACAAGCCTATCTCTAATGAGATTACAATCTACAGAGCTGTCCACAGCACTACCGGGCATATTGATGAGCAGACAAGCCGCAACGTTTGGTCGGGCGTCCACGCGATCAAGTTCAAGCGTGTTGCAGGACCACCCCCAGCTGAACCAAGTTCCTTCATACAGGCAAACGAGGCTGCTGAGACAACCGCGTCTGGAATTCCAGCTTCATTAGACAAGCACCCAGCCACTTCCTCGATTCTGAGGCTTTTGAACATCCTTCATGCTCTTAACGCCAACATCGATGACGTTTTGGCCGAGAACAAGGACACGCTGAAGCTCAATGTCGAGCCCCTGTCTCAATTCGTCAACACGAAGCTCACCGCGAAGCTCAATCGCCAGCTTGAAGAGCCGCTTATTGTAGCGAGCAATTGTCTGCCTAGCTGGAGCGAAGATCTGGCTCATTTGTACCCGTTCCTCTTCCCATTCGAGACGAGACATCTGTTCCTCCAATCGACGTCGTTTGGGTACGCCCGATCCATGACGCGCTGGCAAAATGCCCAGTCTGCGGATGAATCCCGCCGCGATCGCCATAGAGACGAGCGGCCATTCCTTGGGCGATTGCAGCGCCAGAAGGTTCGCATTTCGCGTTCCAAGATTCTCGAGTCTGCCTTGAAGGTTATGGAGCTCTACGGTGCCTCCCAGAGCATGCTGGAGGTCGAATATTTCGACGAGGTAGGAACGGGACTTGGACCTACGCTGGAGTTTTATTCGACGGTGTCTAAGGAGTTCTCCAAGAAGAAGCTCAAGTTGTGGCGTGAAACCGAGGGCAACGATAGTGACGAGTATGCCTTTGGTCTACGCGGTCTCTTCCCAGCGCCCATGTCTGAGGAGCAGGCACAGCATGAGAATGGCAAGAAGATCCTGCACCTGTTTAAGATGCTTGGCAAGTTTGTGGCTAGGTCCATGATTGATTCTCGTATTATTGATGTTTCATTCAATCCTACCTTTTTCAGAATTGGAGATGAGTCTACAACCGTAACGCCTAGTCTTGGAGCTGTCAAGACCGTCGATGCGCAGTTGGCGGCTTCGCTCAAGTTGATCAAGAAGTTTGTGCATGCGAAGAAGGCTGTTGATGAGAATGGTAGCCTTACTGCGGCTGAGAAGGTCGCTGCTGCTGAGAATATTCTGGTCGCTGGTGTGCGCATTGACGAGCTTGGACTGGACTTTACGATGCCTGGGTACTCGACTATCGAACTCATTCACAATGGATCACACACAGCAGTCACTATCGACAATGTAGACCTGTATCTCGAGAAGGTCATTGATATGACTCTCGGAAGTGGCGTACAGAGACAGGTCGACGCGTTCCGCACTGGATTCACGCAGGTGTTCCCGTACTCGGCATTGAGCGCATTTACCCCGAACGAGCTGGTTATGCTGTTTGGTCGTGTAGATGAGGATTGGTCTTTGGAGAGTATGTTTTGCCCCTATGCATATTATTATTGTTCTGTACTAATTACGATTGCAGCATTGATGGATTCGATCAAGGCCGACCACGGTTTCAATATGGACAGCAAGAGTGTAAAGAACCTCCTCCAGACTATGAGCGAGTTGAGCGATACACAGCGTCGTGATTTCTTGCAATTCACTACGGGTAGCCCGAAGCTTCCTATTGGAGGTATGTATCTTCCTACATGAAGTGTATCCCTTTTCATTACTGACAGAAAGCACAGGCTTTAAAAACCTCACGCCGCTGTTCACTGTTGTCTGCAAGCCAAGCGAACCACCTTACACCTCGGATGACTACCTCCCTAGCGTTATGACGTGCGTCAACTATCTCAAGCTGCCTGATTATACCGATCTGGAAGTCATGAAGCGTCGCATGGACACTGCTATCAAGGAGGGACAGGGTGCTTTCCATCTGTCTTAAACGAACAAAAGTAGTGCCGAATTTTGGGCCCTCTCCGAGTTTGAGGGGTCCACTTAATTTTACCAGCTTTCTATGATGCGCCCCTTTTCTAAGCGGACATCCCACCAAAAAAAGAGAATGTGCATAAATCGTTTGAGGTGTGGCTACGTCTTTTTATCTTCGTTACTTCCTTTTTTTTATGACGTTTTTTTCGGAAATGAATGGGAAATATGTATTTATCGAGCTCTTTTTGCAACCCTTTCCCCCGGATATGATAGGCATGAGATATGACGTTCCCGTTTTTTCAGGAGGAGGGGACGCCAAGAAAGATAGCATCAAAGGAAGTTTTAGGCGTTGGGGATGGATCGATGGATGGGGGGAGGGGAGGATGAGGAGTTGATGTACTGATTTGATGGATGCTGGTTTGTTGGGATGGGTTAGCTTAGATAGATAGGGGAATTGATCGGTTTTTGATGTGATACTGGTTTGTCGCATGGTGGGGATGTTTGGTGCTGTGTATGAGGGGGGATGTGTTTGGTGAATCATCCCCCTTTGTTGTGTAGCTCTTATTACCCCTGGATTCAAACATCCCGTTGTCTACCTCATCTTTACACAACCATGAATCCGTCTCAGCCGCCTCCTTTAATGGCTAGTCGGATTTTGGCTCATTCTGTAACCACTCATTTTGCCGGACAAAGGATGTAGGATTTTCTAAATCGAGAGATCCATTCTCTCGACGGCTCTGACGGGATGTTTCGCCGCAGATAAAGGTCTCGGTACTCACACATGTCTATATGAGTAATAAATCAGTAGTATTCACTCACTGGTGTTGTCTGGACAGAGTAGGTTAGCGTATTCCCCCCTCCAGCTAGCAAGGGTCCTTTTTAGCGTTTGGTCATTAAAATGTCATAATGCGGGCGCATCTAACCCAAACCCCCACCAATGACTCTGTCCCAGAATAAACAATAACATGAACATGGACGGCAGCCTTATTTACGAAGACCGCACATACGCATACGAATCTCCGCTTTCTCTTCCTTTCGACTAGATATGCGAGTTTAATATTCTGATTATTCATAATCTTGTTGTATCTATGGCGCCCGAGAGGTACAAAAGCTGGGCGCAAATGGGGGAGGAGGAGCGCAAAAATTGGGAGCAGATGGGGGAGGAGGGGCGCATTGCCGAGCTTAAGGTATGTCTAGATCGCTTTGTAGGGGAGTGGAAAAAGCGTATAATTTGTGCTAACAGTTTATCCGCACAGCCGCACTATTGCCCACCATTGGATGAATCGATGTTCCTGGCCATCCTGTCAGATTACGATTACGATCTTTCGTTGCCGATAAACTTAGAGAATGCGTGCAAGAGCCTTGACATGCTGGCGGAGGATGCTGAAGTTGAGGAGTCCATGGGGTTCGATCCGAGTGGGAGTAGTGGTGCGGTAGTGGGAGATGGGGCGGATGCTGTGGCGCAGGATAACAGTGAGGGGCATAGCACGTTTGCTTGGAGTAGCACGACGGATGATACGTCGCTGAGCCAGGGCTTTGCGACACTTGGTCTCGAGGGGGAGGATTTGAGGGATGCGGGTCGACAGAATTCGCAAGATAGAGCCGCGGGGGGCGAGGCTAATAGCTATGATGCCCAGTTCAAGGGGATGGACCTTGCTGCGAAGGAGGCTGTGCTCGTGGAGACTTTCCCAGGCCTGAAGCCGTATGATATCAAGCATACGCTCAAGATGTGCAAGAGCGATACCGAGAAAGCCATGGAAGAGCTGCTGAACCAAGTTTACCTTGAAGAAAACCTTGGTCGGCGACAGGGGGTCGATGGGTTCTACGAGGAGAGCGATATCCCACCCGTGAAGAAGAAGGGTCGGAATCGGAAAAAGAGACAGGAACCATCAACGCAAAATTATGTCTCGACGACTTCTGACACGCGTCCGGAGGTTGCTGAGAGCAAGTGGGAGAGCGCCAGACGCGATGTCGAGACCATTTCAAACCTTACCGGCATGCCAACCAAGCAGGTTGGGTCACTATATCACAAGCACGGCACTCTTGTCCCGCCAGTACTCAATGCCATCATCGACGCCCACCAAGAACTCGGACTCGACGATAATGACAGTTCTATGCATCTCAAAGCCTTGGAGCTGAATCACGACTACCCCGCCATCCCAATAACGAGGCTCCTAGCCATCGTCCAAATATGCACCTCCGCTCACTCATCACCCCGCGACCTCGTCAGGGCTCTCACATCCCGACCATACAGCAGCGGTACACAATCCCCCATGAGTCCCATCCAACTAGAATTCCGCCTTCCACCCCCCGACCTCTCCGGCCCCTCAGAGAGCAAGCTGAAGCCAAACTCCCACAACGCAGTCTACGCCAATGGGCAAAGCTCGCAACAGACCTCTGCTTACGCCACAGATGGCAGGGACTACAAGGCCCTCAGCAACGGAGCCTACAACCAAGCCGCCGCCGCCTACAAAAGAGGCAAGTCTGACCCCCTGATGGGCGGCGCCGCGGCGTACTACTCCTCTGTCGGCCGTGACTACGGCGCGAAGGCTAAGAGCGCCACGTCTGCTACTGCGAACGCGACAGCCGCGAGGCAGTCGACTGCGTCACAGCTGGATCTTCACGGGATTGGCGTCGCGGACGCGGTGAGGATCGCGAGGGAGAAGGTGACATCGTGGTGGGTGGGATTGGGGGATCGAGTGAATGGTCATGGGGGGTATAAGATTATTACGGGGAAGGGGACGCATAGTGAGGGGGGAGTGGCGAGGGTTGGGCCGGCGGTTAGTAGGATGTTGATTCGGGAGGGGTGGAGGGTTGAGGTGGGGAGTGGGTCGATGGTTGTTACGGGGGTGGTGAAGGTGGGGAAGGGGATGTGATTTGATTTATTTTTACTGTCTTGTCTTTGAAGCAGGGCGTTGGGTTAGGGTGTTTGGATAGCTTGGGTATAGCGAGCGAGAGCCATATCTTGGAGCTGGTGCATCGATGTCTTGAGTAGGGAATATCTACGTGGATACAGCGTTGCATTTTTTATATCGATGTTAGATTTACCTATGCGGATATAGCGTTGATTTTGTAGAGCAGTGTTAGATTTCACTAGCAGCCGAATGTCAGTATATACGCGACTATAATCCTCGTCCAAAATTGTGTAGTAATGTTTATTCGGTCAAGCAACTTATAATATATACCCCATCTCTACTCCTATAACGAGTCCTTCCCCTTGTCATACTCGGACAAATCATACTCATCCGGATACCTCTCCAAAATATCCTTCAACTCCGCCCTCTGCGCCTTCAGCTCCGGCGTCAACTCCTCATAGATATCCTCAAACATACTCAAAATCTCCGGCTTCTTCTCCTTCTCCGCCGCCGAAAACGCCTTCAGCAGCTCCTTTTTGATCGACAACCGCGCCTCCGTCTCCTTCGTATCGTCCCACAGCCCCTCGTTCTCGAGGTACTTCCGGAACCGCGTGATTGGGTTATCACGGCGCTTCCAGTCCTCGACTTCCACGCGTGCGCGGTAGGCGAAGGAGTCATCGGATGTGCTGTGGTGGGACACGCGGTAGGACATCGCTTCGATGAAGACTGGCTTCGCCTCGCCGCCGTCGGATGTGCCGAGGCAGAGATCCTTGGCCCTCTTGGTGGCTTCTCGCACAGCGAGGATATCGTTTCCATCGACACGGATACTGTTGATACCGTAACCCGCAGCACGGCTGACGATTCCATCGCCACGGTACTGATCCGCCGTCGGCGTGGAAATCGCATACCCGTTATTGCGGCAGATGAAGAGCACAGGACATCCGCGTGTAGCCGCAATATTAAACGCAGCATGGAAATCACCCTCTGACGCCGCGCCCTCGCCAAAGAGGCAGACAGCGATGCGTGGAGTGGACTTAGGGCTGCTCAAGTGCTGCATCTTCAAGGCGTATGCGGCGCCAGCAGCATGGGGCAGTTGGGTGGCTAGGGGGGAGGAGATGGTGTGCACGTTCAGGGCGGTGCTGCCGTAGTGGACGGGCATGTTGCGGCCGCGGCCGGGGTCTTTGATGTTGGCGAAGAGCTGGGACATGGCGTCCGTGAAGGTGAAGCCGCGTTGCATCAGGAAGCCGACTTCGCGGTATTGGGCGAAGGCTACGTCTTCGACGGATAGGGCGGAGGAGGAGCCCACTGCGATTCCTTCCTGTGATCGGGTTAGACTTGTAGATGGCAGAGTTGTGTGGGAATCTTACCTCTCCGCTGGACACCATGTAGAATGAAATACGACCTGGACATGGAGTTAGCTGTCATGGAACTTAAGCTGACCCATGGATGAGCAGTCTACACACCTTGCCGTTGAGCATCAAGACAAATAAGATCCATTATGCTCACTCCCAACATATCCGTATACAGTTTTACCGCCTCTTCATCACTGAAGTCTCGTTTGTAGGTCTTGTCGACAATGACGCCCTCGCTGTCCATGACCCTGTAGCACGATATAACGTCATTATCCTTCGGGTTATGGAAATTCAAGTCGGTGGTAAATTTGGCCTCCAGTGCACCAGGGAATCGCAGTCGATCATCCTTGTGCTCGCCCGATCGTTGAGGGGCTCTCGAGAAGCATCGTCGTGGGGCAACCCGGCAGACTGACGATAATGATAATGAGCGGCCAGCACGCGCCAAACAGGCTCTTGGGATACGGGAATTCATGGTTGTAAGATGAGGATTATTGCATGGTGTCTGCCACCGAGAAACATTTATTTCCTCTCGTAGATTTCCCCTCAAAGCCAGAGCGGATCCCTCAACGTCGATGTTCACTTGTTCGCCGGCAGACCGTGGGGAAGCGTGGACACCGACCTAAGCCGCCTCTATCCGACTCGCTCTGGTGCGGCCTGTCCATTTTGTTTTGGGGTAACTCAATGGACGGATTACGTAAGGATTGCTCCCGCGTTGCGGTCCATGCACAGCACAATGCATCCTTACGTAAGCAACGGGGCTGCTCGGAGACTTTAACTTATTCTTGGCGCTGGGAAGCTTTCCGTAGCGTAGCCTTGCTTGAAGCCAACTCCAGACATAAAAAGATTCAACGCTGAATTGAGGAGCACAATGGCCTCAAGAACATTATGTAGGCCTTTGGCAAGGTCCGCATTGAGGGCTACCGCACCTTCACGGACTTTCACAGCATCAACTCTATCCCGCCAGGCGCAAGGGTCGCCGAACCCGCAACAGAACGGGGAGAAATATACTCACTTCGGCTTCGAGAATGTTGCAGAGCATGAGAAGGCACAGAGAGGTACGCCCTTCCCTTCCCTTACTTTTTCCCCTACTCTCCACCAACTCTCCGCTAACCAATTCCTAGTCGCCGGCGTCTTCTCCTCCGTCGCCAGCTCCTACGACACCATGAACGACCTCATGTCCCTCGGCATCCACCGCCTCTGGAAAGACCACTTCGTGCGCTCCCTCAACCCCGGATCCAACTCCGGCTCCCTCACACCCACCACCGGCCCCTCCCCCTCGCAAGGCTGGAACATCCTCGACATCGCCGGCGGCACGGGAGACATCGCATTCCGCATGCTCGACCACGCCCACAACGTGAACCACTCCCCCCACACCCGCGTCACCGTCTCGGATATCAACCCCGACATGCTGGCAGAGGGCCGCAAGCGCTCGCTTGAGACGCCGTATGCCAACTCCAAGAACCTCGATTTCTTGGTCGCCAACGCGGAGGAGCTCCCTGTTCCGGACAATAGCGTGGATCTGTACACTGTCGCCTTCGGGATTAGGAATTTCACCGACAAGGAGAAGGCCCTGCGCGAGGCTTACCGCGTGCTCAAGCCCGGTGGAGTGTTCGCGTGTCTTGAGTTCAGCGGTGTCACGAATCCGCTGTTTGAGGCCGTGTATAAGAGGTGGAGCTTTGGTGCTATTCCGTTGATCGGCCAGCTCGTCGCGGGGGATAGGGCGAGCTACCAGTATCTGGTTGAGAGCATTGAGAAGTTCCCGAGGCAGGATGAGTGGAAAAACATGATCCAGGCTGCTGGGTTCGTGGTCCCAGGGAAGGGGTGGGAGGATTTGACTGGTGGGATCGCTGCGATTCACAAGGGTATCAAGCCGGTTGAGAAGTTGTAAGGCAATCCCTTCACACTTATGTTCTATTTTTGTACAGTATATTACAGGAATGGCATGGCACGGCGTATCACAAGGCAAGCGTGGGAGTAGTATTATAGAGCACAAGGCTCAATTGTATCATATCTGATTTTTCTATGCCACATCTTCATCTCCGTCCCCATGGGCAACCACGAAAGCGTGACCTTACAAATACACGCAGCGCCAGTGCTTGCAAAGAGGCAGAGGAGTACTATGCTCAGAAATACAAGGAAGGAAAAGTAATAGCTATCATCGCAATCAACGTGATAAACGTGAGGCGTAAGCTAAAGGTAACTCCAGCCCCATCTCAAAGAATCCCGAATACAAGTAATGCCTAGTCGCCTACGACAAGAGAAATATGGCCATTAAGGTTATCATGAATCGAGAATGTTGGTGGAACAATGCGACAAGGTAAAAGGTATATCGTGAATGCAAGACTTAAGAAGTAGGTGCGGTCGATGTCGCCGGAGCAGCTGGCGCCGATGTCGTAGGTGAGGTGTTGCCGTCGCCCTTGAAGCTACCTCTTCCACCGCGAGCGCCGCGCCCTCCCCTCTCAGTGCTGCCTCGTCCACCTCTGGCTCCACCACGGCCACGTCCGCCACGGCCACTCTCGCTGTCGCTAGCGCCTCCTGCGCTTCTATACCCGGCCTGTGGTGCATTTGGGTTGCTGCCACCACGGCTGCTACCCCAGTTGCCTGCACCGCCACGGCTAGTTGGGTAAGTGCCCCTGCTGTCCTTGGCAAGGAAAATCTTCACGAGCGGCCTGCTGCGATCCTCCATGGAACGAGTCTTGACATCATCTGAGAGGCGTGCCAGTGCCTCATCTCTCTCCTCGGTTGTCTTGAACTGAACAACCTTGTTAGACTGGCCCCATTTGTCGATCTTCACGATCTTGGCCTTATCCTCCTCAACAAAGAGATCCCTAACGGCGTCGTCGGTTTGAACGTTCATAACAAACAGACCGATGATATCCTGGGACTTCTGAACTGGCGAAGCGGCAGCATCTGCAGAACCGTTGGTCGCCGATCCATTGGCACCAACTGCGGGAGCCTTCTCATTCTCCTTGGAGGCAGCAGGAAGGTTAACTACGTTCTGAGCCGGTTGCGGGGTGGCTGGCTTCTGTCCTTGGAACGGGGCAGGCGAGCCTGTTGCGCGTGGCGGGTTGCTTGCTGGTCCCCTTGGCTGCTGCTGCTGGTTTGACGCACGTTGCTGTGGAGCATTGAATGGCTGCGATGCAGCTGGTACTGCAGGAGAGCGAGTTTGAGCCGGTCCAGATGGCACCGAGGCGAGTGCGTGGCTTGCTCCAGGAGTACCAGATCCCGTCGCCGGTGCCTGGGCAGGCTGCTGCTGGTTAGCCTGAGCCGGGTGTTGCTTGGCACCACGGTGGGCGAAGTTGAAGCCTTGAGCTCTCATTTCGGTTCCGATTCTGCCATCCTGGATCTCCAGAACCAACCATCCAAATGCCGCGTCTGCCAAGTTGAAGTTCCACATGTTCTTGAAGGCACTCTCGTCAACTTGTCCAATAGCCGTAGCATTAGAACCACCAACAGGGCCACCGAATGGGTTACCACCGTGGGCAGTCGTGGGCATCTTCTCAACTATGCCGAGGGCATTGTTGAGGAGATTTTGCTGTGCCTCATTCTGTTGGATCGCTGGCTGAACCTCACCCTTGACAGTCTCCCATACGTCGTTGAATGATGCCTTGGAGGCAGCGAGCTTGCCACGGTAATGGTCAAGAGTAGGGTTGACACTGAACTCGTTGTAAGAGCTACCGTAGCGGAAATGAAGACCAGCGGAAATTGAGAAGTCTGCCTTCAGGGTGACAGACAACTGGTTCAGAATTCCCTCCCTGGCGGGCGACGCATGCGTGATGAAAACACGTGTCTCCGTTGGATCGTACACGCGGTTTGCAGTATCTACCAACTCACCCATCTGCAGTAGAGTGGTCCACATGGTTCCCTGTCCTCCAGCGATGGTGGTGCGACCCTCGCCATTGTCGAACAACTTGTGCATGACAACTGCTCCGCCAAGACCTAACAAACGCAGCTTAACACCTCCAACCTCCAGGAGCATCGAGCGCGCCTCGTCGATAATGTGAAGCTTGTCGACTTTGTATTCACCAGAACGGAACTTCTCGAGAACTCTGACATCCTCGCAAGCTCCCCAGACGGTGTAGACTGGAACATCCAGCTTGAGCGATCCATTGAGGAAAGATGGAAGCTCGGAGAGAGGTAGATCGCTCGCTGGGAAGCGGGACTTTACTGGTCCTGATTGTCCCGGTTGCTGAATTGCCTTCTTTATTGGTTCGGAAATCAAAGGTGAGTATTGAGCGACATGCTTGAGGGTCCTAATCACACGAAGTCAGCAATGCGATACTGCGATCTGAAGCACATGATGTGCTTACTTGTCTGCGATACGATCCAGGGAGGTCTCATCGTAGAAACCAAAGTCGCCAGTGTGTATGATGTGGTCGGCGCGAGCTTGTTTCGCAAGTTCGTTCAGCGATCTTAAGTTGCCTTCAGTGGCGTTAGTATTTAGCGTCGATGGTGGTCAGATTGGAACACACCTCGAACGTCTGCTACGCAAAGCACTCTGACACCCCCGGTTTGTATGACACGTCCATGGTTCGGAAGAAGAGGTGCGGCTCCTTGTGGTAGGCCGGTGTGACCTGCTGTGGCGCCGTTGGGAAGATAGCCTCCTTGGTTGTTGTAGGTATGAGGACGCTGCTTCATGGTTGTGATTAGCCTCAGTCCATTTAGTTTTGGGGTGGCTCGAGAGCCTCGGTGGTGCGGGTGTTGTTGTGCAGCCAAATTAATAGTTGCAGTCATGTTGAGAGCTTAGGCAGCTGAAACTGCAGGTGGCGTGGTATCGGTATGTGAAGTTTTTGAGGCTGAAGTATGAGGAGAGACGGGAGGGAAGGGTTTAACTAACAGAAGCCATGATATTGAGATGGGGTGGTGGTGCACGTCGCGCAGTTCAAGGAAGGTGTCGTGGAGACTTTGTATCTCAGTTAACGGAAGGAACGAAGGTGGTGTGGTGGTCGGGGTGTAGAGTATAGAGGGAATTGTAGTGTAGATGCACAAAGTTTGAGGAAGGAGGAAAGAGAGATGGAAGTGAGTTGCGATAGTAGTAAATAAGGTAGGAGGATCTTTATGCAGCAGCGACAATTGACGGAACTTCTGGTCTGAGATTGCCTGATTTGGAGTAGCGTGCTTTTGTCTTATTGGCGAACAAACGCGTTGAAGGCCTCGCCTCCTTAAATGGAACAGGAACTGGCAAGAACATGGGAAAACAAACAAAACAGAGTCAATCAGTAAACGGGAAGAGGCTCAATTCATGGTGAATTCACCATTCTGATCACCTTCTTATTATATTTATCTAGTTCGATTACATTATTATTATCGGGTTAAAACTGTGAGTGGGGTATCACTATAGCCAGGTGAAGTGATAGCTTCACGCAAGGCATCATCAAGAAACGGCCGTTGTCCTTCTCCAAATCATCACTGCCGCGACCGCCGCGCATACGGTCGCTCCTAGGGCTACATACAGGCCCGTCCTGTCCGGAGGCTCCTCCTCGCTCTTTGGGAAGGCGATGCTGGGGTTGATGGCCGCCTCCGCCAGTGTGACAAATAGCTCGCTAATGCTATGCCATGTAACGCTGACATGGAGAGGCGCATTCATCATCAGGCCAACAGTGTACTGGTCTGGCTGCTGCTCGCTCCTCTGCGTCGTCTTGTCGAGGTCTGCTTTGAGGGCAACGTAGATATTCGGAAGATCATCGAGGTGCGGGTATTTCTTCCGCAAATTGACAATGTGAGAAAATGAATCGGGATCGGACGAGTCGTACGTGTAACAGATCAGATCACATGCCTCTAGTTTCGATGTATTCTCCAGGATGGCAGGTTCTAACTCGCCAAGTTCCTCCAGAATGAGGTAGCATTGCTTGCCGCCCTGAAGCTCCACACTATTGACAGCAGTGCGAGGTTTGATGGTTGGATGATACAGCGAATCGAACGGCCGATTGAGGAAAGCGTCCAGTAACGATGATTTTCCAGAACCTGGGGCCCCGAGAACGTAACACAGCATTACATTGCGTTCAACACGGCCTGGTCGTCGGCGCCTCTTGCGAGCCTTGGTTATTTTCAGGGCAGCCGTCGTAGATTCACGCGAGCTTGCGGGTTCAAAGCCAAGGTACGCCAGGTACGACAGAGTAGTTTTAGGTTCGACGAACGTCGTCATACTCCATTGGGCCAGCCAGCCCTGAAGAGTAACAAGACCAGCATCGTTGCGCACTGTGGAGGAAGGGAAGGAGGAATCGTTCCATGATTGCGGTAAACCAGGGGTTGGGGCGAATAGTGCAGCAAGTTCGTCGTTGTTAAGTCCGCCATCGTTGTCCTTATCAAAGACCAGAAATAAATCAACGAAGAACCGGTACCCAGCTGGGCTAAGTTCGGCTGAGGCGTATTCGGGGACGTCAAACTTTGGGTTGAGGAAGCTATCCTTAAGGCTGAGACTGTCGGTGTACTGGAACGTCCTCAGGATGATCCAAATAGTCTCATGGCGACCCTTCTCCGCAAAAATCTTGTTTAAGTGTATAAACCCATCGATATCAATACCCTGATCCACAGTTGACCGCTCGGAGCCCCGTGTTATGGATAGCTTGATGTTCTCGAGATCATCTGGCGACAAGGGTTTCTGGAAGCATTTGGCCTGAAAGGCGTGCATCTCCTGGTCGTTCAAATAGCCGTCCTGGTCCTTATCACACAGATAGAAGATCCTCCGTAGAGCAGCTACTGCTGAAGGCTTCAGCACGCCTTCTTTCGAATCAAAAAGTGGGGCGATAGGGTGTGTCACAGCCTTTTGACACAGGAAGAAGACTTCGTTGACATTGTGATGTTCGCGCGCGCTTGTTCTGATGCAAGAATCGATTTCTTTGAACTCCGCCATCACCGGGAGCATCTCATCTTCCACAACCTGCGCAGTAGTGCCATTTGCGGTAATGTCGGACTTGTTTGCACAAAGCACAACGGGGACGTTGACACCAAGCGACCGAAAATACGGCATCCAGAACAGAGCTACGCGCTCATAGCTGTAGTGATCCGAGTATACCAGCAGAATAACATTTGACTTTCGGATTTCCTTGCGTAACGTGTTTCTCTCTTGTGGCAGGGCAGATGTATCGACGATTGTCGTGGTAACATTCTCTGGGGTGCCGATGCTTGGTGGGATAGTGATATGCGGCAGAACCGATTGTATTTTATTCGTCACAAAGATGTCTTTCACCAGCGATGTTATCAAGCTGGACTTCCCCGTCCCTTCATCGCCACAGACACATATGCGCACTGAAACGGTCAGTTACTATTCATACAAAAAGAATTATCTAACGCTGCGGCAGGGTTTCTCCGCTGTTACTGACCTGTCGCCATGGAGCCGGCCACGCACGCTACGAGCAACCGATATGTTTATTGGCGGTCTTCACAGGCAATCATTGCGATCAACCTGAAGCTTGCGAAAAGTATCCGGAGAGATAGACAGTTCAGTCGATGGTTGCTGGTTTCTTCGGAGGTTGATTTGAGTTGAAACTCCTATCTATTGATTGCGAAAGGGACGCTGCGGGCAACAGCTCTGTCTGTGACCCACCTTCGAACGCGGCGGAAGCCCGTGCCGGACTTTAAACGATGTACCCCGTTTTCCACGTGTGGGCGTATATCGCAGACACAATGGGAGACTCCTCAAGGAAATAAATTCTGTTATGCACAGATTTTACCGGTATTTTTATAGGGACTAGATGCGATAGTGGCAGAGTCGTCATTACTGCCTACGATAATAACGTCAGATCACGGATCCCCTCGCGGCAGGAAGGCATGAATGATCGCCAGCTGTTCGAGAACGCAGCTCCACTTACCCCACACTGTGCTAGACCCTCCATAAACGCCTACAAGGCAAGGTACTGTACATACAATACTACCTCGTCAGGAATTGATCCAAGCAATTGAGCCGCCAGGCACTCTACTTCGACGTCTCACCCCCCGATCTCCTCTCTGCGAAGGCTCAAGGCGACGACGTACTTATCGCTCGGACTAATCGCACTTTCAACAATCGAGCCGGCGAGTAAAAGACGTTAGCGATCATGTTGTAAGTCGCGCAAGCATTCAATGGCGCAATGCTCCGTGGCTCCCCATACTGACGAGATCTTGCTATAGTGTTCTTCCGCCCCCTCCTCGGTATCCCACGCATGCGGCCTACAATGCAGCTATAGCTGCTGGGCAGGTGCCGCCTATGATCGAGACGAACAATATCCTATCAACCCCAACAGGACCTGAATATCAGCTGCTCGTCGGAGAAGGTCAGCATCGCCACCTGATGTAGACGGCAATACTGACGAGACCTGGCAGGGACATACGTGCTTAAAGAGGATTTACATCTGGCTACACCTCCACCGCACCCTTCTGAGGCTCCGATTATTAACCCGAATCCTCTTGCCACAAATCCCCAGCCGGCCTCGGCCGGGACAAAGATATCATTACTATCCCTCAGTACTCGCAATTCAGCGCCATATTACTTCAGGCAAAGGGCAAATTCGAGATTGAATGCGCCTATACATGAGCACCCAGGTGAGGAGCGCGCTTCGGCAGAGCTGAGCAGCGAGGGTGGCGCAGGTAGCCCGCGAAGCAGTAACCTAACCCGCCCATTATCCCATGCGTCTACCCCGGCGTTCGGAGAAGGCAATTCGATGCTTTTACCCCAAGTAGGCAAAGATGCCTCGAAACGCCGGAAGCCGAAGAACAACATGGCAAAAAGCAACTCTTCGTTCATATCTCGTGTGATCACTAACGAAGGGTTGGCCAAGCGCCTGGCGGACCGTCCTTCGGATGGGTTGTTCGCATTTGTTAATGTTAATCGAGCCTTCCAGTGGCTGGATCTGTCCTCGCCGAATAAGGTAAGACTAACAAGAATCCTGTAAAAAGCGGTACTAAAATCAATACAGCAAGATCATCTGACCAAGATACTGTTTACGAAAGCTCACTGTTTGTGCCACGATATTAATAGCGTGACGAAGAGCACCACTCATATGGACTTGATTATGGGCTTCTCTACCGGCGAGATTATATGGTATGAACCAATCTCGCAAAAGTATACACGTCTAAATAAGAACGGAATCATCAATGCAACTCCCGTATCGGAGATTCGCTGGATCCCTGGATCCGAGAACCTTTTCCTCGCAGCACATATGGATGGCTCTCTTGTTGTATATGATAAAGAGAAGGAAGAGGCCGCCTTTCTTCCAGAAGAAAAGAGCAATGAGGCTTTGGATGCCATCATCGAGGCTGGCGGACGTGAGAGCTTGCACATCGAGAAATCCGTCCATTCTAGAAACCAAAAGGTCAATCCGGTGTCGTTCTGGAAATTATCTAACCAGCGGATTAATGCGTTTGCATTTTCGCCAGACAGCAGGCATCTTGCGGTTGTCTCGGAAGATGGCACTCTCCGGATCATTGACTACTTGAAGGAGGAGTAAGTTGCTCGCATCACCTATCCTTCTAGTTTCCAAGCTAATCTATGTATTAGGCTCCTGGATCTTTATACGAGCTATTATGGTGGCCTCTTATGCGTGTGCTGGTCGCCTGATGGGAAATACGTCCTCACGGGTGGACAAGACGATCTCGTTTCTATATGGTCAATGACCGAGTCAATGATCGTTGCGCGATGCCAGGGACATCAATCGTGGGTAACAGCAGTAGCATTCGACCCCTGGAGATGTGATGACAGGAACTACCGTTTCGGAAGCGTTGGAGAAGACTGCAGGCTATTGCTGTGGGATTTCAACGTGGGCATGTTACATAGGCCGAAAGCTGTAAGTTCAACTATGTGACAAAGGTTGAGAACAAGGATTCTAACACTCCTAGGCTTCGGTGCGGCACAGAAACAGCGTCTCCTCGCGTTTCACAAGTGCGCTTCAGAGAGCTGAAACGCAGACGACAATAGCGAGCCGGGTTAGATCCGATTCCAACATATCCACAGACACGGACGAGGGATTGAAGACCGGACACCCTGTAGAGCCAAAGTCGCGGGTCGCTATACTCCCCCCTGTACTGGTAAGTGCAGTGCTAAACAGACTTTGAATGCAAGATCTAACCCAATACAGTCCAAAAACATCGATGCAGATCCTCTCTGCTGGCTGACATTCACCGAGGAGGCGATTATAACAAGTTGCAAGACTGGTCATATTCGAACTTGGAGTAGGCCGACTGATGCTGCTGGCACCCCTGAGAAGCCTGCTGTGTAAAGCATAACTTACTCCCGGTTACAATATAAGCACATATCAGACAGAGGCCTTGCAACCTGTTATAGGGCTGGCAGGCCCGGCATCGATGGTCTGAAGGCAAGGCAGATGGAAGCAGGATTGTTTGAACAAGGTTACAAGCATACTTTATTACAGTGATGTGTGTTTGGATTGCGGCTGACGTGGTGATATCGTTACATTGGAGTGATCAGTTACTGTCGCACGACGCCTCGTGTCTCAATGCCACATGGTGAACCCCAATGGTACCGGAACAGACACTGAATGAGACATGAGGCTTGAGCCATAGGTTCTAAGAATTTTTATGATCTATTATTTGACCACTGAACGCTTCCAATCGGTGTCTTGTGATTCTCTGTCCCATACCTTTAGTCTCTGATGAGATTTTTTTGATTACTGAGCGCTCCGAATCGGCGCCTTGTGATTCTCAGTCTGATGTTCTCAATCTCTGATCGATTACGTGCTGTGCTGCCTTGTTCCTGCTGTGTTGGCAACGCGGCTGAAATACCCAACATGTGATCTCTACAGACACGATTTTCTCACCGTTTTTATGGACGCGTACGACATCGATAAGGTACGCCAGGCACGTTATTCTTACGTAGTGCGCAGCACGTGTAAAAGAAGTACCTTGGTGGTATGACATATGACACGACATGAACGGGGCCCGGGACTGGTGACACCGGTCGATCGGCTCGGCGCCTCTTGGACAGGGGGGCGAGGCCCGTTGAAGATTTACTTTTCACTGCCGTAATCATGTGGATCCTCGGCTTGGGATTGGGATTGTTGGGATACATGAAACAATTCACGGATCTAACGGCTTGCTGGAGACAAGGATGCATCAATTGTTGTTGGAAGTTAAGTATGAGGTGTTTGATAGTGGGTGCAGTATCTCCGGCGTGCTCTCTCACGTAATGCCGCGCGATGCAGCGTCGTTGGGAGCATAACGTGAGTCCGGACTTGGCGTTGGGAGCCGCTCTGAAATGCTCTTTGGGGCCAAGGACTAATCAACAGCAGACATTCAACGCCTTACATAAGTTTGTTAGCGGCAAGGACGGGTCCCGGTCTAAGTCGATTCCCATCTGACGTGGTGTCCCAAAGTCAACAACGGAAGGAACGAAGGGTACGAGGTAAACAAGCACCGAGCTTTGAGCTGGCTATCATGTGTTGGCAACATGCATTACAGCACAGTATGTACGGATATGCGGATATATGCAGTATAATACCTATCTCGGCGCTGGCAGCAAGAACAGAGCTGAGCTGTGGATTGCACTGCCGGCTTCCCTGCCGAGGCACTAGAAGGGCCAAAGACTTTCTCATATGCCCTTGGTATACGGTACATACTCTACTCTAGTCGCGCCGCGGCGCAGCCGAGCCTTGAACTCCACCAAAGAAAGTTTTCTCTGTCCCGTTTAAAATGTAAGAAAAGGAGTCAGCCAATGCTAGGCTAAGAATAGGAACACGCCTTTTTTATATAATAGAAAAAGCCCAGCCCGATGACGAATATGTGACGCCTTACTCCTTTGGAATTTATTATTCTTTTTATTTGTAAATAAGAAAAGAAACAAAACCAGCGTGATCCCCTTCTTTACTACTCGAGTAACAATAACGAAAATATCGCTGTACTGTCAATTTTGCTGTGAGATCCTGTGAAGATCTTATAACGCTAAAAACGCTCTTATCGCATTCTGGTTTCGCCACTCCGCCCGCCATACCGCCACTACCCGTAATCGGAGAGGTACCGTACCGCATGAAAAGAAAGTGGATGACACAATCGAATTGAAACAACTTTGCCTGAATCCGTTTGCTTGAATGAATTTGCCGGCAGGCCCAGCATCTCACCTACATCGCGGCCTCTGGTGACAGGTCGTTACACCAAGTTGCTCGCCATGCCAGTATTCAATCCTTTCCAGAGCGTGACGGGACGCAACAGCGCATCGCTGTTTGAGATCAGGTTGGTACATGCGGGCTCCTTCCGTAATGAGTTGCGAACTGACGGTGAATTGCAGGCTTGAATCTGATGTGATCGTGCTGAGAGGCCCTGAAAGTGAGGCCTCGAGCCAGATCCTGCGGGGTGTGCTCGTGCTATGTCTTGCTCAACCCCTCAAGGTGGAAGACGTGCATTTGCGTCTTACAGGACAGTGCAGAGTCGGGTACGTTTCTCAACAATCAAGTCAGTGGTTTATGGGATTTTTGTATTAATGGATGTGCTACAGATGGAACGACACGAGGTTGACGGGGACAGGAATCTCCAGCGGCAAGGTGGATAAAATTACAGAGATTTTGAATCACAGGTGGCCGAATTTTGTCGGGTCAGACGGCACTGGATCGTCGTCAAAGGGTGTGACGCTGGGCGCCACAAACTACGAGTGGCCCTTCGAGGTAATTATCCCAGGAAGCACAGCGGAGAGCGTGGCAGGGCTTCACGACAGTCACATCCAGTACAAGTTGAAAGCGACGATTGCCAGAGGGCGGTTGGCGTATGACCTGCACGCTTACAAGTCCGTCCGTGTCATTCGGACTCTCGACCCCGCAGCACTGGAGCTATCGCACGCCATGACGGTGGAGAACATATGGCCCAACAAACTCGAGTACTCGATCGTAATTCCGCAAAAGGCAATAGTTTTCGGAACGTCCATTGCCGTGGATATGAAATTTACGTCGCTACTCAAGGGATTGAGGATCGGCACCATCAAGTGCCACCTCGTTGAGGTACAGGAGTTCTCCATCCCAGGCCCGGCATTCTCGAATAAATCGCATAAGAAGTCGAGGGATATTGAGAACTGGGCTTTTGAAATAGATGAGCAAGAGAGCTATCGTGACATGTTGGATGAATCAGGGCAGGGTGGCTTCGTTGTGAAGGAGGTACTGCCTCTCCCCAAGTCGCTTAAGAAGTGCTTGCAGGATTGCGAGACGCATGGCATTAAGATCCGGCATAAGGTGAAGTTCAATATCGCGCTGCACAACCCAGACGGACACACCTCCGAGGTAATTATCCCCCAATGTGCCTCAAAATGACCTTTGCTAATATATACTAGCTGCGAGCTTCGCTCCCAGTCACCATCTTTATTTCTCCTAATGTACCCCTCGATGAAGCGGGCAACCTTCTCGATCAAACGCCAGACCATATCCACACGCTTGACATCGACTCCCACGCCCCTCCACTATACGGCGAGCATATCATGGATCAATTGTATGCCGGTATCGACCCTGGCATTATGACCCCATCCGCTTCGTCCGGAATGAACACACCATTCCACCTCCACTCTCGATCAGGCTCAGCGGAAAATCTTGCAGCAATGAATGGCATGTCAAGCACAGCTGTCAGACCAGATATCCTGTCCAGCAGACTACATAACCTAAGTATAGCGCCCGGAACCCCTGGCGCGTTTAGACGCCGCGGAGACGGTAGCGGAGGCAACACTCCCCATGTTACGTTTAGCAGCGACAACCTTGTTAGTCTCGGCACTTCCAGCGCCCCCTATCCAGCAGGGGGGTACTTCGACCAAGCACCAAACGGAGCGACATCGAGAAGCAACCCGATATCTCGACACCCAAGCGACGAAGACGTGCGCAGTGGTCGCACATCCGCCATAACTTCCGGTCATCAGACACCGGAGCACATCGACTACTCCGAGCTCGCGCTGAACAAGGTTCCGTCATATGCGACGGCGGTTCGGGCTCCGATACGGAATACAACGCTTAACGAACCAGAACCGTTACCCAACTACGACATGGCCATCTCTGCACCGCCGAGTCCGACCAGGGTGCATTCATTTCCTGTCACTCGTACACTAAACGACCAGTCGAGGAACATCAACAGCGAGCCTGCGACCCCGAGGCCCGAGACGCACAGGCGGAATACCTCGTTATCGCACCTAGGCCGGTCAGTGCTGAATCGGCGGTCAATGGGAGATGACGATGCGGAGAGGAGGCTGCAGCTTTTGAGGGCGAGAGCCCCATAGGTTTTGCCTATTATACCCATATATAATGGTAGATAGAAGGATTAGATAACATCCTTCTGCGGCTGCTTTTTGCGAATATACTTAATAAAGCTGGGAACGGCAACGATTGGATGGAATGACTTGAAAGGATGGGGTTTTAAGGGAATAGAAGGGAGGATTTTTGGGAGGCGTTTGGTGGGGATATCCCCAGCGGTTTTGGGGATACCTGGGTTTCTTGGATATAAATATGGCATCACTCCTCTTAGATTAAACTCGGTGATAATTAGATAATATATCTTAAACTTTAGATCATTTTGAAGTTCTTTCCTGTGTTGTGCTATACTATGTTGTGTTCAGGTGTTTGGGTTGTGCAAGGCTGAAGCCGAGCCTTTGGAGGGGTAATTTGTTGGCTCCCCGCCCCGCACTTTGTGGCTGGGATAATGACGACCTATCAAGGGCAAGCGACTTGGATTGCCAACATGTTGTTTCCGTGCCACGGCATTCATTTATTCTAACAAAGAGTTTCACGAGGGTTTATTTTTGTTTGCTTTAAGAGATACTTGCTGTATTGCTTCTCGTTTACATATAGATACCATCCCTTCAAAGTTCGACGAGCAAGAAGCTCACCACCGCCACCATGTCGCGCCATAAGATAGTCAAGAACATGGACCTCGACGACGAGATGGACGACTACGACGGCGGAGAAGACTACGCCGACGACGGAGCTGAAGGTTGGTATTCCCCTTCACATTCCACCGCATGCATACCATAAAGAGCCCTGCTAACCCCTGTCCCTAGAGCTCAGCGAAGAAGACAAAGGTTCGCCCTTCCCATATCTACCCCGCTTCTCCCCTGTGAGGTCTAAGACTGACCACCAACAGAGTCTATGAGAGTAGGCACGATATCGGTACGCGAAGCTCTCGGTGACGACGTACCGGGGATTACAGATAAGGATATACAAGAGGCGCTGTGGCATTACTTTTACGACGTTGAGAAGAGCGTGAATTACCTCCTGCAGTCGAGAACGGCGAAGAAGGAGACGGGAAAGAAGAAGGCGAAAGGTGGGTCACTATTTTCTCATCTTGAGCTTGGGGATATGGCTTGGCGGCAGGGCGAGCTTGAGGAGGGCATGGGCGCGGGAATGGGGGGTAGCTATGGTTCCGGAGGTGCGTCACCTCTTTCATTGCCATGGATTATTGAAGGGATTGTAGCTAACCCGATGGTTTTGCAGAATATATGTCACCGCCTCCTACAACTTGCTCGAATCCGTTTATACCAGCCGACTTTTGGAAGGATATGAGCTGGTTCAACGTACCCGAGGACAGACGGACGACTTTTATCGAGCCTTTATATCCCCGTGGTGGTTTAATGGGTGGGAATCCCGAGGCAGCTCCTAAAATGACCAAGCTTCAAGCTTTGGCTGCTGCCCGTAAGAAGAACGCCCAAGAGCAGAAGAATAATGCTGGAGCCAGCGATGTGACAAAGCCTATGGCCGGCTTGTCACTGGGGGCGAAGTCTGGCAACGATGAGAGCAGTGCCAGAAGCTCAGCTTCTACAGCTCCATCAGGGTCTCGTACCGCTTCCGGGAAAGAGAACACCGTCAGAAAATATACAGGGTTGAAGCGCAAAGATTCAAGTCCCCATAAGCAAGAATCGCGGCCACCAGCTTCCGTCCCAGCTTCCCCCAGCCCACCTCCAATCGAGCCCATACCCGAAGTCGAAGCTGCCGCGCCGTCCGCCTTCGCAGCAACGATGTTCGGGGACACCCTCCCAAGCCTCCGCCAGGCCCCATCCGCTGCGTTTACTTTGCCGTACTCAGACCCCCATTTACAGCCCACTGACGACGCATTTGCAGGGCCCAGCCCCGATGACCAGGTGCTAGCGGCACAGTCGAAAGGTTCGGCACAGCCAGCGATTCCGCGGAGAGCATAGATGACTAACCGAACTAATGGGAGCAGCTGCGAAGAAGGATAAGCCGCCTGCTAAGACGAGCAATGAGAAGAAGGCGGATCAGATTGCGAGTGGGGTGGAGGCGATGAGGATGGATGATACGCCGAGGGCGACGAGTAAGAATCTGGATGTGTTGGCGGAGTTTGAGAAGAAGAAGGCGAAGAATGCGGCGAATTTTGTGGTTATTGGTAGGTTTTGCTGCGAGTGGTTGGTGGTGTAGGGCTTATGGTTTTTAGGTCATGTTGATGCTGGTAAGAGCACGTTGATGGGACGTCTATTGTTAGATTTGAATGTCATCGACCAGCGGACTATTGACAAGTATCGCAAGGAAGCGGAGAAACTTGGAAAGTCTTCGTTTGCTTTGGCTTGGGTGTTGGATCAAGGAACGGAGGAGCGAAATAGGGGTGTGACAATCGACATTGCAACGAATAAGTTCGAGACTGAGAAAACCGCCTTTACCATTCTCGATGCGCCTGGCCATAGGGATTTCATCCCTAATATGATCGCGGGGGCTAGTCAGGCAGATTTCGCCGTCTTGGTTATCGATGCTAGCACGGGTTCGTTTGAGTCGGGCTTAAAGGGCCAGACAAAGGAGCATGCACTACTAGCTCGCAGCATGGGTGTTCAAAGACTCATCATTGCAATCAACAAGCTCGACACCGTCAACTGGTCCCAAGACCGCTTCGATGAGATCTCACAGCAGGTGTCAGCATTCTTGACCGCCGCAGGCTTCCAGGCCAAGAACGTCACTTTCATCCCGGTCTCGGGTCTACATGGGGACAACATCGCACGAAGGTGTACAGAGGAAGCGGCATCTTGGTACACAGGGTCAACTCTGGTGGAAGAACTGGACAACTCCGAGCCGGCGACACGCGCGCTGGATAAGCCGCTACGATTCACGATCGGTGACATCTTCCGCGGCGGCGTTCAGAACCCCCTCAGCGTCTCCGGACGCATCGAAGCCGGATCGCTCCAAACCTGCGACGCTCTGCTCGCCCAACCCAGCGGCGAAAAATGCTACGTCAAGGGCCTCGAAGTTGACAACGAGACCGCGGACTGGTCCGTGGCGGGGCAAAACGCCACTATCCACTTGACAGGCATCGACCCCATCCACCTCAAGGTCGGGGACGTGCTATGCAGCCCCTCCAGTCCAATACAATGCATCAAGACCTTTGTAGTCAAAGTCCTCGCCTTCGAATTCCTAATGCCCTCAGGCATCGATGTTCACCGCGGCCGCCTGCACGCCGCGGGGCGCGTGACAGAGCTACTAGCTACGCTGGATAAGAGTAGTGGGAAGGTGACGAAGAAGAAGCCGCGGATTGTGAGGCCGGCGAATATTGCGAGGGTGAGCGTGGAGCTCGAGATGGCGGTGCCGCTGGAGAAGGGACAGAGGGTTGTGTTGAGGAGTGGGGGGGAGACGATTGCGGCGGGGTTGATAGAATGAACAGCGTGTTCTGCACTTTGTGTTACTTGTTGGGACCCATGCTTGGTGTGTGTGTGAGTGATTAGTGATGTTGGTGCCAAGACGAAGTGCTACGGTGTATGATCTGGTCTGTCTGGCATTGATGACTGATGACTGATGACTGATGGGTTGTGGAGCTATTTTATTTTGGTAACTGTGGCCTTCTTCCTTCCTTCGTTCGTTCCTGCCTGCCACCCTTCCTTCCGCTGTGGCTTGAACCCCTTGATTCCTGGAGGATTGTGCTATTTAATGACCTTGCTGTATTTACTCTAGAGGCGAGGCTGAAGATGGATGGCGGGATCCCTAGCCTCGTTGAGCTACTGCTGCATGTCTCACACCCTGCCTCCTTTTGTTTGAGACGAAAGCAGCTGATTCAGTTGCGCGTGGAGTAGAGGAACTGGAGTTCTATGAAGTAAACAACGCAACGAAGTAAACAAATATACAATTTGCCACTTTGAAGCCGTTTAGATATGGACAGAGTATGAAATATAGAGTTTTAGCCACTTCGGTACACAGAGTGATACACCGAAGTGCACAGAGTCATTCACCAGGTACAATAGCCGTATGTTAGTTAGAGTTGCTACTCAGGACACGGTGCACTTGTACCCCCTGCACCAAGGATTAGAAAAGGTACTTGTCTTGAAATACTATTTTTGCAGACACATCAGGTACCTTCTCTACTCCAGTACATCCGGTGGCGGCACTCTCGTGGGGCGCTTCTTACCGCCATCCCTCCTCACGCCTTCGCTAACTGACCAATCACAGAGCTTGAAGTAGCCCATAACCTTACTATTAGTGACAACTTGGGAGAGGACACTTTGTCAGTCAGGCCAATGTGAGAATAATAAAGTTCCAGCGACTTCCGTCTCCGAACCTTTTGTCCCTCTCTCCTTCCCACGAACATCCTCTCTTCCCTCCCCCTTCTTTAAAACTCGCGACCTGTCCGAGTCTCTCGACAGACAAACACTACGGATCGACTCTTCGGTCTCTTTTAGAAACGCTTATTTAATTCCATTGTCGCAAAATACACATCCAACTTGATAGCTTCACAGCTGCCGTTCAAGATGGCCAGAGGAAATCAGAGCGGGCTCTTCATGGGCCTGTCTGCCCTCTTCTACCTCGTCCTCCTCTTCACCCCCCTCGCCTTCCTCCAGACCGCCAGCGCATCTTCGGAACAAGAGCCATTGGCAGCAGAGAGCTATGGCACTGGTAAGCTCTTTTATGCCACGTTTAGCTTCTGGCTGGATACTAACGTGTTTCTCCAGTTATCGGTATTGATTTGGGAACCACCTACTCTTGTGTCGGTGTGATGCAGAACGGAAAGGTCGAGATTCTCGTCAACGACCAAGGTCACAGAATTACACCATCTTACGTCGCATTCACCGAGGAGGAGCGCCTGGTCGGAGACGCAGCCAAGAACCAGGCTGCCGCGAACCCAAAGAACACTATCTACGATGTCAAGTCAGTCCCGCCACCAATTATACCCTTTATACGTAGCTTTTAACTAACATTCGTCTCAGGCGTATGATCGGTCGCAAGTTCTCTGACAAGGACGTCCAGGCCGACATGAAGCACTTCCCATTCGACGTTGTCCAGAAGGATGGCAAGCCCAACGTCCGCGTTGAGGTTAACGGCAGCCCCAAGACTTTCACCCCAGAGGAGATCTCTGGCATGATCCTTGGAAAGATGAAGGATGTCGCTGAGTCTTACCTCGGTAAGAAGGTCACCCACGCCGTCGTCACCGTCCCCGCCTACTTCAACGACAACCAGAGACAAGCCACCAAGGATGCTGGTATCATTGCCGGACTTAACGTTCTCCGCATTGTCAACGAGCCAACCGCCGCCGCCCTCGCCTACGGTCTTGATAAGACCGATGGTGAGCGCCAGATCATTGTTTACGATCTTGGTGGAGGAACCTTCGATGTGTCTCTCCTGTCCATTGACCGTGGCGCCTTCGAGGTTCTTTCTACCGCCGGTGACACCCACTTGGGTGGTGAGGATTTCGACCAGAGAGTCATCAACTTCTTCGCCAAGCAGTACAACAAGAAGAACGACGTTGACATCACCAAGGACCTCAAGACCATGGGTAAGCTGAAGCGTGAGGCTGAGAAGGCCAAGCGTACTCTCTCTTCCCAGATGTCCACCCGCATTGAGATCGAGGCTTTCCACAACGGCAACGACTTCTCCGAGACCCTCACCCGCGCCAAGTTCGAGGAGCTCAACATGGATCTCTTCAAGAAGACCCTCAAGCCGGTCGAGCAGGTTCTCAAGGACGCCAAGGTCAAGAAGGAGGAGGTCGACGACATTGTCCTCGTCGGTGGCTCTACCCGTATCCCCAAGGTCCAGGCCCTCATCGAGGAGTACTTCTCCGGAAAGAAGGCCAGCAAGGGTATCAACCCCGATGAGGCTGTCGCTTTCGGCGCGGCCGTGCAGGGAGGCGTTTTGTCTGGTGAGGAGGGAACTGAGGAGATCGTTCTTATGGACGTCAACCCATTGACCCTTGGTATTGAGACCACTGGTGGTGTCATGACCAAGCTCATCCCAAGAAACACTGTCATCCCAACCCGCAAGTCCCAGATCTTCTCTACCGCCGCCGATAACCAGCCCGTTGTCCTGATCCAGGTCTTCGAGGGAGAAAGGACCATGACCAAAGACAACAACAACCTTGGAAAGTTCGAGCTTACTGGCATCCCACCCGCACCCCGTGGTGTTCCCCAAATCGAGGTTTCTTTCGAGCTTGATGCCAACGGAATCCTCAAGGTTACCGCTGGTGACAAGGGCACCGGAAAGTCCGAGTCCATCACCATCACCAACGACAAGGGACGTCTTACCCAGGAGGAGATCGACCGTATGGTTCAGGAGGCTGAGCAGTACGCCGATGAGGACAAGGCTACCAAGGAGCGCATTGAGGCCCGTAACGGTCTTGAGAACTACGCTTTCAGCCTGAAGAACCAGGTAAACGATGAGGAGGGACTTGGTGGCAAGATTGATGACGATGACAAGGAGACCGTAAGTTGACTCAATGAAAATCAATGACTTGGGAGCTTTACTAACATATTTCCCCAGATCCTTGAGGCCGTTAAGGAGACCACCGACTGGCTCGAGGAGAACGCCGGTACCGCCAACTCTGAGGACTTCGAGGAGCAGAAGGAGAAGCTCTCGAACGTCGCATACCCCATTACCAGCAAGCTGTACAGTGGCAGCGGTGGCGCCGAGGGAGAGGATGACTCCGGACACGATGAGCTATAGAGTGTATCATATCCATTTGGGCGAAAAATAAAAATCGAGAAAGTTGCACTTCACGCTGCGCGTTTCAATCATGCCAGAAAGAGGTTTCCGTCGTTACGTTTTTTGTTGGTGTGGTTTTGGGAGTGTAATATCTAGACTCATAGCATGCAGGCAAGAGAATCAAGCATAAATACACTAACTAACTTTATCCTGGTAATGTAACCCTGTTTTTGCAGTGATCGCGTGATGTGATGATGTTCGTTTTTTTTTGGTAATTCTCCTGCCTCTCAGGGTATATGTGTCGCAGAATCGACGAGGCTACCTCTCTCTGTGAATTATATATCCCTTTTCGTTCTCATAAACTCATTCCATATACACAGACAAACATGCGTACCGTCTCCAGACCAAAACCCCAAATCCCCCTTCCCAAGTGTCCCCAAGTACCCCCCTCCACCCCCTTTCCCAAATTTCCTACACCTTACTATCCACCGACTTCCTCTCCTCCATCTCCACCTCCTTCTCCGAGAAATTCAAACTCACACTATTAACACAATGCCTCTCATCCGTCGGCGTCTCATACCCCTCCCCCTTAAACACATGACCCAAATGCCCTCCACAATTCGCACATATGATCTCCGTCCTCGTCGCGCCCATCGACCTATCCGCGCGTCTCTCGACCGCGCCCGGGATGCTGTCGAAGTACGCGGGCCAGCCGCAGCCGGAGGCGAACTTGTGAGAGGCCGTGTAGAGGGGCGCGGAACAGCCGGCGCAGGTGTAGGTCCCGGAGCTGGGGGTGTGGGTGTCGTATTTGCCGGTTCCGGGGGGCTCGGTGCCTTTTTGACGGAGGATGCGGAATTGTTCTGTGTAGAGAAGGTAGGTTGTTAGCTTTAGGTGTTTCTCTCGATTTCGTGGGTTTTAAGAGGGGGTGGGAAGGGAAGGGGGAAAGGGGGTGGATGGGTAGGTGGGTAGGTGGTGGTGGGGGCGGGAGCGTATGTCTACCTTTGCTGAGCACAGCTTGCCACTCGTCATTCGATTTCTGAACCGGGAAAGTCATCTTGGGAGTCGTTGATTTTTTGGAGCTGAACAGGCTGCCTAGGAAAGATGGCGTAGGCATGGGCTTTGCGAGTACTGCTGCGGCGTGGGTTTGCGGTCTGTGGAGGGAGGAGCGAGGAGCGCTGGTTCTGAGGGGGATGTAGGAGGAGGACGACGATGATGATGGCGTAGTTCGAGCGACAGCGTTGAGCCAGGAAGGGGGGCGCATGAGAGGGACGGAGAGGCGACTTTATAGGGAAGGAGGGTTCGGTAGTTGGGTAGTTGGGTGGTTACAAAGATGTGGAATCAATCGCCCGATGTGGAAATGACTTTCTCTTCGTCTTAGGATGTGTGTGTGTGTCCGTGTCTGTGTGTTTCTGTGTGTGTGTTTGGTTTGTTTTTGTGTGAGGCTGAGGACGGTAGGGGACGGGTAGACGGGGTGGGATTTAGAGTATTACGAGATCTTAGAAGGGATGCTTGAGGTGGATAGAGTGGAAGGAGTGGATGGGGTGGATAGAGTGGTTAGGGGGCGTACTTTGACGGACTTGACGCACTTGACAGTAGTGACCGGTAGTGACGGGGATAATTTCTGTCTTACTGGTCTTATTACTGGTATTTCTGGTGTTAACTGGTATTTACTGGTATTACTGTTGTCATTTTTACTGCACGAGGACGGGGAGTAGAGCTGGGATTTGCAGTCCCCGAAACGCCGCCATCCTTGAACAGGGTTGATTTGTGTTGACTTGGGTTGGTTTGGCTTCATTTCGTCGTCACTGGTCGATGATGAGTGGCTTGATGGGCCGGTGATGGATACTAAAGAGCTAAAATAGTGGATGCCTCATTTAAGAGGCGCGAAGAATATTCTTTTAGCCACAGCGCCACACCGCTAGAAGGAGTGTAATCCGTCCGAAAGTCACAAAAGTCACAAAAGTCCCACAATACGCCAATTACAATCCACAGTTGGATAATCCGACTACCTAAGAAAGATACCTAGCCATAAAACTGAACTGGACTAGGTTCCAAGATCGGGGAGGGGGCAAGGCTAACGAGTACCGAGTTAGAGTACCTTGTCTATACCACTTGACACGATTCCACAACAAGAAAGAGGAGAGAGAGGAGAGCCTACACGTTTCAGAGAGTCCCACCACCGAATCACGTCAACGAGTACCTTCCCTTGGGTTATTCCAGACAAATTCACAATTCACCGCTCTTGACGTCCATCGACATTATATACGATTTCTCTCGAAAATGTCGCGCAGGCAGGTGGACCCCGCGGCGGAGAGGACTGCCCGCAATGCGCAGACTATCAAGAGTCTCCTGAAATTGGAGGGGAACAAGAGTTGCGCCGACTGCAAGAGGAATAAACGTACGTGAATTGGACACGTGCCCTGTACACACAATGGTGGATAAGATGGATAGATGGGAGTTCACATTGCTAACACCCCTTTCTCGCAGATCCGCGATGGGCCAGCTGGAATCTAGGCATCTTCGTGTGCATCCGCTGCTCGGGCATCCACCGAGGAATGGGCACGCACATCAGTAAAGTCAAATCTGTCGACCTCGACTCATGGACCGATGAGCAGCTACAGAGCGTGTTGATGTGGGGGAACTCGCGGGCGAACAAGTACTGGGAGGCCAAGCTCGCTCCAGGACACGTCCCATCCGAGGCGAAGATGGAGAACTTCATCCGCACGAAGTACGATTCGAAGAGATGGGTTATGGATGGGCCGATTCCAGACCCGGCAACTCTAGATGCCGAGGGCGATGATGATATTCCTCTGAACTTGGTGAAGGAGAAGCAGGACCTCCAGCGCTCGACTTCGCAGAGGGCAGTGCCGGGTTCAGCTCCTGGTGGCAGTCCCGCGACTGTGCGCCGAGCTCCTCAGACGGATCTGCTTGCGAGTGAGGGGTCGTCGGTACAAAGGGCCAATTCTACCCCGGGTACTTCCTCGAGACAATCCAACTTCCAAGCTGCACCAGCCGCACCACCAAAGGTTTCGAAGCCTGCTGACTCCTTACTCGGATTGGACTTTTTTGCCCAAGAGCCACAGCCTCCTGTGAGCCGCTCGTCGAACGCTACACCTATTTCTGGAGGCTCGGGGCAGTCGAGACCAGACTTGAAACAGTCCATTCTCTCTCTTTACGCCTCTGTTCCGAAGCCACAACCACAATCACACCACGGATCTCAGGGCTCCATCAATGGAATGCAGTCTCCATCCCACCAGCCCCAGAGCTCATTCGGTGGCCTAGATGATGCATTCGGCGGACTCAGTTTCTCCAATACCACCTCACCTCCACCTCAGCAGCAGCAACAGGCCCAGAAGCCGAACGCATTCGCAGGCCTAGGCAGCCTTCAATCCCACCGATCACCTCCCCTATCTTCCCCCCCATCCACCATCAGCAGCGGCAGTTTCTTCGACGCAAAGCCCGCCGCAAAGCCCACCCCATACGCCAACTCCCGCACGACGAGCTCCACAAGCGACTTCGGCGCCTTCGGCGCCGCCCCCGCTCTCCCCACATCCCCACCCGTCCAAAGCTCCGGAATGAACGACCTCTTCGACTTCTCCACCCCCGCCGTCTCATCCCCCCCCAAACCCGTCGTCTCCCCCGCCGCAACCCACTCCTCAGTCTTCAACCTGACCGCCTCGCAGCCCGCACCTAAGGCCCAGCCCGCGCCGGCTGCTACGAGCGCAGCTTCAAGCGGATGGAGCAACTTCGACGCTATGGGCACGAATGATGCTTGGAGCTCGACCAAGCCCGCGCCGGCGCAGGCTGCGGCTAATGATTTTGGATGGGGTTCTGGACCGCCGTTGGCGAGCCAGAGTATTGTTCCGGGCGGTAATGGGTTTTCCCAGGCGGGCAGCACGCCGAAGGTCAGCGTGGATGAGGAGTTTGGGGGCTGGAGCAGCGCGCCGCCTGCGGCGCCTGTTACGAAGACTTCGCACAATGCCCCGAAGCCTGTAGCTGGGTTTGGCGCGGCGAGCGAGGATCTGTTCTCCAATGTCTGGGAGTAGAGGGGTAGATATGATGCATGGATAGACGGGATGGGGGGTGGGGTTGGTGACTTTTTATGTTAGAGCGAGTTACGTAGCATTGCCGGCGGTTATTCCGGATACAAAGGGGCATAATAGAGCATATAGTGAAGAAATGAACGTGACGATGAAGATTTCATGATTTTTTTACATATGTGCTTTGGATTATGTGCTTGTGCTTGTGCCTTCCCTTACAGTCTCGTGGCTCCTTCCGCCATAGGATGTATTCCCTCTCAAGCCACAGTATGCGTACTGTTACAACTCCGTCGCTAGCATCCCGTCTTGACTTCCTGTGATATCAGACCTGCCCGACGCCCTCCCCCCCCCCAATGCATTCCCTACCCTAATTTAAAAACCAACCCAACCCCCCAGCGCCCGCTCACACAAACAACCCCCAAATAAACCACAACACCAGCACCGTCCCAACAATTATCCCCGACAGCTTGAACGCCGCCATCTTATTCCCCGACGCCGCCATGCGCCCTAGCCTCTGCGCGGATCCCTTGAGCGTCGTGCCCATGGAGGAAAATGTGTCGGACTACAGAGAGAGTATTAGCTTAGCTCATCAACCCCCCACTGGCTACCTGCCATCCGCATAGGTTGGGTTGGGTTGCGCTTACGGTATTATCAATGACGTCCTGCGCCCTTGCGTTATCGTAGATGTCCACTGTGACGCCCCGAAGGGCACTGACTTTAGCGGAGAGCTCATCGAGTCTACTGTCGTTCTGGCGCTCGCGGTCGTAGGATTCTGCCATGGCTGCTATTCGTGACACTTGAGTTGTTGGGCGGAGGAGTTGAGTGAGTGAGTGAAGTGGCGGGAGTTGGATCCGGGGTTGAAGATCGATCCCTTTGTTTCAAAGCGCGCGGTTGGCTGGAGCCGCAGTCAGGTCGTCGCGGCTTCTCGCGCCTCTTTGGTGGCGAGGATTAGGCGTGTGTGGTATACGTGGTGGGATGGGGTTATTGTGAGCGCTTGGGGGGTTTTCTGGGTCGTACAGGTAGTGATATGCCGGATATACTGTAGTGTGACAGTTGGAGGTCGTCGTTGGCCGCGTGGATCGGGGGGGCTCAGCCACAGCGGGCTATGGGTCGCTCGTTGTGGCACCCAGCGGCCCTTAATAAATGGTGGCTGGCTGCTGGCTACATCATCTGTCATCTTTACGGATCGCGGAACTTCAAAAGCTATTAAGTAAGGTGCCCCCAAAAAATTGTCAGGAAGCAGACAGGGTGCACATTGAAACATATAATCAGCACAGATTCATATTTTGTTCTTCTGCGTCATTAAACAGCGACAGTCCTCAATTCATTATTTGTATATAATCAGCCAAGCCGGTTACCATCTCTAGTTACACTCGCCACCCAGACACACCCACCGTCACTTGCGCCTCATCAACTACCCCACTATCCGGACCATCCTCCACCTCCAAACACTCCCTGGAAACGCAACCTCACCTAACCATCCCTCGCGAAGTACGATAACACCTTCACGATGCCTGTCGGAATACACAACTTCCTCCCGTCGTCTATGGCGTGTACGTCCCCTCCCCAGTTAACCCGCTGTTTCCCCAAAACTGACCGCAAACCACACAGCGGAGTGCAAGAAATGCAGCAAGATCTTGGCATCATTCGTTGATCCACGACAGTCCTTCGCCCCCGACAAAGTCATCCCCCCCAGCGTCCTCGCAAACGCAAAGGTCCGCTCCATCCGCTCCCCCATCTAATTTCCCGGCGTGTGAAAACAAAAGCTAACCCCAACCCCCAGGGCCTCGCGATCATCACCGTCCTCAAAGCCGGCTTCCTAGGCTCGGCACGCTACGGAAACGGGATTGTGGTGGCACGACTGTCTGACGGGACGTGGTCTGCCCCTTCAGCGATCGGACTAGGCGGTGCGGGATTCGGCGGACAAATCGGCTTCGAACTCACGGACTTCGTGTTCGTCCTCAACGATGCATCGGCCGTAAAGGCATTCTCACAACAGGGCTCCCTCACACTCGGCGGCAACGTGTCCCTCGCCGCCGGACCAATCGGTCGTAATGCCGAAGCAGCCGGCGCAGCGAGTTTAAAGGGGGTAGCAGGCGTGTTCAGTTACTCGAAAACCAAAGGTCTATTCGCCGGCGTCTCACTAGAGGGATCCGCAATCGTAGAGCGTCGAGACGCAAACGAGAAGCTCTACGGCCAGCGCTTCACAGCCGCCCAGCTGATGGAAGGAAGTGTGCGTCCACCCCCCGCCGCGCAGCCGCTCATGCAGGTGCTGAACTCGCGGGTCTTCGCCGGCGCGGGAAGCACAGACGCGATGTACAACGACATCCCCGTCTACGACAACAACCAAGACGACGTGGTGTGGGAGGGCCGCTCGGGGTCCGCATACAACGAGGGCGTAAGTCGTGATCGGGGCGGTAGCGTAAATAATGATAACGGGCGGGACTCGTACGGGGCGCCGAAGCGCGCGAGTACTTGGGCGGATGACGTGTATGACCCGCCTAGCAGACAGGGGTCGCGACGTAGCCAGACTGCGGAGGACTATGAGTACCAGGATACGCCGTTCAGACAGCCGTCGGGGAGGGTTGGGCCGGGGAGGCCGGCGGCGCCGAAGCCGGCGTTTGCGGGGAAGGCGGGGGGGTTGAGGGAGGATCAGGCGGTGGCGCTGTTTACGTTTGATGCGGATCAGCCGGGGGATTTGGGGTTTAAGAAGGGGGATGTTATTACGGTTACGAAGAAGACGGAGAAGGCGGAGGATTGGTGGTATGTTTGACCTTGTTCCTCCCTATACAGTTTAAGGAGTTTCGTACTAACATACCACTGCAGGACTGGAACTCTAAACGGCAAATCGGGAATCTTCCCTAGCAACTACGTGGAGATGAAGAAGTAGACAAAGACAAGACAAGAGAAGAGAAGAGATTCACAGGCAACAAACACAAAGCAAAAAACGGTCGTTTATTTAGAAAAGGCACGGCAGTTCGGGCACATTGATTTGAATCGCTGGTTTTTCAGGAGCCTACTGCTTTTTGTTTTTTTGTTTTTTTCGTTTTTCTTCTTCTTTCACTCGCTCGCAGGTTGGGTGTCCGCAGGACGTATGTGCGTGATATCCAGTTGAGCCTCTTGCATAGATGCGGGGGGGCGTTCTGGAAGTAGGGTATATACTACTTGGTATTTTTTAAAGCAGAGTTGTGCCTTTGGTGGTGGTTGAGATGGGTGGATTGGGAGAGGGAGTCCCTGTCATAGCGATGGTGTAGCGTTTTTTTATATTCTGAAACATACTTTTGAGGTTGGGGTATATGTCTCTCTGTGCCAGTTTATTGTGACCACTCACACTACAGCCATAGGCTAGACGAAGGAGAACCAGAGACAAAGCTCGTATCCAAAGAAAGGGGGTTGATTAGTTGGTCAAATCTAGTCCTGTGTTGGCCGGACCTCCCAGGCTGCCATCTGCCAAATTACTTAAGCACCCTCCCTTACGGCCGTAGATTATGATATCCTGCAGGATGTTACCATGGTTTATCTGAGACGGTGCAGTTATGGCGGCATGGGGTCACTGGATTTCGCGACATCATTCGTCGCGAGGTCAGGTGGCTAGGCTGCCGTCGCGTCGACCCCGCGTTTTGATGTAAGACGGGTGAATGGTTTTGGATGGGATGTGTGTGGATTGGAAGATGTTTTCTGGTTATTGGAGATGGAGGATCAGTAATCTGATTGATTTATCACCTTTTATGCCTGGGAAGTTCATTCTGACGTCGTCCAGAAAGTGTAGTGATGGGAGTATCAAGGATACACGGGATGCTGCAGCGTGTTAAGCCGGGATGTGAGATATCTGGGATGGATATAAATATCAAGGGAAAACCTCGACAATGGCTTTTCCTTTTCCTATCATCTTCATCTCCTCATTCTAACTTGAGAACCAATTTAACAACGACAATATCAGCAACAGATCTGTCTTCAACCTCCTTTCAAAATGTTCAAAGTAAGCTATCCCCAACCCACATCTACCCCCCACCAAGTCTAACATCCTGCCACAGGAAGCAACACGCGAAGAATGGATAGAAGCCCGCAAAGCCCTCCTCGAAAAAGAGAAGGCCCTCACCAAAGCCTCCGACGAGCTCTCCGCCCTCCGCCGCCAACTCCCCCACGTCAAAGTTGAAAAAAACTACACCTTCGAGGGTCCTAATGGCAAGCTCAAATTATCAGACCTCTTTGAAGGCCGCAAACAACTCATAATCTACCACTTCATGTTCACCCCCCCCTCCACCACCGGCTGCATCGGCTGCTCCTTCTTCGCCGACAACCTCCCTTCCCACCTTGAGCACTTGAACTCCCGCAACACAACCCTAGTATTGGTATCCCGCGCGCCCTACAGCCTGATCGCCCCCTTCAAAAAACGCATGGGCTGGACGATGCCCTGGTACTCATCCTCGGACTCAGATTTCAACTACGATTTCCACGCCACGAATGACCCCGCCGTGGCGCCCATGATGGTGAATTGGGAGAGTGCGGAGGCGCTGAGAGAGAGAGGGAAGGGGGCGTATGTTGAGGGGGAGCAGAGCGGGGTTAGTGTGTTTATTGTTGGGCCGGGGGGTGGGGTTTATCATAGTTATTCGACGTTTGCGAGGGGGCTGGATGGGTTTTTGGGGACGAATAGTCTGTTGGATGTTACGCCGCTTGGGAGGCAGGATGGGGGAGGTTGGTGGAAGTTTCATGATGAGTATGAGGATGAGTAGAGACGTGCGTGTCTCATGGGGACTACTGCGAGGAAATTTTGGAGTGGGGATGGTATGATTCGTCCTTGCTTGATTGACACAGGGGGACTGTTCAGTATGGGTTAATTTATTCCGTTAATTTGAAATGTTATCCGCACAGAATTGTTTTTTCTATACTAAAATCATCAGCTACTCGATAGTACCGTAATGAGAACCCTGTCCAAAAACAAAAAGGGATTCACTAAAACCTTCCAAACTCCAAAGTGCAGCAACCCGCTTGCTACACCCACCTTAATACGTGTAATCGGTTCTCATATCACATTGGTTCAGAGTATGGTACATATTTTGATCGCCAAAAATCCATATATATAAATATCCTAAATACTTCATCCCAAATATCTACATAACTCTACGCGCACTTGCCGCTGACGCAACCCCAAGGATCAGAGCAGTCATCGTCCGTCTTGCAGCTGGCTCCCTTGCAGTGTCCCGCCCACGCACAGGTTGGGGCTGGGCCGCTGCCGCCGCCAGTAGTGGTTGGCGATGGGCCGGAACCGCCGCCGCCTCCAATACGCTGGATGAGCTTGTTGCCCTGGGCAGTCAAGCTGTCCTGGAAGGCCTTGGCGGTCGAGGCCTTCCAGTTGGCACCCTTGGCGCCGGGGACGGCGTCGGAGCCGGGGAAGGCAATGTAGAGGACATCCAGATCGCTGTGTCCTTTGTCGCCATTGACGGCGTTCTTGCCGAAGCAGAGGGTGGCAATAGCGAGGGAAGCCTCGCCAACCATTGGTGGTCCATCATCACCGTTCTGGTCAGCCCAGACTCCGTAGAAGAGCTGGTTGTTGCAGACAACGGCGACGATGCTGAGAGGCTCGATGCCGTAGTCGGTTGGGTGGAAAGTGGTGTAACCAGATTTCCCTTGGTCGGCATAGTTTCCGAGAACAACGTAAGAGTGGATGTAAGAGTCGACATCTTTAATTCCGACGTTGTATCCCTGAATCTGCTCAATATATGAAGACTGGGGCTGGGTGTCTTGCGAAGCCTCGCATCTGCCATCGCTGTATGGGCTCTTGATGATGCCGTCACAGTCAATATCCATATCGGCGAGCTGGCCATTCTTTCCCTGGATGTATAGGACGTTGTAGTCGGTCATGTGGTCGCCACAGTAGCTGAAGTCTTGGGGTTGTTAGCTACGAACAATAATTCAAGGCGAACGCCCTACCCTTCGCGCCACCGTCTAGAGCATAGAACCCTGTCTTGAGAGCCTTGCTGCAGGATCCTTTGCTCTTGATGCCATCGTAGAAGGTCTTGACGTTGGCGGGGATGGAGCCAGCATAAGAGCTTCCGGCAAGAAGGCCAGTGACAAGGGCGGCGTTTGTGAGAAGCATTTTGATAATTATATTGAAGAATATGAATCAATTGAAGGGCCTGATGGGATGCTTCTCAGCTGAAGGAAATGCCTCCATACTTATAGTTGAAGCATTGCAGTGAGGACGGAATCTCCATGAGCAGGGGTGCTGCGGTCCGAGGAAGATCTTGGGATATAGAGTTGCCCAATCGACGGTTTGGAGAGCTTGTTTCCGTCCGCATTGGTATAAAGTTAGAGTATGACCTCGCAGATCCCTTACTTTTGGACTCCGCCATAGCCAATGCCTGTCCTGCAGCACGTGTTGATTGATGGACTAGTGAAGCCGAGCGTGTCTGTTCTGTTAGTGGTAGCCTTGGGGTCAACACCTTCTCCAGCAAGTTAGTTTGATGCAAGTTCTGGGGTTGGCGCTGTTTCAACGTCCCGCTCCTCGGGGTTCATATCCAGAATCTCCGGCATCGGGTTGACTGGAGGACCGGCCGTCAAAGCAACGGCCTCGTCAATATTCCCATGTGAACTCCTTAATGCAGATAACTCTAAGAGAACAAGCTGTGGGTTAGTGGAGTTGATCCGCCCTCCTAACACCACTGACACATAACGCAGCTTTTCCCGTTGAGCTTAAGCATAATGACGGGGCAGGCCTCGTATTCTCAGAATTATCCAGGCCCGTCAACCAATCGCCAAACATGCTTTAGTTTCCCGGCCCCAAACATTTATCTTAGACAGTAGACTCCAGGAGCCTATCCCATTGTCCCATTGTCCCATTATCTCTGTGTCTTAAAAAAGCATACCTTAGTGGCAGTGGTCACCTTGAAGGCTGCTCGCGAACTTAAAGCCACTATAATTTCTTTTGAGCGGCGTCCCCGCAGTCAGTGCGCCGTGGCTTAGCTTGTCCCTTCATCTTGATGGGAACCCTTCATTGGTGTGGACACCACCCGTTGTCGCCGCCTGCAGTGCTTTAAATTAGTTGGCCTCAGTATTATGCATCGCTTCTAGCACCCTGCAGGTCCAGATGATGTTCAAGGGAATTTCTTTGAGACAAAAAGTCGGCGATTTAGAAATATTGCCGTATCGGTGATCCAGACACTAGTTCGCCGTCTCGGTAAACATTGCCGTTTGGGCATAAACTTAACTCCAGCATCTTAATTCCCGCAGTTTGTCTCCATCATAAGGCATTCCTACGGGATTTCACGCGAGGTGGAACTGACGGCACTCATCACGGGCTTGCAGCTCACCGTCCTCTCCTTTGTGCCAATGGCAACTTTCGTCGGGAACGACGGCGGCGATGCGACTTACCGAGTCCAAGACCCATCCGAAAACCTTAATGCGTCCTCCTCCATCCAAGTCCAAATGAATCGCTGTATCCGCCTCTCGCGCTGGCTTGTTTTGATCATCTGTGACATATTTTGACTCGGCTTTCTCGGACTTAGAGTTCTTTGGGCCATTCGCTTGCTTTGGTATAGGAGAAAACTTGAACATCGCGTATTGGATTGTCCTGATTACCAGGCGCGTATAACTGCGCCTTCTTGGTCTCTTAGGTCGTCTGCTGTGCCACCACAGCCCCTTTTCACTCTTAACATAGCCCACCACTTGATAGAGCTCAGCGGGTACCACCGCTGCTTGCACTGGAGGTGGGCAATGTCCAGCTACTGTAGATGCTGAGGTGGGATATGATTGTTGATTGTGGACCCTGATAGTCGATGAATAGAGGGGATATTGAGGGGAAATGATCTATAATAATACAATTGTGTTAAAGGGTAACATATAAGGGTGACTTTGCCAATTGTGTTGAAATATGAAATTGGAATACAAATATTATCTCAAAATCAGGATTATTTTTTTCGCAATATCTTTTATATCACGATAACTACTTTCTAATAATTGCATCTTAGGCAGCGACGATGGGCATACCAAAGAGCTTCATCAATTACGACCTAAATAAGAGCAGGGAAAGAGCAATAGTGTCTAATTGGATATTTATTCCGCTCATTGCAAACATAAACATTCCATCGTAGACATCCTTTTGACGGATTATTGCTGTATTTATGAGAACACCAGCGATTCGCCAAGACAAAATGCGACCCCGCCGTCGTAGGCTGTGGCAGCAGAACTCTCCAATAGCACCATACAGCGGCAGCAGCGACGATGACTCACCAGGTGATCTCAGCGACGCCGATGAGTCCAATTATTCTGATGGATCGGTTGGGTCGAACTTCATGCCTGAGTCCTTGACATCACAGCAGTATACAAATATCACCGATTTCCCTTCTCCAGTCGACGAAGACAGTATTATCGAGCCCGTAGAGAATCCACATCAAGAGGGCAACATTATCGAGACCATAGAAAGTCCGGAGCCTTCTGCTGCAGAAGCACCACCAGAAGAGTCAATTATACCTTCCCCTCCTCATCCAATCATCCCAGAATCCCAGGCCAACATCACTATGGCCGACACCGCCCTCCCATCCCAAGTCGAGCCACTATCCGATGCCTCCTCACGCACATTAGGCCGCGAAACCCCCTCCTCAAACCCAGGCACCTCTTCCGAAGCCCCCTCATCAGATGACGAAGTCACAGACCGGTGCTACGGCTTCCTGCTTCTTCATTACCCCAAGTCCCTTCCCGCAACTCTAGACACCATATCCATCCTCCTCATCTACCAACGGCGGCCACATGGTTTGCCCCCATACTGGGGCTTCCCCAAAGGCCATCCCGAGCCCGAAGACCATAGTGACTGGGAATCAGCCTCACGTGAACTCCTCGAGGAGACCGGGTTGAGTCCCGACCGCGTGACGCCCATCACGCCGGCTGGATTTTCTCCGCCTTTGCCGGATTCGGTGGCGGGGCTGAGACCGGATTTCATGAGTGTTATCTCGCAGTATCCTAGTTTTGATGGTGGGATTAAGGAAGTAACGTATTTCTTGGCTCGGGTCGCGGAAATGGAGAAGTTGATGGAGCAGGTGGAGGAGTTGGTGGAGTGTCGGTGGGTGAAGTTGTCTGAGGCGCGGGAGCTGGTTAATATTAAACCGGTGCGGAAAGTATTGGAAAAATTGATTGGGTTGGTTTCGTCAGGTCCAAAGCAGGTGGTAGCCAGGAGTGACTGGATTCGTTGGAAGGAATTTGATGCGTTGGATGATAATGGGAATCCGAGGCAATGGCGCACAGTGGGGTTTTGTACTCCAGAGTAGTTTTTTTAATCAGTTCAGCAAGGAGGAAATGTCATCACTTTAACTGCCTGATGTTGTATTTAAAGCTTCACATTATTGAGGTCGGGTCGGGCAACGCATATAGCTACCCGTACATAAAATATTCGGTGGTAACAGAGTGGGCTTTTTGAGAAAGAATGCTGTAGTATATTTCTACTGGTGGAAGGGGAAATCAAAGACATAACAGACAGATGCGTAATGGAGGCGAGGATTGGTGATGTGACAAAATAGAAATCTCTCTAATTATTAGCTGTAAAATATAAAGCTATATCCTAGCTCTAGTATATAGCCAATCTGCTATATAATATCCCTTTTCAGATGCCCCCCAGGGTATAAGAACAATATCCAGCCAAGCAAGTAGCCCAAGTAAATCTATCTCCAGCAACCGTAAGCACCCATAACAATAAAACCCCCAATGAATAGCACCTGATCGACGCTGCGTGCTATTTCTCCCAACCTCGTTGCCAAAATGATAACAATACCCCCCTCTAATCTTTCCTGAATCACACTAAGTCTTGAAGCCAATTTTTTTCCACACCTCATTCACATGCTTGCACATTTCTATGAACGCTGGATCATCAATCTGCTCGCATATCCAGCTTTCAGTCATGGATTGTCGCTCTCCCTCCTTTTCCTTGTCCCAGAATGATACTTCATATAGCTCAACAGGCTTGATTCTACCGCTGTCCTTCGGGACAAAACGACCAACCTCGTCCAGAAAACCTTCTATCGGCCCTTTAGCCTCAAAAACAGCCTCACGAGGTGGTGCGGGTGGCTCCGGAGCAGGAACTGTAACTGGAGCCGGCAAAACCGGCTCCACTGGTATCGTCGAGGTTCTGGAAATTGCAGCCGTGTGGTCACGCCCAGATAACGTCTGCGTCTGTGTACTAGAGTCAACCATCTTAACTCTTTTAGCTAATGCCCATTTTGGAGCTTCTTCGTTTGGTCGCTTGCGAGAGGTCATTGCTTTCGACTTCAAACCAGGGGCTGTGGAAGGCCTCTTAATAGCAGCGCTTTTCGAAGCAAGGGGAGACGGCTCTTCCTGCCACACTGAATTTCGAAGTGCATTTGTTGGCCTTGCCTCATCTGAGTCAGGGACCTCTAGAACTGTTGATAACTTCGAAGTTGGAGGTGTGTTTGTTCTTTGCACTGTCACTCGTTTGTCTTGTTGTTCTGCCTGCTTGCTTGGGAGTGTCGTGGTGTTTGCTAGGCTCCTAGGGGCCTCGGTGCTTTCAGGTGGAAGCATTGAACCATCTTCAGTGCCTTTATTAGGTTTCTTGGCAGTTTCCAAAGCCTTCTTTGGCTCTCTGCGCTTTGGGAATGGAAGTTCACGTTTTGGGGGTATCCACTGGCTTATATGAAGGTCGTCGCCTACCGTTGGAACTGACATTGGTCTTGTGGTACTGAAAGACAATGAACTTTGTCGCGCCAGGTGCAGAGGCTCATTGCTATAACCCAAGTTTTGACTTGGTTCAAATTGTGTTGTTGCTGACCTCCTCATCTTCGAGACATTCAGTGCTGGTTGGGCTGTTAGCGACTCTGTGGAGCTTCGCAGTGGCTGTCTAGTGTCGGGCAGCTCTGAGCTCCTCTCCAATACATCGTACCCTGTACTTAGAGCTTCATCGGATGGCAGGGAAAGGCTAGGTTCCGGTATATAGGCTTGTTTCTTCCGTGGTTTGACTATATCGGAGGGGAGTTCAGTGCATGGAAGCGACGTCAAGGTTGCTCTTTGCTAGTGTATGGGGTCAGAGTTGCTTCTTCACAAGTTAACCATATATTTTCCATTACTGGGCTTACCTGCGTTTCTATTTGAGAAGCATAGATAGGTGGGCTAGATTTCATAAATGATGTTGATGAAAATGGCCTTGGAGGCGGTGGTTGGAAACAGAAGTCATCGGATGCCATGTCGTCTTTGTATAAAGTCCCCAGGGAGCTGCTCGACCTTGGGCCGCCCAGATCCGCAGAGAAGGTGCTGGATGGCCTCATAGAAAGAGAGCTTGAGGTGTCGGATCTGGGAGGTATCGATGAGCTATTCATGAATTGTGTAAATCTTCGAGAGCTCTCGGAGCTGGGTACAGCAAACTGTGGCTTTTGATGATTATCGGGGTGGCCAACTGAGAGCGGTTGTGTTGAGCATGGTGGCAGGCTTCGATTGTATGCCACATTGCGATCTTGAGATGGAGCATCTTGCTTGGGTTCATGTGTGGACTCCTTTATTTGAAGCCCCGCCCGCTTCAGAATGTTCAGTGCCTCGAAATATTGCTTGTCATCCTTGAACCTAAGCTGGAACCGTTGAACCTAAGTATATTTAGCGACTAGTATTTCGAGGGTTTATACCATTTCTATAATGAAAGCTGGGGTCCTCCACAGGACTTTACTATTGTAAATATTTGGAGCATTGTCGATTACATACCATTGAAGGAGCGCCAGGGAACCGCATGGCAACGCAGGGAAACCTCACAATAACTTGAACAGGAGATTCAACGCCGCTGCCAATTAACCCTCTGCGAACACGCTCAATATGTTCTTGAGAGCACTTGACGAGTTTCTGGACATCCAGGTGCTCCTGTCGGCCACGGTGTTAGAGCTGCCGGACGGCGCATGGAAGGTAAATCAAAGCATCGGCTCCCATCCCCCACGAAGACAATGACGAGAGACTCACCAACGTATCTCTACCAGCAGTTACGGCCATAAACAGGTGCGTCTGAATTCTGCCTCCATCAATAGGGATATCCACCGGTTTGAAGGTCAGTGTCAACAAGTCTTTTCGAACATCATGAACCCAGCGATGGCGTTTCGATCCTTCACGGCTCACAGCACTGGAGTACTTGTCCAACGGAATGGTCTTTGAAGCAGGATGGGATGCCCCCGAGAAAGTCCGCAACTGGGAAGATTCCATCCCATGGAAGAGGGATATAAACGGACAGAGAAGCTTGACTCTATAGTATGAAATTGGAAACTTGATTGGTACTGTCTGGAGCAATGCCCAAAATAAAGATACGAGTATCCTCAGACGTAAGAAAATAGAAAACAATATTTACCAGTGAAGTAAGATCTGGAAGTTATACTCAGCTGTTGGGGAGAGGGTAGGAAGGGATGGGGTTGGATCAAAATATTGGAAGCAGTTGGGGATAATGTATCACGTGACACCATACTCTGACTTTGGGAATAAGTTAATATATCACTCGAAATATAAATACTCGCCCTCTGCACCCGCCTAAAAATACAACCGTGCCATTTTAGATATCATTACAATCGTACCCTGGTATAACGCCTGGTATTTCCTTATCCTGATAATAACGCTAGAATTCTATCAAAGGCTCTTCAACAGCCGCGGCCTTGGTTTGGGGGGCATGCTGAGGCGCCGAGGGAAATGCTGACTGGGTGTACCCCGACGCAGCCGGAGATGGTTCCTGCCATGCTTGCGGCGGCGCAGTATTCTGCTGCTGACTCTGCCAATATGGTTGTTGGTATGGGGTCTGTGAGGGTTGTGTTTGTTGTGCCTGTGGTGCTTGCTGAGATTGTGGTGGAGCAGAAGAGTATTGCGTTTGGTTGGGATCAGATGGCCCCCGTTGAGGACTTGTATACATATTTGGGTCAGGGATTGCATGCTGATGTTGTGGGCTTGCGTAGTAGCCCTGGTTTGGGTCTGATGGCCCTTGAGGTGCCTGTGGCTGCGACGGGGCCTCCTTGGATTGGCCTGGCTGCTGGGAGCCGTAGTAGAATGCCGCATTTGGATCAGTTGGAGGGCTCATTGCTGGCTCAGAAGGCTTAAGATCAGGAGGCGCCTGGCCGGGAGCGAAACCAGGAGCCCCATTTTGTTGCTGCTGGGCATATGGACCTGCCGCAGGGTTTGCTGCTTGCCAACTGCCCGTCCTTTGAGGTTGTGCTTGCTGAGGATAGCTTTCGCGCTGCTGCTCAAGGCCTGGATAGTTCCCGGGAGTGGCCGTATGCATTTTGTCATATCCGCCATATTGCTGAGGAGGCCCCGCGCCATATGGTGATGCGGTCTGTGCTGGTGCCTGACCTGTGTAGAAGCTCTCTGCCCCACCAGGGCCTTCTTGCAAATTGGATGGGATTGATGGATAAGCATTTTGCCGCTGTTGGGGCGGCATATTATATCCTCCGAGGGAGTGTTGACTGTATGTGTTGGATAGGCGGTCTTCAAGCATTCGATCGTAGTAGCGAACAACAGTGGAGAGCTTAGCGTGAAGATCAAGTAATGTGTCTGTAAAATAGTTAGCTATATGATATAGTCACGGATGGTAGATCGTGCTCACCATGCTTGCTCATTGTCTCCCCGTAAGTTCTCGCTAGCTTCGGGCGAAGACTGCCTATGCTGTCATACAGTTCCTGGATTTGTGGTTCCCTAAGGATGGTACCTGGCGGCTGAGTTTGCAACCTATCAACCAACGTAGAAAATAGGTTGATATTTTCGGCTTCAACCGGGGTTAACTCATAATCGTTCTTTTGCAACTTGAAGGGGGCGGATGATGCTCTGTTGGATGAGGACTCTTTCAAGGTTGCAGCATGTTGGCGCTTTTGCTCCTCCATGTCTGCCAAAGATGCAGCGATAGCAGCCTTGAGGTCATCATCCTCTTCTTCTGCCGGCTTTGTAGGGCTTGCGGTTGGCCTTCCGCCATTTGCCTGTTCTTGCTGCCCTGAACTTTGTTGTAATTTTGCCTGGGGAACGTAACCTCCGTTTGCCTGACCGTTGACTTCGTCAAGGCTCATAGCTAGTGCTCGCTTCAGATCCTCATCGAAACCATCATCTATCCTGGCATTTCTCGGCTGCATCGGCTGCAATGGCGAGGTTCTTGACTTGTAAGGCGCCGGAGGCGAGATGGCAAACGAACCCCCCCCCTTCGACGACTTATCCGTCAACTTAAAGTAGCAGCCATCGTCAACTCGTACCGACTGAAGTATACCGAGATGAGGTAGAGGGATCGTTTTCGATGAACATTGTTGGTCGAAGACGTTACCGCAATTGCGGCAATGGTGCTTGCGATTCGTAAAGCTGAATGCGGTTCGGCAACGCATACAGACTTCTGAGTCGGTCCACTCCGGAGGCTATAAACAACAGTCAACATGCGCCCAAGAGCTAAATAATGAGGGTGTACTCACGGCACTACTGTCAAGCATGCTGCTAGCAACGTCCACCTTGGGTGGGAACTTATATCCCTCACGCTGCAATGTCCTGTAAACCTCTCCAATATATGATAGTTCGTGGCGGCCTTCTGTAGCTGTAGCCCACGTCTGTATTAATTCCAAGATCTTGTTCTTGACTTCGTCATTCACTGCCGCAGGTCCGTAGGCTTTAAGCAGTGACACCAGGTTGTCCATGAACTCGCGCGATGCGATTTCTGCTAGGAAATGAGAACCGCCATTTTTCACACAGGTATCGGTGAGCTAGGTGTACACGTCAGCTTCTATCTTCCGCTGGCGAGGTAATCGGAGGCATACATTAAGTGCGCCTAGCTGGAAGTTGGGATTCTTGTTGCCTATTCTCCGCTTCAGAGACCGCATGGCCTCCTTCGGCTGCACAGTTTTCGACCGGATGACATCGGATATCTCGAGATTCAGGGATATATCCTCTCTAACTCGCATTAGCTATGTAAATCATTTGGACAGCGGTGGCGTTCTTACAAGCTGGAGGACGTTGCCCGCTCGATCTGCTCATCTAGCGCCGTGTTGGAGGCAAACCACCCGGACATCATGTTGGGCGGCCGGAGTCGAGGGACTCAAGTCGAGATAGTTTTTAGCTTTCTTACTTAGTTCAGTGCAATACGCAAGCGATTCAGATAGCTGTGCCCTGAGTTGACAATGAAAGATGGTGATTGTGTTGCAACAGCTCAAGCTTGGAATTCATCATGGTCCGTCGTGGACATATACGTACCACTGAGCCTCGCTTGGTCTGCGGGCCAAGGCGATGACGCCGCCACAGCCTCGTGGGTTCGCCTGCATCGTCGTACCTCTTACCGTTTTAGAACGTCAGCCTCGCCATCATCACCGCCAGACTCACATCAATGCTTGATCAGCTAATCTACACCTGATGGCTCCATGGCTGAAGAGGCACTTCTCGACAAGATTTCAAACTTGAGCGATTTGGAACTTGCAGCACTCCTATGTCTCACAAATGAAGAGCACTGCATCATTGACACAGACCCCGATTCTGTCCAAGATCTAGTCCATGAGTTGCGGCTTGTGAGCTTCCATCTCTACAGTGCCATTTCTGTTACTAACATATCCATAGATTGCCTCTAATGTCTTTGGGCTCTCCCACGCGGTGGTAGACTGCTCCGAGCAGACGACCCTGGAGGACTTCGATAACGCCCTCTACACAGACCTCCCTGTTTCCCCACGTGCGGACTCTCCAGCCCGCTACCGCCATGACTCCCACCTCCAGCCATCTCCTGGCTTCCGTTCTCTCTCTCGCTCCTCTCCGCGCTCAGAATCTTTCGCCGACTCCCGCAAGATAGCATCCGTCATCATCGCCAAGGACCTCGATGAAGCGCCCAAGTCAGTCCAGATCCAAGCTCTGGAGCTGATCCGTACTAAACGCATTTTCACGCATACATCAGTCCAAAACGCCCCAAAACGCTTCTTGTTCATCGCCGTGATAGCTGGTGGGGAAGGACCTCGCCTGTCTGAACATCTTAATAATCACATGTTCATATCCCATTTCCATAGCCACGAGGACGGGTATCCAAACATAGACGAGCAGGAGAGTGACGCTGAATCGATATCCTCTGTTGTGAGGAAGAGCGATGGCCATATAGAGCCCTCGCTGAACCCAGTGTTCGCGGCAACTGATATTGTTGCTCTACAACGCTCCGGCCACGACGTCTTTATGAGTGTCGAAGTAAATGGCTACATCATGAACATCATCGCATTTCTTCGTCTACACCGCGCGGTGTCTGGAGGGATCTCACCATTGGCAACTAGTCACTTTACAAAATTGGCAAAATCACTGGCGCCACTGCATGGCCTACGCTATGTTACGCCTTCGCTGGTAACATTGGCGGCGAAGAAGATATATCCGCATCGTATCTGTATCACACCGCCTGAACGGGAAAGAAGTGTCCAGTGGGGCAGCAATATCGATGCAGTGGCTGCGGTTTTGGAAGGAATGGGCCCCGATGCAGTCATTGACGATGTTATTGGGTCCGTTGAAGTTCCTCTATGACAGAATATCGTGTTTACAGCACGTGCGGTGGTCAAAAGCAAAGGACTGGCATAGGCTTCGTTATGAAGGAAACTTCTACTTATAAAATACGTGGCTGCGAGGCAGCCATCGTCTATATCCCAATATTAATACAGTTCAAGGTTATTACAAAAGCCACAGACGCCTATGATGCATTCTCATAACTAGTCGTTTAGTGTGACACCTCACTAACTTTGCATGTCCAGCCAGAGTTCTTCGCCAATAAAGGAAGACTATACGCAGTTAGTATATACTGTAGTGGGGTATCATAAATATAGAAGTCTTACCTGGCTCCCAAGCACCATCCCAACTCAAAGTCTCGGATCTTCTTATTGATCTTCACCTCTCTATCAATTGGCATCTCATATCCAGTATGTAACAATGCCATCATGAAGTTCAGATCCAAGCACCACTCTGGGCGCTCCTTTAGCTCTTTTACGGCGTCTGGGATGCTTGCGAATGTATTAAAGGCTGGCTCTCCCTGGCAAACTTGATGAGTGAGATCGTGCATCTCTCTCAATGTGAACGACTCTGGCATTCCAAGTGGTGCCGTGCGGTCGTAGAAGTAAGAGAAAATGAACACGTCCTCCTTTGTAAAGGTCTTTTCGAGGGATGGTTGATGGACACCGTTGAATGAACATGGTGCAAGCGGGCACTCAGAGCTCTTTTTAAGGGTCTTCTCCGCCAACCCGCGGCATTGAGCAGGGGCGGGTGACGAAGGGCCCGTCATGTTAACAATAAGAAGCGGGCCAAGGTCATGGCCTTTATCCATCTCTATTTTGACCTCTTTCGTCATACCAGGAGCAATGCAAGGGTTGACAATTGGTTTTTTAAGCCAAGCCTTGTCGTCTGGATTCTCCGCGAGAAGACCATTGATAACAAGTTTATGAATGGAGTTGCGGGATTCCATAAGCCCGTAGCCCAAGTGGGACTGCTGGTAGAGTTCGAAGTGTCGCCCACCGAAGTCAAGATCGTACTTGTGGGTACCCGGTGCCATTTTCTCGGGAACACCACCAGCTCCGGTCCTAAACGTCGGCTCGAAGACAATTTGGGTAGATCCGCCTCCGAGATCAAAAGTTGCTGCTGTTGGGATATGATCTGGGCCTCCTATCCTATCAAGGAGATAGTTGGTTGTGATCCAGGCATAAACACCTTCGTCCATACCTTCCATGACCTCCACGCCCTCCTTACCCGCAACGACTGGGAACGGATACTTGGTCTCAAGTCGAGTACGAACAGCAGCAAGAATATTATTACTCTTATCACCACTCAGTTTCCGGAGTCCGGCAGTAGCCTTGACTGCGACAGGGCTGCAAGACCTCAAGTTTTCTGGCACATACTCCATGGCAACATCCATGAGCATATCCAAACTCTTGGCAGCACCTTCTGCGTCGCCGTCGAATGAGCTAAGCCCTGACGACCCTCCCTCGACCTTGGCCGTCATTTTAAACGCCTCGTCTTCTAGGTAAGGCGTCGGGCCACAGTTGTTGAAGCGGTATACATGAATACGCGACCCGGTGCTTCCTGCATCGATCATAAGAACATATTGCTTGAGAGGTTTTGATGGATCGCTAGATTTCGTGCATGTCGTGGAACCTGCGGCGCTCACTGTGTAAATCGTGTTAGATCCGCCGTATACCAGATAAAAGCGCAAACAGGGCGTGGAACATACCTTCAGCGTTAGATACACCATTTGAGCCAGACGATACGGCATTTGATCCGCTCCCTGAGCCGCTCCCAACATGGACACCCTTAGGCGCAAGATAGTAGAAGAGGAATACGATGAAGAGGAGGATGCTCCCCGTCTTCATGTACCTCGAGCGCTGACTTTGCGTCATCCAGGCGGTTTTGACACTGTCAATTTTTGTTTTGAGGGTCGATGCCCCTGGGGGGGTTCCGTATCGAGCCAGCTTTTCGTGTGGATCACGTTGGCTATTTCTGGTCGGGAGCGATACAGAAATGCGTCTCATGGAGAAGATTAAGCAACTCGTTTCTTGTCGAAAGGAGAGCAACACATGTGTTCTCCTTTTCTGGCTCAGAGGGGTATTTTGGAGAAGTCGACGGGGTGGTCAATTAAGTCCAATTAAGTCTGGGGCAACCCCTGTCCAAGAAGGGAGATTTCGAACTTGGCTGTCGACTTGGCTGGGCTGTGTTTGTTGGTCGAACCCACGCAGATACCATAGTAAGAGTAGTAAGTGGAGTACCCTTGAAACCTAGGAAGTCCGAAACCAGCGAGAGATTCGGATTAGGTAAGGCATTGCCACAGTATATACGCCACACACTACCACACCGGCCGGAGATAGGAGACCGCACGATAGTTGTACCGCCACAATCGGCGATAAGGGCCAGTGGTGGCATACATGTGACTTTCCATGTCCATGACCGATTTCTAAGAAACGCGTATTCGCGTTTGCCTCCAGATATCCCTCTAGCATTATATATCTCCGTCTTACCTAGAAACCCAATACATCTTGTTCGTTAAAATTACAGTCTCTACGTCCGCATTCTCCCCCGTTTCCTCGTTCAGTTAGACCCTGGATTATGTTTTAGACAATGCGTTCCCTCTTCTTACATCGTCGCCCAGCTTGGAACAACACGCGCCATGGAAGTCTCCCTTTATATGTATGATCTCTCTCGAGGTCTTGTGCGAATGATGTCTGCGAGCCTGATCGGCGTCCAGCTCGATGCCATCTACCACACGTCTATTGTGTTAGAAGGTGTGGAATATGTGCGTTGCGCTCCAGACTACCCCTCTAACATCCTTCTTATTAACACATATAGGTCTACGACGGCGGATTAAAACAGGTCAAACCAGGATCGACCCATCTGGGGAAGCCTTTGAGGAAGATGGTACTGGGAAAAACCGAGCTTCCCATGGAGGTTATCCAAGATTATTTCGAATCGTTACGGCCGATTTACACGTTCGAGGTGAGCCCCGGTTGTCTCACCAGTTCTCAAAAGACATAATCAAGACTGATGCCAGTTCAGGCGTATGACCTTTGGCGACACAACTGCAATAACTTCACAAATGATTTTGCAACTTTCCTGGTCGGAAAAGGTATCCCAAGCCACATCACCGACATGCCCCAGACCGTGCTCAACAGCCCCATGGGACGGCTGCTGCAACCAGCGATCGATGATGCAATTAGAAACAGCCAAAATCGATCACGAACAGGAGGGCTGCTCGGCATCGAAGATGATACAGCTATCACTGCGAGAAACCTAAATTCCCGTCAGCGTGCAGAAGCAGTCAGAACGCCTGTCAATCTCAAAGAACTGAACGACCTGCTCGCTTCCGCGCATGAGTCCTGTGCAGTCGTGTTCTTCACATCCGCGACTTGCCCACCATGCCAACCTCTGTATCCGGTTTTTGCAGAGCTTGCAGCCGAGCTGTCTCATAAATGCGTGTTTATCAAAATTGACATTGGCAAGGCTATGGGCGTGCAGCAGGCATTCTCGGTAAATGCCACTCCAACCTTTGTCACGTTCCTAAGCGGCAAAGAAGAGCGTCGCTGGTCTGGCGCAGATGTGAATACGCTGCGAGGTAACGTTAAACTGCTGACGGTAATGGCGTGGCCTGCACACCCGCACGAGTCTCTCAAACTCCCAAAATTACGAGGGGCCTCGGTGAAGCCAATCGTCTTCAAACGAATCCCACCGCTGGATAAATTGTTAGCAAAGATCGGCGACGCAGGTCGACTACCAGCTGTGCAAGGAGTCAAATACTTCATAGCCACCAGCGAGGCAGAGGGTGCCGCGGCGTCTACACTGCCTGACCTGGATGCCTTCAGTCACTTTCTACGGAAATCAATCACAACTGTGCCTGTTGAGAAAATGTTTGCCGTGCTGGACTTAGTCCGCATCGCCATCGCCGACCCTCGATTCAGCGGGTATTATGCCCAAGAAAAGGACCACAAGACTATTGCACCGCTACTGGAGTATGCCAACAATGCTGAGGACCCTCCATACGCCCTGAGGCTCGTCGCCCTGCAACTGACCTGCAATTTGTTTTCCTCCTCGTTATACATCCACCACATCCTGAATTGTTCGGCTTTGAGGATCCCGATCATTCAACTTACTGCCTCTTGTTTACTAGATGAAAAACATCAGAATGTCCGCATTGCAGCTGCTTCTGTAGCCTTGAACCTTGCTACTGCAAACAGCCTGGTACGCAGAGAAGATCACCACGAGGCGTTGCCAGAAGACGACCAAGTCGAGCTGGCTGCATCCCTATTAGAAGCTATTCGTACAGAGGAGGAATCGCATGAAGCATTGAATGGATTCTTGTTAGCCCTCGGACAGCTAATTTACTGCGCAAGGAAAGACGGAGAAGTGGTTGACCTGCTCAAGAGTTTGGATGCCCAGGACACGATACTGTCGAAGAAGGGGTCATTCCCTAACGAAGCATTGATAACTGAGATTGGAAAGGAGCTGCTTGGAAGTTTATGATTCAAGATTCTACGGAAGCACAGCACGTAATAGAGCAAGATACCCATACTTAGAACTTATGGCGGACTTGGATCAACTTAGAATGAAACCCGCTGAAGCTACTACTGCTTCAAACTACAGTCCAATGATGCATACATAATCCTAAGAAGTGACACCCTACGACATCCATTATCCCCAGGATGCCATTTCCCAACACAGAACCCGATTCCCCACCCCTTCGACGCCAGCGCTATCCCAATAAAAACATTCATACAGTCGTAAAAAAAATCCCCCACAAACACCTCACCGATTGACCCTCTCCATCAATGGCGAGAGAAACCTCGACTTATCATCCACGATCTTGCGTCTGAACATGCCCAAATCCTTCAACAAGTCCTGCATATGATCCTGCATCTCCGTCGCCTTCTCATGATGATGATCATCTCCCTCATCCTCATCCTCATACACATGCTCCGCGTGCCCCTCTTGTCCCGCATCCACAAACTCCATATTCTCCTTATCCAACCCCCTCTCTGTGCTGAACAGCGGTATGTCCTCACCAGATATACTCCTCCTCACGCTCGGCACCTCCGGAATCGGATTCTTCAGCGTATCCAGCGCCAGCTTAAGATGCAACCTAAGCGCCTCATTCTCCGTCTGCAACGTCTTAATCTTCCCATCCGCCACCATACTCCGCTCCTCCATCAGCCGCTGCAGCTTGCCAACCTGGTTCTGGTACTCCTCCACCCGCTCCTCTGCCAGCTTCTCTGCGCCGACGTCCTTCTTGCGCGTCTCGGTCATGCTGAGCTGATGTTCTAGCATGCGGATCTGCTCGGCCATATTGGCAATTTCCGCCTCGCGTTCCGCGGCTGAGACGTGGTCTTGGTTGACCTTTGCTCGGGTGCGGATGCGCTTCGCTTGGTCAGCGTAACGGAGCGTGCTAAGCGTCTCGTCGTAGTCGGCTGGGGCGATGCAGGCGATCATTGCGGTCTTGCTGTTTCCGCCCAGGCTGTCCTTTAGGAGCCAGGTGAGTATCGAGTCTCGGTAGGGGACGACGTCTTTATTCCTCTTGCTTGCGCCGTTTCTGCTACTTTTGGGGTCGGCAAGGGCGGCAATAACGCGGCCGAGTGTGGTGAGAGATTTGTTGATGTTAGAGCCCTCGCGCAGGCGCGTGCCAGTGGCCTCTGTTGCCTTTGCACGTTCAGATCCAGCTAAATCGACAAGTCGAATTCGGGCCGTCCTTTCGGTCGTTTCATCCGTGTCCATGTCGTGGTGAATCTGCTTCAACATGATTGTGAAGACAGAGTGCGAGCGAGATGATGTGTCATTCATCTTTGTGCTTGCTGTTGTTCGGCTCAGGTCTCCCATCTTCATATAGCGCATGATTTCCGAGATTGACTTGACAGGAGCATCTGTAAGGTCCTTGATATACGGGCCCTCTGTTGGAGATTCGCGGATTTTCAGGTAATGCGGGGGATCTTGTCTAGGGACGAGAAGATCTCGGACGTGCTCGTTGTAGACTTCGAAGTATGAGACTCGGACATTGTATGTGATGTTGGGCTCGTCCACGGCTTCGATGCGCTGGAACAAATCTTGGCATGTCCGAGGGATAAGTCCAGGTTGTTCTTGGTTTCCCATCATGGTGTATGACTTTCCAGATCCTGTCTGCCCATACGCGAAGATGCAAGTATGGTATCCTTCAAAGTTGTGGTCTAGAAACTCCTCACCCAGACTGTTATAGACGTCCTCCTGGTGAGCATAATGCTCATCTGCTTTATCATGCGACCAGAAAGAATTGTCAAATGTAAATTGTTTCTCTTCCATCACTTTGCGCATCTTCAGTCTCGAATTCGCCGGATCCGTATCGTTGGGGACAAGAAGCTTTGTTGCTTGAGACACAGGGTCCATGTTGACAAGGCATTCCGCTCCTCTCTCGATTTCTGCGGTGCGTCAGTATAATTCCCGCGACTAATTCGTGAATAGCTTGCCTCTTGGTAGAAACCCTCGTACTCTCACCACCACGCGCACGTTTCCCCCAGGTTCCATTCTGCTGCCGCTGGGCGTGATGCTTCCGTCCCTCGACCGAAGCGATGGTGTTGACGCGGAAGATCGAATAGAGCGCAGCTCAGCTGCCACGCCTGGCATTAACCTTGGATCCAGGGCCATGTCAATTAAGGAATCTTGCAAGTCCTGTAGCAGGTCGACTTGTCGGCAGTTCCAGTTTGAGAACATGAATTTGAAGCTATTTGTTTACCGATGACGCCAATGCGCGTTGCTGGGGGGAGGAGATCCACTCCGATAACGATAAGGGCCGATCTGTGGCTGGCCAGAATGAAGGAAAATAGAGCCGTCGCGACTTCGAAGCGCTGTTTATGATAATTGCTGATTATGCCTTTCGTGGTAATGCTTGAAGGCATGGTTTTAAGTGTGGTGATGCATGGTCCAAGGATGTTAGGGAAGTCTAAGTATTAAATAACACCCCGAAGGTTTAAACTCCTCCACTTCATGGAAACTGCAATGGTCCACCACAAGCGGAGGCCCACCCACACACAGTACCTTGGAAAGCCGAAGTATTTAGGGCAAAAGACGGCCGGATGCGGTTCGTTGGAAAGTCAGGCAGTGATTACTTGCAAGAATTAGGGTGCTATTTGAGTTGAGGAGGTTCCCCTCTTGAGACATCCCTGAGACTCCTCTTTATAAACAAATATGACATAACGCGTTTATCAGCCACATGGGTCAATTTATCAAGTATCAAATCCCCCAGGCACCACGAAGCTCTCCGGGTGGATTTTGGGATACCAGAGATAGTATGGCAGTTTTCTCTCACCATAGATGATGTTTGTCTTTTTTAAATTCTCACCTGCTGTCACATAAGTTTTTTTGGTCATGGCTTGTTTCCTGTAGATATAGCTCTTAAAAATGCAAGTGCAGCCCAGCATCAGTGTCCAGCTAAATTATTCATAGAGGCATGGCAGGACAGTCAGTTATCTCATCGAGTGAATCATCTTATTTCCATGAATGACAATAGTGAATACTTGAATGGCTACAGCATGATTATGTATTCGCTCCGTATTGATATTATAACACACTTCACAGGCCCTCGCTCAAGTCTGGCTGATAAGAAGCAAGTATAAATTACAAACAAAAAATACCAGAGCACCCCATATTTCTAACAGTAGGTGCATCGTTCTATCCTTTTGGACATTGCTGATATATCCTCCAGACTTTTATCCGACATGGTTCCCCGTCTACGATCCGAGGGACTTCAACCAGGTGCCGGCGACCTTCGCCGCCGTTGTACTGCAGTTTGCTTCGACTATTGGTTTCCAGGGATTTCAACATCTCAGAAACCAGTAGTGTTATCTTTGGCGCACTTGACGTCCTGGAGTGCAGAACGTATCGCTCGAGCGGCGACTCTGAAGTGTCCCGTGGATGACAATGCCATATTGGCCGAGGAAGTTTGGGATTTCTATATGGCCTGGGTCGAGCACTTGCCTCGTTGCAGGTCCAGGTTGGAGGACATGGAGAGAAGCATGTGGGAAATCATTCAGCAACTCAGGTTTGACATATTGGGGCCATGTGCAAAAGAGCGGAACCTCTCGAAAACTCCAAGGCCTGTATGGAATCCCACTTATCACTGACTTATAAAATGGAGAACAAGGGGCTAACTTTGGATACCAGACAACCTTTACATATGCCAGACTTTGGCGTCCAACTGTATGAGTGCCACAATGCCCAGCGAAGCAAACTGCTGACACTGGCAATCATAGGAGCGATATTCAGGCCCAGAAATCCCATCATTTCTGCCGGAGGATGGCATCGATAACTACCGAGCCTGCATGACACTCGCAGAAAACGGGCCAATGACTTGCTTTACCCCGGCAGAGTTCAAGATCATCGAACAACTTGGACCCCATGTGCGGCCCATGATCAGAACAGTAATGAACGAATGCATGGGATACTTCGAACGGGATATGATGACGGGAGAATTCAACCGGAAAATCTTTGACCTTCACCGCCATCTTGGCAAAATAATGGAACTGGGCAACAGAGTAGTTGAGCTTTGGTGCCATATGTTTGGCTCGGTCGAAGTCTTTGCGGACTCGTGGAACGTCAGAGTTAGGAGGGACGAAGAATCGGGATACGACGAGCAAGTGGATGAGGTGGTAACTCAGCTCAAGGATCAGGTTGAAATCTCCAAACAGCGACAGATCAAGAAATCAATTACCCAAGGAAGATGTCTCGTTTACCTGAATTCGAGCCCGCAAGCCATCAAAATGCTTGTCATTTGTATGATAACCGATCGGATCCACGCTCTAGATGAACTTCGCAACAACCGTCGCCAAGAAACAGGTGGCACTCTGGTAAGTACCGAGGATCTCCCACACGATGCCAGAGACTGTCCAATCTGCCGCGAGACATTCGGCGTTCAAAATGAAGCCGGCGAAGTTGAGTGTCCAGTTCGACTTGTATCTTGTTGTGGACAATATGCTGGTGAAAGATGCCTCCAGGAATGGTACCGATCACCTGAAGCTCGCAGCTGCCCGGTTTGTAGGCGTACGCGTTCAAGTTCGTTTTTCGAGAAGTTATATCAAATCGAATTCAAGTTTTCCCTTTAGCCACTTGACGAATAATCCTGAGGTTGATGACCCTGGTGACTGATATGATGATCGTTTAACCTGGATGACTGATATGATGATCCTTTTACCTGGATGACTGATATGATGATCCTTTAACCTGGGTGACTGATATGATGATCCTTTAACCTGAATGACTGATATGATGATCCTTTAACCTGGGTGACTGATATGATGATCCTTTAACCTGAATGACTGATATGGTTAACCTTGGGCTTGGATATCTGAAGTATTAGTTGCTGTTAATTGGACGGTTAGATAAGACCCCCGAGAGGTATGAAGCACAATTCAACGGCGGATTCCAGGGGAAAAGTTGAATGAAGTGATATTGAGAGCTATGCGGCCGAGGAGCCAAACAGACGTTCCAATCTGACTACCCCCGAGCACAACCATAGCCAGCCACACCAAACTGTTGTAACACCTGCTGGCCGATTGATACCCACAGCAACACTTCTCGAGTGTAATCCACCAAACCGAAAACAGTCCAGCGATCCCCCGCTCGAATATGAGGCGCTCTCAACAACCAAAACATCCTTCCTCGATTCAGCAAGCCGTAACTCCATCCCAGTGCTAGTTCATCGAGTTCCGCCGTTCCAAGCTCACATCACGCCCCGATGCTCACAAGTCCTTGCCATTGTCTTCGGTATGGGAATAATTTAACGGTGCTGCAAATCCTGTTAGTTATCCGTTGCCCAGTAGTCTCCCTCGCTCCCCAGATCTCCATCTCGTACCTTGACGAATCCAATATCGGCAGCCTTCTCTCTGAAGCACTGACGGCAGATGTTGAGGCCGTACTTGCGGATGAGACCGGCCTTGTGGGTGCAGACGCGGCTAAAAAACTCGTGTTAGCTGATATGTTCATTCCCCGTTGTCTCCTGCTGCATCCTGCACTCCTGCCATCCTTCCCCCAGGCGTATCGTGTAGAGTTTCGAGATTCGGGGCTACGTACCACTCGCGCGAGCCCTTTCCGTAGGTCCTTGGGCGGGAGTTCCAGACAGTCTCGTGAGACATGATTGCGGTGGTATTTACGACGAACGGGGGGTTGTCAAGGGCGAGGTGTTGGTGGTCGATTGGTCGATTGTCGCAGCGTTCGTGAAGTTGTTGCGAGCCGCACTGCCAAACCCTATTCAATTTTCTATTGTGCGCGCTAAAATTCGGTTCCTAAGTTGTGGCGCCAGATGTGTGGCTGGTGCAATTTTTAGCGTCGGGGTCTGGGAACAAAGAGCTCTGAGAGGGTCCGTGCGCGTAACTCACCAAAGGGCATGGAACAACATACAGGAACCATCGGTACTTTGGGAGTTTACGGCTACAATAAATCAAATAAGTGCTCATAAATTACATAGAAATATAATTATTGTATCACAGTCCTCCAATAAGTCAGTGATCCAAATATTAATTTAGAGGGAAAATTTATTAGCTTTGAATGGAGATTTAACACTCAATTGTGCTGAGGCTTGGAGCCATATGGTACATAACTGGGACCCAGGTGCCCCGCGTCCTTCATAACCTCCAGGTAACAAACTCTACTTACCACCATACTGGAGAGAAACTGTTCAGCCAATTCTTATAACATTCATCTGAATTTGGAGATCGGCTTGAGTGCACAGCACTCCCTACTTCTGAACAATGGTATTATTTGAATGGGCGAACATCTGCTGGGAAATAGCTAACAACATCCATAGTCCAAAGACTCCAACCACACGTATATACACTTCAACCGTCCGCGAGATGCCGATCTCTTCGAGGACTTCTGCAAGGACAAGCTTCCATATGACGAGATCTTTGTGCCCCCCCAGAATCAGCCTTTGAACCCGGAAGATGAAGACGATATTGTCCCCGACCAGCACGCTGCGTTCGGTATCCAGAGAGCCACCCAGAAGACCAAAGAGGCTGCATGGAAAGATCTTGGACTCTCAGAACTCATGAAGAAGGGTCCGGTGCAGACAGGAGGACGCGCAGATGGCAACATGAAGGTGGCCGGGAACAGGACATTGCCTCGGTAGCATCTACGTGCAAGCGTTTCAGTTGTATTGGCCCCGGGACGAAGGAGGGGCATTGGGTTGATCCTCGAATGAAAGAAGGGCGTTGCATTGGTCTCGTAAAATAAGGAAAGGCACCAGGTTGATCACGGAGTCAAGGAAGCGCGCAGTGTTTAAAGGACTGGAGGGGCGTTAGGGATGATACCCACTATGAAATATGATGCAGCACAGTTCTGTTGTCACGGCGTTTACACCACACCAATTGGCCCTTATTAAAGCATGAAAATGAACTTATATGAGTTCGATAAACCTAACCGTAACTCCTCGCAATGCTGATAACGCCTTCCGAATGCCAACAAACACTCATCCATCAAAGCGTCGTAGTCTATTGCTTCCCCAAGAATGCCTCCCTCTCAATGACCTCCGGCTGGAACTTCACTAGGAAAACAGTCTTCCCCGGCCAAAGTTCTCCCTCCTTGCCCGCAGCAGCAACCGTATGCGCCGTGACCCTTGCCGGGAACCCAGCCCCATCGCAAGCTCCCTCGATAATCCCCGCCACGAACGCAGCGCAGTTCAACTGGCTCATCTCCTTTGGAACGCTGACGTACTGGTTCACCAGCGGTTCATTGTCTATGATCATGTACTGATCTGGACTCTCGTTGGATTTCTCGAGCGCATCGGCGGGTCGGGCGAAGAGGTGTTTCCACATGACATTGATGATGAAGTTGAGGAGGGCGATGATGTTGAGGGGGCGGAGTTGTGTTCGTGGGGGTTCGCGCCAGATGAGTACGTCGAGGAGTTTGAGCCCGATGGGATGGCCTTGGACATTGAGTCTAGAGTTATAATGAGCTTCTGTTTGAGCAATTCTGGCAGCTGCCCCGAGAGGCTATTGGGGGTCATACCGCTTCTCCAAATCCTGGATATCTGTGACACGTTTTTGCGCATAGCTCACCATCTCCCCGAAGAGGTATGCGAAGCTTGCCTGGCTCAGTTCCTGCGTCCGACTCCTGTTCAGCGGCCTGTTGTATATCGTCTTTCCGTTTGTAGGGTATTTTAGACCAGGTGCGCCGCGCTGCCCAGCGGGCGCTTGGCTGCCCATCGGCTTGGGGGTCTGTGAGGATGACATTTCAAATCTGTAATAATATCGACTGTGGGCATATATCTGCCAATGCGGGGGGGATTCAATGAGTTCAGCACATGGTGGTTCGGCAAGGCTGGCGGTCGCTGATAGGAAGCTCTAAAGTGACGGCCCTATCGCCAATCGGTCACCCATGCGGGTGTTCCCGCGTACATAAATTCTAAGGGTCATATCTGAGTAACGGCTGAGTAAAACTCCCATTAAAGCTATGGATAAAGCTCTCAAATTTATTATCTACTTAATTTTGGTATCTATGGGACAATTCCCGAGGCTGTCGCTGCATGAAACATTATTAATAGGTACAATTAGGGAGACAATTCAAGCCTGAGTCTCCTTGGTCTCAGGCTTCTGGTTCTCGATACCAGCCGCTGGTGCAACGGGTGTCTCAGCCTCGACAGCAGCTTCTGGTGCAACTGCAGTCTTGGCCTCGATAGCAGCCTCTGGTACAACAGGTGCAGCAGGTGCTACAGCCTCCACTGCGGCCTCTGGTGCAACAGCTGCAACAGGTGCGGCAGCCTCCACTGCAACCTCTGGCTCGACTTTTTGCCCCAAGCTTGGAACATCTCCTCCCTTCAAGTAGAGCTCACTCTCGCCGTAATGTTTCCCAGCTGCCTCCCATCTAACTCTGCGTTCGCTGGCCTTTTCTTTGCATAGGTCATTGAGTGCGGGCCAGTAAGCCTCGTGGTCATACTCGAACTCCACAGCTCCACCAACATCAGTCCACAGTTGCTCCTTCGGGACAAACTTAGTTAGATCTTCGTTGAAATGCAACTTCTCACGAGTCAATGGGTCGACGAAAGGCATGATGAGCTTCAAAAACATATTGACCACGAATGGGACTGTTCAGGTTGTTAGTGTGCCGAAATTTCCTTCAAGGGGTTGAATGTCTTACTGTTGATGAGAGCGGCACGTCCGAGTCTCTCTGGGTAGTGGGTTTGCAAGATGTTCAAGACCTCCCTAGCAATGGCGAAAGGCGGGGATGTATTTGAGCGAGATTTGCTCGACTTGAAGTTGATCAACAGGCAGATGCTCTCCTGGCCAGGAACCATCATATCGATGACCCTTTCCAGCATGTAAGCGAGATGCTCAACCTGTCGGTGGCTGCTCTCAGTGTTCTGTCGCCCAGGGTTTAGGTAATGGCATGGCCTGGCCTCGTCGTCGAATCCGAGGATGATCTGCTTGCCTGTCTCGTTTTCAGGTGAAATGTGATCAGGCGTGAGCTCCAGAAGACCGAATTCCCTTCTCCATGTGAGGGTGCTCAGGAGACGCTTGGCGGCCTCAGCTGGCTGCCACTTTGTTGCCCTAAGATAACGCAGGATGCAGTCTCTGGTCAACCACATAATCTCCTCATCCACAATTGGACCCTCCTTGCCTTTGGTCGATGGGATTTCGGTCCATGTCTTGACAGTTGCAAGAACCTCCTCGTACTTGGCTTCTTGGTCGGCAGTGAGAGCTACGGCTTCCTTTGGCTTCGCTGATGGGACTGGGTCGACAAATGGGGTTTTGACTGCCCCATCGGGTTTCGCTCGGAGTGATGCTGCAACAGAAGTAGTCTGACCCTGGGTGATGTCTAATGCGGCGACCTTCTCCTCGATTTGGTTCTCGCCGGCCGCAGCCACTGGCGTCTCTGGCATGGTAGCACTCATCTAATTGAAGTTAATACAATTTGGTTTGGGATATAAGGGTTTCCAGAGACTGTGGATTGACAAACCTTTTCTGTATACTCCAAAAATAAAATAGATACAGCTTTCGAGGAAACTTCAATTGACAGACTTAAAGGGGCGTATGGACGAAGTTGTTGGGCAGGTACGAGTACGAGTAGCACAATTCGTGTATGGGGCAGCACAATTTAACTTTCCTCAGCCTCGCCCCCCCATGCAGCCTCTCAGTGCCCGTGCGCCCAAAGTCTAAGGAGGGACTCGCCCATTAACGCGTTAAAACCACAACGCGTCTTCCACTTACAGCCTCGTCGCGACCACTCGAAATATTTCACGACGAGACAACCGCCGTGTCCCTCGACGCTCGAAAAGATAAATATGGCAGACCCCGTGGTAGAGGAGCTTAATGCTTTATTTGGGCCAGCATCGGTGAACAAAAAAATAGAGGCAGATGTGCTCGCCGAGCTGCAATCGATTATGCGCCTCCACTCTATCCCGCCCCAGGAGCTGTTCTACAAATGGGAGTCTTACAGCATGAAGATTGGGACGGACGATATGAAGCTTGACATCGAGACCTCGAGAGCTCTTAAGCAGGATATTCAAGATGGATTGGAAAGAGAGAGCAGGAACAAGTTGAACGCCAGGAGTGTGGAGAAGCGGGTAGCTACCCCGCGAAATATCTCTAGCACTGGAGATGTATTCAATATGCTGGATGGCCTGGTGCCAAATACTCCTCGGACCGCGCCAGGAAGCGCTGCGTCGAAACGCAAGTTTCAGACACCATCCATATCACGAGTGAAGCAAGAACCCGCCAGCAGCCCACCAGAGTTCAAGACCCCCTACAAGCCAGGAGAGAAGGAGTATGGAGGACCGTAAGTTTAGCATTACCTTCTGACCTTCCCAGCTAACAAGAAACAGAACCGTCGCCTTCAACGACCGCCCCAACGCCGGCCAAACCGTCGAAATCCTCAACGAACAACTCCCCGCCCCATCCCCCCCAATCGCACCCTTCTCCGAACCCCGCATCAAGCTAATCGCCAACTCGGACCTCAAAAAGCTCTCCTACAAACCCATGGCCATGAAATCCTCCGAATCCTCCGAAATCCTTGACGACCGCATCGACGAGCTCATGGCCCTGATCAAAACCCACCACACCCTCCCCGACTCCGCCTTCGGCAGCGCCGCCAACAAATCCGTCGACGAAATCGTAGCCATCGGCCGCATCGCCTCGGACTCCGCAGACGGGAAACTCAACACCGCATCCCTCGTCCTCGAGACCTCGCGACGCATGGGGAACGGGCTGCGCGTCCCCCTCCGTCTCGGGTCCGTGGCTAGCTTCCAGTTCTTCCCGGGCCAGATCGTCGCGCTCCGCGGCATCAATGCTTCGGGCGAGGAATTCACAGTCAGCGAAGTCCTCGAGATTCCCTTACTCCCCGTCGCGGCCTCTACACCTCAGGGCCTGGAAATGCACATCCAGCGCCTCCGCGGCGGCCCAGACGCGATGGACGACGACTCCGCCGCCGCCCCGCTCAACATCATCATCGGCGCCGGTCCCTACACCACAGATGACAACCTCGATTTCGAGCCCCTGCACGCCCTCTGCAGCCAAGCAGCAGACACCTACGCCGACGCGCTGATCCTCGTCGGTCCCTTCCTCGACACAGAGCACCCCCTCCTCGCATCGGGGGACTTCGATCTCCCCCCCGAAGCGGAAGCGGATCCCGACACCACGACGCTAAAAACCGTATTCAAGCACCTCATCTCGCGACCCCTCCAGTCTCTCGCCGCGGCAAACCCGAGTATAACAATCCTCCTCATCCCGTCGGTGCGCGACGCCATCAGCGCGCATGTATCGTGGCCGCAGGAGCCGTTTCCGCGCAAGGATTTGGGGCTGCCGAAACAGGCGAAGATTGTGGGAAATCCGATGACGGTGTCAATTAATGAGATTGTCACGGGGATATCGAGTCAGGATATCCTCTCTGAGTTGAGGCATGAGGAGGTGACTGGTGGAGCGCCGCAGGCTGGTGGGATATTGGCGCGTTTGCCGAAATATATTATCGAGCAGCGCCATTTCTTCCCTCTGTACCCGCCTGTCGACCGTAAACTCCTGCTCCGCACAGGGACAGTGGAGGGTGCGCCGCCGGGAGCGATGCTCGATGTGAGTTATCTCAAGCTGGGGGAGATGCTGAATGTACGCCCCGACCTCCTTATTGTCCCCAGCGCGTTGCCACCGTTTGCAAAGGTCGTGGAGAGTGTGTTGGTGATTAATCCGGGGGTTGTGGCGAGGAGGAAGGCGGCGGGGACGTTCGCGAGGGTTAGTGTCGGGGAGGCGGGGTTGACGGAGGAGGAGAGGGGGGGAGGGTTGACGGTGGCGCATAAGTTGTATGAGAGGGCCAGAGTGGAGATTGTGAAGGTGTAGTGTAGTGTAGGTAGGTAGGCACCCCTAATATGGGGGTGTATTGGAAGTGCTGCGGCGGTTATGAGGTTGGCGTTTTTGGATATAGGAAGATGGGCATCACGGATAATGAAAGACACAAAATTGACAGTCGCCCGCTTCTTGATTTGGCGCCGAGATTATATAGTACACGCGCTCGCGGAGTCTAATCCACTTTCCGCCTCTTATCGTACTCATACCTCCCCCCATCCCTCGAAGAACTCCTCTTCCTCCGACTCCGATCATCATCCCTATCCCTCCTCGGCTCCCTCTCTCTCGACCTTTCCCTCTCCCTCCTCGGCGACCTCGATCTCTGCCTCTCCCTCCCCGCACCCCTTTCTTCCTCCCTCCCCCCCCTCGGCCCCTGAGGCACCCTCCTCTCCCCAACCGGCAAATTATTCGCACCACTCCTCCCCCCCTCATCCGGTCTAAACCTCTCATCCACATCCCCCCCCACCCCCATCCTTCCCCCTCCCCCCCCAACCCTCCTCTCCTCAAACCGTCCCCACTGTCCCGTATCCTCACTCTTCAAATCCCTATACTTCGTCGCCCCCTTCTTCCCCAACTTGGTCATATCCCTCATCTGCAGCGCCTGCGGCAACAACTCGCGATTCACCACATCATCCGCCATGCGCGCGCCCATGAGATCCCTCCTATCCAGTCCCGCTTCCTTAGCGTCCTCCTGGAAGAAAGCACCCTTATGGTAGTACTTCTGCATGAACCCCATCTTCCCCTTCCCCTCCCTCTCCTCGACCTGCCTCGCAATATGCGCATCATCCTCTGCCTTCCTCTCCTCGACACTCAAATTCTTCACCCTCTCCACCTCCTCCCGCTCCCTCTCCATCTCCTCAATCGCCACCCTCTCCCGCTTAATCCTCATCAACTCCCTCAACTTCCACGCCGCGTGCTCAGCCTCCGGATCAAGACCATCCGTATCATCAATCTCATCCTCAGCCTCCTCATCATCATCCCAGTTCTTCTTCCCCGCCTCCCGCGCCGCGACATCCTTCCGGATCTGCTCCTCCACAATCTCATCCGCGGCTTTCTTCCTCCTCTCCTCCTCCTCGGCAGCTCGCTCTTCTTCCGGTCTCGTATCCTCCTCCTTCCTAAGCCCGCGCTTATCCTTCTTCACAAACGTCGGGCGCATCATCACGCGTCTAGGCGCCTCCTCCTCACTGCTCTCCTCCTCGCTCCCGCTCTCCTCTTCACTCCCGCTCTCCTCTTCACTCCCCTCCTCCCCCTCCTCACTCTCAGTCACAAACCCCTCCTCTTCTGCTTTCCTGGCTAGCCGCTCATCTTCCACCCTCTTCTCCTCCTTCTCCCTCGCCTCCCTGCGTCGCTCGTTCAGGTCGACTTTCTTGAGATCACTCGATATCCCCCCCGCTGAGCTGAATTTCGGTTGTGGTGGTCTACTCGGTATCGCCCGCTGCTGTTCCTCTTCTGGCGAAACCTCCTCTTCGGAATCAGAGCTCTCCACCTCCTCGACCGCCTTGCCGGGGCGATACCGCGGCGCTTTGGCCGGGTTGGCCGTCATGCGCGACGACATTATCGCTTCTCGCAGTCTCGGATTATCCCAAATATATATGTGTACTGGATGGATGGCTGGCTGCGTAGTAGTAGGTTCGTATCAAACGATCGATCGATCGATTATCAATCGTGGGTTCAGTTGTTGTTGTTGTTGTTGTTGGGATTTACGATTTACTTTCGCCCTTGTTTGACCAGCCTCGAATGCGCGTGCCGCCTGAGTGAGGTAAAGTAAATTCGTGAGGCTATGTGGTAAGGCTGAGCTAGTGTCTCTTGAGATTAGCGTATATGCTTAAATTGTCCGCAGTCCAGCCAGCCCCTCAAGTTCTCAAGCGAGGTTCGTGCCATACCATACCATACCATAGTAAGGAGGCCAGATCAGGTCTACAGTCACGATTGATTTCACAAATACCATTTTGGTAAAAGGTAGTAATGGTAATGGTAATGGTAACACATAAATATACTGTGGTAAACCCTCAATTCCGTGAGTTCCTCCCGTTCTACGCTAATAAAAGCACCCCCCGCCCAAGTCTATGTAAATGGTATCCTACCATCCCACCCACCATCCCGGTGTTGGTGTTGAAAACGCCCCTTATCCTCCCAATCCCATTCCATCCCAGGCCCCCAAAAAATGCCAAATGCTAATGCAAAAACCCAATTCCCAACGCCAGGCCGTCCCAAGTATCCCCCATCACGCCAGGTGATAATGTCTAATGCTCTTCACAGCCATCCCTCCCCCTCATATTGCACAGCGGGATTACTCCCATTCACAACAGCAGGTGCCTGCCCATGCTGCTTCCCCGGCTGCTGCTGCTCCTCCTCATCATCATCTGAGCCCTCCGCATCCTGATCTTCATCCTCATCCTCGCTCGCAGGTGGATTCCAGGTCTCCTCAAGCTTCAGCCCCTTCCCCGTCGACTCAGCAGCAGCACGTTGTGTTGAGCCGAGGTACTTGGAAATTAGGGCCGTTTGGTACTGCTCCCACTGCTGCATATCGGTGACGGGTGCCTTCTCAGGCGCATCGTACAGGCCCATGCCGACTAGGATCTCGCCCTCGTCCTCTTCGTCGTCGAGAGAGTGGTAGGGGATTGTGGTTTCGATAGCGCACGGTGGTTCGGGGTGTTGTATTGGGAGGAAGTTCTCGGGTGTTGGGGGGGCGGTGCCATCCTCGAAGCCGGTGGCGGCGAAGTTGTTCCAGTCGAAGTGAGAATAGATGGAGGGGTTCATGCAGTCGTTGTAGGATTGTTGTTGTACCTGCAGTTGCAATTGTGCGTAGGCTGCATAGTCGGCCATGGGGTTGGTGAAGGAAGGTTGCATGATGGAGGAGGTGTCATAGAGGGGGTATTCTTGGTCGTAGTTGGTCCAGGGTTGTGATTCTGGGGAGAAGGTTGCTGAAGGCGAGCCGTAATTTGATTGCAGGGCGGGTGTGTTGGGGAGGTCCTGGCTGTTGCTGTATGACATGCTGTAATCCGTCATACCGGTGTTGTAGACTGGCTGGAATGGTACGTCGTATGTTGAGTATGCCGAAGGGTGCCAGCTCAATGGCCTGGTCTGTGATACCGCCTGCAATGGTGTGAGGTATGCCTGGCTTGGTTCCCCTGACGCCGACATGCCCTGGTTCACCGCCGACGGCTGGCGTCGATAGGAGTCGCCCATAACTGTCCTCCTCCTGTTCAGTGTGGTCGAGTTTCTCGGGCTGTTGTTCGTGCTGTTTGCTTTTGATATCCGCATGGATCCTCCTATCCTCGAGGCATTAGACCCCTTTGAGTGTCGGCGTGAGAGATTGGATGAGGCCATTTGTAGGGAGACGTCCTCGAGTAAGGTGAGATCGAGGTGGGTGGGCATGGTGCCAGCTGCGTGTGGTGCCGGGCCGCTTGAGGTGAGCATCATGGTGAATAAGGATGAAGGGTGGTCGGAGTATAAGGTTGGGCGTGCCGTCAAGGCTCGAGGTGATCTCTGAAAATCGATAGATGTCTGGGGGGTTCAAGAGCAGGTCATGTTGTAATGAAAGAGAGAAAGAGAGGAGAGAGAGAGAGACAGAGAGAGAGTATATGAATATGATGTAGTGTGAGAAAAGGAAGGAAGGCTCTGGGCAACCAGACTAAGAATGGGGAGGAATACAAATATGGACACACACACCCTTGCCACGGAAGTAGCAGCTTGTCAATAGTGAATAGTGACCAAGACCATGAGGAAACCGTCAGGGTCCACTAGTGACGAGTGGCATGTTGTCTCTGGTCTCTGGGGGGCCTTTGTGTCATCTGCCTAAAGAGCGGCGGCCGGTGGATGAGACCAAAGAAGAAACGGAGGAGGACATTGTGGACCAGTGATAGATTGGCCGTGCTTTTTTGGGTACTGTACTCTAAGCGTGTGAGTGTGTGGAGGGAGGAGTATGTATGAGTGTGAGAGTCAAGGTGGTAGCAGCGGCAGTAGGTAGTGGTAGTTCCGTATAGTGCGGTATGTTGCAGGTCTTTCCCGGGGTGGTGGCGCGGACCCAGATCAGTAGTGTACTCCGTACAGGAGGGAGGCGGAGGAAGAGTAAAGCAAGCAAGCACCACACACATATCGGGCCAAGTTTGGTGCCATGCCAGGTGTGAGATGGGGTGAAAAGGGAAGGAAGGGGGGGTGGGTAGGGGGAGGGTGGAGGGGTGAAGGGGGGCGGATGTTGTGTAGTGTATAGTTGGACGGAGCAAGCCAGCCAGCCAGAGAGCAAAGAAGGCAGGAACTGACTACTTGACTACTGACGACTGGAGTGATGGATGGAGTATAGGAGTGGAAATGGAGGCGCGAGCTACGGGTGCGTGCGAGCTACGAAGGCGGAGCTAGGAGGAAGGAGTACGACTACTATGCTAAGTATACTACTATACTACTATATGACTAGTATAGTATAGTTGGTAGTAGAGCACGGGTAGAGTCCGAGTTTGAGTCGAACAATCTGCACGGTGGCGCTGTGTAGTACTGTGAGTAGTCGGGCCTGAGTTTCGTTTGATGAAAACAGGGGGTATTAGTGGTAGTAGAGGAGTAGTAGAGGAGAGTACATATAATAGTTAGAGTAGTACCCGCACTTTGTATGGCACAGCAGCACTTACTAGTAGTATATTAGTAGAGTAGTATAGTATATGGATAGTATATGGATAGTATATGGATTAGTATGGGTACTCTAATATGGGCGGTATGAGTTTTGGTATGGGTAGGACGGCTTAGCACAGGTAGTTTGTATGGGTTTGTCTAGGTTTGTATGGATCTGTATGGGTAGCCTGGGTAGTATGGAGAAGCCCGGAATAAGGTAAGGAAGTCGTCACACTCTGGAAGGAATCAGATGGGAGCTAGCAGGGGGGTATCAACAACAAGGTCATAGAAGTGAAGATGGAGAAGGAGAGAAGGCCGCAGCCGTATAGAGTAACTAGTGGAGTAATTGAGTAGGTGGAGTAGCGTCGTAGTAAAAAGGTCAGGTAAGATCAAGTAACAGTGGAGTAGAGTTGTACGTATGTTATGTACAAGTGCTACGCAGCCGCCATTACTACTAAGACTACTGACACTACTAACATTACTAACGCTACTATCATCGCTCACTTACCACTGTGAGACTACTCTAGTAGAGTATAGTAGCAGTAAGACCTGCACTACGCTGCACAAGGGGCGGGTTCAAGATCAGGGACAGAGACAAAATACCGAAGTAGAGGCGCCTTAGCTGCACACGGGGCGAGTACATACATTCCACCTTAACCACCAACGCTAAGGGAGGAGGGAGAGAAAGGGGAATTGAAGGTCAGGAGAGGAATAGGATGATGGGAAGGCACTCCTGTCTATACAGACTATAGAGATTATACTAACTATACTAACTATACCAACTATACACACAATACGTCCTACACAGTATAAGCTCATTCATACCATCAACATACAAGCAGCTGCGGCCTCATACCATCAACACACAAACAGCCGCGGCCTTCTCACCCCATCCATCCCAATGTACTACATAAGGGGTACGCACATCGCATATGCACCTCAACCGCATCCTCACGTACCTCCCATGTCTCACTCCCCCCGATCCCAATCCTATTCCTGTCCATCCATACACCAACCAAGCCAAGGAGGTCTTCCTCCGTCAGTCGACAGTCGACAAGACAAGGCCTGTGCACTCTCCTATATGCAGGCCACAGTATGATGTACCCCCCCACTCTCCCATACACAAATCCAGTGTGCGTGCGTGCCCGCCCGCGGGTACATACCGTGCCCACCCATGGTTCAAAGTGGCACACCCACATCCATCCATCCACACCTAATACCTCCATCTCCCCCCCCCAGTACTCCCCCCCAAGTCGCGGAGCACACTCACTACCACAGGGGCAACTCCAATACTACATCCCCAGTACACCCTGCTCCTGCTTCAAACCCGCGAGACAGTCACCAAAAGGGGGCGGAGATGACGGAGTGGGGGTGGCGACCTCAGCGACAGGGAGGTACACAACAAGTACCCGAATTAGACTGTGGTACGGCCGCGGCGCGTACTCGGGATGCGAGGTGAGGTATGCGTGATGGGGATGGGGATTTTTGTGTCTCACGAGGGAACGGGGATCTCCTCCTCTAGCATCATCATAGGAAGGTCCGTCGTCGTAGTATCGTAAAAGCAAGCAAGCAGCCAAGCCCAAGCCCGCCCAGTCCTCGGTGAACTGACCGAACCCCGACCTAGCCAGCCAGGCAACCAGGGCAGCCCCAGACGAACGACGGACGACGACGCCCTCATCACCAATAGACTCCTAATATCGTTAACCAACAGCCCTGGTACGTAACATCCGCCTGCAGATTGTATGGCGTCCGATGTACACCCACGCCGCTGCACATCTCCATTTCCACCACCACCACAGTTAGATATCCGTGCATCATCATCTAAGACACCTCACCTCCACCGACGCACCTGCCACTGTCACCTCGCACCTCCCCCCTCCCCCCGAGACATCACCAGCAAACCCGACCCCGAAGCCCCCCATCTGCAGTCCCAGACCCATGGGGCCGTGTCGGCGTCGTCGTTCGTATGACATGAGTCGTCGATTATAGGATTTTTTGCCTGGATCTGGATGGGGGGGCAGCAACACACCACGGCATGCAGCAACGGCAAACAAATCATGAGATGGATGGAACTTGCCAGTTACCAGTTCTGGTAATTCGATATCGGCATGGTATGGGGGGCGAGAGTGAGATGCTTAGCTCTAAGGTTGAAGTACGTACTAGTGGGTGGCCATACCGGGCGGGCCAAAAGGCTTTCGTGAGGGAACTGCACAGAGTTAGTAAGTCAGTTAGCACACAAACTCTACGACAATACTTGTACGTGGCGTGTAGAGTCAACCACCACCCACGCTCCCCTTACCGCCCAGCCCCCCAAAGAAAAACCGCTGGGCGCTGAAGCGGGTTCTCATCCCTGGTTAGTAGTTCTCGAACATTTCGCATCCCCCCCATCCACCAATTCCCTCTTTCATTTGCGGATAGATAGATGGTGCACAAAACGCAAAATGCTGATCCCCACCCCCTGCTCCACAACGAGCGGAGGTTACATGTGTACTTTTCGGATCTCAGCCGTCATCGAACTACCACCACCACCAGCATCACACACACGCTACTACTCCCAATATAACACTCACGAACCAACAGCAGACCGCAGAGGCGCGATGGATGGGCAGGGTTCCAGGCGTGATCGGCCTGGCTGGTGCAAGGTGGTGGTGCGCAACGAATCTCATGCGTGCGCCTTCGTACAGCTAGTATGTATGTGATTGATGTGTGGTTACTTACTAACCATGCATCGTCCATCCATACCTCGCACGTACTCTTCAGCGCCTCACCCAATGCTTCAGGCCACCTCGTCTCGAGAGCGTGAGTAGCCTTGGTTGCCCCTCGCACACATGGCTGGGCTTCGGTGTAATCTGCAAGCCAGCCAAGCCAGCCAAACCAAACCCCCATGCTCGGTGAAGCAAGCAAGCAAGCCCCTACTTCGGCAGTGTGCACGCTGCCATCCAATTCGTACATGCACGTACGTCGCGCCTTCTGCAGTGCCTCCGCGCGACGTCGCTGATCAGCCTCTTGGTAGGGAGAGAGTCATGGTATGGTAATCAAGTCGCAGCTCCATCATCCATACATCCACGATGCGACATGACCCATGCTCCTCCTGTACATCTCTCGTACCATCCATCCATCCATCCATCCCTAGATAGATATCCGTACGCGGCTGGGCGTGGGATCTGTCGGTGACCACGCAGATCTAGCCGGAAGGGAAGCACAGGCCGCGAAACGGCTACACGTCGGTGGAAAGGTAGGAGAGATGTATTGGGGTATCGTAGTAGGGTAGCATACTGTAACTGGCGTCCCGTATGTAGGGCCATGTATGTAATTACCCGTCGTTGGACGGGGAGGCGCTAGAGATGGGTAAAGGCCGGCCGGCGTCGCGCCCTCTTGACGGCAGGAGGCAGGGGAGGCAAGAAGACAAGGCAGGGCAGAGGTAGGAGACACGCAAGCAACAGAGTTTGGTCCTGTCTCTCTGTCTATCCGTCTGTCCCTTTGGTTACCCAACATCGGTCCTCATCCATCCATCCATCCATCCATCATCTCGCCAGCCCGCGTCAGCGCATGGTCCGTTTCGAAGAAGGAGGCCTCGTACATTAGCTGAAGATGACATTTCCCAATTTAGCGACCCTCCCCTACAAACAACCCATCCCATCGATCGACAGGCCGATTTTAGTCTCACCACCACACAAAACTAAAGGAAACGGACCCTTGGACCAAGGAGCGGATACATAGGTGGCTTGAGTGGCTTGGATTAGGTGGCTGGGCAAGTGGTTAGGTGTAATTCACGGAAGTCGACCGACGTAGAAACGGATGGTGGTGCGACGAATCGCATCGGTGTATTTCCTCCCACCGTAGAGAGCTCCGCTCATACAACGCCGTCATTCCCGTAGCGGACGGAGGGGCGCGGATCGAAGCCTCATTTTTCTTCGCTCTGGGGCAGGCAGGCGGATATCCACCACGAAAGGCGGCTTTGGTTATGTACAATACTGGAGTCTCGGATACCGGAGATGGATGGAGATGGGGAAAAGGGCATTTGCCGCTTTGCCTTGGCTTTAACGAAAAAGCCACCGAGTCACTCACTAACGCTGTCCATCAATCTGCTCACTGCTGCCCGCGGCGCCCAAAACTCAAGAGTTAGGTGTTGTACTGTAGAGTAAGGCCGCAAACCGCAGGAGGGCGACGTCTCGGACGTCATCTCGGTCAGTTCTCCTTCTCGCCGAAACGGACCACCAGGCAAGGTCGGTGCTTGTCGCTGCTTTCGCGGCGTCACCACCCATGCAGCTGTCCATCTTGCCAACGGAGGGATCCCCTCCCCTGACCAGCACGCACGCACGGCTTGGTAGGTTTTGGGGGGAATATAGTGCAGTATAACTATAGTAATCGTGTAGTCATCCATCCTCGCACAGCCCGTCCCTCCGTCGTCGGTCGCACCCATCAATCCATAACCAACCCGAGCAACAACAAGAGATGCGGAATGGGGAATATGATGCATGTAAACCAAACCAAACCACACAACACCCTTCCTCCTCTCCAGTGATGACCAGCCGGAGAGCCCGCCTTCCCCTCCTGTCTCGCTCCTCCTCCTCCTCCTGACTTACATACACACATACAACCCACCCCCCCTACCGCCCTCCCTTACCACCCGCCGATCTCCACAATTGGAAACTCCCGTCTCCTAACCGGCGACCAGCACCACGGTGGTCCCCACACCTTGAGCCCAGCACGGCGGCAAGGACGTGGGAGAGGCCCGCCCACATGGTGGCGTGTACATTCTAGCGCCCTCCAGCTAAAGGACTAAAGGAATGTGCCTTTGCTCCATCACTCCACTCCTCCATCTCCCCCTCTTTGCCCCTCTCCGCCGAAATGGCGCTTTGACATAAAATGGCATTGTGCGTTCGTTTCGCTCTCTCCCTATGTTCTCTCTTTTTTTTTCGCCACCGAGCCCCGCTGAGCATGTGGATGGTGGAGACGCGGGTGGTGCATGGTACTTATTTACTATGGATATGGATACCTTGCATACGATGGATGGATGGGATGGGATGCTGCATTGCATACTGGGGCAGGCAGGAAGGCGGGTGAGTTTGTTTCGCCACGATGCCAATATTTTGAAACGGATTTTTGGATTTGAAATCCTCTTTCGAGTAAGGAGGGTGAGGAGGTGGGTGAGTGAGATGTTAGTCAGGTCCCTTGCCAGCTGGCTGGAATGGGCATCACTCTCCACCGTGCCAAGTATCCGGTGAGTGAGATCAGCGAGCGGATACTGGCGTCTTGTAGTAGGAGGTCTCTCAATATCCGCGGTGGAACCACCTCTAGAGCCACTCTGCCCGCCTTATTCGATGTGCGCTGCACCACCGGTGTCTTCACATAAGTTCCAAGTTAATCAATCACCACGCCCGGCCAATATCCGACTCATCCAGCAAGCAACCACGATGCACACCTGCACCGTACCTACTCTAGCCCCAACCCTCCCCTTCGCTGGCCAGAAACCTGTCTTCAAGCTAAGCTCCTGGTTCGGAAATGGTAATTCGTGCCGCCGATCGCCGACGGCTGGTCTCAGACACCAACACTCACATCACATCGAACCGCCGCCGCTTACCCCATTGCGGCAACCGGTGCCCTTCAAATAAAGCACGGCCTGGAAAGGAAGGGCGCGAGGGCAGGCCGATGAAGGGGACCATGCATACATGCATACATACATACATGCATGCATACGTACATGATCGAGATAATGCGTTCCTCTGGGTAAAAAGGGCGAGGAAAGATCCCTGTCTTTTGTTGGCCCCCCCGCCGAACTCGCCAAGGGGGTGGTGGTGGGTGGGGGAGAAAAAAACGGCAGGATTGAGAGATGTTATTTTGGTACGGTATGTACAGGCCTTTTTTTACCGAACCTTGAACAGGCATCTTGAGCAGGCATCTGGGACAGGCATTGTTGGGATTTTTTGTTGGCGTGAGAGAGATCGTCATGAAGGTTTTCGTGCGACGCTTCGGAAGCGGGTTTCAAAGGCCAAGAGGGACCTGCGCTGCGCTGCGAAACTGCGAGTTAGAGTAAAGTACACTCACTCTATTGTGAGGATCTCCCCGCGTCACATGTGATGGCTAGACGGAGCTGCTACTGCATGAATGCAGGAATGCGAACGAGCAGCTGCTTAGACATATTGAAAAGCCGCACCGTGGTGGATATTTGACAAAGTTTTTTTTGTTTGTTTGACTGTAACTTCGTACTGGTCGTATACCATTTGCCGCTCATCACACCATGAACCTTGGTCGTGTGCGCATTTGAGTCTCGGAAGGGCAGAAACGGGTCTTAATTATTTGAGCATCATTCCACCCGCCGTTCTTTCCTGTCTTAGCGGATCGGGCGGCCCTGGGGCTAATGGTGGAGTGCGGTCCGACGGCGTTGTTGTGAGGTAACAGTACTCCGTACAGTACAGATGGATGTGAATAGTGGAGTAAATTGTAAAGTAAGGGAGAGCTGGTCATCGTTGTTCCCGAACCCAGCCAAAGGGTTGCCGCATGGCTATGTATGGGTCGCTGCTTGCAACCCAATAATACCCTGCTTACCTGCCTTGTCATATCATACATATCATACTCGTACTATGGAGAGCAAATCATCACCTCGGCCTCTCCATCTGTTGGATCCCGTCTTATTCCTATTGTCCTGTGGTAAGGTCTTTTCAATCAACTGCCATAGGCCGCTTTGGCCAAGCAACTCAAACGTCCATGGGTCTCAATAGCTGGGACCCATGTCGTGCAACAAACCGTACAGTACCCAGGTGGTTAGTTAGACTTTGCCCTTGCTCCGCAGGCTACAGTCCGTAGTTTCAACATTATTGGGCGCTAAAAAAACAACGTTTATCAAAAAAAAGACACCGAAGGGGCGCAAGGCTATTTAAAAAGACGTATCACAAATGTATCAATACCACGGTGCACGGCTGGGGAGCACGGCTTCCAGCATCGCACGGAGCATGGCTCAGGTGTCGGCGCCGCACATTCTGGCCGTTGGTGTCGCGAGATGCAAGCGAATGGGGATGGAGAGTCTGGCACACTCCTGCTGTGCGTGCTGCTGTTGCTGTGGGATGTGATGGTGCATGTGTAAGCCGGTCCTTGCCGGCGTTGTGCCAGCGACAGATGATGGATGTTGTGCTGTACTGTATACAGTACAGTAGTGGTAGGTAGTGTTGGTGGTGGTGGTAGTGCAGAGTCAAGGAATAAGATAAACTCGTTGCAAATCCCCGGACGCTCCGTGTTCGGCTGGATGCGCCAGCAATCAATCTGACAGATTACCACTTTATCAAATAGCATCGGCAGATCACGGCGACGCGCGCAGAGGACGGACATGTGGAGGCGCACATGTATGTCCACGTCATGGTTCAATGTAATCTCTATCTTTTGAGTAATTCTCTGCATTGGGGGCGGCTTCAGCGGCATCTGAGCCATCTGAGCCATCCGATCTGATTACCGTCAAACCACCCCACGGTGTCGCCTTGGCGGGTCCCCATATCTCACACGCTATGGTATGTGTTGGTACCTGCGAGCAGATGCAGCACAGTAAGCCATGTTCAGGTGGGAAGGCAAAAATGCGGCCCTCACCGCCTGTCCCAAACTGACCAAGGCCCCGGCCGGTGACTCTGTGCATCTCTGCCCTCTGTTTGGGCGATCGCGTCGCGAAAGGGCTGTCGATCAAGCGTCGCGCCGCTCCTGCATGACCGCCTAAATGCTGCTTTGTCTGACTCTCGCGGTTCCGCACACATGAATTGGTGGCTGGCTAAGGTACGCAGTTCACGACTTTGCTGCAGGATGCTGTATCGAGGCTAAAAAGAAGCACGGTCTCCAGGACCACTCATCCGGTTTGCGCCTCTTTCGAGGGGGGACGCGGGCTGACGACTGCACCAGGCCGCATCATCGGTGCAATCTGACTTGTTTCTCGGGGAGGGCAGGGTGGCGCAACCGCTGGCGCTGGGATTCCTTCGTGTGTGTCTGTGTGTATGCGTGTGTGTGTGTGTGGTCATGCAGTTTGGTGGTGCTTACGTCCTGCGGAAGATGGGAATTACTCCACGAATCCAGATATATCCACATGTACTCTGCCGTTGTATCGTAACCCCCCTTACACCTTACACCAACCACAACCATACCACACCGAGGTTTACTGAGTCTGGAATGTGGGGTGAGCTTCCTGCACACATCCACCTTCACCTCCAGCCGGAGAAAAACCATGCAGGTCATTTTCATCATACCCCGAGATTTCGTGAACGGCGCGGCGCCGAGATTCTATTTTCTTTTCTTTTCTTTTTTTTCCCGCCCTGCTCCTTTTCTTTTCGCTTGGGACTTGCCTTGTTGGGGCTGGCGGAGGGGCTACGGGTTGGACCAAAGTTAGAGCACAGCATTTTCACAAATGCAGGGAGCGCCACGATCGCCATAAATGGAGATTACTGTACGCTTCAGGACACGGGTCTCGGCGGTGGTGGTGGTTGGAGCGAGCGCCCGCCCGCCAGCCCGCCCAGCGAGCCAGCCAGCCAGCGACCAGCCCAGCGAGCGAGCGAAACAAACTGCCCAGCCGCCCAACGCGCTATTGCCTGTGGTGGCTTGTGATGAGCGAGAGGAATGTGTGAGCGCCAGAGCCAACGCCAGCACCAGCGCCAGCGCCAGCAGGCTTAGGACCAAGGATATTATAACATGCAAGGAGATGCAACGATGCATGCATGCATTACTCCGTATAATACGTTCCCCACTGCTCGTGCAACCCACCTTTGGCCCTTTGCTTGCTTGACGCTCTCGAACTTAGCCTCTTTGTTGGACCAGGACCAGGACCAGCACACACCCTGGTATCTGTAGGTTGTAGGGCTTCCGCACAGGTTGTTCCAGAATGAGCGAGTAAATTGTCCCTTTTGTCATTTCTGGGGCTGGGCTTGACTGGGGATGGAGGCAATACACGTGACTGGTCCCTCGGAACTATCACGGCTGCCTCAATGGGGAGCGAGGGGTAGTGCAAGGTCGTGCAGAGGCGCAGATGTGCAGAAGGAATGGACAACACCCTTGCTTGCTGCTGCTTGTGTGGTGCTGGGCATGAAACGTCCATCGTAAATATCGCAGGAGTTATTATTACACCTCACTCCTCCCTTCCTGTACACCGCCGGTCGCTAGGTTGCTGAAGGAAGAACCGACGCCAGGCCGTGCCGTCCGTCTCTCCATTCATGCGATCGCTGTTCGTTGTTTGACACTATGATGCTGTACAGTCACTTAACTTACCGCTGTTCGTACTTGTAGTACTATACAGGTCAGACAGGAGAGGAGAGTAGCAGTACAGGGCGAGTATCGCGGTCCTTCCTTCCGCCCTCCCTCCTCCCTCCTTTCACCCTCGTACCGGGCAATACGGCCAAGAGGGTAAGACTGTACTCATATAAAAATGTGCTCATTTGCATTTATGATGGTGTGAAGCCACGACGGAGGAGGTAGGGAAGGAAGGGCCCCTGATCCAACCCGATCATGAGCAGCAGGCTCAGAAAGCTGCGTGTCACCTCGGCGCTCATCACCGCTTCCCTCGTCCCTCCCTTGTAATATTCGATGTGCAATGTGCAATGTGCATCACCCGTCCAGACCAGCCAGACAAAAGACCGGCAGTTTCGTGTTTGGCTTGTGCGAGTCAGCGACAGAGAGACTGGACGAGGCTTTTCTTGGTATTGCCTATAGTACGCGTCGTCTGGTTCTGGTTCTCGTATTTGACGATCGACCGGTCTCGGAAGCGGAAGACAAAGGGAACAGAAAGGGTGTCTTCGTTGTGAACTGCCGCATTTGTCCAACAACTGACGTGGTTGTGGCTTTGGTTGCTTCTTGTGTGGCTTTGGCGTGGCTTTATCGCTATGGCGGGGTCGTTTGTCGTTTATCGGGAGGGGAGCTCTCCGGTTCTCAGCCTCGCGGGTTGTGGCCTCGCTATTGGCTAGTGGCTTGGGACACCTCGAATGCCACTCGACGATCTGATATTGAATCTTGAAGCTTCAAGATCTGGGAGTATGTGAGTGAGGTAAACTCAGTGTGTGAACTCCCTTTGTATGTCTAGTGACTTGTAGATAGCTTCAAGAATGCCCATTCCTGCTTCCGTTACTCCTCCCTGACCAACCGGACTCGCTAAGATGAAAGCGTGGGATATCAGTGCAAGGCTTTCCCTTCAGTGCCGGGTGCTGCGTCATCAAAGCGCAACATATATATCAGCAATTATACGAGCAAAAACGAGCTGAACGAGCAACTGCCCTCGAATCCCCAATTGTCCCATTACAGGATGTGCGCGTGCTGCCCGTAGCCATCATGTCAAACGCTAAGATCCCTCATCGCGATGCCCGAGGGCGAGCCAAGGATGCCGGGCATTTACATCCAGCGCACAGCGAGGAGGTGAGCTCGTCTCTGTTCTGCTATGACAATACTCCTGCAGCTTGGAGTATATCCTGCTGTACGGAGCTGCCTATCAATTAACAGCCCAGCTAACACTGCCTACAGTTCCACTACTCCAGTGATGACGACTCCCAGCACCCACTTGAGGTTCGCAACCTCCCCTCCCGGCCCCATTGACAGGCGCATCAATTCTAACAAGAAATCCGCAACAGGTAGTCTTCAATGGAGAGAACATGCACCGCCGCAAATCCTCCCTCGTCGCCAGCGACCCCCAACTCTACAGGCGCACCGCCTGCTTCGTGCACGCCCTCCTCGACGACCAACACGACGATGAGCACCACCACAACAGACATCTGGACGGCATTGCTGAAACCACGCCTCCCAATCAGCCACATGAGCCCAAACAGGAGGGCGACGAGGAGGTAGTCGAGCCCAAGCTTGTTCCCCCTCAAGTCGAACTACACGAGCCAAGTCCGACACCTCCGACTGCCTCGCCGCCGCCAGGGACGCAAACCCCCGGCCAGCCGGACGAGCAGCTCTGGAAGACGACGCAATCACGGCCTTCTGTATGCGAGAACATAGCAGTAGATGCGAAAAGGGCAGATACCAAAGCGGTAGATGTGTCGGCGGATGCGGTGTCGCATTCGCGGTTATTGACGAAGAAGCAGTTGAGTGATATGGCGTGGGGCGTGCGAGAGCTGAGTAAGAGGCTTGGGAGCGTGAATCTCAAGCTTAAGGTGAAGAATGTGTTTATTCTTACGAAGGCGCATGATGAGTCGTTGGTTGGGAATACGAGGGAGGTAGCGAAGTGGTTGTTGAGTAAGGATAGGGGGGTCGAGTATGTAGTGTATGTTGAGGATCTTTTGAAGGGGAATAAGAATTTTGGGGCGGATACACTGGGAGAGGAGCTGAATGAGGCGGATGGAAAGACGGCACCAAAGCCGAGCCGGTTGAGGTACTGGACTGAAGAGATGTGTCGGTCGAGGCCGCAGACGTTCGACTTCATCGTCACGCTTGGAGGGGACGGTACAGTCTTATACGCGAGCTGGCTGTTCCAGCGCATCGTCCCGCCGGTCCTGAGTTTTGCACTCGGCAGCTTAGGGTTCCTGACGAAGTTTGACTTCGATGATTTCCAGGGGACGCTGACTACGGCATTCAGAGATGGCATCAAAGTGTCGCTCCGGCTACGGTTCGAGGTCACAGTCATGAGATGCCAGAAGCGGAAGAAGAGGTTAATTCAACATGATGGCGACGACACGACCGAAGTCGTAGCTGCAGACGAGGATTGGGATGAGGATTTATCCCATCGCGACCTCGTAGAGGAGTTAGTTGGCGAGGAGAAGGATGATGAGAGGACACACAGACCAGATGGTACCTACGAGATCCTCAACGACATCGTCGTCGACCGCGGTCCCAACCCAAGTAAGCCTCCCCCCTCCCCCTTTTCCCTCCCAACCAGCCTCGCTAACCCCCACCGCAGCCATGTCCTCCGTCGAGCTCTTCGGCGACGACGAGCACCTAACCTCCATCCAAGCCGACGGCGTCTGCGTCGCGACCCCCACCGGCAGCACAGCCTACAACCTCGCCGCCGGCGGTTCCCTCTGCCACCCCGAAAACCCCGTCATCCTCCTCACCGCCATCTGCGCGCACACGCTCTCCTTCCGGCCCATTATCCTCCCAGACACGATCGTGCTGCGCGTCGGTGTGCCGTTTGATGCGCGGACGACGAGCTGGGCGAGCTTTGATGGCAGAGAGAGGGTGGAGCTGAGGGCGGGGGATTATGTGACGGTTAGTGCGAGTCGGTATCCGTTTGCGAATGTGATGCCCAGTGGAAGGAGGAGCGAGGATTGGATTAATAGTATTAGGGCGAAGTTGGGGTGGAATACGAGGACGAGGCAGAAGGCGTTTGATAAGAAACCTTCCTCACTTGATAAGAAGTGAGGATGGAGACTTGGGGGGTGGGTATATATGGGGGATATGGAAAATATTGGGGGGTGGTTTGTGTTGAAGCGCTTTGGGTTTTATGAGTAGCGTAATAGAAATTTAGAATATGTTTTCTTATATGTAAAGGTGAATAAAATATCGGAATAGTTAATAAGTATTTATTATGTCTTTGCGGAAATATCGAGGAAGTATGGAGGGTTATAAAATACACAAAATATAATTAATATTTGTAATATATTATCTGATGGAATGAAGTTTCTGAATGGCACATGCCAACAACTCTGTACAATATAATTCCTCTCACTTGGGGTAATCTGGCAGAAATTACATTCCTATAATAGCTTCAGCCTGTAAAAATTTCGAAACATTCTTGCTTCAGATAAGCATCAAAACACACCAGATAAAACATAGAATCAATTATCTATTCCTAGAAATTATTCTTCATCTCCCTCAACCTCTCCATCACCTTAACCGGCTCCGTCTGCCCCGTCGCCTTCTGGATCTCCGCATCCCCCAGCATCATAAACACATTATGCTTCTTCTCATCCGCAATCGTCCACCTCCCCGTCGTCTGCCTATTCGCCCCCGCAAACTTCACCAGCTCCGCCACGCCCTCACTCTTACTAACGCTCTCCCCAAACTTCGCATTGGCCTTGGTATACTCGTGCCCTGGGTACACCGTCGTATCATCCGGCAGCGAGCCAAGGGTCTTATTCAGCGCCTTGTCCATCTCCTCCGCCGACCCTTCGAAGAACCGCCCGCATCCGCCGTGGAATAGTGTGTCTCCAGTGAAGACGACTTTCTGATCCCCGTCTTGCATGAACCAGCAGATGCTGTCTTGCGTGTGGCAGGGCGTGTGGAGGGCCTTGACAACGATGGAGCCGAAGGAGAAACCGGTGTTGTGGGCGGGGGTTGTGGTGACGGCGTCGGAGTCTTTGCCGCCTATTACGGGGAGCTTCTTGTCGGCGTATTCTGCAAGCTGGAGCCGGAGTCAGTATATACTGTGGAAAGATGGGAGGGGGAGAGCGTACGATCTTGCGGTTTCCCCCGGCGTGGTCGTGGTGGCTGGACGCTGGTGTTAGAATGGTGTGAGCTGGCCGAGGTGATGGTGGGCACTTACTGGTGGGTGTTGATGATTGCAGTGAGGTTTATCTCCCCGGACTTCACAAGAGGGCTCAAAGTAGGGATTACGCTGTAATATTGGAGTCAGTACTACCACCATAGAAAGATTGGGAAGCTGTCGGCTTACTCCTCGGTGTATGCGGGGTCAATAATGACAGCGTCTTTGGTTTTCTCGTCGATAACAAGGTATGCATAGTTGTCGCCCTTTCCCCACGCTACATCTTATCAGACCGTATTCTACGGATATGGAACATTGGACAGTGTCTGGAGTCTTACACATTGGAATTGACTTGATATGCATGGCGCGTTTATGCGGAGACTTGTATGGGCGTAAGCTTACTTCGTGGATCTGAAGAGAGTCACAGTCATAACTTACATTATTGGAGAATACTCGAGCTGTACGATAGATGGACGGTCTCCGTAACACTGGGAGTAGCATGAGGGGAGTGTGAGGTTGTAAGTTATTGCTTGTGGAACTTTCTATTTACTCTTGGAGCGAAGCTCGCCATTGGGACGTCATTAACTCCGGACGGCATTGGTAATCTATCGTTATCATCACGTGCCCCCTTTGCCCTTTTGCCAGATTCTAAATATCCGCACTAATCACCGCACGTCCTATCATATGGAAAGGAGTATATTCAATCCATTTGAGATGTAGCTCCCCATTAATCCAAGCGAGGAGGCAAGCCTTCTCCAAATGCTTCCGCAGACGCGGAGGTTTTGTCGGACGTCCTGGCAAATACTATCCCAATCGCCGTATCGTACAGACGAAACCAACCCGCGTAACCAAAGTCCATTTTCTCACTGTCCCTCGTTGGCAAGACGTTGCAAGACTGGCACTGAACTTGGGGGTACAATGCCTAACTCCGTAACAATCATGGTGATATAGTCTGCAGGCGTCACATCGTGCAGTAGATTGAGCAGCTGCAGATTCTTCACGTCTCTCCATCCATGTAACATTCCCGCCGGAGGCTTTGTTGAGGGGATAAGTAGTTCGTCTGGGTCTGCCACCTCGTTGAAAACGATCGAGTCCAAGGCAACCCTCTCGGTACATTTGACGCTCTCACAGAGCACAATAACCGGAACGTCGTAGTCCTTTGCTTCCATAGCGATTTGAGATGTGCCAATCCGACTGTAGAGCACACCGTTACTCATCATGGCATGTGCACCCAGGAGGACTTTGGTGACCTCTTTCATGACATGGCTGACGCCGTTCATAAGGCAGTACTTGACGTCCAGACCAAAGTTAATGAGGGCCTTTGCGAGTGCCTTGCCTTCGAATAATGGCCGTGAGTCAACAACAATCACCCTAAACCTACGGCCATCGCTATGCGCCTGTACCAGTGCCTGTTGAACAACGCTGCTCTTGGCGTATGTGAGAATAACATCTCCATCCTTGATGCATTGGTTGGATGCGCTCTTGGCGATGACAGCATCTGCGAGCGTAACACGGTCACGGATATACTCGTCGATATCCGCGCACAGTGACTCCTTGGCTTCCGCATCCGGCTCATCAGGGTCGACCTTTGCGATCTTAAGCTTGAGCCAGCGAATTGCTGTTCCCATGGAAATTGACATAGGGCGACATGAGGTCAGGTATTCGATTTGTGGAGACAGAACGTGTGTGCTCATGTGCCGTGTCAGGGTGGTTCCAGGAGGGGTTGTGTATGAATTGATAACCTGTAAGAATATTAGCAAAGATCGAAAAAGAGGGGATTTGTATATACGAACTCTCTTGAATGCCCGTAATGTTGCGACAAGGCGAGCATTGCTGCCGCAAATAACATAGTTGCTCATTTGCTGCCCAAGAGATAAGACTGCCGGGTGAACATCCTTTGCTCCAGCGATTGTCTTCGCCCTCGGCTTGTATAAGTGACGGAACAGTTCAACGGTCTTGTCTTCCACAGGAGGTTCCACCGGCGCATTATTCTGTTGTTGAGATCGAGCTGGTGCGTTCTTCGAGTCCCCAGCAGTTGACGCAGCACGCTTGTGCTGCCCTTTGCCAGACTCCTTCCCTCCCTTTGGTGCAGCCTTATTTCCTTGAGGCGACAGGATAGCTCCCGCTGGCCCAGCTGGCGCACCTGGTGCTGCCCCTCCTTGTCTGTTCTGTATCACCTGTTGTCGTTTTGCGGCCTTTTCTGCCTTCTTTTGTGCTTTCAATTCCAAGGCTGTCAACTTCACAGCTCCATCTCCCGATGGCGCAGTTGTCGCGGCCGCAGTGGGAGGTGCACCATTGGCATTCGCGTTGTCGACACTCGTTGGGGCTGGAACGGACGCCTTCTCCCGGACAGGGAGGTCCGCAGATGCAGTTGTGGACTGCATGGCAGTCCTTGTTTTCCTCGAGAGGATAGATGTCGATTTGAGTGGTTTTATGTACGCTATTGAATGACTGTAGTCAATCTAAGTATGTTGCGCGCTCGTGCCCTGTGACTGGATAGTTTATGAATCACACTGTCCCACAATGATGGATTGGCGTATATTCGGTCGTAAGGGGTCAATTTCAAGAGTTCAATAATAGTAATCCTCCAGATAATGCGGTATGGTGTTGAGTAAATATACAAACTCGTTGCGCGGGGTGATTGAGTCGCGGTTTTGGTTTTTGGGTGAAATATTCTATGTCTTAAGATATCAATATGTTAGCCGCGATAAGCGCCCGCTGTCATTTTCCGTTGCTGGAGTCACTTCGATGTCATAAAGCTTGACGTATATGCTCGCCACACACTGGTTCTATAGCGTACATATGCCAAATAATGCAGGAATTATATCCTTAGAGTACAGCCTTGGTTATTTTTAAATGTTTATTTGATTGGATTTTCGCAACCGTTGTGTACAGGATCTATAGACCACATCCTCCTCCCGTTCATCCGCAATCCCAAGCTACCCCAAGCAACCCCAATGCCCATCGTCGCAACTGTAATCCCGTAGCATATAGCCCCTGAATATAAATGTAGCTATGCTCGTATAATGGTCATATCCATGGACCAATTCCCTGGGGTGGTTGGCGCTGAACATGCCATCTGGACTCTTCCCACTACTGCTCCCCAGCTGCTTCCCTCTCAGCCCTCCTTTGTCTCTTCTCGAGCAGGCTTGTCCTCCGGGCGGCCAGAATGGTGTGCTGTCTCTCCTCAACTCCGCTCAACCAGTATCCGAAGCTTGCTCCAACGCCGGCAAAGATTGGGTATCCAACCATCGATTGCTTGGAGAAGAACGGGCGCATCTCAATGCCTAGTTGCCAAGCACGGACGGCAATTCCTAAAAAGAATATCGTTAGCTTTCAGTCGCAGCAAGGCAGAGACATGGCTGTTAATTGAACGTAGTCGGACACAGAGACATACCGAAACCACCCCAGAAGATTGCTTTGTGGACCATTGTGCCGGTTTTATGAGCGAGTATGTTCGTATTGGTCTATTCAATGCTGCTTTTCACAACTTGGAGGAGATATTGTTTTGTTGTGTCCGCAATGGCCGGCGAGAAAGGGCGATTGAGGGTAGGTTATCTGTTCCGGTACTGTGAGGAACCGAGTGTCGTTGGGGGTGGTGATTGAATTTGGACGCGCCGATCGCCGAGATTTAGCGCACTTACCCTTGACTGCGACGAGAGCCGCTGTCGCGACCCGGCAACCTTTCCTACAAATTTACGAAAGCGGACAATACAACATAGAATGGGTTAATTAAACATATTTATTGACGATCAATATTGTTTACACCCTTTGTTACTATGGCTGTCATGGATATCGATGTAATACCCCCGACAAAGGCCGACACTTCCGTTCCTGAGCGTCCAAGAAAGAAGATAAAGACTTCTGAACTCCCACTCTCCTCATCCACGAGAAGTGCTATTGAGTCGCTTTCACATACTTTCAAGAAGAAGGGAAACTATGATGCACTTAGAAAGCAAGTCTGGGAGACTCTCCAAACGAGCGTGAGCATAACTTCACTCCGTGGATGAAACTTAATACTGATAAATGTTCTTTTGTCCAGGACTTTGAAACAAAGTTAATCGACTCGATTACAAAGGTCGCGGAGAATGAGTTGGAGGTGAACCAGAGTCTTCTGTCAAGCAGTCGTGGCAAAGCAGCTATTCTCATAGAGGGTGTCATTGATCGCAGTGGGATATACCAGGAGGCTGAGGCGCATATCAAGAGACTGCTTGAAGATCATGTGGGAACGATTGAAGAAGGGATACGGGCAATTCGACGTGACGATGTTGGTGAAGAAGCCGCAGCAGAAGAGGAAGCAAGAGGCAGTAAGACGGACGATCAATACGCCGAAGAGGCTGCCACCCGCCGACAAGAACGCGAAAAACTGAGAGAGGAGCTGCGAGAGAAGGAACGGGCCATCGCAGAAGAGCGGAGGAAAATCGAAAAGGCGCGAAAGAGGGAAGAAGAACGCAAGAGAGAGGCCGAAGAAGACAAGCGACGAGAGGAGCGCGAGGCAAGGCGCAAGCTTGAACGTGAATCAGACCGAGAGCGGGACCGCCTCAGAAGCGGTGATTATAGTCGCGACAGATCTCGTGACGGAGGGCGCAGGAAACGGATAGATGATTCAAGAGATGAGCGCAAGCCTACCGCAAAGGCTAACCTGTCACGCGAAGAAACCGACCGGCTCGAGCAGGAAGCACTTGCCATGCTTGTGAAGGAGGGGAAACGAACATCGCAACGATCCAGACATCAGCTGGAGCCTGAAGTGGATGAAACCTTGGCCCCTCCCCCGAGGAAGGCCATGCCCGCTTCCGCCATCAAACCAATATCCCGCGATGCGCAAACCAAGAAAGAGGCCAGTACAAAGCCAAGTTCTGGCGGCGCCACCAAAAGTTTATCACATGCCGCGGATGAGATGGATGTAGATGGCAAGGACAAACGAGCACGAGCAAGAAGTCGAAGCAGGGATCCTATCCACTCTCGCCGCGATAGTCGAGACAGGGGTGGCTACTCTCGACGCAGCAGCAGAGATCGTGATGACCACCGAAATAGGAGCAGAGATAGGGCGGATGCCAGAGATAAGGATAGATCTTCGAGGCGGGATAGTAGAGACCGTGATGATCGACGCCGACGCGACAGTCGAGACACTGAGGACCGACGAAGGCGTGACAGCAGGGAACGGAGTTCTAGGGACCATAGGGACCGAGATTCGCGTCGTGATCGAGATATATCTCGCGATCCCCGTGATGATCGAAGAAGCTATAGGGATCGTGACTTGGGCAGGGATAGTCGCTATCGGAGCCGAACCCCACCACGACGTGATTTCAAGACCGCAGAGGAAAAGAAACAGGAAGCCGTTAAGCAGCGTGAGCTCGAAGCCAAAGCCTACCTAGCGGCTCAGCAGGAAGCCAGAGAAAAGGGCCTCCCGATTCCTGGACTCGACAAGCCCAAGTCGGATGCGTTCACACGGCCAAATTGGCGTAGTCGTGACGAGTTTCCGGATTCTCGCAAACGAGATGCAGACTCGGCAGGCTTAGGTTCTTCGAGCCTCCCAAGGAAGAGAGAGTCGAGCGCCAGAAGCCCGTCGCGAGCATCAAGCGTCAGGCGTGATAGAAGCCCAGCTGTCGTCTCAAGCAGAAGTCCTGTGATCAAGCGCGAGACAAGCACTCTCCGCGATGCTGATCGTGAAAAGGACAGGGACTCGCGCCGACATCGCGATTCTAGCCGCCGGCGGTCGAGGTCACGGAGCCGTAGCCGCACTCACCGCAGGGAGAGGAGTCGAGATGCTGGGCGCGAGAAGGAGAGAGCTCGGAGTCGAAGCAGAAGCCGCAGCCGCGACAGGAGGAAGGAAGTTAGAAGGGATCGAAGCCGGAGCCGCGATCGTGATTCTACGAGGAGATATAGGAGTCGCAGCCGGAGTAGGGATCGGGATAGAGATGACAGGAGGTCATCTCGCAGATACTGAGGGGAGATGTGTAATGCCGCTTGAATCGCGGCCGATGAATTACGAATAGTGCCGGTGTTTGTATTAAATACTTCAAGGCTGTCATTGTAAGACTAGAACCTAATGTTTAATAACAAGACGTCCGCTAGAAGGTGTATAGTGCCCTAACCCCAGTGTGAACCAATTTTGATACTCCTCCAGGGTGAAAACCCAAACGCCGCGCTATGCAACCGTACAGAAACCAAAAACCCGCCGATATCCTGGAATGTACTGTAATACCTAAACCATAACCATGCCCCCCGATGAGCCCTGTACACTGGATTTCCTCCTACCATCGTCGTGCTGTCGTCCCGCTTGCCTTACATACGGCTTGATATGTATAGGCTCAACCGGCTCATAATCCGCTGCTTCGTCAGCATCCACTTCCGATGCTTCTTCAGAAGCATCGTCTGAAGCCTTTTCTGAAGCCTTTTCGTCGTCAGCAGCAACTTCGTTGTCTGGCTGTGCAATTATTTCTGGTGCACTCTCGGCCACTACCTGGTCGTCTGGCAGCGAGATTGATTCCGGAACGCTCTCGGTCACTACTTGGTTGCCAGTCTGTGCAGTTGTTTCTGAAGAATCCTCGGTCACTTCTTGGTTGCTGGTAGTGCCTTTGGTAAGAAATTCGGGGTGGTGTGAGTTTATGAAGGACATGAATTGAGAAGGCTGAGTAGATTCTTCAACGGTGGGCGAGGAGTCGGATTTTGTAACCACCAATGATGACCCTTCGACAAGGTCGTAGAAGAGCATGAAGACACCACCTTGGTTGAGGACATTATCTTCGCTTACTTGCGAAACGTCGTCGTCACTGAGCCGCCACCACTGGCTTCTCCCCGGGGTTTTCTCCTTTACAAGTATCTCATCGACCTCTTCCTTCGCGTCTTCTGCGGCTGGATGCTTTCTATACGCAATATAGTGGCCATTTTCATGACGGCCGTAGTGCGTAACGACAGCGCGCAACTCATAACTAGGACCGCGGATCCTAGAACGTCTGCGCCGACTGGCAATCATTGACTCAGCCGGGTCAAGAAGCCATTCTTCGACACTGTCATCTGGCGCTTTGCCACTGCTCCCAAGACACCAAGGCCCAAGATCAAGCCTGTTCTGGAACTTGACCTCGGCGTAGTTCTTCTTAAGCTCTCCAGTCGTCTCGTCGAACATGCTGCGATTGACGTGTATAACTAGTGACTTCGGTGGTCTGGCAATAACGGCTTGCCGCGACTTCGTTGTAGTCATGCGGTTCTTGGGCGGGATTTTGCACTTTTGCGTCAACGTCTTATCCTCGTAGTCATCATCTTCGAGTGCCTCTTCCACAACCCTTAACCGTTCCAATACCGACTGGTGTCCTACGTTGTTTGTAGACAAATCCTGCTCCTTGTCGGCGAGCATTTTCAACAAACGTTCTGTCTTCAGAAGTGTGCACTTTCCGCACTGAACACCTTCTATCGACTCCAGGTCCGTGTACTCGTCCAGGCATTGAGATATATCGTAGCTCCAGGACTTGCCCAACGGCACCGTAAGGCAGTTAAAGGGGATCATAGATAGGCCTTCCGAATAACCACAACGAGTACAGCCGACCCGTTGAGCGAGAAGGCCCTCCAAGGGATTTCTGACGGTCGAGGTTGGCATCAATTCAGAAGGTGAAGATTTCTTCACCTTTGCCACCGGTTCTGGCTGATCTTTGGTCGTCAGCCCAGGAGAGTTGCTGATTTGTCCCACAGCCTTCTCTATCTCTTTGTCAATCTCATCAAGGACCTTGGAGAAGTACTCCTGCGCGTCTTGCTGTTGCCAACTGCTCATAGACTTCAGAGCTGCTGGCGTCCATATCCGCTTCCCGTTATTGGAGGGGTCCTTCAGTCGGGCAATGAGGTCGCGTAACGAGTCTGCCATTTTCATTTCCGAATCATCCTTAGTTTCGTCCTTTTGGGAACCGGGGCCGTTGAGGTAACTCGAGAACGAATCCAGCGACGCCAGCCCTTGGAGAACGCTATTCTGGTAGCAAGAGTTATCCCAGTTCCCTAGGCCTGCCGGGATTCCCCCCTGCCCTTGTGCGACTAAGTTTATCCCGGATAGGCTTGATAGCCTTCGTCGGCCAGCTTGCGCCACCGTCCCCACCGTCCCAAGGATACTGTTCTGTCCGTCTAGTCCCATAGCTCGTCGCATGATTTCGCTCTTTGCCGCATGGGTCCTAGGGACACGTCGAGGGTTTCCGCCAGCTAGATTTGAGCGAGTCTCTTTGTCAAGGATATCGACGAGCCTCGAAGGTGTGAAGTGGACAATCCAGTTCCAGAACAGTTCCGGCAGAGACAGAAGGTTGTAGTCCAAGCTATAGAGTGTGCTGTATATGATAGCGCCGATAAGGATTATTATGGGTATTCCGATATTCAAATATGTCCGCCACTGGGATTCGTCGCCGTGGTAGTCTTGGTGGTATTCGTAGCTCAGGTCATCACCATATAAGTCGCGAAGCACTTTCTCGTGGCGACTCATCGTAAGTAATGCATATGGGCTTTCTGCTCGGTATTCGCGTGATAAATATAGTTCTCTTGCCCACTATCCAAAGCTGGATCTGAATGTGTGGCCTTCTCTAGGGCCTAATGTTGCTATCGTGAATGCATAGAGAGGATGTGGGGAAGATGGGATGTCTCGAGGTCAAGTGGATGGATTAGAGTTGGATGGCATTCCAGATCGCCCTAGCGTCTATCGGCAATCTGCAACACCAAAATAATTTTGATAACGACAGAACGAAGTGGGGGAACAAACATCCACTGAATAAAATCAACAACGAATTTTTTAAAATATGGCCAAGTCAGCTCCACCAAAAAAGAAGAGCGGTATGTGCTTCTGTTTACTCTTGTAATGACATTTGAAGCTAATATTTTTAGTTGCCTCCGTGCGCTCTCGAGCAGCAAAGCGAGCATCTTCGCCCAGTATCGATACCGATAAGTCGCTCAAAGAAGCCAAACCACCATCCGAGACAAAAACACCTGCAGTGCTAGGTATCCATCACGGTGCCGGCATTACCAAGAAGTCCAAGCATGGCAGAAAAGCAGTGTTGAGCGCGAGGGCCAAGCGGAGACAAGAAATCTCGATGGACAGAGCTGAGGCGGCAATGGACAAGAAGTCAACCAAGATTGAGAAGAGCAAGGATCGTGCCAGGACTATACAGAGCAGGAGCAAAACTTGGGACGAGCAGAACCGCAGGATGCTGGCCAGGAAGGAAATGGAGGCCGCGATTGCAATTGAGCGCGAACAGGGCGGTGACTGGGTTGACGAATCTGGCGACGACGAGGTTGAGGAGGAGGCTACCGCCACTCCTACTGACATCGGCGACGTTAAAATGGATTTAGAAGCTGCGCCGTCGGCTTCTGCCACAGTTGATGCAGTTGTAGCGGAAGAGGAGGAGGAAGAATTATGATCGCAACGAGATATGTTCTGGGATGATTTCGGAGTATGGCGTTGGTGGGATAAAATTATACCATATCGAGAAGAATATCACGATGGCAAATAATGCTCTTTGACATTAGACAATTTTGAAATTAAAATATATGCTAACTAATACTCTCGACGAATATACATTCGGAAAGTACGTAAAATAATATTTGTCAATCCGCTCGAACGTGGAATGTAGCCATTAAACCCCGTTTTATCGTCACCAATTTTTGAATATAAAACCCCCAAAAATAACCCATTTATAAAAATTGCGAAATTAATTAGGAAAATAAGGTTACATTTGTTGGCTTCTACGTGGTCTGTTTTGCCTTCGTCGTTCTTCACCGGCGAGGCTGAACAAGGCTGAAAATCTATAATTCCAGACCATTACTGGCTTCAACAGGATTCAACTCCATCTCCCAGAGCACAACTACTCAGCGGCATGGTACAATATATCATTACCCCATGGCGCGACCGCGATGAGCTCATAAAAGTACGGCAAGCCTTCTACCAGAAGCCCTCCAACGGAGGCTCACCCGACAAGGAAGCCTGGCAAAATGCCGTAGCCCTCGTTTCTGTCTGGGCACAGCGAGGCAATTGCCCTCACCTTATAGAGTCCACTGCGCTCTTAATATCAGCAAGCGTCAATGATAAACCAGGCAGCTCCGCATATGCCGTGCGCGCTGCCTATTCAGCGGCGTTCTGTCGGTGAGTTGGCGCAAAAACGTCGCCGGAACACTATGGCTAATTGTACGCAGCTTCGTTACCGGGCTTCTCGACGGATACCAAGATAAGAAACACAAACTAAGCATGTTTTCAATAGCCAAGAATATCGGACTCCCGGCGACGTTTGTGGAGTTGCGGCATCAGTGTACGCACGAAGAACTGCCATCTTTGGGAAAGTTGCGTGGTGCGTGCGAGCGATCTCTGGATTGGATATGGAGGCAATATTGGTCGAGCCTGGAAGGTAAAGATAAATCGTCAGGATCGGACGAAGAACCAGAAAGCGTCGAGGATTTGAGTACTGTTTTACAGGAGTATATGGTATGGAAGGAGGGCACAGGGAGTTCAGATGAAGGCCAACGACTGTCCTTCGTGCGGAGGCTGAGGAAATGGGACGTCGAAAAGATACTAGATACTCTCCATGAGCTCAGGGCACCTGGTGCTGCGGATTCCGGCATGATGCTGAAATCGATCCGACTCACGAGGGGAATATTACACGGCACGGCCGACCCGGAGGCATTTCCCCCAGTGGAAGAAGAGGATAGTAATGCGGGCAACGGCCAAGGCGATGCGGCATGTACGGATTCTAACGCGGTACAGCAAACTTCGAGCGGACTTTGTGAAGACGAGGAAAATCTGGGCTGGAAGCTTTGGGAAGGGCCTTGGACTCCAAAGCCCATTGGAACTGTATGATAGAACGCTTCCTTATATTAAAGATACCCGGCTTTTGCCCCAATGCTCAACGCATTCTTCACATCCTACTTATAATCAGGACTCTACTATCACGGTGGTGCATTGGTTGCTTCACGAGTTCAAGGTATTTTGGATCAGATATGTTTAAAAGCAATTGTATTGTTTTGCATTGAGAATATCGCTAAAAGGCACCGAACACGATCCTCAAGAGATGAGGAAAGTAGATTGGCACGATCTAGCTATCACTATTGCTTCAGTGTCCACACTCGCTCGCTCTGGGAATGGAGGCGGCGGGCTCTAGCTTATAATGAAGAAGCGTATTGGTTGCCCAAAGGGCGACAAACGAAAGGAAATAAGAAATTGCAGTATCAGTATACTTTGCCTACCATGTATAGATTCTCGTTGCAAGATCTCTACACGGGCATCTCGAGTATGCGAGTTTCGATGAAGAGAAAGCTTTCCTCTCTGGAGAACTTTCCTTTTATTTGCAGCCGACGCACTAGTGCGTAGTGCTTGCATTAGCGCCTGGCGGGGCACGAGGCTACACGTGTGCTCTGGATCTTGAAGGAGCTCGAAATGAGTACAGGAATTCGTAAGAACCAGTCGCAATTACAAGTTTTCTAGATATTAGAATATATCATGTACTTGTGAAGCTATTCTGATGTAGTTGCCTAAACTTTTGGCTCTGACTAGAGAACCCGAGTGCCTTCTTTAGGCTTCTTAACGACTCTCGGTAGCGTCGCGTCGCGCTTTTCCTCCATCGTAGTTGCGTCACAAAAGCTAATGCAAACAGCCAACCCCACTGTCGTCGACGCCTCGCTGAGGTGCGAAGGACCTCACAATGGTACGCTTGATTTAAAACCTCGACATTACTTCCACTAACAGATTGAACAGCCTGCGAAACGTCGCGCGCCATCAGGTGGTGAGCCTTCCGCTCCCTCAAAACCCCGCCAGTCGAAGCTGGCCAAAGAACACAACATCAGCGGACACGAAGAAAACGAAATAAAGGAGGCCTTTTCCCTATTCTCAGTTCCGCAAAAAGGCGAAAAGGAGGGTGTGATACCAACGCAGGATGTCAAGAAGGCCATGATTGCCCTTGGAGTCCAGCCGACGAAACCGGAGTTGGCTGAGTTTCTTGAGATTCTAGACCCGGACTCTGAGGGGTATGCGCCGTATAGCTCGTTTGTGGCTATCTGTGCACTGAAGATGAGGGCGAAGGACAATGACACCAGTGCAAAGGATGAGGAGGTGGAACAAGGATACCTACTTTTCACGAACGGGACGGATGGACCCATTACCATGGCTCATTTGAAGCGGACTGCGGCGATGCTGAAGGAGGATGTCAGTGAAGACCTCTTGAAGGACATGATCCTGGAAGCAAATGGAGGATCGGGACTCTCCAAGGGAGTGGGGAGGGAAGAATTTGCAGAGGTAATGAAGAGGGCTGGTGTCTGGCGATAAGGCTTCTTCTGGTCGAACACTTTGTACTTCATGGAGTTATGGCGTGGGGGAGGGTATGGGGGGTGTCAATAAGGATGATAATATATTACATCTGGGAGTCTTCAGGGAGAGCGAGTGTCACATGTGTCTAATAACCTGGTACGGGGTTTGGACCTTGTATTTATATATACTTCTACCATAATGCAGAACTATCTGCCAGGATGACTTAAATCGCATCATATTTCAAACTTTCGGAGTCGACACGAATGAGTCACCGTCAACTCGTATCTGCACTCGCCCAGCCTTGACCTCGCGTCTAACCCTACTACTGAGAGTTTCTATGGAACTCCGACTCTCGTATTGATACTGTTCCGCCGTCCTCCTTCACATAATCCACTTCACTTCTTGTCAGAGGATTCCTCTGTCGTATCTGCGTCCACAGGCGCCTTGAAACCAGCGTGGTCAGAGTGCTTCTTGTAGAAGTAGTTGTCTGGCCTAGGCTTCATCTCATCTGGTAGCTCCTCTAACACTGTTGCCAAGATGGCATCTACCGACTTCTGTTTCGACGATTCTCGGTGCCAGACGGATATTAAGTGAGAGTTGAACCGGACAGACAAGCCAACTCCGCACAACTGGTCACCTACGTTTGATCTGATTAGTTTCTCATGCGCTTAATGCAAGTATCCGAGCCTTCACTCACCAGTATCAAGGCAGCCTTGTAGCTTCTCTCCAATGGCCATGAGCTGCACCCTGGTCCAGAAGTCTGGCCCCGAAGCCTTGGGGACACGGAATGTCCAGCTGCCACCATTTATGTTTCTCCGGTCCTCCCAGATTGGTTGAAAACCTTGCTTGAAAAGATAGATAGACTCCCGCATCTTTATTTGATCAACAGGGGTATTATTGTTGTATCTCCAGAAGTCCTGCACGCTCTCAATCTGGTGGGCGAGCTGTTCTAAGGTGGCCTCGTAGTTTCCATCAGGTGCCTTCTTCGGATCTTTTCCTTGCGGTCTGTGAGACGTCAGCGACATGTCGGTAGCGTGGAACCTTATAACACAGCGAGGTACGAAAGCAGAGCTCCACTGGCAGGATTGGATCTTGGAGCCTTTACCTATCAAAGTACACATTCCAGTAATGCTGGGTTGGCAGGGGCCGCATGGCCTTGAGCATGTTATTCTTGGCATCGTTTCGCTCATCAGCCGGAGATGTTAACTCTGAGTCCTCAGGTGCTGGCGCTATTCCCCTGGTGAGGAGAGACTGTCGGAGCGCCATCTACGGGAAGACTACGGTCCTAGCCGCTTTATACTAAGGTCACTGTGTCCTTGGGGCTTCAGCAAACGGATTGCGAAGAGAGAGAGTGGCAATGGCGATTTGGCGGCCGGACGATGGTATTTACTTGGAGGACAGAGTAGCTACTTTTGTGAGGACGTTAGCCTTCGATGAAACGCTGTTCAAAGGAACGCCAAACACCGGAGTCGTCCCGTTGTTGGCGGGGGACCGTGGTGTTGGCGGGGGTCATGTGGGGTCCCTGCGCCAGAGCGGCAGCTAAACTAATATGGGCGTAGCTACCATTATTTTTAGTCGCTATCTCTTATCGAAATATTTCTTTGCCATCCAAGAACACAAAATATCTCGCGCCATGGCCGGAAAACCAGACACTGTCGGTGCCAACGGCTCTGCCGAGAAGGATCGAGGGGATACAAGGAGTACGGACTCTGAATCCGAAGAGGACCGCCAAAATGAAACCGAAAATACGACCCAGAGCGCAAACAAGGTTACGAATGTCCAACCGATGGATCGGAAGCCAAAGTTCGACTTCGCGGCCCTGAAAAGCAACTCCTCCCTTATGAACAAACTTCCGGGGTTTTTGGCCGAGATGGATGCTGCCAATCGCGAGCTCGAAGCCGAAAAGAAGGCCGGTACCATCGCTGAGCGACGCCTCGAAATCGACGACGACGAAGAGGAAGGCGAGAAGGCTGAACAGTATATCGAGATGAACCTTGGACTTGGAGTTCTTGAGGAAAAGACAAGCGATTCTGAGACAAGTTCTGAGGGCGAATCTAGCGACGATGAGGACGTTATGGACAAGCTCATGGGAGCCGAAAAAGACTCCAAAGATGAAGGCGAGAAGAAAAAAGTTGGCATTGAAGAGGTCTGAACTATGATCTTCTATGTCCAGAACAGCGCGACCATGCGCCATAATGTTGTCATATTAAGACGGCGGTTTCGATTGGAGGGGTTATCATGTCTACGATACGATATCAATGAGCATTGGAGTTGGGATGGGGGCATATGTTTCATGGGAGAAGGTCGCACCGGGGAGTTATGGGATTATGGGTGTATATTTTTGGGCCGAAGGTGTACATACTTGATCTGAATGGGCACCAATGTCTGTCTGCGGAAACGCATGGCAGGAGTTTTACCAACAGTGGCGAGGCCATTTTTAGCATATGGGCATGGGAGTGGTTTCGGGAAACTCGATACGGGAAAACTCGATATTCGACTCTACCCCACATCATAGATGATTCGCAGGCTTTTCAACCTGCACACAACCTTAATATGAAGTTGTAAATTCTCTAGGAAGATTTTATTTTATGTTTTTCTCGTAGTTGTGATTTGATATGGGTGATGACGGACTGGCTGAGAATCGGCGATAAAAGCACCGACGTATTATCACGTGATTACCCGATCTGTCAACGCTCCCGAGCTAAGAAATTTGATGTTCAGGCACGTCTCGCGATTTCCGAATACGGTCCATCAATCTTTCCATCTTCTTTCCTTTCTGTACTTATAGCTTGGGTCAGGATGCCGGCCTTTACCAGATCAATTGTTCCTTTCTTGCGGACCGCAAGGGCTGCTACTCAGCAACGCAATGCTGTCAGCCCATTGCACCATGCGTTGAAGCGCGGAAATGGAGTTGACTCCATGCGCATGTACGCAGCTGCTTTCGAGCGTACCAAGCCCCATGTAAACATTGGTATGATTGGCATCTCTGCTTCAGTTTTTGAAAGTTCTCAAGTTTCTGACTTCAATTAGGAACGATTGGCCACGTCGATCACGGAAAGGTATACTGAGGAAGACCTCCTTTTTTCAATCAACAACTAACAGTTCTAGACCACCCTCACAGCCGCCATCACAAAGCGTCAAGCCGAGAAGGGTCTTGCCAACTTCCTCGACTATGGTTCTATCGACAAGGCTCCCGAGGAGCGCAAGCGTGGTATCACCATCGCGACATCCCACGTCGAATACGCTACCGAGGAGAAGCATTACTCCCACGTCGACTGCCCCGGTCACGCCGATTACATCAAGAACATGATTACTGGTGCCGCCAACATGGACGGTGCGATTATCGTCGTTGCTGCTTCGGATGGACAAATGCCCCAGACAAGAGAGCATCTGCTCTTGGCCCGCCAAGTCGGTGTCCAGAAGATCGTTGTCTTCGTCAACAAGGTCGATGCCCTCGAGGACCCAGAGATGTTGGAGCTTGTCGAGATGGAGATGCGTGAGCTTCTTTCCACCTACGGATTTGAGGGTGATGAGACCCCTATCATTCTTGGCTCAGCACTTTGCGCCATGGAGGGACGCCGCCCAGAGATTGGAGAGCAGAAGATTGACGAGCTGATGAAGGCTGTCGACACCTGGATCCCAACTCCCGTCCGTGAGCTTGACAAACCCTTCCTGATGTCTGTCGAGGATGTGTTCTCCATTCCCGGCCGTGGCACCGTCGCCTCGGGACGTGTTGAGCGTGGTACCCTCAAGAAGGATGCCGAGGTTGAGATCGTCGGCAAGGGCGACACCCCAATCAAGACCAAGGTTACCGATATCGAGACCTTCAAGAAGTCCTGCGAGGAGTCGAGGGCAGGAGATAACTCTGGTCTTCTCCTCCGTGGTGTTAAGCGTGAGGATATCCGTAGAGGTATGGTTATCGCTGCCCCTGGATCCCAGAAGGCACACAAGTCTTTCCTGACTTCGATGTACGTCCTCACCAAGGAGGAGGGTGGACGCCACACTGGTTTCCACGAGAACTACCGCCCACAGATGTTCATCCGCACTGCTGATGAGTCTGCTACCTTCACCTGGCCCGAGGGAACTGAGGATGCGCACTCCAAGATGGTCATGCCAGGTGACAACGTCGAGATGAAGTGTGATATCCACACCCCTGTTGCCGTCGAGGCCGGTCAACGCTTCAACGTCCGGTTAGTACTCCCATGACATTATATTTCTATTGCCATTTACTTTATGAACTTTTTACTGACTTTTCGGGCGAATAGCGAGGGAGGCCGCACTGTTGCTACTGGACTTATCACTCGCATTCTCAAGTAGATGTGTAGATCTGGCCGGTTGTGTTATTAGAATTGGTGGGCGAACTGTGTTGTATAATTGGCATTTTAGCACGGAAAAGGAGTACCCGATATATGTTTGTTACGGCTGACTCGACGGCCTATTGCAATACCTCCCCTCTACTTTCGAACATGTATTATCTTTCTGTACTATAGTGGGCTCAGAGCTCGTGTCATATCAACAAATCGCCTCGTTTTGAATATTGTTCTTGTTTGATATTTCGGTGATTATGTGTGTTGTGATGTATTGCGCACGGACGATGCCCCTGAATGTTATTACGACTACTCTCACTTACAAGCTTTGGGCAGAGGACGATGCGGAACGAAGACTGATATGTGAAATTGTATTGATAATGTCCCTATTCATCTTCTGATTCATGGGTGCTCGTGCGGCAGAAAGGAGTGGTGAGTGTCTATGCAAGTGGAGTCATGGAACAGATCCCACCACTCCTTTCAGCGAGTAGAATAACCGTTCTAACCAGTGGTTATTCACAGTAACTTTTTCCCACAAACAAGCTTGTGGATCACTGTAGACTGCGATTACCGTATTATGAAGGCAAAATCTATTGCATATGCGGCCGACACCACTTCTGTAATCCAAAACATCTGGAAGCCTAAATCCAGTGGTCATTCCGAACATTACGGCACCTGCTCAACATCCTTCTATTGCGGGGTCGAGGGCCATCTTGGCGAGTGATAGCAAGGCTTCAATGACGATAGCAGATTTAAGCAGTGATAGCAGACCTGAACAGTGACAGCAAGACATGAACAGTGACAGAAGACTCGAACGGTGACAGCAAGACTTGGACAGCAGACTCGAACAGCTAGAGGAAGCCTTGAACAGCGCCATCTTCCGTCTAAAATCCCAGGCGATGGCATGTCTCGATAATAGTAAGGTGAGTCGGGCATTTGTCGTATACCCGGTAGTCTTGGACAATCATAGCAGCCTTAAGCCTATACCATGACCACGTAGCCATGATCTCTCATGCATTGAGTTGTAATGTGGTATCCGCCCCTAATACCGCTGGCACTTCTTCGTGACGTATGTGGATCTTTGGAAGATAAGGGAGCCATTACAGCTTCCTGTAAATATAGTACAATACAATTGCTAGCCATATTTGTCCCCCTTCGTCTCTTTTCGGTCTTTTGGTCGTATGAGAACATTGTGATATCTATTTTCACGGGTAGTAATGTTACAGCTATACTAATACATCGCCAACTACAATTTTGTACACCACCCCTTCCCTGGGTGCAGCCCCTCACCGTCTTACTCCTCCACCTTCTTCGCCTTCCCCTCAAGATACACCGTCACCACCCCCCCCACCTTCCCCTCCATAGGCTTCCACTCCTTCGCCCCCTCCACCTCCTCCACCCCCCCCAAAATCCTCCTCAAAGTCTCCCCCGCCTCCTCCTGCGTCGCCTTCCTCTTCTTCCTCTTCCCAATCAGCACCACATCAACCCTATACCCCTTCTCCAAAAACTCCCTCATCCGCTTCAACCTATGCTCCAAATCATGCGGATCAATCGCCCAATTCAGCTCCAGCGTCTTGACCGTCGCAGACGGGTTCGCGACCTTCTTCTTCACCGATTTCGTCGGCTTGCCTGCCACTTCCTTCGTGATGATCTTGCACACTGGGATCTCGGGAGCTGCGCGCCCTGTCCCCTCTTCGCTGGCTGGGGCGGCCCCGGGGGGGGCTTCCCAGCGCGAGCGTAGTCGCGGGGGCGGGAGCGCGACGGTGTAAAGGGATTGCGTTTTTCGGTCTAGCGTAGCGAGGATATCTGCTACGCGCTGCGGCGGGGACAGCTTCCCCGCCTCATCGACGAGGTGTACGAAGGGGAAATTCAGTTTCGTGATTTGCTCATCGCGGGGGAGCGCGGAGGCATAGCCGCGGTGCTGGAAGAGGGCGCTGGTTGTGGATTTGGGGAGAGTTGACGGGCGTAGCTGGGGGCGGAATTGGGAGAGGAGAGGCCGCGAGGCGGGGAGGATGAAAACCCGGTGCAATGCCGCGGCGGCGCTGAAGGCGCAGCGTGGGTTTCGCATTCTGGGAATACTGTGTGGTTGTCGTGAGGAGTTGGTTGGGAGGTGTCGTCGGGGGTTTGTTTGTATGAAAGCATAGCTCCCACAATTGTGATTATGTCATCCCTCAGCCTCGTCTCCCTCCACGTCGAGGCTGAACAACGCTTTCTCCCTCCAGCTTCTGATAACGCAACAAGCCAGCACTCCAGGAATCCGCTTTTAAAGTGAAAGTTCACCGTGCGACTTAGCTGCTATGATCCCGTCCTCCGCATCATGAGCTCCCGCTTTACACAGCTCCCGGGCCAATTCTTCAATCGGTACTATGGCCATCCCGGCCGCCTCCTCAGCGCCACACTGAAGACCTTCTTCCTCGCGCACGTGGTATGGGAGTACGGCTACGAGATCTCGCCAACAGCGGGCGCCTCAATGCTGCCGACCTTCGAGGTGTTACATGACTGGGTGGTGTCGTCGAAGGCGTACCGGCGAGGCCGCGGCGTGGTGGTCGGGGACATGGTCACGTTCCGCTCGGTCAGAGAGCCGGGGGAGAAGGTGATCAAGAGGGTGATTGGGTTGGAGGGTGATTATGTCTTGATGAATACTCCGGGGAGTGCGAGCGATATGATGATTCAGGTACGTGCGCTCTGTGGAGGTGGTGGTTGGAGGTCGGCTTGCTAAGTGAGTTAGGTGCCCAAGGGTCATTGTTGGGTTACGGGGGATAATCTGGACGCATCGTTGGATTCGAGAACATGGGGTCCTATGCCGATGGGGCTGATTAGGGGAAAAGTGATTGCGAAGGTATTACCGTGGAGGGAACGCCAGTGGGTCGAGAGTGAGCTGCGACCTCGCCCATCATGACGGAGTGTTTTGATATGGGTGTATACTATGGGTTGAACGTGTGACGAGCCGAGACTATGGAGTAATCCAAAGATGTAAATATAGAAATCATGCAAACAATGCACCAACACCATTGATTGCCTTCAAGAATTGATTTGCGCATTGCTGGGATATCTGTGGCTCTTCTATCTAATTACATTGGAATAGTGAAAAAAAGGAGACCCCAAGGCGGAGGGGGGAATAATAGCAAAACGCAACGAGACGCTTCAAAGCAAAGAACGTAACATACACAGCCTGGAAAAGTTACCACTTGTGGTTCCATCCTAGCCGCCATCTCCTTGTCGAGATATCAACCGGCTTGATTCTCTTCTATCCCAGGAATGCTCGCTCCCAAATGATGCATACCGCCCGTAGATACGCCAAACACCATGAATTCCCATCCCGTATATAGACCTATTATTGGTCCGTCAAAGTGATTACCTCCATCCTTCATCCTTCAATGTGAGATGTGCCCTGGCCTAGCAACTGGAGGGAACGCTGGGCCAGTTGCACCACTTCACCCTCACCCTCTTCTTCTCCGTCGTCGTCTGACTCGATCTGCCTATCCGAAATAGTCTTGATCATCTGCACAATTTCTTCCGATTTTCCGATAAGGCTAATAAGCTTCTTATCTTCCGATTCAAGTAGCTGTAGCAAGGTCCAGATGGCAATGTGCTGGAAGGTCGCATCGCCGCTTGCCAAGAAACGCTTTAGATACCCGTGAATTCCACCGTTTGGCTCCGTCCAGTCTTGGATGAATATTGAGTAATCGCCAACTACAAAAATTTAGTATATATACTTTAAAGAACACGGAGTAATGTACTGACCTTTAGAAGACAAATTTCCCAGGGCTGCCGCACTATTGCCTTGGACTTCAATGCTTTCAGATGCGGTTAATGGGATCAAGACGTCAAAAACACCGAGGTTCAGCAGGTGGCTCTTAAGATCATCACTGAGGGCCAAGACAGCAATGGCTGCTGTCATCTCGGACTGCACAGTGATAGGTACATCCAGAACCAGCTGTTTGCACTTCTGCACGGCGCCAGCCTCTAGAACAAGCTGCTTATTCCTGTCGGAGCTTGCAGCCAGGTTTCGGAGCGTTGAAATGGCATGGCACTGGATCTCCTCATTTTCGGTAGATCCAAGGAGGTCAACAAGTGGCCTGAGGAAACCCGCCTCAATGATGGGAGATTCGTTGAGGGGGTGAATAGAGATGTTTCGGATGCAGGCGACAGCGGACAAAATCAGTGGCAAGTAGGATGACTGCAATAAGCGCAGTAGTGGCTGGAGACCCCTAGCCCTGACGATTTCGATCTGATATTTCTCATCCGAAGCAAGATTTCTCAGTGCAAGTGCAGCTTGGCATTGGACCTTGGGTGATGATGAATCCATGAGGTTCACCAGCGACTGAATGAGTCTGGTCTCATTCTGAGCGAGCTTTTTCCTGTTGTTGGCATCCACAGCGATGTTGCTGAGGGCAGTTGTACAGTAATATTGGACGTCAACATCGGAGGAAGAAAGGAGGTTTACCAAGACTGGTATGGCACCAGCGTTCACAAGTTGCTGTCGGTTTTCATCTATGGTCGGGTTAGTACCAGATTCTCACCATTAACGTGTAGACTTACCTGAGTGTGTCATGTTTAGCAGAGCACCTGTAGCATTTCTTTGTACCCGCATGTCTTTGGATTTTGCTAGCCGAGTGAGTGGGCCCAGCGCTCCTGACCTTGCGATCTTTGCCTTATTATCCTCGTGTGTTGCAAGATTTGTTATACACCCCACTGCGTTGCATTGAACTTCGACATTTGGAGACATCATTTGGCGGATAAGCGGGGTAAGACCTCCCAACAACACAATCGCAACTTTGTTCTCATCTATTTCAGATTAGTAACTTGTAACCGTGATGTCGTCTCTCTGGAAGCTGCGGCGTTTTGACATACTGTTGACTGCCAGGTTTCCCAATGCCGCACTGGCCGCCCTCTGCACCTCTATATCGGGACTCTGGAGAAGGAATAGGATAGGCTCCAGAGTGTCTCGGTCAACTTCGCGAACGTCTGCTTGATAGAGTCAGTCAGTACTGCACGGTAATATATTTCAGATAGCATCAGACTAGCGGTCAGAACATGGCTGGGGCCTTGATCATCGACTCCGATAATACTCCGTGCCATCCCATTGTTTGTTTTGCCAGCTCTTTGTTTTGGGTATGTGAAACACCGCCCGAGAATCTTCACGGCATTGCGCAATCGTTATCTCACCTCTTTCCGTAATTTCCGCGAACGTCAAGCTGGCGCTCCGTTGCAAGTCGACATTGTCCGAGAATACCAAGGTGCTCAAAGCTCGGAGTGGCTCGCCAGAGAAGAAGTCGGTTTCTCCACGCTGCTGAACATCAGTGCTGCCTATGGGCGATAATAGATCGGAAGAAGTATCCCTACATTCTCCAAGTACTGAAGCAAGTCCGCCACTGCTTCTCTCTCGCTGTCGGCGAGGACTGGCTCGTACAGTCCATCTCGGGATCTGCCTGTACGACGTAGAAGTGTTAGCATCAACACTGGTGAGTCAAGGACTGGTAGATAAAGAAAGGGTTGATGTACCTTGGCAGCACGTCGAGCAGTAGTTCCCCATCGCCGGTTATCGTTCAGCGACAGCTGGGCGATGCTGGTGGTTGTGTCGTCAATGGATGTTCCTGTCCAATACAAGCGGCTCTCCGATGATTGCTCAATGTCAAGCTCTAGCTGTCGGAAGCACGAACATCAATAGTCGAGACAGGTAACTCGGTGTGACTGTGACGTGTAGAGTAAGATGAAGCAAAATCAAGCAGTGCCTATCAACATGAAGATCGAGAAGCCAGTGTGTTGTTGTTGGTTGTTGGAAGAGCAAGTATATAGAGGCAGACTAGCCAGTCGAGCCTGCCTTCGATGAAGATGCGCCTGGCGGTTGGTAGTAGTGCCTCTAGTAAACGCGGCCGTCCTGTGATGCCAAGACTAGTAAGCTCTATCGCTCCAACAGAGAGGGAAGGCGCCAGGGAGCTGTCCGGTGGACCCGTCTTGTCAGGTTGCAACCGCGCTAGTCTCGGTAAAGCAGATGGGAAGGCTGACATGAACATCCCCGATGGATGGACCATTAACAAGAACGACGAGGCTACCACAATGCTACCACAGCCACAGTGAGGACTGGATTAGCCACCAGGGCAAAATGGCGAAATTCTGTGAAACCTGCCACTGATCACATGCTAAGATTCATAAAGACTAACACTGGGAATGCCCCTGTTCTTGTAGTGGTGGTGATGACGAGTTTCCTGATTTCTCTCACGACGACCCGGTCACCAGACATAAGACATGGGCTACGTGATGGTTGCCGCACATATCACGTTTGAACAGTCCCATTCCCAGCCTCTTCCATGAATATCAACGTGGCTGGGAATGAGGCTTTTCATTCTGGCAGTACGAAACTCCCAAGAATGAGATATCCGGAAGTGCTGTGTACCGTGGTAGCCCCGTCAACTGGTGTATTTGGAGGGGTCGCTTGGCTGTCGATAAACGACCCTGGGAGGCGCTTGTTGTGGCCGATAACGCTCATTCCCATCAAACTTTCGAAATAATTGTAGCTTATCTACTAGTCTAGGTTAGCAACTAATTATCTGGCAGTTTATAACAATATAATCAAATTAAAATGATGAGAATTTACCGTATAAAGCCCAGTAATAGACCAATAGTAGCCTTGTTCCTATTGTTCGGCCACCTTATCGGAACGGCGCTATCATTGTCCGAGGCTTCCCAACTCTCAACTAATGATGATGAGCTGCCCCACGTTGCGATCTGCGGCTCTTGACCGATCAACCATCTCTATTCCAAAGTGCTTAAACTTCACAGCACCGGACAAAAGCTTGTGTGCTTCTCAAACGGGGCCATCTTTGCAACTTTTCATAGGCTGAACTCTCTCTCGCGACCTCTCTCACCCCCACATCGACGCGAATATACATGTCGGAGGCATTACGGAGCTCTGAACCAAAGCAAGCGACCTGCTTGTACTTGTACAAGTCGACATCGATGCACACGTACAACTTCACCTGCCAGGGATCGTAACGACTTTCAGCCATGTCCGACACGCCAGTGACTCGGCCACCCGCGCCCGCCAAGGGCAGTGAGGGCCTCATACCACAGACACAGACACAGCCCGCCCGGAAACCTGGTCACGAGTCGCCATACGTACAGCCGAAGACATACCTCCGCCCTGAGATCAGAAGCCCAACGATGGAACCGAAATCCCTGAGTGTGCTGGACAGAGAGCAGATGCAAGGCCTGGTATGTCTCACACCCTACCGGAACTATCATCCGAAGACTGCCTGCCTTTGTGCATGGGCCATCGTGAGCACCTTAATGTCTGCTTGCCGGGAGCAGGCAAACGGGGAGGTGGCAGTCCTCTATAGAAACACACGCTGACACATGTTGTTCTATCCAGAAAGCAATCAGGGACTTTCTCAAAGTTCGCACCAGCTACGATGTCTTGCCCCTCTCCTTCCGATTGATCATCCTCAATACCGACCTCTTGGTGAAAAAGAGCTTGAATATTCTGCTGCAAAATGGTATGTGCTTTTGCCATCCCTGATTGTGCTAGCCAACAAAGCTGACAAAACAGGCATTGTATCTGCTCCGTTGTGGGACTCTCACACGTCAACCTTTGCTGGCCTCTTGACCACATCGGATTATATCAATGTTATCCAGTATTACTGGCAAAATCCCGATGCGCTGGGACAAATTGACCAGTTCCGCCTTAGCAGCTTAAGAGGTAAGTAACCAGAAAATGATACTAAATGCAAATTGCTGATGATATGGTGTAGATGTTGAAAAGGCCATCGGTGTCTCACCGATAGAGACCCTCTCTGTCCACCCCATGCGTCCCCTTTATGAAGCTTGCCGCCGCATGTTAGAGTCACGAGCTCGGCGAATCCCTTTGGTGGATATCGACGACGAAACCAAACGAGAGATGGTGGTTAGCGTTGTCACCCAGTACCGCATTCTAAAATTCATCTCGGTCAACGTCGAGCAGACAGAGCTACTCAAAAAGAGTGTCTTTGAAATTGGTCTGGGGTCCTATGCGAACCTACAGACTGCCTCAATGGACACACCTGTCATCGATGTGATCCACATGATGGTCGAGCACAGAATCTCCAGTGTGCCCATTGTGGACGAAAACAACTGTGTGCTCAACGTCTTTGAAGCAGTGGACGTGATCACCATCATCAAGGGCGGTGCCTACGATGGTCTAGACTCCAGCGTGGGCGACGCACTATCCAAGCGATCTGATGATTTTGCCGGCATATACACCTGCGGCATGGACGACCGGCTCGACACCATCTTCGACACATTACGAAAGTCGAGAGTCCACCGCTTCGTGGTCGTCGGTGACCAGAACCGCCTCAAGGGCGTCCTTTCTCTCTCCGATGTCCTGAAATACGTCCTTCTCGAAGGCGAAGAATATGACTGAAGAAGTTCTTTGACTTCCTTTTAAATAGAGCATCTGGGGATATCTGGGAGGTGGTTTTATGAGAGGCGTTGCATAGCGATAAGGCGTCCAGGTAGTGTAATAGCTTGCGGGCGACATCAAGCATGATGTCGTAGATTTCATAGACGTCCATGATGAAGGATACCTTTTTTTTTCTCATGTAATTTGAAAGGCGTGCAGTGCATCAGCCATAACTATATTCCCCTGAAAATTTCCACAGTCATCAGCCATGACAGGCCATAAACCCTTTGTGCTGAGAAACCTGTGCCTTTCTGAGTTTGTTAACGTGCTATTACTCATTCCCCGCTGCTCCTGCTTGTTATATGTAGGTTTGGCGCCCACACAGCCTTGAAACAAGGAAGGAGCGACGGTATCTTCGCTTCGACACCCTCTGCCCAACTTGGACTCACACCCACAATGAATGCAACATGGTGTGTATATAGCTGTACCAACCCAAGATGGGTCTTCATTCAACAGCCAGCTATGGAGCTTCTGGTGTCATGGCCCGAGGAGTTTCTGGTGAAGATATGACCATTGCTCAAGGCCTCCTGGCAGGTAGTGAGTGAACTCCCTCTGACCCGCCCCTTGACCACCCTCTTTGAAGCTCTGCTTCAGTTGATGCTGATTCACATGCATAGACCCGCTGGGTATTCCATCAAGAAACGGTTCAGAGCTGCAGAGACCACCCAGTATGAACCAGCAGGGCGAGAACCTTCCACCGGACTATGCCAATCAAAGAAGATCGAGATACAACTCAACAAGCAACAGTTGGACTTCTTCAAGTGATGAGGAGACTGAAACCGATGATATTGGAGACCGCACCTATTATATCGAGACATTCAACAAACTTGCCCACCAGGTATGTGGAACGCTCTGGATGCATCGATATAGTGTTCTTGTTAACTGACTGGTGGTCCATAGTATGGCATCCCTGAGCTTATACCAGATAACCACGAATCCGAACAGGTCAGTTTAATTCCCAGTGGTAATGTCCGATGCCTAACAACCCCTTTAGATAGACAAAGTCGTCATTACCGGGAAGGCAGGGAGTTGGATCATGAAAAAGCTCCTGAGGAGAACGACTTCTCTGTTGTCCCTCAACAAGCCCAAGCCGGATCTGAAGCATAGGAGAAGCATCAGCGATATTTCTTTGCGTATGCCCGGAGCAAAGAAAGATGCTTTTAAGGATAGACATCTAGCAGAGCTTGTGCGTCTCTGTGGATCGAGCAACTTTGATTTGCCTCCTGAGTATGCTCATGGGACCTTGAGCTTGCCGACTTGCTTTCGTGCTACGGCGCAGTATCTTGTCCAGCGTGGTATGTTGCTTTATTGCTTTGTTGCTGTGTTGTGTTGTTGTGTTGCTTTGTGTTGCTTTGCTTTGGTAATGCATGGAACCGTTTGTTAATGCCGTTTTAGGGCCGTCCATGAAAGGAATCTTTCGTATTTCCGGGTCACATGCCACCGTGGCAGCATTATATGACCATTATGCATCGCAAGATGAAGATGGCGATGTTATAAGGGATACCGTCAGATGCCCAACTCTGCCTGAGAATATCAAGTGTGACGAGCACGATGTAGCGTCCACGTTCAAGAAGTTCCTTTTGGGGCTTCCAGGAGGTATCCTAGGCAAAATGTGGCTCTTTGAGGCCTTGGTTGCCATCCATAACCAGATGGGCGTAGCTCCGGATGTGGTGAAGACGAGGCAAACCAAGGTCAGACCCCGTATGATTGCTAGTGCTATAGCCTCTCATCCATCGAGATTCCAGCGGGATCTGATCTGTGCTGTTTTTGGTCTTCTATCTATGATTGGAAGAGCGTCAGAGACTGCACGCCGTGAGGATTCAGATGGGAGACCTCTACCTACCAATGAATTGATGGGATATGGCCCGTTAGGAACACTCTTTGGGCCTCTTTTGGTTGGAGATCTGATTTATGAATGTAATCCTCGCCGTGGAGAAGTGACGGTTGAGATATCTCAAGGGCAATCGTTGCCTAAGAAGAAGTCAAGGCATAGGAAGCCAAAAAGTGTTGAAGAAAGCCTGTTAGAGACGAAGGTTGCTTCGGACAAGTTGAAGATTGCAGGTGGTGTGGCAGAAATGCTTATAACTCACTGGCGTGATGTAGTCAAGCATATGAAGAATCTCAGAACTGTGGGGTCGTCTGTATTCCAACATGATCATATTCAAGAGCGTGGAAACGGAATACATCCCCTCCTACGGTCGTCAACTTCCGTGTTCGTTCTTAGACGTCCTCCCGATTGGAATCCTGTAGATCGAGATCAGTCGAATCGTTTTGGGGACAGGAGCGGTTCACCTACACCGCCGTCACGTACGTCTAGCTCCTATAGCCCTACTTTCGTCTACTAACAATTCACACCTAGGCAACCGACTGAGAGTCCGTAACAACATAAGTAACCTTTCGTTGTACAACCAACAGCAGGAAGTTCTGATCAGGAGGAAAAGGTCTAGGCCTAGGGCTCAGCCAAGCCAGAAGCTATCTGGTTCAAAGTCTATGAGCGTATTGACCCCGCCGAGAGAAGATAATAGCGAGACACACTACCAGCACCTTGATTGTGGGTGCCCCACGCCTAAAGCTACTATCAGAGCTGTTTCTGGCGTTCCTCCTACCGAGAACGAAACAATTTCTAGTGGCGACTCATTATATCGGGATTTACTCTCGTCTCTTCAACCACCAAGTGAGAACATCGCACCTCCGGGTTTACGCGTAGCAACAACAACTACTTTACTTGATCAACCATTGATTGAAAACGCCAATCTCGTCAATCCTGTCGATCTCGACTTAAGACAAACTGCTATTGTGGAAAGGCCGCAGGAAGTACAGACCCCTATCAAAACACAACAAACGCAGGGTCCAAATGAGGCGTTCGCACTGAATGATAACATCACCAACACAACAACAGTAGAACACTCACAAGACGAACAATCTACAGAAAACAGTGAAATCATCAAAGAGACTGAAGACAGAGAAGGCACAATGCAGTTGAAAAAGAAACAGCCCATTGCCAAGCGTGGCACTCCTAAGGTCTCAAAGGCCACAAAGGTCCCACCAACGGATCAACAAAGCGAAGTCGAGGGTGACCTTCCACCTCGCATCAGCCGCCTTCCAGGATACTCACCTTCTGAGCATTTGGAGAGGCGTAAACTTGATCAAATCAACCTCGCCGTAGCGCGTGACAGCAATGATATCTCAGCTAAGAGCCAAGAGAGTGATGCAGACAGCGATCTGCCACCACGTGTGAGACGCATTCCAGGACAGTCACCTTCTGAGCATCTGGATAGAATTCTTTCTCTCAATATCCCAGATTCAGTTGGTAAACACACTCCAGCTTACAAGTCTAATGGATCAGCCCTCCGATCTGGTGGCTCGTCCATTTTCGCTGATGGCGGACCACGTGGGTCTATGATGATGTCTGAGGTTGAATCTGGCTCGGTGAGAGTTTCTCACGAGCAAGATATGGCGTCTTTGGCTTCTCTCGCTCAGGTTCTCAAGTCTGAGAGCAACAATGAATTCCAATCTCTTGACCCATCTGGCAATACCACAGAGTTTGGCACAGATTATGGGGAAATTGATTACACGCCAACCAATATATCGACTCTCAAGCACACGGAATTAGAAGGTGCTGGATCACAGAAGGCAAATCACTCGGTGAAGCGTGCATCATTCGCGCCTGACTCGGAGGTGCTTCAATCACACCTTCAACGCGCATCAGCAAATCCGGCGGCTTCGGCCAAGAGAAATTCGGCTGGGATTCAATACTTGATTGGGAAGTTCAACACCGTGGACCAAGATACTGTCGGATTGCCATCTCCTTCACCCATGACATCGCAAGCCACTTTCGGTGGTAGATATAGCATCCAATTCCCAATCGCGGCACCATCAACCTATGCCATGAACTCATCGCCTCTTTTGTCACGCGGTGCTCTGAAGTCGAGCAAGGGCTTTGGGAATGAGACCGGCCAACACGGCTTTGACATGGAGGTTGCCTCACCAAAGAACCTTCCACCAACTAAGATTCCTCGTCCAATCTCGATGTCCCTGCTCTCTTCCATCACTAACCAGGCTGAAGCTCAGCTTCCAATCAAGGCTCTGAAGCCTACCAAGAAGCAGCTTGATCGTAGAAGTTCGTACATGGATGGAGGCTATAGCAGCAGCCCAGTTCTACCCAGCCACAGCCTGCTTAGAGATGGCGGTTCTAACGAGAATATGGGCACAACAGGACGCTCAGGCAGAGATAAAACTCGTTCTAGGAAGGCTGAAATTACTATCTGGGACGATTCGAACACCACCCCCGAGCCAAGATCGACTTCTGTCTCCAGCCACGAGCAGCCATCTGTTGACCCACGTTCGTCTAGCAGCTTCAGCGGCCCGCAGTCATCTGCTGATCCGCGTTCATCCAACGGCGTGAACCCTGAAAACACTAAGCTAGGCCCATCAGCTACTGCCCAGGCACCAACTACTCCGGCTGTGGGAACGAGAGCGCAAGGAAAGGGTACATCTGTGCTTTTCTCCCAGATTACCAATCTCCAGAAACTGCTTGAGGCTCGCACCGAAGAGGCAGACAACTTGAGAAAGCAGCTCGCTACTAAGGGTAGCTTGAATGACCTCAGCACCCTGGCCGAGCAGCTCAGAGAGGCTAAGCGTGAGACTGCTACCTGGCAGAAGCGTGCCGAGATGGCGGAGAGACACCTGGAGAGACTCTCACAGTTTAACCCAGCCACGATCAGCGAGGCTATGGCCGAAAACTCCGCTTATCTTGAGGTAGATGCTACCCGTGTGGCGGGAGTGCATGAGTACCCCGTTGTCGGCAAGAGAGATTTCCGCCCACTGGAGATTGCTGGAACGACGCAGCATGGAAATGTGGATGGTGCTAGGAGCAGTGGAGATTCTACGGACACTCAGGGAACGACTATAATGAGAACCATTCCGGAGTTGAGAGAGTTTAGGGATTCTTCCACCGAGGAGTCCGTTGCTACCTACGGCACGTTTGAGAGACAACCAAGAAAGTTGAGGGGAACATCTGAGGAGGACTTGATTACCTTCTCGGAGACCGATTAGATTATTCATCGGCATCAAAGCATACAGTTGAGCGCCCTACGAGGGATTACATATCGACTTGAATCGGAAGTTTGGATTACTGTAAGAGATAGGATATGATGCATGTGGGAGGCGAGGAAGTACTGGGCGGTTAATATTGATGGCTTTGATTGTTTTTCCTTTTTTTCCTTTCGTTCGATGGGCCAAGGTGGGCGGATAATAAGGAGTTTTCGGTGGAGTAATGGGTGAGGGGGCCACGCATGTGTAGGAGTTGAGGAGGATAACTGAACTTTCGAGGGGGACTAATGGGAGGATGGGAGCATGCAACGTATATGGGCAGAGGAGCATAAAGCGGCATAATTGCGAGGCAAACTTGTACAGGTTTGATTTGAACTTGCTCTACCATATAGGTTCTTAGTTCCGTAGGTTACGAATCGGATACTTTGAACTATTACCGGATAGCATTCGTATGATAATTTCGTGACGTGTGAGGCTTTGGATTTCCACTTTGAGCAACAGTATCCAAAGTATCTCAAATACATTCCAATGACTTTCTATAAATAAAATACATATCTATACACAAATACTACACCCCGGCTCTAAGCAGCCGACTGGGGCTTCCCAACCAAATCACTCTGGTGATCCCTCAACAAGTTATCCAGCGCCGACTTCTCAATAATAACCCTCCCCATCTCCAACAAATCCTTGACATCAACCTCGACATCCAACAGCGCCGCGCCCTCCTCCCCCGCATGCTCAAACGCCCAGAATAAGTTCTCCCTCTCCTCCGTGGTAACGACTAAGCTCCTCCCCTCCGCAGCTCCAAACCCATTATGCGCAAACACCTTCTTCAAGTAGCTCGCACGCGCGTACTCGAGATCAAACCCATCCTCGCAGATAATCAGCTGTCCACGACGGTACCGGTAGGAGAGCGCCGTGCGCCAGGCCAGATCGTACATCTTGCGCGGTAGCTCGGTCGAGAAGTCGCGAGGGCGCGGACCGAAGACTTTAGAACCGCCTTTGAGCATGGGCGATTGTCTCGTACCGAGACGGGCTCTGCCGGAGCCCTTTTGGGGACGGATCTTGCGGTGGGAACCGTGGATTTCCCAGCGCGTTTTGGTGGATGCGGTGCCCTGGCGCGTGGCGTCGCCTTCGAAGACCACGGCGCGGTGGAGGATGTCTTTGCGCAGGGGCAGGTGGAGGTGGTTTGCTGGGTAGGATTCGAAGCGGAGGGGCTCCATGGTTGGGAAGTTGTAGATGGTGGTTAGGACGTCGGAGGCTGGGGGGGGGTTAGCTGGGCACTGTGAGGGGGGAGGGGGATAGCTGTACCGAATGGAGATGTTCCGGAGGCAGAGGAATCAAACGTCTGTTCGGTATTGCGAGAGATTCCGGATTGGAAGGTCGTTTCCGTGGCCATTGACCGTGTTAACGCTGGTGCGAGGCATTGCTAGATCCCTTGTAAATATTTTTTTTCGGCATCAATTGCGAGGATAACGAGGTATACATACTGTAAGAGGATCTCTGGACGTCCTGAAGGACGATCGCAGAGTCTGTAGACCCCGCGACAAAGATTTCGACGCCATTGTGGATGTGGTTGTGCAGTAGTTGTCCAGCCGGCAGTAAAGATATTTGAGGTTCGGGGTTGACAGGGGTGCCAAGATGCGGCTCCGGAAATTTATCCCGTCGCTCACGCGAACCTCGACAAATCTCGAACCCCGGATTGCACCTCAACCACCAACACCACAATGTCGGGCTACCAACGGGCTGTAAAGCCGCTCTCGAGGTGCCTGCAGAGCACGCAGCCTCAACTATACGCTCGTACATTCTCGAGCTCCGCCACGAGCCGCAATGAGGCCGCCTCGAAGGCTTTTGAGGAGGAACTCGCCCGAAAGCACCAGTGGAACCCTGAGATCGTCTCGTCTCGCAGGGGAGAGAAGGCTTTGATGAAGCATGGTATCTTGCCAATTGGTTCGAGACGTCGTCGTGCGGCTATTCAGTCGTCACCGAATATCCCGTTCGAGCAGCTGCCGTACCAGTGCTTCCAGGAGGCTCGCGCTGTCCTCCAGGCCGACAGAGAGCAGAAGCTGGCTGAGATTGCAACGGAGAGGGCTCGCATCGATAGACTCGCTGCACAGGACGCATCGACCGTCCCAGGTGGTGAGCTGCAGAAGAAGAACCGTCTGGAGAGCATGAGGAAGCACCTGGAGCGTCTAAAGCTCCTCGCCGACATCAACGACCCGATGATCAAGAAGCGCTTCGAGGATGGAGAGGGTACGTCTAGCACTTTACAAACACCGCTCTCTTAACCCCCAGCTAACACATACCCCAGGCGACATGAACAAGCCGATCTACCGCCACCTCGCCCAGAAGAAATGGGAGTCCTACCAAAAACTCATCATCGAGCAGCGTATATCCCAACTCAGCATCGTCCCCGACACACTGGCCCACTTCTCCCCCACCGCCGAGGTGAAGCTCGCCTTCGGCCGCCGCAACGTCCAGCCGGGCGAGTTCGTCGACAGCCGCGTCAGCGAGATCCCGCCGCGGCTGCGCGTGCAGGTCTTCGACAAGGGCGAGCGCCTCGTCAGTGTCGTGGTGGTTGATACCGATGTGCCCGTGCCGGAGAACGATTGGTTCACCTCGCGCTGCCATTACGTAGCGTGTAACGTGCCGATTGCGCCGACGCAGACGTCGCTGCCGCTGTCGAAGGTGGATAAGGCATCGCAGCTCGTGCTGCCGTGGCTGCCGGCGTTTGCGCAGAAGGGGACGCCGTATCACCGATACTCCGTGTTTGTGCTTGAGCAGAAGCCGGGGCAGGTGTTTGATGTGGAGGCGCTGAAGGAGGGGGTGCAGAGGGATGGGTTTAATATTAGGGGGTTTGTCGATAAGCATGGCGTTAAGCCGATTGGGTTGGGATTGTTCAGGAGCACGTGGGACGAGGGAACTAAGGGGGTGATGGAGAGGCATGATATTCCGGGTGCGGATGTGGAGTTTAAGAGGATTAGGGTTGCGGCGCTGAAGCCGAAGCAGAAGGCGAGAGGTTGGGAGGCGAGGCACGCGAGTGATAAGTATAAGTCGCTCAGACGGTGAAAAGGGGGATAGCATCTGTAGATTTTTATTGTATCATATGTACTATTTGAATAGAAGTGTGGCAGGCCAAGAATGTGAACATCTTATGTTGTGGACTGATATATTGAGAGACTGAACATTAATGTCTACAGCCAAGTCTGGGTATAGTTTTGTCTGGTAAAATGAGTACTGGCATATATCCTATACTCTACTGTCTCCCTATCTCGCGTGTATATGTTGGGGATAACCGCATTGAGCTCAGTCGCGGATAGTTGCATAGCCTCGTTTTGGCTGGAAGGTAAGGGAGGGCGTCCGCTCGCCGCTTCACCGCCTCACCGGTTTATCAGTTATAACCATTCCCCTCCTCCCGCCCTTCTCTTTCTCCATCCTCTCCCTCTGGTTTTCACCATCCTTCCTCCCTTCCCACATCACCATATCATTTAGCATGCGCCCTCATTGTCATAACGCATTTTCCACGGTTGCTCTTAGAGCTATCATTTGACCAACACGAGAGCGAGAGCGAGAGGAGATGTCTTTCGCGATCCCCGCAGGACGTTGTTAGAACCGGAGTCGGAGAAGATATATCCCCCCCCTTCCCTCTTTCGTCACCAGAGACTCTTCACAGCTTCCGTCCAACATTGCCCGGGGAGCTGGTGTATCAGCAACCCATCCTTCCTCCCCCCTTCCCCGCCGTGTTTCTCACCATCAACTCAACGCAGCCCGCCAACGAATATAAGCCGTCGCAAACCCTACAACCCTCGAGCAGCAGGATGCATCTAATGCTACAATCCCGTCCCTTTGTATTGATGAGCTTGCACCCTTTGCTTTCACACAACACCGCTAAACCTCGTATGTTTAGCGGGGGATGTGAAAGCAGTAGAGTACAGGCTTGTTCATGCGGAAGGGCGAGGTCTTTGCAAGGGGTTCATACGATTGCCCCTAAGGATTGGGGAAGGGGGGGGGGCGAATCCCAACATCCTTGGTACTGGTCCATCACTCACTCCCCTTTCTTCTCTCGCCCATTATCGCGCTGCTAGAGGGTGATATGCTGTAGGTCTCTTGTCTGTTCGGGGGCCGGGCGGGCGGGGAGGGAGGCTTTGTTGTAGGGTGTAGGGTGTTTCGTTGTCGCATCTCTTCGCCAGATGAGGAAGATATGAGGGAAAAAAAGGGACGGAGGGGAGGGAGGAATGATGGATATAGATGATGATATGTGGGCAAAACAGATCGTAGGTGGGTGATGTGTGTTCCTCGTCGTTTGTGATTATATAGCTATGATTATAATTACTTGGGAAATAACAGTGGAAATTCTTCTCCTAATAGTGTCTTATTATCCATCCCGCGGCGGTGATGGTAATTTAGTGATAGATGTGTGCATTCTATCTTTGTCTATTAACACCTTCCCATTCCTAGACCATCCTCTCCCATCCCATCATCCAACAATACAGTCCATCATTTATCTCCCTTATCCATCTATCCATCCATCCATCCATCCGTCCATACGTCCGTCCATCTTATGATATTTTCCAAAATAAAATAAAAAATCCACCCCGCAAAAAAATAAACAAAATCCCATAGTAATAATAATAATAATAATAATAATAATAATAGTAAATATCCTCATACTTTTAATTTCCATATATCCATCCTATAAATTATATAACTCCGTCATATGCACTATATATATAATTTTCCCATCCCCATCCCCATCCCCATTCCCAGCTCTCACACGTAGTCCTGTTTTCCCTACGCCCGAGCCTCCCCATCCCATCCCATCCCATCCCATCCCATTCCGTCCTATTTCCCCCCCTTTAATTTCAAAACAGCTAACCACCCCTCATAACCCCCCCCCCTTTTCACCCCCCTAGATACCTTTAAAAAAAAAAAAAAAAAAAAAACATAACCACCGCGCAGCAAAGCGAAAACACCACCGGAAGTTAAAACAAATTCGTAGAAGTAAAACAAAACAGCGAAGTAAGGAAAAGAAAAGAAAAGAAGAAAGATGTCCTCCGAGTCCGAGAAAATAAGACAACCACTATTTCTCATCCACTTCTCACACACACACTCATCTCACACACTCATCTCACACACACTCATCTCACACCTCACACCTTACTCGCACACTCTCACACCTTACTCACACACTCTCACACCCCAATCAGTCATCCCAGTCACACATCACACACCAAAGAAAAAACCCCCAACCCACACAAAAGAGTAAAAAAAAATATACAGAACGAATGTTACTCGCATACATACACTGCACACACTACACACACACTCTCTCTCCTTCATCCCCCAAAACCCCCCCCTTATCTTCAAACAACCATCCCCATCCCCAACACCTCATCCATCCCCCCCATCATCCCATCCATCCCCCCATCAACCATCCCATTCATCCCAATTTCCCCTCCCATAGACCCCCCCATCCCATCCACCACCGGCGTAACCCCACTATCGAAACTCCCACCCCCCGCAGACCCCGCAAACAGATCCTCCAAATCCGCACTCCTCCTCCTCTCCTCCTCCTCCCTCTCCTCCTCCTCCTCATCCATCATCTCCCGCTGTTCCTCTCCCTCAAACCCCTCACTCCCTCCACTCCCCTCACTCCCCACGCTCTGCCTCCTACTCCCCCCATTCAAACTCGCCAAGCTCTCCTCATCCTCCCCACCATTAAACCCCAAACTCAACCCCGCCAGCGCCGCACTCCCCACGCTCCCCCTCGCCGCCATCCCACCCCCCCACGCACCCCCCACACTTCCCAGCCCATCAAGATACGCCACAACCCTCTCATCGCCACAAACCCTATAATGCGGCAACAGCAGGCCCCTCAGGCCCTCGACCTCGCGCCTCAGCCTCTCCACCTCCGCCGCCTTCGCGCGATTATCCTCTCCCAGAGCCTTAACCCTCTCCACAACCTCTTCGGTCTGCGTCTTCTTCTTGACGCGGCACTTGTAAGCAGCTTCCCTGTTGCGCTTGAGGAATGTCTCGCGCTTGAGCGCGGCCTGCTCGGCGGTTGTGGTCTTCTTGGAGGAGCGGCGAGGTTTGCGCGGTTTCTTGACTTTCGCGGGTGCGGTTTCGGCGGGGGGGGAGGGTTGGGTGGTGCTGTTGCGATTGCTGCTGTCACGACCGCTGTCGCGGGTGGACGTCGAGGAAGTAGTGGCTATGGAGGAGATACTCTCCTTCCCCTTCCTACTCGCCCTCCGACTCGCCCTCCCCTTCCCCGGCCCAGGACTCGTCGTCGTCTCGGGCGAGTCACCCGGGGTGACTTGTCCATGGTGCACGACCGTCCTCGCATCCGACCCCGGTTCAAAGCCTGATGTGAGGATTGCGAGTGGTGCCGCTTGTTGGGATGACGAGGCTTGGTTGTTATTGTTATTGTTGTTGTTGTTGTTGTTGTTGTTGCTATTAATCTGATTATTATTATTGTTGTTGTTGTTGTTGGCATTCCCATGACTCCACCCATCCTGCTGCTGCTGCACCCCCCAAACAGGCGAATACGTCTGCCCGCCCTGCCCTTTCATAGGAACAAACCTCTGATTAGGCACCGGTGACGAGAACGGCGAGTCAGCGAAGAAATGGGACAGGTCGTCGTGGGGTCTGGGGAAGTCGAGCGGGGGCGCGGTGGCTGAGAGTGCGCTGTGCGGTGCGGTGTCGTCTGAGGGGTAAGACGTCGGGGCAGCGCTGGTGGTTGTGGTGGTGAGGTGCGCGCCGGAGAGGTAGGAGGGGTTGAAGAAGTCCGGGACCTGGTGGTAGTCCATGTAGGCGTCTGGGTAGGAGAAGGAGGGCATCTCGGGGTCGAGAATGTGGAAGGCGTCGGTGGCGGACATGGTTAGTGGGTCTTCCATGTTTGCGGTTATGTTGGTGGTTTGTTATGTGGTAATGTTGGATGGTGTATGTGATAATGAGATTGCTTCGATTTTGAGCAACTCTGGGTAATGGGCTGATAATTGTAGGCCTCTTGAGGAATCCCCGTCGAATCCGGCGACGAGTAAGAATATGATAATGGTATGTTGAAGAGTTATTATCTCTCCGTTCGAATCGTATTAACAAAAAGCCGCCTCGTCCTTTGTGCAAGTAGGTGGTATGTAATGTATCGGAGCAAGGCCGTATTTAATCGTCGCCTTCGTCCTTTGTGGTTATGTATGTAATGAGAGCAAGCTCGACCAGATTAATATGTATCAACAATCAACTGTTATTCTAAGCGCAAGAAGAAACAAGGTCAGCATGTTATTCTCATAATCGACGCCAACGTCGTCCAGTTGCTGCTGTCAACAACTGAGAAAATGAAGCAAGAAAGCACGACATCTCAAAGTGATAACATACCACAAGTGTTCTCTCCACGCGTATGTTCCCACAGCTAAGTAATGCTGCGTCGTATTATAATAACCTTCACTAATTCAAGCTCAGCTCTTTACGTCCCTTGAAAACCTGGCACCCCACAACAGTCTTATATATACGCAAAGGTATGTAGGTAGGTAAGCAGCGGGCTAAGCAAGCCAGACAGCTCCGTCCGTCGCTAGTCGGTTCTAGTTCCCAGCCTTTTAGCGGTACGGTTCTGGACCTTTGCTTCTGAACCTGTCTCGATCTCCTCTCGATCGGCCTAGCACGAGCCGGGCGGAAGGGCAAGAAAGGGCTATAGTGGAAATCGGCCGGCGTGGTGGTGTACTGTAGACCCAGGAGACAAGCGTTACCCGGAGCACTGCCCGTCTGTTGGTGATGGGTTGGGCTTATCGAGGCGGCTGATTGGGTGGGCGGCGGCAAGGAGAGGGTGGTTGAAGCTTGGAGACGAGAGTTGGGGCGATTGGAGGCCGAGCCGCGGTGGATTGGGGGGGCGGTACGTAATTAAGTAGTGTGGTGTAGTGGTAGTTGTAGTGTAGTAGTAGTAGTTGTTGAGTAGTGAGAGTAGTGGCGTGTAGTCGGTAAGGCCGAGTGTCTTGCGGTTGAGGATCTTGGTCGAGGAAGATTGAATTGGGAAGAGCTCGCTCGGGGAAGGCAGAAGCTCGGGATTGTATTTGTGTTTCGGCGGTAGTGGATTGGGTTTTGGTACAGAAAGTTCGTTTGTGTGTGTGTGTATGATTCTGGATTGGAAAGAGGGGGAAGGAAGGAGGGGAGGAGGGGGGACGAGGAAGTTTGGGGATTTCCGAAGATAAGGACGGAGAGGAGGGGTGATGGGCCGGGGGGGGGGAAGGGATTTGGGGGAGAAGTGGCGTTCGTGCTCTTCTTGTGTTCCCTTGGATGTTGGATATGATGGGCTATTTTGAATTTTCTGCCCTTTTTTTTTGACCCTCGAGGCATGAAATGGCCGGGATTGGGAGAATGGGGGAATTTGGAGGAAATGGGGAATGGGGAATTGGGTCTTCAGCAAGCGTGAAGCGTGAACGTGAAGGTCGGAAAAGCACGATAAAGCTTGGAAGGGGACATGGGAAAGCTGGGAAGCCGGGAACATAGGCAAGAGGTACGTATCAAAGGGTAGGTAGTAGACAGGTATGGATATGTTTGGTTTTGTATGGTGGTTTGTTTGTAGTGTAGTGTAGTGAAGTGTATACAGGTTGGTGTGTATGCAGTCTAGTGTAAACAACAACTTGTTGGCCGAAGATGGGTAGGGGCAAAAGTGGTAGTGGTAGTGGTAGTGGTAGGGAAGGCCGGAGATGGTTCTGCATTCTGTTATGGTATGTATAGTATATCCTGTTGTATTTCTGTATTGTTTGTTCTGGACTCACCAGGGGGGTCTTGGGGGAGAAAGGAACAATGGGATATGGTTGGTTGATTGGCTGGTTGGGGAGATGCATTGGGGTGTGAGGTGAGGTGCATTGGAGGTGCATTGGAGCTGCATTAGGGATGGGTGGTGGAGTGGTGGATTGGAGGTGGATTGGGTATAGACAGTAGACAGTATAGTGCTACATAAGTTATTAGTGGATATGGATGGGAATTATGGATATGGATAATGGATTATGGATTTGTGGATTGTGGATAAGTGGATGGAGTGGGATAAGTGGGTAGTGGTGGATACATTAGTGGCTGATGCAGTTAATGTGTCTGTGTGTGTGAGTGAGTACAGGAGGGAGGTGCAGTATCCAAGGTCTTTTGCCAAGGAGGGGGAAGTATGTAGTAGTAGTGTAGAGTTGATTCCAGTTAGTAAGGTTTAGTAAGGTTAGTAAGAGGGAATTGGAGGAGAGGGGAGGAGAGGAGGAGGGAAGAAAGAAAGGCAGGGAAAGGACAGGGAAGATCAAGACAAGCAAGGGAACGACGACATGAACCCATGAACCCATAAACCCACAACCGCCACAGGGCATAGCATGGCAGATCCAGGTTTGTGTTTCCCATCGAGTCTGCCGAGAGTATCGTGTACTTTCCCATCTCTAGCATCTAATGCCATCTCCTGCCATCTCCTACCATCCCCGCCATCCCACTCGCACCTTCCCAATCCCACACGCCTATCCCACCACTCATCACAAGTAACCAGTACCCCCTCTACACCCTCAAAACAAGAAAATGCTCTCACAGTCTCTAACCACACCTTAGCCGGCGCCACAACGCACGGTCGTACAATTAATTCCATGTTCAAAATGCGGGAATCGGAATAGTACAACAACAACAACAACAACAACAAACAGCAGTAAGCAGCAAGGCCAAGCAGCAAGCAGCACCACAATAGAACAAGGCAAGTAATCCCGCCACGCTAGTCCATTGCCAATACCCACTACCACCACCAAGACCACCAACCACCAAGCCACTAACGCGCACAGGCAAAGCGGCCTTGCCGGAAGAGAGACAAGAACAACAAGAAGGTTCGCTCTACTAACCAAACTACCAACCCACTTATACTGTACACAGCGCTACACACTTGGAACAGGGAGCAAGGAGCAAGGAGCAAGCAGCAAGCAGCAAGGAGCAAGGAGCAAGGAGCAAGCAAGACAAGCGAAACCAAACGGCGAAAGAGAAGGAAGAAAAAGAGTGGGATGGGATTCTTGAATGTCTCACTACTCTACTATGTGAAATCCCATGTTTGGAGAGGAGCTCGGTTGTAGTTGTAGCCCCCGATCGGCCGCCACACACGTCTTCGGAGACAGGTGGGAGGGAGGGGAGGGAGTGTTGACCACACACCACCTCTGGCCGCCGCTGCCGATCGATCGATGGGGGCTCTCTTGTCTTGTCTTGTCTTGTCTCTGATGCTCAACGGTTAGCTTGCATTGTTGCTACTACTAGTTGGAGTGAATGGTAAGACTGCTAAGAGTACTAACATTACTAACATTGCTGAGACTGCTAAGACTGCTAAGACTACTAACATCACTACTACCACCGCTACTACTGCCAACACTACTAACATTACTAACATTCTACCACTACTAAGGAACTACACAGCTACACTCCCCAACCGTCACTCAAATGCTGCCGAGACAATTCCTGCATGTCTCACCCTACCTTATGCGTGCACCTCCACCGCCGCATCTGTAACCCACCCTCCGCGATCTCGATGCGTGCGGTGGTGGTGGGTGTGACAGAGGACTAAGCCTCCTAACCAAACCATCCCCAGCGAGAACGTTGGCTGGCTCGGCGTGATGGTGGCATCTCTCGGCTCCAACTGCGTCTTAGGGGAAGGGCCTGGGAGACGGGATGAATGAGATGGGATCGGTGGGTTGTGATATGTATGGATAGATGAATCAGGATGCCCGCCGTTGAATACGGATACACAGACAGACGCAGGGTACAGTCCTCCTTCTGTGCAACCCACACGGAATGCAGAGCCGAGGAGGGCTTCTGTTCGTTATGTTATGCACTGAGTTCCCTGCACACGAGGGCGATGGGGATATCGTACCCTGCGTGCGTGTCTGCGTTGATTATGTATGTATACCGAAACAGCTGCATACCTCCCCTCGACTCGACCCTATGTGCTTTTCTGCTTTTGTATACATACATACCACCGTCCGTATAGCAGTACAGAAACAGCCACGCACCTTAACTCCAGACAGCTATAGCACTATACGCACATAGGGTAGTTGTATGCGCCCACCACCACCACCACCACCACCACACACCAAACCAAATTCAACCCCTCCTCCCACCAACGCACAGACCAAACGCCACAACCACACCCCCCATGCACCAACCACATCGCAAGCGGGCAATCTCTCCGGTATCCCTGTCACCTCTCACATTTCCAACCTTTGCGACTACCGCTTTTTCTGCCCGTCTACCGTACCCACCCACCGCCGCGGCGTGGAACCCTTTGGCTTCGTTTCGGAGGTGGTGGGATTTGAGGTGGAAGTGCGTGAGGATGGGAGAACAAAACGGCGTTTTGCTGTGTAGGATGGGATTTTCACGACAAAGGCGAGACATATCCTTGTTTAACGGGCAACATCAGTCGAATCCATCCTTTGCTTGCCCCTTCCTTACTAAACGCCAACTAATTATATAGGCATGTCCTTGCAGCAACCGTTGGAAAAACTCTACTTTCTACTTCCCTCACATTACCTGCACCATGACCGCGAGTGTTAGCAGTATCAGCAGTATTACTGTAGCAGTCTTAGCGCTTTTTCAAACGGCTAAGCAAGGAAGCAAAACCATGCTCCCAGCACGCACCAAGCACGCACAAGGACACTCACTACCAAGCACGGACACTCCGTCTCTACTTTTACTCTGTAGGGTAGGGAAATGGACTACCAAGCCCCATCCGGCCTCCCGATGTCATATCGCGCGACGGAGGCCAAGGGGGGGACTGAGCGCTGCCTATGGTTGTGTATCCCTTCTATTCTTGGATTGCTTGCTGGACTATCACTAAAGGACGTAATCGTGCATGTGGCGATGAAACCCTGTGGCATATGCTGTGCAGAACCACACCTTGGCGATGAGTGTGAAGAGGGAGGTGTGAGAGTAGTGGGCATGGAGGTACGATGCGGAAAGAGTGAGTGTGGCTGCAGTGGTGGTGGCGTTACCTGGTCTTACAATGCGACGCCGCGCTGCTACGAATGGCGACTATTCGTGGTTAGAGAGTGGTAGGAGAAGGGGAGAGGAAGAGAGGAGAGACAGTGAGGAGTGAGGGGTGCAGCTTATGGCGCTGGAAATCTCCGTTGTGTGCGGGATATCGTGAGTGCCATGTGTGTGTGTGGTGGTAATGTATAGTGAGCCTGCTCTATAGTTTGGGGCGCTGGGAATCTCCGTTTTGTGAGTGAGTGAGGGATATCCTGAGATCTGGTGCGCGATATTGTTACAGTATTGTGGTTGTGGTTGTGGTTGATAGCTCCCCTCCCCTCTACCCCTCTACCCCTCCTCACTTTGCATCTCACAGCTCAACCCATCTCACACTCACGGGCAACGCGTCGCAAGAACTGACACACCTCCCTGTCCATTTCCATATATTTTTATTCCCCGAACAAACTCGTCATATCCGCCCTTATCCCTCCCATACACCCTGCCCTGCCTCCCTGCTCCGTAGCTGTAGACTATTTTATCTCCGACCTCCCTTTTTCCCCTTCCCTCCTCGCACCCTCGCACCCTGTGTACGAAATACGACTACTGTACCCCTCCACCACCGCCAAGCCCCCACCGACTGTTACACACCCCCCATCCCATCCCCCGCGCATCCGCAAGTCGAAACAAAACCGCGCAAGGTTGGTGGAAGGGATGTGAGGGGAGGAGGCGAAAGACGCTCTGGCCAGGCCATGATCTGAACGTTGGGCGTTAAACCGCGTAAGGTTTAGTGTTTGGGAAGGTGCTGTGGTGGTATGGGTGCTGTGGTTGGTTGGTGGTGAAAGGTGGTGGGAGGAGGCGGGAGGTGGTGGGTGGTGGGAAGTGGAGCTAGGGTGGTTTAGGGTGGTTTGGGAGTAGTGGGAGGTAGGAGGCTCGATTGGGTTGCCTGCTTGCTTTCTGGTGTGCGTGTGAGGGTAGGGGTAGGAGGGGTAGGAGGGGGGGTAGATGGCTGTAATGGCAGGTATGTAGGGGTGTGGAGGGGCACTGTCGATGGCTTGGCTGGCTGGTGTGTATGTGTGGAGGGGTAAGAGGGCGTGGCTATCTCCATCCAGGCACCTGGTCCATCGAACAGTCCAGCCTTCGCAGCCTGCGTGGTGGAGGGGAGTTTAGAGTGGATGTGGCTTGCGTGGCTTGAGGTGGTGTGGTGGGTTGTGGCTTTTCAAGGTGGTGGCAAAGTGCGGATAGAGACATGGGACTGGGGTGGTGGTGGTGGATGGTGGCTTGAGCTGGGGGTTGGGATTGGGGATTAGGGATTGTCTGCATGGCGATGTGGATGTGGCGAGATGGGAAGGGAAGAGACGGGGGGGGGGGGAACACGTGTTGGTGATGGATGAGAGGGGTTGGGGGGGGGTTGGATTGATAGACGGCGGCAATGGGGGTATGGGATGGGAGAGGGAGATGAATGGGTATAGAGTGATTGTGGTGATATCCAAAGATTCAAACACGTATCTATCTCGATACAAACCGGGATAATACACATCATCTGATACCGATACCAGATATCAAACCGTCCCTCCGTCTCTTTACCATAGTACCCTCCCCTTCTTCACCGAAGATCCCTGAACGTGGACGGAACACCATCGCTGATTATGATAGATACTGTATGATAGATACTGATAGATACTCAGCGATGGTGGTCCTCCGAATATCACATGGAAAGCCTGGAGGACACACATTGATCAGCCTCTCGAG